TTGTGGGAAAACGCAGACCATGTCGTGCAACCAGTGATGGCGTGCGCCATGAATGATGAGTTGCTGTTGGGTGCGCCCAGTCTTTCCCTATTCAGAGCCAGAAGTACCGGAACGGTAGGGCTCGCAACAGTCATCTCGACGTATTGGGAGTGGCACGACAAGGAATACCTTTTTGCGATGCTGTGGATGCCTCCCCATCTGCATACCACGGAGGCGGTGTTTTGGTCAGAAATGACGGCGACCATCCAAGGATGAGTGGCGGAAAGACGCCGAACCACGTCGGCTTGCCGTCTCCGCCTCCCTAATATTCATAACGTGAACGAGGCATACATAAGCCCAGACATTGACTTCTTGGATAAAAGAGGCGTGGATACTAAAGCTATTATACCCCGACCTCGCTTGCTGTGCTATCTAGCATCGTCTTGGATACTCTCAACACTTTCTCATATTATTATGTCCTCTACTTTGAGGCAGAACACGCCTGAGCAGGTGAACATTAACATGACCAGATCAAGGAGTAAGTCCACTAGCAGAACTTTGTTTGTTCGTCCTAGCTGAGCACAACTGACTTGTACTGCTCTTTTTGGGTTAAAACAGAAACCCTATCCCCGTCGCAGCTCGAGCACAAGCGGGCCCACGATCGTGAGGCTCAAAGAGCCAACCGCAGGAGAGTCAAGGAAAGAATTGTTCGACTGGAGCAAGAACTAGAGGAGAAGCGGGGTCAGTTAGGCTCTAACAAGGTCTATCAAGAGCTCCTCCGGCGAAACCGACTTCTCGAGGAGGAGGTAGCGAGGCTCAAGAGCACTCTTACTACCTCCTCAACGGCGGGTTTGTCACCTGCAGGTTCATCTTCGGGCTCTGTTCCAGAAGGAGGCGGATTTGTCGACTACGCTAGCTCAACAGATTATTCCCCCAACGACATGTATCGCTATCTCATTCCACACTCCGACTTCCCTAGCATGGCGACCCAGGTTCAGCATTGCGACGCCGTAATGGCCAAAGGTAGTCATTTACTGCCTGTCGCCCTGGATGGCATCGATATCGGCAGTCCGACAGCCCTCTACAAGCCCTCTTCTATTACCTATAATACACCAGAGACTCCGGCCACCAACATATTCCATCACGCCGACAACTGCGTGATCCCCGCCTATGGTGTGGATACCCCGACGGCCAAACTCGGCGGTTTACAGAACGGGATGCATGTCAGAAGTGGACTATGGAATAACACGAGGCGACATCGTGATGAGGGCCGCAGCGACAGTCGTTGCGGACTGCAAGCGCAAGTTGTTGCTGGCGGTTGGGATAACAATCCAACCCACAAGATAAATATGCGGTACTACCAAGGTGAAGCCTGCTTTCTGGCGAGTTCACCTACATTGCAGCATTTTCCAGCGTGCTATCCCGGATACGGCATGAACAGCCACTAGATGGCATGTCTCCGTGGTTCTAATTCGGCATTACAACTAATGATATTACAAGACAGCATCGATGTCATTTTCTCCTCATGTCTCTTGTGTCTTTGCAACTGGAATAGTCTTCCCTATGTCCAAGCACCTGTGATCCAGCAAGCCAATGCCAGCACGAACGTACGACATTCGGCCCTGGCGTCATGCATGAGTTCCTCTGGGAAAAGAGCATGCTAGCCGCCTTTATACGCAAATTCGCCGCAGTAAGCTACATGGTAGCCGTGTTTCCCATCGACAAGCAACTCTAGCGCATGGGCAAGATGCAATCCTTGCAGGGAAATAACTAGTCAATACGAAGCATTGCACGAGGCGGGGACCACGGCTCTCACCAAGGCAATCGCGATGGAGTTATAATAATAAGGAGCATTCCACGTCATGAAATCCCTCAGGAGATGTGACGCAGTCCGCCCAACGTCTCATAGACCCAGCCTACACCTGTTCTGCCCACGCTGCCGCTTACACCAGGATTGAACGAAAAGACGGCCCTCAACAGCCGCTTCAGCTGGCTATTTGAGGGTACAGACTACGACGCTGAAACTCTTGATATGTCTCATATATATGGAATGTTTTGAGTGATGCAGAGCAATAACACGTCTTCGGGCATGGAACCGGCCAGGTATTCTATGTGGCTTGCTGACTGATGAACCTACAACTCCATCTAACTAGCCAGCTTACGACTGTGGAAGGTGTAGCGCCTCAGGGAGATTCACGCAGTGCGCGAGTTTGGCCGAAAAGCAAGCCAGCCGATTGTCGGTTCTCGTATTGTGGATATCAACGATTGGTGGCTATTTTACGGAGTTGCTTTTCATTGATGTGTATCGGAGTAGCATTGGTGTTTGCTCTGCAGCTCTGGTTTATTGATTGAGGCTGACAGGGGCAAATGCGGTGACGCCTCGTCGGGAGACCGTACGCTAGCTACTTAAGTAGCCTCGTGGCTTTGTTGATCCCTGATAGGGCCGACTCTATTGAATGATGGCACAGGGCCAAGATACATCTTATGAGATACGAATACATAACACACCAGACACCACCAGTCGGGTCCTTGATACAGTGTGCGGCATGACCCAAGGGCAAGACGCTGCAGGAGAAATGTTTAGCACAGCAAAGTACATCAAGAACGAGCACGCTTAGGCACAAGCCATGCCGGTGACGTTACTCGAACGCGGTCTCAACGGGTAGTACCAACCACCGGCGACATCCCGTTTCGCAGCCGGCTGTCAGCCCAGGCAGAAGGATGGAGCACAGGCGCGGCAGTAGAGTAGCCGTCGGATCAAAGGCCCAAAAAGGACGGTGATTTAAATAAGAGACCAGTCGGAGACGTCAGCGTCAGGGAGCCTCTCAGGCCCACCTGCCGAATCAGTCAAAAGGTTGAAGAAGGTTGCGTGGTGGCAAAAGCCACAACAGCCCTTTGGTGGACGGCAATAGAGGCCATATGCCGATTGCTGGACCAAGGGCCCGGTCAGCGTCCGGGGAGGGTTGCAGTCCGTCATGTCGCAGCATTGGGGGCAGACAGCTCAGCCTCGTTCCAGGCGTTGTCGGGGCTCGTGGCAAGATTCAGCCTGGTGGTTGAAACCTCGACACATGTCTGTACTCCGCAGGGCGGCCGGGGCGGAAGGTTCATGATTGGTCAGCATCGTCGGTGGCGTGGAGCCCCAAGGGAGTGGAGGGTTGATAAATATAATTAAGGCACAGTCTGGTGGAGTTGGACCTTCCAAACGCACTAATTTCTTGCCTTTTACCAGAGATTACCGTGGAATGGCCAAACATACTCCGTTGCAATAATCTTTGGAACCTTCAGAATTCGATTCCCGTCGATATTCTTTTTACTTTTTTTTTTGCCTCTTTATTGAATTGTCATAGGCTGCGTGGGGATTTGATACATTTCACTTTTTTAAAAAAAAAAAATTCTTGAGTGCATTACGATGCCATTATAATTTTCATTCAATCAACTTGTGCGGCTATGTTTCAATGTTTCGAGGCTCCCGACTACCACAGCGATGAAGTACCGAGTACCTAGCATCTGAGAGCGTGTAAATCTTAACGCATTACGTTTGTCAATTCCTTTTCCACATTTTTCTTCCAACTTGTCATCTGATATTTCCAAGCTCAGCCTCAATCAACTGTGATGTTGGAGACGTCAAAGTCATATTGTTGCGCCGTCGTGCCCAACAGGGTAGGCCGGTTGTGAGGGCTACTTCGGTCAGGCTGCTTTGGCGCATTTGGGAGATTCAAGTCCAAGATATGATTCATCATGTCAAATAAGTTGCACTGGAATGGACTGGTGGTTGGAATGTCTTTCAGCTTTCCCACACCGTGAGAACCAGTCCTGAAAGCACCAGACGCGTCTAACCCTAGTGCGACGCAGCAATGAGGCGACGCGCTTCAAAATACTTGAAATGTATGGCGAGCACAACGCGCATCGCCAACTAAGTCGGCGAATATAAAAGTTTTAAATTCGCGGCCAGTGACGGGTCATTTATTGGGCCAACGTCACAGGTCAATCATGCTTTGCAAATGTCTTGCAAGTACGGGCTTTGCATTCGCAACTCCGTCATCGGCACATGTACACATGGGCCACTTATGGACTGAGGTGGGATGGCGGGGTACCTCTAGAGTCCCATGTTGGTCCAAGGTCATCGTCAACGGTGCCTGATCTTCCTCCAGACGCCACCATCTGAAGCACACTCAGTTCCCCAACGCCAGCCATGTCTGCCGCGGATGCCAAAGTTCTATCCACGGGCCCTCTGGTACGGCAGTAACCCTGAAACGACGTCCAATTTGTAAACGCCGACTCACCAGTGCGCCCGCAGCCCGACAACGAGGCACGATGGATCAAGTTGATCAAGTACGAAAAAATATCATGCCCAATTCGGCCATTCACGCAAATCCGGCTAACCTATCTCCTTCGCAGAATCAACTACCAAGATGCCAACGGCACCCCGCGGACGTGGGAATCCGCCGAGCGAAGCACGCGCCCTGCCAACACGGATATCGACGGCGTCGGCATAGTGGCCATCCTCGACAAACCTTCCGGCAAAGAAATCATTCTCCAGAAACAGTACCGCCCTCCCATAGGCATGGTCACCGTCGAGGTGCCCGCCGGTCTCGTTGACGCGGGCGAGTCGGCGGAACAGGCTGCTGTGCGGGAACTGCGCGAAGAAACGGGCTACGTCGGCGTGCCCACGGAGACATCGCCCGTCATGTACAACGACCCGGGCTTCTGCAATACCAACCTGCGCATGGTCCACATGAGCGTGGACATGAGCCTGGCGGAGAACCAGAACCCCAAGCCGCAGCTGGAGGACGACGAGTTCATCGAGGTGTTTACCGTCAGGCTGGCCGACTTGTGGGACGAATGCAAGAAGCTGGAAGGGCAGGGGTGCGCGATTGACGCGCGCGTTGGCACCCTGGCGGAGGGAGTCTTGCTGGCCAAGAAGTTGGCGCTGTGAACAGTACGATTAGGGCCTCGCATCCCGTTGGACTCGGTGGACTTGTGTGTGTGAGACGACGGGACTACATTATAGAGAGACGTGACTAGTTTTCCTGCTCCTGCCTTGTGTGCTTCAGCTTCTTCTCTCGCCGCAGTGCCTCCCATAGAGCCAGCGCACCCAGACACTTTGCATCCCGGGCGCCTTCCATCCAGAGATTCTTCATGGGGACAAGCTTCAGCGTGATCTTCTCCCCCTCTGACCGCAGCCCCGTCAGTCGTCCGTTCCATTCGCTCAGCTGCGATCGGGGAATCCTCCGCTCGCAGCTGAATATCGTAATGTGCTCGTCGCAGCCGCCCGCGCTGGGAAACATGGCCGTGGGAAGACCCTCGTCGTCGTCCTCCCTGTGGCCTGCAGCCTCCGCCGCCAGGTCGTTGAGAGACACTAGTTCGTCCTCGTGGATGGTGATGCCCAGTTCTTCCTCAATCTCCTTTGCCGCGGCGCCCCTGAAGCTCCCCGCGTCGTCGACCATGCCGGCGGGGAGCTCGACGAAGCTCAGGCTGCCTGCTGACACGCGTGGCTGCACCGTGAGCACGACGTAGCGCTCGTCCGAGTCGGGCGCCGCGTCGTCCGGTATGAGCATCACCAGCATGGCGACGCTGGGCCCGCGGAGGAACGCGCCGGCCGGTAGCGCCTCACCCGCAGAGTTGGACACCGACGCGAGTACCTTGATGAAACCGATGCGTTCATGGCCCCAGAGATCAAAGGACTGGATGGTGATGGAGCGCAGGCTGTAGGGGTCCTTGTGGAAGGGGTGGCCAGGGGCGGATTGCCGGGTGAGCGACTTGTCGAGCGTCGTGGTCCATTGCTACCAGAGTGTCAGCGACTGCTGCTAGTAGAGTTTGCCGTGCGATGGATTTGGAAAGGGGGGGCCTCACCTGAAATGGTCGGAAGGACAGCAACTGCTTCTCGCTCAAGCCTTCGGGCAGGTGAACGGGCACGTTGTTGAGGACGCGGATCGTAGACATGCTCTTGGCTTGCGGGGAGCCGACGGATCTTGCGGGTGGTGCTTTTGAGGCTCGATGGAGACGCCAGTGTTTTCTGAGTGCAATAGTGGTGGTGCTGCAGCTTTTCATCATCAAGAGGTGGGAGTGAAGTGAGAGTGAAGTGAGATTGTGAATTGCGGCATAGGCTGCGCTCCACATGGATCATGGATGGACCGACTTTATATGTCATCGATGCTGGCATGCGCTCGAGGACAACAAAGAAAACATTCAAGGGACACGCAAAGTATACGCAAAGCACACATAAAGCACAGATGCTGCGCACACCGAATTACTAGGAGATGTGTCATTTTGTGCAGGTTCATTCATGTCAAATGGGTGATTTGTGCAGCTGCGGTTCATTACCCACATCGCCGACATGGTGTTTCGAAGTGTTTTAACGACTCTGCCAAACCTGGACGTTTTAGTTTGGTAGATGTTCTGTTTTTCCTTGCGACACCTCCCCTCAGGCTAGCATCTTTGGCGATACTGGACTGAAATAAATTATTGACCGACCCTAACATTTTTAGCTTGAAGCCTACGTTGGCTTTGCCATGGCATTCATTCTTGTTTCACCAATTTCGCGGTGAAGGGGTTATCCTTTTTAGGACTAAGTCGGCATGCAGATTTTATCTCTTGGGGTTACTGACTACCCGTACCCTTTTATTTAAATATGTGCATGAATGAATGACTTTCTTATTCAATCTATTTGCAAGAGGGGTGTGAAAACGGGGACCTTGACCAGTACGCGCGCGGTTGTGATTGTCTGGGCAACCGCGGTCAACGTCACCTTCCCCGACCGCCTGCATGGTCGACTCTTCATATAAACCAGCAGGATGCCTTCGCCAGCCAGCCACACGACCTCCCAAAACTCGGACCTCGAGACAAAAGAGATTTCGAAAATCACTCCGTGTCAACCATGTCCAGAAGACACCCGCAAACGCAAAGCCTTCGTCTCCCAATTCCTGAAGGCCAACTTTGCCCCCCTCGCCAAGTCAAACCGATCATACATCGACACAGGTGCGCTCGAGCATATGGCCATCAAGTGCCTACACGTTGACTTCAACACCGGGAGACTCAGCAATGGCGTTGCGCAATTTATCGACCCCATCCCCCCGAGCAAGATTGGTGAATGGCTGGCTGTTACGAAGCCGTGACTAGGGCGAGACGGCTTCTTCCATGACCAAGAGGATGACGGCGACGATGAGGACAATCCACTGGAAAACCTGGGCCCCGCCAGCCCCCAATGGGAAGCTGCCAGTTTATACCGATTGATGAATTTCTATCTCGTCCACGATGGGCAATGGAACCCAGGCATACTGCAGACTCAAACACTGTGGAGAAAATACCCGTATGGTTGATACTTTGCTTGTTCCGTCTTTAGGCCCAGGCTGATCGAAATACATGTTGCAGTATTCCACGTGGCAGGACGCTTTGCCAGCTTTCTCATACACAAAGCCCTCGAAATTGGCGCGTCTGGACCATCTTTCGTCGGTTCCAATACTACGAGGACATAATCTCTGAAACGGGCGAATCCCCTCTCGATCCAGATAAGCCACATGTCATGGCTTTTCTAGCAGACGGCGCGCTTATCAGAGAAGATGTGCTTTCGACCAGCGAGTTGACTTGCATTACGTATTTAGTTGCAGATGGCGCTCTGAAATATAAGCACCATCGCTTTATCCCGGTAACGTGACTCCTGCCTAGTTGACCTAAATGTGAATTCTGGCTAATAAAAACGAAATGAATAGGCGACGCTGATGTCCGCGTCACTTCGGACTGTCCGAATCGTGCAGGGTGTTCTTGATTGCCAGAAAGGGACCCTCGAGATACGCAAGTCGCAACCTGTTACTTTTTCCGATAGCAGGATAGCCAATTGGGATAAATGGCTGACTTTACTGGGGTGGATGATTGGGAACCCTGTGGGGCAGACGAAATAATGTATATATTGATATATTTATTTGCGCTTGCACAAACCTCTTTGAGGCCGACGGTCTTAAGTCGAGCGACAACCCGCTCATTCTGCACCTTGGTTCTGGAGAAAGCGTCCGTTGCCTTGTCGTGTATTCCCTAGCTTGCCTCGTTGTGCTGCTAACCAGCCATCGCTCCAGGTCACTCCGGTCGAACTTGCGTCTCGGAGCTACAAACGACAGCTCTGCATGGACTTCTCTCCCACCGTCGTCGACCTCATGAACCAACGCCACGCCGAGGTAAAAGGAATAGAATGGAAGCTTATGGACGTACGTGATATGGTCGGCGTTGCTGACAAATCTGTCGGCGTTGCCTTCGACAAGGGGACATTGGATGCCATGATACACGGTAGCCCTTGGAACCCTCCGGAAACAGTCAAGGAGAATACTAGTGGATATCTTTACGAAGTATGCTTTGCAATGAATACCATGAAGTCTTTTTTTCCTGACCAAACCCCAAGATTTATCCAGTACTGAAAGATGGTGGCGTCTTTCTGTATTTCACTTTCAGACAACCACATTTTATGAAACCGCTTTTAAATCCACGGAGCGTATGGGATATGGATATACAGGTCCTCAACGACTCTGGCCCCTTTGATTACTACGGATACATGCTTCACAAGGAAGGGAAACGGTAGACCAAACGCCTTGGGTAAATGGCATTGTCCGACATTGGAATAAAAGGATGCATGGTTAATAGTAAGATACTCATTCTCCCCTTTTGTGGAGCCTGAAAGCGTGCTCTCATATGAGAAATGACACGTCCTGACTGGTTGTTTACAGTTATGAACCATGCGTAACGCATCAGCAAACATAAACCACCTACTAGAACAAGTACTGAACTGACATGGCAAGTGGCAGCAGACTACATAGTTCCTTAAGCATCTTTTCTTGGTCCTCGACCCTCTCCATGGTATTGGCGGGCTTGGTCAGAAAAGACTTCCCATCCGTTCGGTTAATCCCAACTGCGCAGCTAACGTCTGCCAATCCTCAACAATGAGAACCCTACATAGCGCTGCGCTGTGTCCATGAATGGCGGTACCAATCGACGAGTATCCGGCGTCGTCGTTTCGGCCGGTGGCGTCAGCCTTGCTCGACTCAAGAGGAGCCAGAGGAGGTTCGCCGTCTCGGCCTCGCCCCCGGGGCTCCTGTATTTGAGATCGACCAGACGGGTGTCGTGTGCATGGTTCCCAAGGTGAGCCCCTTTGGGCCTCCGCTAGATGAGGGTTCGGAAAACGTCAGCGTTACCGCCCCTCGCGGCAAGGTGGAAGACCGTGTTGCCAGCTTGGCTTGTATATAGTAGGGGCGGCTCGATGTCGGTCTGCTGGTACAGAAAGCGAACAATGTCGGCGTGACCCTTATAGGCTGCCTCGCCAATAGATTGGTGGGTGCCCAAGAACTGGTTTCCGTAGCTTAATTTCCGATGCACCGCCAGGATTGATCTTCGCAAATCCCCATCTCTGTCGGCCAAAGAGTGTTTTGACCAGCACAAGGCATCCACCGCGAGCTGCGAGGCACAATATGTCGCTGCCGTGGTCTTAGAGGTCCTCGCGCAGCTCTCGGATCAGGAAATCGAACACATCTCCCTATTCCCTGAGCGCACTGCCTTGTGTTTTGATCGACCAAGAGCATCTGCGTACCACCTCGTAGAACCATGCAGTGCAGCACAAGCTTGACCGGAGGGCCTTGTGCCCGCGGAGCTCTTTGATGGTCGAGATGTGGTCTCGCGTGATAAGATGAGGTATGGTAGCCCATGCCGAGTGTTTGGCAAAGGCAGGGCCGTGGATGTCAAGCCTGAGCAGGTCGGCCAGGGATGCTGCCGGGCCAAACATGGCGGTAACGACCAGAGAATCAAGATCTGGTATAGCGTCGGGGAAGTCGTATCCAGAAATATAGGAACAGTTCGGCGTCGCTGCTGTTTCACCCAGTTCTCGAGCCGTCGAGGATCCTTTCGGCTAGAGCAATCAAGTCTAGAAGATCTGAGCGCTGTTCCGACAACACGTTGGGGAAGTGACATGTCCAGTACGAGGCAGCACAGGCTCAAAGGTTCCCAAACCCGATCTCAAACAGATTACAGTCTTGACTTGGCTTTGAGCCAGTCAATGCGGAGGCCGTCAGACCTTGGTCGTCGTCATCGAACACACTTCCAATGGTGAAAAGCTCAGTGCCGTCAAACTGTTCCTAAAACCTGATGTTCGGCTCGCCTTCTCATATTCCTCGAAGAGAAGGTATGTGATACAATCTCGTAATAGAAATCCGTTCAGCTCCATCATGTGCTCCCCGCTTTGCTGTCGCCTGCTCGGCTGCTCTTCAGAGCACCAACTCAACGGCGGAGCCTGAGATACGAGCTCTTTGCTACCTCCCACATTTGTGGCGCTGACAAAAGGCCGGGCGAGGTCAAACAAGCCCACGCTACGAGAGAGTTCTTCTAGCTCAGACAGTGTCGTAATACTACTGTCTCGAGGGGCCGTTGCAGAAGTTCTTGTGCTCTGATTTGCTCGTCCACATCAAACAGCGGCCCGACGACATCAGGAAGCTAGAAAGACAAGAAGCCCGCATTCTGTGAGGCTACGAGAAGTGCAGAAAACACGTATGCGGGAAATTTGTCCGCAGCTCAATCGAGATTCAAGACTGCCGCAACATGCAGGCATAATCAGCAGTCTGGGACAGAAGGTTCAACTTAGTCGCGCGTCAATAGAGATGTCGTCACACTAAAACCGCTGAGTCGAGCGTGTTTTGAGTTGTATCAACTCTGATTCTCTGCCCAGTAAGTCTCGAGCCTCTTTAAAAACATAGAAATACATACAATAATAAGAATGATGCGAAAAGATGTGAAGCTTATCCCCTCATACATCGCCAGTATCATCCCGTCCTATTTGCCCCGGCGAAGGCTATTCCCTTACGGAACATCAGAAACGTCTCGGCCATACTTTCGGAGCAGAAAGGCAAAATCGTCGAAAGCCCTAGGTAAGTTAGCAAGCGCCGTTTATGCATGGAATGAGGAACAAAGCACATACTGCCGGCGAGCCAGCGACCCCGCGAAACACGCCGAGTGCATGAAATTCGTCTTGGCGCTGTACAGGCGATTTCGATCATCCCACTCGTCCTTGGGCTCACTAGGCTCCATGTTCCGCAGATACTCGCGCCTGTACACCTCGTCGCGCAGCTGGTGCCTTTCCGCGCGCCATATGCCCAGCTCCATCTCGTTATGGCCGTAGTACGCAGCGCAGTCAAAGACCCAAGGATCACCCGTGCTGGAATCGGTGCCGACGTTCCCGTCCCACATGTCTCCGTGGAGCAGTACCGGCTCGACCTTGCGGCCGTCGGCCTCGAGCGCCCCGACAAGTCTCGGGATCAGCTGGGACTGCACTTTGCGGTACAGGGCGTCTAGTTCGGGCCACGGCCCGTTGGTCTCCGTGTCCTGGCGGTAGGACTCGGCGAGGAGCTTGGAGAAGAAGGACGTCCAGCTCGGGTCCCAGCCGACCGACTGCAGTCGCATCCCGTCAAATGTCTGGATTGGATATCCGAACTGGCCCGTGGGGGAGGAACTGTTCCTGTGCATGGCCGCCAGGCGCTCGCCCAGCTTGACGGGGTCCGGCAGGGCGGGAGCAAAGTCTTTGAACTCGACTAGTAGGAAGTAGCTTGGGGGGGTTGCACTCTTCAGCTTTCCCCATCCGATGGGCCGGGGAACAAAGCCTGGGGCGACCTTGTGAAGCTCCGTCATGCCTGCAAACTCTCCCTCCAATTGCATCTGGCCCAACTCGCCGGGGACATACTATTGCACCATAGCAATATATTAGATACTCATTATAAAAGGGTGGAGGGGAGAATTGGGATGTGAGATGGCTAACCTTGAGGAAAAACGGGGTTGGGTTTCCGTGCTTGTCAACGGCGTTGATCCTGGCCGTAAGTGACCAGACAGATTGCCCGTAACGGTCCGCGCTCAGAGCCCTTGTAGCTTCAGGCAATGCTTTGTTTGGGAGGGTCTGCAGTTAGCATGCTGATCTCCTTTGTAGGCCGTTTATCCTCAATATGCCATACCATTACGCACAGCCTCATCAATAGGCAACCCCCCGGACAGAAGCTCTCGCAGCGAAGCGAGTTGCCGCTGGAACTCATCGCGGTCCTGACGCTGCATAACGTATAATCAATATCGAATCCAACAAAGGAACCTTTATCCGGAAACTCTGGAACAGTGAAAAGGGGTCGTGGGCGAGTGGAGGCGACGAGGGACAAGATCAAATCCCGCATGATGCTGCATTGCTGACCAATGGACCATGGTTGGGCTGTTCGGCGCCGGACTCGGCCGTCGTCCGCCAAGGTGGGCCGACCGGACACGGTCCACTGACCGGCCCCGGCTTTTATTCAAACTTCAAAAGTCGGAGGCCCCGCTCTGCCACGGCCAGCCCAAAATCGACAACAATTCGTGCCCGTTGTCCATTTGGAAACATGGAGTCGAAAGGACCAAGCGCCTCGGCCGTTATACGCACTCGCTCTGTCCGTGTACTTTGTAGCCAACCTCGGCCTGGCGTTGCAATATACATATGTCGGCATCTTCCTTCTAGGGTGGGTAGCCCGCTGATGCAGCGCGAAATCATGCCCGGAGCTAATCGAAAAGCAAGGCCCAACGCCGCCCCTCCTGTTGGTCCCGTTTTGGGGGGTATTCTCACTGCAAAGCTTGGATGGAAATGGATATTCTGGATGCTCTGTATCCTGGGGGGTTCTTGCTTGGCTCTAATTTTGTTAGCACTCCCAGAAACCTCTTAGTGTAATTAACCAATTCAATTCACAGCACCTGAGACAGCATAAATACTTTTGCGCAATATTTGGACCTTGTTTAGCTCGACGCTCACGAGCACACGAGTAAAACTGCGGCATAAACCACAGATTTTGCACTGGTGTAGTTGAGGGAAATTATTTTGCCAGACAGAGCGCAGGGTCTGGTCTGGTATGAAACTACCAACAAACCAGGCGTGTGCATATGTAATGCCCGGCCAACCAGCGGCCACAGTTAGCCACAAGCCAAAGGCAGCTGCAGGCCAGAGCTCGCCGCGGGCGGAGGGTGTAATTTAAACGTCTGGTCAAGTCATTCTCGCCCGCTTTGCCTACAAGGTCTTGCAGTAGAGTTGTTCCAAATGCAGACCGAAAGAACTGACGCGTCTCTAGACACGAGGCATTGGGTTCACTTTGTTGCCGGCGGGTAAGTGAAGAAAATCCGAGCTACGTGAAAGAATCTGACATCTCAACCTCTAGGACGGGCGCCGTCGTATCGACAACAGTTACTTTCCCCCTCGACGTCGTGAAAACAAGACTGCAAAGCGACTTATATCATCAACATATCGGACGAGGCAGAATAGGTACGCAAGCACCAAGTTTAGGGACCGCCCAGTTGTTGAAGTGAGTATTTCACCACACTTCAAAATCACCACTCTCTTGCTCATCTGTCCAGAAACATTTACAGGCGTGAGGGATGGCCAACTCTGTTTAGAGGTCTTGCCCCCAACTTATGGAGCTTTGTACCCGAGACCGCAATCGGCTTCTACGCCTATGGAAACACGAAACGTATCCTTGCCGAAATCTTCAACCACGGCCACGAATCAGTAGTCATCCACATGTGTGCTGCAGCACTTTCTGGCGTCGCTACAGAAACCTGCACGAATCCACTATGGGTTGTCAAGACGCGGCTCCAGCTTGATCGGGAGCGTTCAACGGGATTAGGACGAGTGTACAAAGGCTCGTGGGACTGTGCGAAACAGATCCTCAGGTCCGAGGGTGTTCCTGGCTTATACCGAGGGCTGATGTTGAGCTATTTGGGTGTATCCGAGTTTGTGTTGCAGTGGATGATTTACGAGCGAATGAAACTGGCCTGCGGTATATCTAACGAGATGGCATCTCCTTCTAGCAATTCCCCTTCAGAGTGGTTTGGAATCCTTGGCGCCGCTGGCTTGTCCAAGCTCGTTGCCGCAACTATTGCCTATCCCCACGAGGTAAAATATCCTCTTCGTCTTTTCCTTTCCCACAAGTGATTGCAGACTAAGGTACTATCTAGGTTGTGCGAACCCGCCTCAGACAACAGCCCCTGAGTGGCAAGCGTAGATATACGGGACCCATCCAAACATTCGAGCTCGTTCGAAAGCAACGGGGCCTCGTTGGTTTATATAGTGGGTTGCCTGCTCATCTGTGGAGAGTCGTGCCAGGAGCAGCTATACTGTTTGGTTAGTTTTTATATGGAAGAAATGGCACCATTCTAATCCCGAGTGTAGGAACTTATGAAACCATTCTCACGCTCTTCGGAAATGGTGGCAGGGTCGATTGGCCTCGGTCGCAGGATAACCTCCAAGCACCCAGCGATTCTTGCCCCTGACAATGGGACCAACGGGTTTACCACGTCAACAGCATCATTTTTGGGAGCCTGCCTCAACCACACACCAGGACAACTACAGTACGCCTCCCGTTCCTGGGCCGCTACATGCTTTATGCATATGGACGGCTAATAATATGGTGCCACCAATGTATAGAACTCTCTCCAGCTTGGGGACTCTTCTTCACCTTCCCCTGTGATATTATTTAACTTGAGAGGGAAATAATAATAAACTTACTAATTTAATTCAGAATTATTATATGATTTTTGAAGTTTTAGCCTCAAGTTTAATATTTTGTATAAAGGCCTGGGGCTAAATCTAGTCTTCTAGCTAGGAGCAGCTCATATTCGTAACACCTTTACCAATTCAATAACCCAGCAACTAGGCCTCGAGCCCTTGTGTAACTATCGTCGGGTTCGAGGTTAGGCCCGTGTCTTTATGGCAACGTGACTTCGATGTAACAGCTGTAGCTCCGCAAGTCACTACGACAAAATAAACGCCTACCATTTGACTCTTGGCAGGTTGATGGTGCCATCCAACACTGTGGCCAAGTCAGGATGCACTTGACGTGCCGTCTCCTCGGTGAGTTTGAAGCAGAGGGGGAACAAAATCAAGCTCCGGTCACCTCTTCGCATCAACAGAGGAGCCAGCAAAACATACGCAGATGCCTGATAAACAAGATCCTTGCTACTTGAGCCCCCTGGGGCCCTGGCGCCCGAGCTCATCGACAATATTTTATTCGAGATGGACTCGGTGCGCGCCCTCGGTAGCTAGACCCTCGCCTCGCGTTACATCCACCAGTGCTTCGAGGGCCGAAAACACGGCATCATCTGGCGCGTGCTACAGAACGAACTAGGTCCCGTTTTCCCGGATGCCAGATTCATACGCCTGTTTCCTTATGCGTTCCGCGGTGACAGTCCAGAAAAACGGATGGCCGATGGGCGAGGCCGAGTTTGGCGATATCTTCTCGCATGCAGACCATCTTGTTCAGCATATGCGAGAGCACCCGAGCATCAATGACACCGTCCTCCAGATTGTGTGGTCACCGTCGCGGCTGAGGAGAAAGATTGCTGATGCCACGCTGCTGTGTAGCCAATATACAGAGCAGTATTCCCTGCTTTGCCTTCAGTTTTGCTGGCTGAACCATCGGTTGGCGAACTTCCCGGATCCGGCGAGAGACCATCATGGCGGGCAGCAGCATCAAGAGGAAGAAAAGGCTCCCGTTTCTGCCAACTTCATGAGGGATGCGGGATCGCAGGCGAGTCGAGGCCATCCGGGGACTGGGCCGGTTTAGAACGTTGCAGACGGGGTGGCTTGTGTAGTAGTCCAACGAGCGGCAGAGAAAATGCAAGAATGTAAACAGAACGCTTCGAAAGTCTCATGTTCTAGCCTGTTTCGCATCCACCCCCGGGCCATCATCATCTCAGCATCTTGCTCAAACTCCTCCTGCTCCTCTTCATACTGAGGGCTGTTCGCCACGACGGAGCCAGGAGCGGTCATAGTAGCCATCAAACGGTCTCTGAGAATTTCCTCTAGCACTCGATCGACCTCTTCCCCGAAAACATGGTCATCAATATACACGGGCCAGCTACCGGACGTCTCGCTGACAATCTCCTCGAAAATACTGGCCTCTATAAGCTCATCGGCGAGCTCCTCCATAGCGTCCGCCAGCTCAGGTAGACGCATAAGCGAGTTCAACTGGTGCATAATCATAGAACCAGCACACCTCTGGTCTATTATTTTGTCAGCCATGAAAGCTGTATTCACCTCATCCTGCAGGTTGGCGAGCTCCCATTTGGCTTTCATGAGGCGGCCCAATATCTTGCGGGAATGGATCAGCTCTTGCACGAAGACTCGCTCATCTCGCTTGCCCAGGCTTTTGTCCTCGATTTCCTGCCGCTTCATGTTCGCGATTTCGCCGTCTAGTTTGCTTGCTTCGGACCGGAGGAGCGCGTTGCATTTTCGGCGCTGCATGCGGCCAGCGGATTCGACGACAGAAGACGAGGTGTAATGGGCATTGCTCCATGTTCACAGTGTTGGCGAGCAAGATGATGGCCGGCGATGCTGCTACGAGTGACGAGCCGGGTGGGCAGGACTACCTGTGTTCGAGAGTCGATCTTTGCCAATATTGCTCTGAGATGCTTCATCGCGGCCTCGGAAGATGGCGAATGCTGAAAAGTTGGGCCATCGTCGGCTGTGACAAGGGTTCGATATAGAAGGCTTGGAGAAAAAGACTCAATTCAGAGATAACCTCGCAGGGTGTCAAGTCAAAGGCCCTTGATCTTCCAAGACGAAGAAAGGGATCAGTGACCACCATATATACATGAAAAGAACGCCTGTGCCTAAGGCTCCTGCCCGGTCATATCTTCAATCTGCGTAACCAATAGGTCCCCCGTAAATGATACCCCTATTAGACTTCAAATTGTTGGGCTGTTTCCGTGTAACAGTCTGGCAGACTGGACATGCCGTGTCTTTGACTCTGGGTTGGGTGCTCGGTGAGTAGCAGCAACCTGGCGCCCCAGTAACCCTAACCCTATAACCCCCCGGTAGTATCCACCAAGTTGCCTGCAGGCTGCCAGTGTGGACAGGTGTTGACGGCTGGCATCAATTCATGTCAATCCGGTCACATGATGGCCCCCGAGGGTTTCTAATATCTGGACAATCCTTTCCGGCCAGACGAACACTCGTAATCATTCCCTTGACCCATTCCACACGTCCAATGTCACCAACTTGGAATGCGATCAAGAGCGGGCATGACATCACTGCCCGATAAACACTCCCCATAAATAGCACAGCCACCGACGGGACCACCCATGCTCGACGTTGCACCCAGATTTCGCGCCCCCCAGCCCGTTTCGAGACACTGGCAACCAAGCAGCCCATCACAAGTCGCCATCCCCGTTGCGTCGTTCAAACCGCGCAGGCCATCCCACCAGTCTAAACCTCTTGCGGCCGCATCATCCACAGTAAGCCCGCAATCGAAGCCGCGAACTCGATGAAAAAACCCGAAATCCAAGTGCTGCCATGCACGAAATCTCCCTCTTTCCTCCTCTCACCACCGGGCCGCTTAGATACGTCCGACTAAGCGAGCCATGCCGTCCGAAGTCGACACCAAGGAGGCACGGGAGGTGAACCGCCAGTCCCTTGTGATAGACGAGGAGAAATCAGCGTCTGTCGCGCCAGCACCCGCCAACGAGCAACGCGAGGTCGTGACGCCTGCCCTGCAAGAGGGCGACGCACCCGCGACGAGCAACTGGGAGATCCGCTCATGGTACCTCTACTACATCGGGGCCAACGGCCTCGCGCTCTTCAACTTTGGCCCGACGGCCTTCCAGAACCTCCTTGACCAGGCAGCCGGCGACTCGGAGCTGCTGTACTTTGCCGGCCGCGCGCGCGACGTCAACAGCATCGTGCTTCTCGCCAACGGCATGTCGTTTGCTATACAGGCGGCGCTGTTCCTCGTCATCGGCGCCTACGCCGACTTTGGCACCGGCCGCCGCTGGGTCCTGCTCGTCTGGTCCGTCATCGCGTACGGCATCGGCTTCGGCTGGCTTGGCGTCCACGACGCCGCCAGGTGGAAGGTCGCCGCCGGCCTGTACATTATCGGCCTGGTCGCCTACCAGCTCACCCTGACCTACTGGACCGCGGCGTTCCCCTCGCTGGCCCGGAACACGGCGCACCTCAGGGCGTCCCGCGCGGCGTACGAGGCGGGCGAAATCACCCAGCGGGAGCTGGACGGGCGGGACGAGATGGAGCGCAGCAGACTTAGCAACGTGGCGTTTTGGATCCAGTCGTGCGGCGAGATTGCCATCCTCGCCGTCATCGTGGGCATCATGTTTGGCCTGCGCGTGGACGACAACCCGTCCAATAATAACTGGGGCCTCTCTGTTCTCGTCGCATTCGCCACGGCGTGCTGGCTCGCGCTGTCTATTCCCTGGTTCGTGCTGGAGAAGAAGCGCCCCGGGATGAGGATCCCGCCCGGCAGGAACATTGTCACCGTCGGCCTGTGGCAGCTGTACGAGGCCCTGGGGCAGATTTGGCGCCTCAAGCAGAGCCTGGTGTACCTCGCTGGCTACTTTCTGCTGGGCGACTCGCTCAACACCACCGTCACCGTCATCGCCACTTTGCAGAACCAGGTCGTCAGCTACAACACCCTCACGCTGACGTACCTCCTCATAGTCGGTATTGGCGCCCAGGCTCTGGGCATCGGCGGCTTCTGGCTCATCCAGAAGAGGTTCAACCTCAGCGCCAAGACCATGTTCAACGCCGTGATGGTCTTTATTGTCCTCCTTGACGGCTGGGGCATGGTCGGCAATTGGACTGACAGGTTCGGCTTTAAAAATGTCTGGGAGGTGTGGCTATACCAGGCTTATTACGGATTCGTCGTGTGCCCCTGGTACAGTTACTCGCAGATCATGATTAGTTCTGTGACGCCCCGGGGACACGAGTTCCTCTTTTTTTCTGTCTTTAATATCATTGGCAAGGCGTCTAGTTTTATTGGGCCCTTGATTAGCAGCGCTATCATCGATGCTACGCCCGGCGGGCAGAATAACAGCGCCCCGTTTTATTTCTTATTTGCGCTAAGCCTACTAAGCGCCCTGGGGATATGGGCGTTTCTGGACCTCGAGAAGAGCGCGAGGGAACAAGAGGCGTTTCTTGTCGAGGAGAAGGAGAGGGTCTATGGGGAGGATACTGCCGCCGCGAAGGAGAAGCTGGCAGCGTAGTTGCCTTGGAGTGGATTCAATGGAATCTAAACTATAGCCGGCCTGGGCCTGGTTATCTACGTACTATATGGCATCGTATGTTGGCGTTTCTCTTTCCAGGATGTGGAATTGCGCGGGGAAGCCTGCCACGTTATTGGACGGTTGGAGTAATTACAAATGCCGAGACATCGCAAATCAAAATGCCATGTCACTAATCGCCGGTAATGCCTGCACCGGGTCTCCAAGTGGTGGAGAATACCCCGAGAATGTGGAAATGGCCTGTACCCATAGCTTATCTGTTCATCAATGGCCGGACTGCCGATGCTCACTCACTCGGAAATAGTAAAGCAAGAGGATGCCCAGTAGAATCTTTATTTGACGGAACGCCACTCTTGACGAAGAGTAAAAGTCTATACGAAACGAGCAATACCAGCTCTGCACCCATTCAATGTTGCCAGAACACGGGCTAGAAAGCCGGCAACATCGAGGACCACGTCGACAAGCACGCGCGTCGTGAGTCGTGACGCTCAACTCGGACGGCGCCGTGGGTGGAGACGTGCTGGTCCGTCTGTGTCCAGTCCAGCATGGAGAAACGCCCCCGGACCGGCCTGCAGCAGACCCAGTTCGCTGGGACGCTGGCCGCCGGCAGCTTCACCCGGCTCCTGCAGTTTGGGATGCGCCACAACGTGCCGGTGCACAACGCCAGAACATTCAATGTTGAAGTTTTGCTGGACCCACAACGCCATCACCCGCATCGGCGCCTTCCGCAGGCGCCGTGAGCACCGCTGGTGTCGGGGCGCCGTGCAGTACTGCTTTCTGCTCGAGGAGCCCGGCCTCCAGTCCGTCAGCCGCTTCCAGGTGTGCCAGATCCTCGCCTCGTTTCTCGGCCCGGCCTCTGGTGTTTTGTGGATGATGGCCGGCATCGCCAAGGCATGTTGGATGGATATGACGCCGTTTGAGTCGAGCCCAGGCCTAGCCGAGGCAACTGACGGGTAGGTAGGTAGATGTGTGTATTGGAATTTCCCCAGAAGGCCATGTTATTTTTGTGTCACACTCTGGGTCGTTTCCTCGCAGAGTTTGCCTTATTTATGGACACAAGGTAAACTATAGGGTTGAATAAACATCCCATGACCATGGAACCAGGAGGATTAGTTCTCTCTAATAGCCGCGATTATTCTTTAATTTTCTTATGACCTCATGTAAGACCCAGCCATATATCACACTAAATAGACTGCCGCCGAAATACTTTGAGTTCAGGAGCCTATTATCTAGTTTGAGTTGATTACATCTCCGAAAGCTGGCTTTCAGACGTCCAAGAGATCAAGCTTGCCAGTCTTGACAATCGACTCCAGCAGCGCATATATACTCTCCCCACACCAAACCGCATTACCAACGTGCATTGGCCCATCTACCCAGCGTTGACAAGCGCAAGGCTGGAGCCAAGTCTTTTTGATATATGCTCCTTCTCCGGCATGTAATGCACTGGCAAGCACCCATGCCGCCTCGCTCATTGTCATATCCTCGCCGTCACAGTCGTCCTGCAAAAGCACGAACTCCGAACGGGCACATCGGCCACCTCCAACGCCCTCTTCAACACGGGCTCCACGTCCCTGGCCTCGGCCATCCGGCCCAGCTTCACGCAACACTCGTGATATCCATGCAGCGCCCACACATTGTTCGGGTGCCGGTGCACCCTGGGCAGTGTATCGTCCAAGCCCAAGTCGGCCCTGTAAATACCCCACGCCTCCTCGGCACGGCCCTGCTCGAGCAGCAATGCGCCGTAGGCGTGTCGAACAGGCTGCATCCAGCCCCATGGCTCGTCAAACGGCAGCCAGTCATATCGCAGTATGCCCTCGCGCAGATGCGCGAATGCGGCATCGTAATTCCCGGAGCGGTATTCGATTTCCCCGTTTAGCATGGCCTCGGCCACGTCGAGTATATCGACGCACTTGTTGTTGAACAGTGTTCTGGAGGGTTTCACGTGGGGCACGGAGTCGCGGAACAGTCGCCGGTGGGCGTTGGCGTCGTCGACGCGGTTGAGCGCAGCCGAGGCCACGCCCTTGGCGTAGTGCAGCAGGGCGGTGGTGACGCAGTACAATTCCGTGTCTTGGGGCAGTTTCAAGGCGAGCACCTCGTGCCATTTTCCGAACCGGATGAGCGCGTGCACGCGCATGGAGAGAAAGGCCTCGAGCCAGTCCGCCATGGGGGGGTTTTCCACACGGAGCAGTTCCTCGGAGATGCTGGCCTCGAGCATGTCGACTGTTTCAAAGGCTACCCTGGACTGGCCCGAGAACATGGCGCCGTAGATGCGGAAGTGGTAGTCGTGGCTGCGGTAGAGGGTGTAGAAATTCATGGGGCCCTCGCGCTTCAGGAACTTTTCGTCGGCGAGAATGGCATCCGTGTTGGCAATGACGGCGCGCGCGTAGTCGCCGACCAAGATGTCGAGGTGGGAGGGCATGTGGTTGAGGTGCCCTGCGTCCGGGACGAGGCCACGCAGCTTGTCTGCGGCTGGCATGCCGGCCTCGGGCGTCTGGGACATTTCCATGAGGTGAATGTAGAGGTGGAGGAGGCCTGGGTGCTGGTCGCCGCCTTGATGGGCGAGGGCCTTGTCCAGAACGCGCTTGATCTCCAGGGTGCGTGCCTCTTTCGCCGGTTCGCCGGTTTTGATGTCCCACAGCTGCCAGGGGGTGAGGTTCATCATGGCATCGGCGTACAGAGTGGCTACGTCGAGGTCTTGGGGGAATTGTGAGGCGACCGAGGCCATGGCATCTGCGTAGTCCCGATTCCAGATGCAATAGTCTGATTTGGCGGGAGCGTCTGTGCTCGGGTACCGAAACTGGAGGGCTTCAATGAGGGCCCTTTCTGCGGGCGTGGCATTGGCAGAGTGTGTCTTGGCTTGTTCCACGGCGCGGTGCGTACGCTGTGCAGTGGTGGTGAGTTCATTCTTTGCAAAGAGTTCCCAGGGCTTGTTGTAGTTTGGGCCAAGGGAGTAGGCGAGCCCCCAGTAGGCAATGGCGCAGGAAGGGTCATGGTCAATGGCTCGTTGGAAGCACTTTGCCGCCTCTTCGTGATTGAAGCCGTAGCACCAGACGAGGCCGCGGTTGAACCAGGTCTGGGCGACGGGGTGTTTCGTGGTGATGTGGCGATGATGGGTGCCGAGGTCGTAGTAGCCGTCGTCGAGGGGCGGCTTGCTGTCGTCCTTGGGCATGGTGGGCGTGAGGGACATGGCGGCCAGCGATCAAAAGTATTGTGGTGGTTTCAATGACGGGTTTCAATCATGGTTGGCCCGCAGTGCCGTGTATCGTGAAGAGTGAGTGGCGAATGTTGAAGATTTGGGAGGTTTCCATGTCGAAGCTCCATGCTCGGTCCAAAGACGGTGGGGTCAAGTGGTACGAGGTGACATCGACTTGGGGCACTGTGGCTTGGCGGCTTGGCGGCTCACTGACATGTACATACAGGCCAACTGGTACCTCGACACACGTTGGGGACCGAGAGCCGGCTGCCGCATCGGAGCTTGATCCATTGCTGCGGATGCGTGCGACAAACAGGTAGGCCGTTATCCTGCAGTGGTAGGCAAGCGGTACGGCCCCGGACTGGCATAGTCTGGTCCGCGGCCTTCCCAGCAGCCTGCGTACTTGAACAGCCGCGGCCGGACGATCAACTGGTGCCTGTCAGGCGGAGATCTGGAGCATCTGGGGCATCTGGGGCGGGGTATCGAGTACCTGCGTACTGGAGCCATGGCGCCCGCACACCCCGTACAGACTACCCCGGCGCCGACGCGATGTCACTAGGCCCCCGCCCCCTCGTCTTCCCCAGTTGGGGCACCTTTCCCCCGACCTCGGCCTGGGATCTCACCGACACCCGTTTACCGCATTGGCTTCGTCTTTGTTCAAGGTAGTTGCTACAGCAACAAGTATCATGTAGAAGCTGATAATGCCAAATGCCCAAGCACAGGCCACATGAAGAGGGAAATACACCGCTATTTGTCCACGATCCCGTAAACTTCAAAGTCGAGCAAGCAAACGTCAACCGTGTTTCATGTCCCGCAAATGTGGTGACAATCCGTGGCCAAATCCTCATCCTAGTGGGGAACGAAAGCTTATCTCGACTAGGTGCTGATAGCGAAGCCCAGCATGAGTTTCTAGAAAGTACGGCAGGGGGAAGACTAAGCACTTTGTAAATATCTGCCTTTCCAGATCTGCAGTTGTAGCTTCAGGACGTAGGCTAATCGTGTTCTGAAAGCAATTTTGACTCCTGTTTTTCTTTTTTCAACTCCTTCAGCTAATTGGACCGACAACAGCACGCCAATAATAGCAAAATCGCGACTCGAGCTCTCGTTTTGAGCACCATCTACCGGCTTCTCTTATTTGCCTTGAGACCAAGATTCCTGGCAGGTGTATTCGTGGTACTAGACGCCACATTGTAGAATCTACACAATTTAAAGGCCGCCGTCGCAAGTTCGGAAAGTCGGTACCCCCGGGAAACAAGTTCCATCTACGTACACCTGCAACCGTAAAGTGGAAGAAAAAGCCTTTTCCGAGATGCCTGATTTTACTCGCGCTACATCCAGCACTTTCACATGACGCCAAGGGCTACCCTTCTCGACATCGAATCCAGCATCTCAATGCGGCACTTCTGTCTCGATTAGCTAGTCTTGGCCCGTGGCATCATGGCGGGGATGAAGAGGCAGTGCCAATTGTCCCCAATGCTTAACCGAGTTCTGTGACATGTGAAGCTCGGTGACATCATGCAAGAGTGACCTTGGGACGGGTTTGTGACACTTGGAGTTTCGAAGCTGAGGGTGTCGACATTGGCAACGCTAGCTTTTTTTTCTTTCCTAAAAAAAAGTTCTGCATCTGGGAAATCCAAAGGGTGGCTGTGACTATCCAAGTTCAGTCTAAGTCTCAGATGAACCACATTCATCCCTGAAAACGCCCGACGTGGCCCGAAAGAGTGTGCCCAGTCCATCTCGGCTCGTTGGCGTCGCAGTCTAGCCGTCAAGACGTTGTCCCTGCATCTCCTCGGTGGGCTGAATCGTCAGCGCGAGTCGTTGATGCGTTGCGAGTCATGCTGCTGCCCGAGGCGCTCGCTGTATATAGGAACAAACGCAGATAAACGGCCATTGCTATATAAGATTGCCGGGTCTCCCCTCAAGTCACAAAATAGACAAAGAAATCGAGACAGTTGCCGCATTACCAAAATTACCAGGAAATCACCAGCTACCCCCTTCCAAATCGAATAAAATGAAGCAAGTCGCTTACTTGGCTCTCATTGCCGCCATGGCATGCCTTGCAGTATCGTCGCCTACTGGCGCCAAGCCTGGTGAGCAAGCGCCTTTGGCCGACAATCAACGACAAAACATCTAACAGCATACAGCTACCGAGAATACCGACGCCGGAAAGACGGGCAAGGAGATTGGGGAGAGTGCCGGTGTTTTGGGCGACAAAATTGCGGGGGGTAACGGGGGCGAAATTGCAGACGCGTCTCTTGGACTCGCTGGCAGCATCCTCGATACAATCTTTGGTAAAGGCAATAAGGAGGCCAGAGAGGCCTTTGTTCCTCCCGTTTCTAATCCAGAAGCCATCTAAGGGAGACTTGCTGAGCCGGGGAACGTGTACCTCTGACTTCTGGTGCCGTTCGGCGTCATAACTCAATGGGACTGGTCTAAATGCTTCAGGAAACTTTGAGGGGTTGAGATTCAGATACAGGCTCCTCGGTTGATGGATGCGGACCATTGTAACGAACGCATGTCACAAATGTCAGGTACGAGACGTTGGAAAGCTTCACTAGGCACACTTTCAGATAGATGGTATGAATTCCTCTCGCTCAAGTACCTGCAGTTTGAATGTACATGATATCCACATTCACCGGGGTGAGCTTCACTCTGACATATATTGCCCAAGATATTCCCACGTTGCCGACACCTTGGAGTTGGTGGAGCTGAGGTCGAAAGAGGGAATATTGGGCGGCAGCCTTGATGCTACCTTGTCCAAGCCTGAGCCGGACATTGCACAGGCCTGGGCGGACTTGATGTTTGAAAACTATTCTACTGGAGAGGAACTAGTTGGTTGCTATTTTGAGGATGAACTAAGAGACGTGCTGCTGCGCGATTTCTCGCTCCTCTGCCGTTTGTGTCCAGTTTAAGAGATGTCGTCATAGGAAGTAGATTGAGCATTTGATGGAGTAGAAGCTCTGTTTACTTTATTCACGCTTCATGCGTCTAACTTTGCAAAGTTCTTTTCTATTCAGCCTTATTGAGGTTGCGGGCTGACACAACAGCTTATGAAGCCTATTCTCCACCAACGGCTCAGCCGCAACCAATATTTCCAGTCTCGCCAATCAGTCATCGTGAGAGCGAAACTCTCGTCCTTCCAAAAACTGTCCTACCCTGACTATATGCTGCATTCCGCAACGGCAGGAACCCGTCATGGACATCTTTGCGGAACCAGACGACCCTATCCAGTCTACCCAGGAGCAAACGCCATATCTCTGCATCGAGCACTGGGATGGGGGCATGTTTCGCACATACAGCCATAGGAAGCACAAAACGAGCATCATACCAGCGCTGCTGCGGGTGATTCCGGACATGCCCACGGCAGACCAGCCGTACCTGGAGAACCTGTACCCAACCCCGAAGGAGGAGCTCCAGCCGTTTATACAGACATGGCTGTACTTTGGGATGCTCGCCGAACTGCTGGGCCTGAACGAGATCGCGCCCGATGTACGCCTAGTCGAGGAATCTGCCGCCAAAGAGGAAATCTCAAAGCTGCACAAGCAACTGACCCGCGAGGAGAACGGGCGAACCGTTCTCACCGCCACCGAGATCCTGACCTGGGGTCCGCTCTTCCTCGAACGAGTGCAGATGGCGGAGAATCAGTTCGAGAGGCTCGTTTACATACTCCAGTGCCTGCACTACGCCATGGTCATGCTGCAATCTACCCAGGAGAACATCGACCACGCCGTTCGCTACTCCATCGCCGCGCTGGGCGAGCTCTTCACCACGGGCATCTACGCCGCCGCCTCGTCGGCCCAGCCGAGAGTCGTGTTTCCGCGTGAGCTTTCGGGAATCTCCTGGTACAAAGACTACATTTGTCCCGGGGGCGTGGTCGAGAAGAAGATGCTGAGCAACGGCTGGTGCCCCAGCGAGATTGAAAAGATCCGGTCGCAGCTGCAGGGATTGTACACGATGCACTACACGAGCCAGCTGAAGAAACCGACGCCCTGGTTGGACCATTCGAGCTGTGGCAAGACTTTTTGCGACGCGTTTCGCATTGACGTGAGCACATATAAGCCCGTCCATGTACACGACGGTTGTGGGTGCGAGTTCATCGAGGCGGATCCCGCAAAGATGGTGGGCATCTTGAGGAATACGGATGGTTTTCCGCTAGTACGGGTTGAAGGGGACTTGGACGATTTGAAGATTGCGGTTGAGGAGTTTGAGGACGGAGTTTCGTATGTGGCATTGTCGCATGTAAGTTGACCTGACGGCTCGTTGAGGACGACGTATTGCTAATGGAAAGACAGGTTTGGGCGAATGGCCTCGGAAATCCGACTAGCAATTCACTGCCAAGGTGCCAGATTGCACGGATTAGCAAGTTTATAGACGATCTGCCCAAGGCTCCGGGCAGCGCAGAGCCTCCGCGGCTTTGGCTCGACACGTTGTGCTGCCCAGTCGAAGCGGAGAGCAAAATGATCTGCCTCGAGCGCATCGCTGATGTGTACAGGAGGGCGCACCATGTTTTGGTGTTGGATACGACTCTGACCGCATTCAAGTACGAAGGAACCAGCCCTGCCGAGTTGCTAGTCCGGGCGTTTGGCTGTTCGCCCTGGATGAGGAGGCTATGGACACTGCAAGGTATGCGTGCTGACGAACTGGGTATTTTATAAACTGACCGAGTGGCTCGTAAGAGGGCGCGCTTGCGAGGACTCTCCAGATCCAGTATGCAGACAAGGCCGGGAACAATATCACCATGCTGACGGACTTGTGGATGCTTGGCAGCCAAGATTCGCGATACATGCGGATATTCCAGGACGTGCTCAACGAGGTGAAACGGGCCCATATTGGCGAAACCGGCATCACAAGGAGCTGTACACTGACGGCAACAGTTTAACCAACTCCTCGGCTTCAGTCCCAAGACGGGCCCCGAAAACGCCAACCTCCCATGGCAGCAGCCGCAAATCACCACTCTCCAACGAACCCTCAACTTCCGCACCGTCTCCGTCCCTGCCGACGAAGCGCTATGCATCTCAACCCTCATGAAACTAGACACAAGGTACATTGCCGCCGGAAGAGATGCCAGTGATCGCATGAAACGCATGTGGGAAAAGCTATCCGAAGCAAACGGCGGCATATCGGCCCGACTGCTCTTCTACCTGGACGAACAGCTCGACATAGACGGCTGGCGATGGGCGCCGAGATCCCTCCTCGCGTCCGCTGTACACGACCCCGTCCTCAGCACGGACGAGCGTGTCATGCGCTTCCACACAGAGAAGCCGGCCAATGCCTCGGACAATGTCGCTCTAGGAACCCCGACGCCGATAGGGCTCAAGGTACGACTTCCAGGCTATAGAGTTGTGCCGGTGCCGCTTCTGCCGAATTTTCCACTACACGCCTGGCCGGAAGTCATCCACTCCGTGGAGGACAGTGTCATTGCGCAGAGTGAACGGACAGGGCGGTGGTTCCGCATCATCGACTGGTACCGCAGCAGGAAGATAGCCGTGTGGACGCGCGAGCAGCGCCGCGAGCACGACAGGCGCGAGGACAATCCTCTCTGCAGGGCGATCCACACGGGAAAGTGCTGCCTCATCATGGACAAGAAGATTACTCTGGCTGACGGCACCACGGCCAGTTGTCTGGTGCAGGCTGACGAGCTACACGCGCGGGAAGTGCAAGAGGCGGGACACACAGCCGCGGAGAAGCACGTCGCGCTGAAGGCCGTTCGGGAAAGGGCCGTTATTTTGTCCGCGGTAGACGAGAGGGAGGGCAAGATGCTGTCCAAGATTAAAGGTCTGGCGATTTCCCTGGCCGAGGACCCTGTGACAGAGGCGTTTTTGCAGGTGCAGAAGAGCTACGCGCCGGGGCAGGAGGAGTGGGAGGCGGCGGAGCTTGCGGTCCGGAGAAGGATGAAGAAAGTTGTGGAGGAGGCTTGGTACGCGGACGAGGAGTTTCGGCAGACGATGAGGGAGTCTACGGGTGATGATCTGGACGACTATGTGTGGGTGTTTGTGCCCAAGCTGTTTTCGCACGCTATTTGGTTGAGGGAGCTGCCCGAGGGGCAGTTGTGGTTTGTGGATTAGGTGATCCTCAGGGAGAGGTAGTTCGAGAAACTGACGCGATCTGTAGTCAATAGTATGTGATATTGACATGTTGTTGTAGAAAAGTATACCGCTACGAAATGTTAACAAGTCATACAAAGTGCAACTTGTTGATCGGTTTGCCCGCATGACCCGTGTTTGAATTTCCATTTCTGTTTCTAATTATTCCAGGTCGGGGTACAAGTTCATTTGTGCCAGCGGATTATAGTACAAGCAATGCCGTGGTGAGATGTATATGAAACTATGTAGATATAGTATAAAATGTGCTATATTGTCCTATATAATGGGAGAAACATGGCCAATTACTGCAAGGAATTAAATGCGTTTTACAAGACTTAAAATCGTACGGAGCAGCGAGAGTAGAGTGGCAAAATGTATCCAAGCGTCTCCGCCTGACCGCTGTAGACGAAACAGCGTTGTCACGATGTAACTAGGCCAGGCAAAAGGGAAATGCCACACTTCCACTCGTGCCTTCTATACTTAAAACTTGTATGGTTGACCTCTTAGTTGAAGACGCCCTGTATTCTTACCCGTTGACAAGCGTCCTTCCATTCCCCCTCATGTCTCCGAGGCCCGAATACAAACCAAGTGCCCTTGATAGTCTCCAGATTCGATATTTACTACGCGGCATGTTGTCCGCAACCACCACCGTCAAGCCCACGCGTCGTTGAGGGCTCAACGCAAAAACCTGGCCATGATTTCCCTTCAGGTTGCCTGATGAAAATCGCTTATTGACTAATACAGCTTGACGGGAAACTGCCAAGGCACTTTGTCCCTGCTACATCCAGAACCGACGACACATCCTCTGAAAATGCAGCATCGGGAGCTTGGTAGATGTGTCTTAGCTTATGTGGGATTATGTGCCAACGAGGACATCATCTAGGTCACCAACTGAGACATCCAGAAGATTCCAATCAGTTTGCAATGTTCGAACTGGGTTCCAAGGTCCGAAGTAGAAGTTAGCTGACAAAAACCTTCAGATTAGGGACCTAGTCCACACGAAATGCAATCCATAGCTATCAATCGTGATATTGTGAAGCCTCTGCCCAAACCAACCGTAGCCTAACATTTCGATCGCGTGACGTTGATTCAAGCAGCTGGGAAATCGCTGACATTGTAGTAGCACTGCCCGAAGTCACCCTATGCGTCGTAGTTATGTTTATGTCTGTATACCCTTTGAGCTTCTAAAGACTATTCCCCCTTCGCCTTTATGCCATAATCTAGCGTTCATATCACGCAAACTTGTCGAAAGGAGCACTGGGACGCTAGGCGAATCTGTCGTGAAAAACCCGGCTATTTGGTGAAAGGCAAATAGTGGTCCAATGTTGTTACGTCCTTGAAGGTATGTGGCTTTTCGTTGCCTGCTTCTGGATTCCCCAATTGAACTGGATCACGAGCTGAATCTGATTCGGGGAGATGATCAGGGTGTGCAAACGCAGCAACATGACCGCAGCACGTGTGACCACTCAACTTCAATACTTATCTCCCATTTAGGGATTCCATAATCTGAAAATTCTGTATCCCCAAGGTCATGAAGAAAGCTGGCCATTTGGTCAAAATTCGAGGGCGCGCCCCGGTTTGCATGTCTGCCTAGCATCTGCACCCGTCTTTGAGTGCCAGTCTGATTGTTGTATCACAAGAAGCTGATGCAAGAAGTTTGTCGAGCGGTAAAAATAGCACCCTCCCCATACATATGGTACCCAGGACCATAATCTGATATGGACGATGTTAAACTGGCCCATATTACAGCCTCATAATAGAGTGCGTAGAGAAAAGTCCCGACATTTTATGGCCAGTCTATTATTGTAGTACCGTCAACTTGAAAAGCTAGTGTCTTTTGCTAGATACAATAATGCCCAGTTACCATGTCTCAACATCAGTCCGCCCGTGACCAGGTGTACGAGGGAGGGGACCGACAAGACCAGACCGTCTTCTTCACCTCGACCTCTGACCGCTACCGCAGCTTTTACCTCCATATCAGCCCATGCTTCCTGTACCTACTCGGGCTTCCGCGTAGTAAGCCAGTAGCCTATGAAAGCTAAAATTGGCAGACCGACGAGGGGACAGATAACCGCGAAAAATGTCCATCCTCGACTGTCAAAAATATCAGACCGTCCGTAAATGGCATGCGCTCCACCGAGTATACGCGGGAAGGAAGAGATCACTGCCGGGGGCATTTTGCGTCTGGGAACTTTGACTATATGTCAGTATTGGATGTTGTGTCTATGTTGAAGAACGAGTCAAGTATACGGACTTTATCTAGTGGAGCAAAGTATCGGTTCAGAGTATCGATTCAGAGTATCGGCGCAAAAATAGACACACATTATCTGAAAGAGGTGAGATTCGGAATGGTGAGAAGCTTGTTCGATGAGCAGTTGAAGCGACGGGAAAACAGTACAATGTAAAATGCTCTAAAGTCTCCTCTCTAGCTATATACCTGTGATTAAAGGCTCTTCTTTCACTGTAGACAAAGCCTCTCTCTAAGAAGCCATGAACCCCTTCTTGGGATGTGCATACAAAGGCAAATTCTCTTTCTTTGCCTCAGCCTGAGCAGCTGACAGGGACTTGCAGAACATGAATCAATTGTTTTCTTTTTTTGGCGCTCACCCCCGTGGACCTTGAGAGTCTTGTCCATGCAGTTCAGCAGGTCACACGCCGTCCCCCTTCGAGTTTGACTGCGCATCCCCCCTTCATTGACTGCTGCATAGATGGAGTCAGAGTCTATGATCGAGACGGCCTCTGCTCCGACTCCGAGTTTTCCTGTACTTTGCAGCCAGTTTTCATACTTTTTTTGATGCCAACTTGGCCCTTGCCATGTGTGGAAGCAAAGCTGCTGCCGCTGATTAATTTGAGCCCTTTGAAGCTGTGAAATTTGAGCATGTTGAACCCTTTCATTTCTTCTCCCAAGGCCTTGCTGGGGCTTGTGTGATGGGTGTCACACGGTTAGACCACAACAAAGGCGTTGGGCCAACAATGGTTACACGACAACAAAGAAGGTATCACGAGACCCAAGGTCGAACCTTTTGAGAAGTGCCTCAGGCCTCCAAGGTTTCACCGATGATGACGAAGAGATTCGGTCAATTAAATAGCATTGGCTCAATGGCATTCATTGGCTATAGCCTACCGGCCAGCAAAGGGGGCTTTGACTTGCATGGACTGGCTAAGGAAAAGAAATTTTGACTGCCGGAGGACCTGGAGAGAAGATTTAAGACGGCACTATCCAGTCTTGTTAAATTCCTCGGTCACGTTTGCATTATTGGAGTATCTAGGCCCTAAGCAGTCTTTTGGCCGATACCAGGTCCAGGACCCGCGTAACCCTAACCCCACTCATTCAGGCACCAGGAAGACGGCCCAGACTGGCCTGGGGTCAGTTCAATGTGACCACATGCAATGTTTCATTGAACCTCCCAGAGTCTCCCTTGAAAATGCAACCTTGGATCTTGGGGAAGCGGGGGTCCCTCAGACCAAACACCCGCGCCGCGATGCAACACAAGGCCGATTGACCTATTCAATGAGCAGGTTTAACCTCTATTGACTCGAGACACTTCGTCGCCCATCGTCACAGTCCCGGACGTCGGCATCACGGCCTCCCACCGCCACCATGAAGTCTTCACTCCTCCTCGCCATGATTCCCGCCGCCATCGCGCACACGCCAGACTTCAAGACCTCAGAAGCCGGCAACCCGTTTGTCGACGGATTCTATGCCGACCCGGATAATGAATTCTACAACAACCAGTACTGGGTGTACCCGACCTCCTCGTACGAATATGACAAGCAGACGTATCTCGACGCCTTCTCGTCGCCAGACCTCGTCCAATGGACCAAACACGCCAATATCCTCGTCGCCTCAGACTTCACGTGGGCACGCCGCGCCGTCTGGGCACCCGCGCCCATCTCCCGCAACGGAAAATACTACCTGTACTTTGGCGCCAACGACATCCAGACCAACTCTGAACTGGGCGGAATCGGCGTTGGCATCTCCGACCAGCCCGAGGGGCCGTACAAGGATGCCCTCGGGAAGCCGCTCATCGGGCAGTATTACAACGGTGCGCAGCCCATCGACCAGGACGTCTTCATCGACGACGACGGCCAAGCCTACATCTACTACGGCGGGCACGGACACGCCAACGTTGCCAAGCTAAACGAGGACATGGTGACCATTGGCACCTTTGACGACGGCACGTCGTACCGGGAAATCACGCCCGAGAACTACGTCGAGGGGCCGCAGATGATGAAGCGCAACGGCACGTACTACCTGTTCTGGAGCGAAGGCGGCTGGGGCGGGCCAGACTACGCCGTCTCCTACGCCATGTCGACATCGCCCACCGGCCCGTTCAAGCGTCTCGAAAAGATCTTGCAGCAGGATCCAGCCGTGGCCAGCGGCTCGGGGCACAACGGCGTCATCCACGTCCCCAACACCGACATCTACTACATCGTGTACCACCGGCACCCGCTCGGCGAAAACATTGACGCCAACGACCGGCACCTCGCCTACGACCGGCTGTACTTCAACGCAGACGGCACCATTCAGCCCGTCCGGATGCTGGTCCACGACAACTTCAACGACGGCAACATGATAGGGTGGACGACCTACGGCGGATCCTGGGACGCCAAGACCAACGCCCTCAGGGCTGGAGCCTCTGCCGGCGGCAAAGCACTGCTCAATACAAACTTTGGCGATGTCGACTTCTCCGCCGACGTCAAGATGCCCTCTGCCAACGGCGGCGACGCGGGCCTCGTGTTTCGCGCATCGACGCCTGCGCTGGGGACGGATGCGTACGACGGATACTACGCCGGCATTGGCACGTCTGGGAAACTGGTGCTGGGCAGGGCGGAGGGCGGTTCGTGGACGCAGCTGGCGTCTGTAAAGGCCGACGTCGTCCCTGGCAAGACGTACCGCGTGAGGGTGACGGCGAAGAAGAACGCAATCAGTGTGTACGCGGGGGACTCGACGTCTGCGCAGCTTCATGTGCTGGAGGGGACTTTTGGAAGCGGCATGACGGGGGTCAGGGTGTATCAGACGGATGCCGTGTTTGACAATGTTAGGGTTGAGCATTTATGATTTATAGCAAGAGATGCTTGCCTATATGGAAGAATGCACTGATTGTGAAGTAAATTGTGCACGGAGCGTGTTTTGTTGCTATAGCAAGCACGTGATAATAAAAAGTAGAAGAAGTTTTAGTATATATTAGTATATATTAGTATATATTAGTATATATTAGTATATATTAGTATATATTAGTATATATTAGTATATATTAGTATATATTAGAAGCCTTTTTAAGGCCTTAATTTACGGGCGTTTAGTAATAATAATAATAAAAAGATCAAGTTTATTATAAAAAATCCCGTAAATTTAATCTCTTCTATACCCGGTCAAGGGCTCCGGCAAGCCCTTTACGACCCTAACAATAACCCTTAATTGTGATGTTGACCCTTTTTTGACCCAACACGCTTGTCCCCATCTTATGTAATGGAGACGATAAAATAGTAATAGCGATAAACCCGTGTATAAACCCATGGGCTCGTGCCTCTTCCAATCAATCCAAACTTCCTCTCCTCTCCGTTCCTGCCCCGACTAAGTCGCTCGCACTTATTCCACCGGACGCCCCCCAACACTGGACAATATATATTTCGTCGCCTGAACTTCTGCATTACAAGACCAGTACATTCGATCTTGCCGTTTCTTCATCGGATCATTGTCCGGCTGGGTTCGCGAGCGCCTAGGCGCCTCCACAATCGATGCTCTGTCAAAGTCGATGATCATTATGCGCTTCGTATCAGGGTTGTATAGCATATTGGGATCTCGTATATCGTTGTGGATAACACCTTTGCTGTGCATGGCTCGAATTGCCTGACACGCCCCATCCGTAAGTCGCTTGTCAAGGCCACCGGGCAGCTCAAGGCTGGATAGTGTGCGGCCGCCCCATGAGAAGAATGTGACGTGTACGATGTAGACGCGGTGGTCATAGTAATAGATCTTGTTCATGGGCCGGAGGTCAACCGTCCCCAAGAACACAGGTATACTGGTGCCTTGCATGTCCTGGAGACGCTTGTAAACGGCAGCTTCGTGCCTAAGGTACTTGATAAGAGGCGCCGGAGTCCCCTTGCCGATAAAAGTATACCCGTAGCGCAGCATGGTGACTCGGAATAGCGCGCCAGACGCTCCGCTGATGTTCAGGTTTGTAATTCCATCATCCAGAGACTTTTCCCACTGTTCTCTAAGAAGTTCAAGCCACGTAGCGTGGTTGACAGGGTGATAGGCCTTCGCCTTCATACCAGACGGGGCACGTCCAGCCCCCATGTGTCTAGACACGTTGGGACAGCGCGTATCGAGGAAATCGCCATTAACTAACCCAATTAAACATTTCTGGGTGCAATACTGCTCGCCGCGAGTAGAATTTTCGCTTGATGCGGCCCCTCTTTGCTGAGAAGTGTTCTGGCGTCCCCGGGCTGCACGTCCTCGGGTAGCGCGTCCTCGACTCCTTGTCCGCCGTACAGAAGGACTGGGCGAACCTGGGGAATCTTCTTCTGCTTCGTCGTCGGAACTCGATGGAGAACGTCTCCTGGCTGCTTCTCTTGCCGGCCTATTCGCCCCCACTGGCGGTTTGGGATTTGAGCGAAACACCTCCGGCGTCCTGTCAATATTGCCATATGTCGATGGCTTATAAGGCGTCTTGGGTGTAGATGATGAGGCTGTACTAGGAGTCATGTTGCGAAGAATTTCATTGTCATCATCGCAGTTCCACTTTTGCAGACGACTTTTGACACTTTCACGCATCCCCTGGTTCCGTACCCGCTCTTGGTCGCGCTCGTTCAGGGCCAGCAGGATGAATGACAACCATTGACTGACAGCGGTGCAAGAGATGAGCTCAGATTGGAAGGGGGCCTCTTCCTTAGGCTCAGCCACGTGATACAAGACTGTGTCTGGAGAGTTCCAGTCGACCTTGAGAAAGACTGTTGCCTCGCCATTGGTTAGAATCCCGTAGCTCACACCACCCTCGATCATGTAATGGTAAGTCTGTGTGATGGCAGCAGCCGTGAGCCTTTTGGCCCAGTATTCGTAATGGCCCTGTGCATCTTCTTCCTTTTTCGGGACATTTGGGTTGTTGACAATATCTTCGAGAATATCCATCTCCTGTCGCAAGCCGGCCCGGATATGAGCTGTGGTAAGCTTCTGGGGAGCCTTGTACTCCTCGATGAAGAGCAGGTTGCGCTCTTCCATGGACGCGGCCTCATTGACATGTCGATACACACAGATCTGATCTGGCCTGAGTTTTTGAGAAAATGTTGAACGCGGACGCGCCGGTGTTGGCGATGCAGGAACACGATTGTCGTCTCCCAAGGCCACGTCGCTGATGGCGCTCGGGTGGTTTTCAAATATTACTCCTGCCCCTATGCTATATCGATCCACAAGGATGTTCTTCAGCGCCAATTGTTCCACGATGATTTGGACTGGATTTTCTATGGCGAGATGCATAAAAAGTTCGAGCATCTTTTCGCTGGCAATCGGTTTATCGACCACTGTGCCGATACTAGACACCCCATGCTTTGAACTAAAGAGTCGCTCGTCCAGGGGGAAAGATCCAAGCAGTTCGCCTAAGTGATGCCTCTGTTCGGTCAAGAAACCTGTCCATGGCACGACATTTTTTGGGCATGTTTTCCCTTTTGGATCTGTAATAGATCCTCTTGATGTCAATGATCTGTTCTGTTACACGCTGAACTTTAAGAAGATATCGTGGTAAGCCTCGATATATTCTTTGAGGGTGGTGTTCCGCATTTCTCCGCGAAATTGCTCGGCTTCCAGACGACTTTGCTCAGCTTCCACACGACTTTGCTTAGCTTCCACACGACTTTGCTTAGCTTCCACACGACTTTACTTTAAAAGCCTTCTGAGCCTTTCAATTTCTGATTCCTCAGCCATGGCGATGGTTGGTTAAGCTTAGGAAGGCCACCGGCGAGGCCTGTCGTTGAGGAAGGGTGACTTGGTTGTCGCGTCGCCGTGTTCGTTAAGTGGTTATGGGTCAGGTACGCCTCAGGGTGCCGCCTAGTAATCTATATCAAGAATGTCAGCCAGGGAGGTTTTCTTATAATATTTTATATAAACTTATATACCTAAGTATATATTAATATATTTAAGTATAAATTAATATACTGAAATATATATTAATATACCTAAGTATAAAATAATATACTTATATATAGTAAGCATATATTATAACTTAACGTACCTGGGCTTTTATAGAAATAAGTATATATATTAATACTCCAATACTGAGGAATACAGGAGGATATGGTAAATCAACACAGTATCGCACAATATGGCAATAGCTCGGAGCATCAATAATCACAGTATTAGCTGTGATGAGACAGTGTTGGTGAAAGAAAGGAGGATAATCCGCGCTGCTTGGTGACCCTGAAGAACGAATTCGAAAAGTCGAAAGAAATGCGGTGGGAGGACGACCCCTATTTATCTTGGCCGGAAGCATGCTCGCTACCAGCTGCTTGAACCCACAGCAAAAGACACCCAAAGTCACGATTCACAAACACGATGTGAACAGCCTCAGTTTACCGTTAGACGTCGACTCTTGCGGCCAACTCGGTGTGTTTGAATGTCAAGTGATGTGCGATTGAAGCGCATAGGCCAAGTTTTCCAGTCCATTCTGCAGCCGTGACGCGTCGGTTGGGTCTCAAGGCGAATGAATATCGTGTGTGGTTTTGCCCGGACCAGAAAGCAAGTGTATGAATGGGCCGTGCGTATGGCAGCCTACTAGTACCAACCAACCAAAGCGAGCGCGTCGCGATTCCAGGGCGTTGAACATTTGTACGACACGAACTCTTCGACTTGCTCTTTCTAGCCGGGATGCGGCCTCGACCGCATATTGCACAAGGCCCGTGAGTCCGCGACGCTGCCTTGTGGACTCGTGACATGGCGAATATGCATCTCTCCACAGAAGCTGCTTATATTTAGCAAGTGGGAGCAAGTTTTTTCTTCGTGTGTCACCAGTTCTACGCAGCCAGAGAAGTCACCTTACCCGGAGAGCATGTGTGTTGGTCGTGTTCAGTAGTCAAAACCCTCACTCTAGTCATGTTTGAACCTGGCTGAAGGTGAGCCCCGTCTACCTGCTGCACCTGCTGCCAACTGATTTCAATGTCGGGCACAATGAAAAAGTAGCTTATTGGTTGTCTCTGCGTCTGCTGCAATCTCGAATTTGGGAACGTTGGTCCACAGAGTAGGTCCGGGCTCGTGAAAACTCTCCGGCTTGGTGAATCTGTTGGCGCTCTCAGGGCAGACGCCAAGTCAAGCATCACACAACCAACAGAAAAAAATCCAGAATCAGCGTCTCCTCAGCGGCAGTTGCAGGCCAAGATATGTGACTAGTCATATTCTGCGAGGCATCGTCCGCACTGCGCAGCCTTATCACGAAGGTTCACTCGCAGCCTTGTTACAACTTGGCAAGACACCAATAGCTGGCCACGTTCAAGTTCCCCCAGCAAGCGTGGGCTTTGTGGTAGGACGTGAACAAGGCAGCACAAGATGAACTCGAAACGTAGACATGTGATTCATGTCAATATGTGGCCAGTGCTGCTGTGCCCGTGCTGTGCCATGGAGAACGGGGCCGAACCTTGACTGCATGGGGGCAGTTGGATATGCTGATTTGTGTTGTGACTGTCGTCTCCTGCGGACCCGTTTATTCGGCCACTATCGACGAAGAGGATGTCGAGATCGTTCTTGCCGTATATCATGTTGGCGACAAACATGGCCAACAAAGCCCATACTGCAGCGATACCAGAGAGTGAACGGTGGGATGAATTATGGATGTTCTCGTAACAGTAGGTCCAGGTATCGATTGATCGCATGTCCCGGGTATTGCATATTATGACGGCGCTAAAACCAAGTGGGCATGGGGGACTCCACACACCAGTGAACAACTTGACTCAACTTGTCTGCCCTCTCCAACTCAACAGTTGTGCCATCAGCCAGCCCTCTACACAAACCATCGTCAACACAGTGTTCTTGACTCGAGATTGCGACACGGCGCCTCGACTGTTTCAACGAGACCGCGGCTCCGTCTCAGACCGGGTCTCCCAGAACCGACTTTTGACAACATCTGCGGTACATCACCTCACCACAAGGCCGACGTTGCAAGGACCAGACCCATCTTCCCCGGATTTCCCCCCCTCACCTCACCTCACCTCCATGCCGAGTCCCGATATCCACATCCTAGGAACAGCACGTGTGTGTCTAAACCACCTTGTCACAGCGTGTGAAAAAGGCCACAAATGGCCACCAAGGTACAGACAGCCCCCAGTCGTCTGTCACCATCTCCAGAATACAAATCCAAGTCATCTCGAAACAGCCCTCGCTCTCGCAACGGATGTTGGACCTGCCGCACCAAAAAGGTCAAATGCGACGAAGTACGGCCAAAATGCTGCCGCTGCCTTCGCCTCAAGCTTCTCTGCGACTACTCACCGCGCATGAAGCAGAGCACGGCCAACCGAATACTCGGCGACAACAGCAAGGCCGTCACCAGGTTGTCCCAGAACCCTCCATGTGCGCCCAAGCTGCCGATACCCATGTCTGAGCTGGCGAACAGCGCGTCCTCGATCGATCTGACGTCTGCAGATCACGAGGCCATTCGATATTACCGCACCACCTTTGCCAGATTACACCACACAAAGAATCCCGACTACGGCCTGTACGCCGTCATCTTCAGCATCGCCGAGAGGGAACCCATTGTGATGCGCGTCGTCCTCGCCCTCGGAGGCCAGGAACTCGAATTCCGGAAGCGGCGCTCCGAAGAAGAGCTGGCTGGGACATGCACCGTCACGCCCTTGCACCACTATGCGGCGGCCCTGAGAATGCTGGCCGAGGCCGTGGACGGCAGCCCCGGACCCGACGGTCGGCAGCTGGACCTGGACGCCATCCTGGCAGCCATCTTCCTGATGCTCTGGTATGAGCAGAAGTTCGGCGACGCGTCCTGCCGCGGCTTCGCCAACCATCTGGCCGGCGCGGCGCGGGTCGTCGAGCATCGTTGCCGCAACGACGTCTTCAAGCGTGCCCTGCAAGAGCCCATGCGCCAGGAAAAGACGCTGGCCCTGGTGCGGATGGGCGGTGACACCCGGGACAGAGAGAGCATACTTTCCCAGTTCTCCGCCCGGATGCTGAGTCATCTCTGTATATACGACAGCATGGCTGCTGGGTATGGCCTGGGTGGCCGCCTGGTCGAGATGCTGAGCCAGGCGCTGGCGTTCAGCAACAGCACGTTGCTGTATGCAGACAAGGTGGATTCGCTGCATGGGTTCTCGTACGGACTCTACCGCGTCGTTTGGGCGCAGGACTACCCGCAGGAGGAGATGCTTGACGACCTGGAGAACCGCACAATCTACTGCCTGGCCTCGACGGTTGTGCAGCTACGATTCATGATTTCTCGCCTGGAAAATCTTGGCGTCGAGGCAGCCAGGGCGTGCCTCGCCGAGATTGAGGCCGTGTACGAAGCTACTCATGACAAGTTCGAGGAAATCTTTGGCATCGCAGACGCCCTCTCGCCCAGTTTTGACAGCGCAAACCGCCTAGTCGCCAACATCCGCCAGATCGTGCCGCAATACTACGGCACCCAAATCCAGCTGGCGCGTGCTGTCCGCAAGCTGGGACTGCGGAGTAAGCTGCCGGCCGAGGAGTTTGTCGGACTCGTCATGTCGCTGTGCACGCAGGCGCTCCGGCATAATGGTAACGATGCCATGCTCAGCGTGGCCAATACCCTATTCGTGGCGGCCATTGAGACGAGCGACGCCTCTCGCAGAGATTGGTTCACGGCCAGGTTTCAGGCACTCTGCGCGTATGGGTGCAACTATGCCCGCGCCCATCGATTGCTGGTGCGCGCCTCGGCGACCAGGAGTCGAAGCGGCATGGCTGGTCCCCTTGGCGAAGAGGAGGTTTCCGCCGCCATGTATTCTGAAAATGGAGACGTCGAAAGATTTGTCATCTGAGGAGGCGTTTCTGGAATGCTTTGCATCACAACCCGCTTGTCCAAGGTTCAGGGGCTTGACACCTCCAAGTCGGGCGCTGCATCGACGTAGCTATCTAATTGCCGGCTGATGCGCATCATGACGTGTACCAAAATTGCGTGGTGCATTGAGCGTAGACTAGCTTTGTATATTTGATCAAGGTGACTAACCCAGACCATGTCGTGTGCATGTAAGCCAGAGGAATACTAGTAAAAGTACGGAAAAGCATCAAGATGGAAGCAATACGCAAGCCATATTGCGTGAACGAATGCCACTCTGAGAAACGCTCACTGTAATCATGCGTCGAGTTGGCTTCCCGACGCTTGGCTACATTACCATGTCGTTATCAGGTTGACAGCCACGGGATGCACGTGCGATCGGGTAACTACCTAGTGCAAGGGTGGCTAACCTTTGAAGGTTGTAGAATTACATGCATGCATATGTACTGCGGTGCGGGGAATGGACTTGATGTGTCAACTGGCGGCGATATACCGGACTACTTGGAAGATGCATGTCAAGATTCTGTAGGTGACAACTGACAAGTGCGGTTTCGATGCCCTGCTTGCATTAATGCCTCTGATATCATGTTTGCTACGGAGTACCGCATGTACATGTATGTATTCAATACAGTGCTCACGGCTTGGACTGCTACCTGCAATGTAACCTCGAGTGCTACTCCAGTACGTACAGTATGTAGCTTCCCATCAGTTCTCCACGCCAATCATGCTCACCTCTCCGCGTCATCTCAGCAAGGGCCCGTCCAAAAACTTACATGTTTGAGATAACATTCCCCCACCACCATCTCGCGGCCGGGCATCGGGAGCGCATCTCCGCCAGTCAACTTTTGGTGTGGCGGATAGCAAGATTGACTACTTGCCGCCTCGGACAGTCTGTGTGACGATGCAACGTCGGGGTCGCCCATGGCGCGATGTCAATCCAGAGCAAAGTACAAAAGGCGCATGATGTCTCAGTCTCGTTGACCTCAAGTGCTGTCTTGCTGGAAATGCGCGAGGCTGGACGCCCACCATTACATCGCGTACGATTTGCGCCGTTGCCTCGACTTTCTTCTCTACACCTGCGTGCCTACAATTTGGTGCCCGCTCGGCCACTGCTGATCATTGATGCTTTTGCAAGCGGTTGCTGTTACTACGTCGTCACCTACGGGCCTCAAGGAACCGGATCTGCCACCAGCATCACCACGCTGACAACGGCATGGCGGAAAAGGTCGACACGGAGCGCGGCATGCGCAGGTCGCCGGCGGAGGAGGTCAAGTTTGGTGACATTTCCAACGAAGCTCTTACCCCGGAGGAGGATAAGCGGATACTGAGGAAGATTGACCGATGGTATGTTCATCACCCGACTGTGCTTTACGCCCGATGGCGTGGCAACTAACGCCCCGCGATTCACAAGGCTTCTCCCCGTCATGGCACTCTCCTACCTCTTCCAGTTCCTGGACAAGTCGGCCCTGGGGTTCACCGCCATCATGGGCCTCCTGACGGACCTGCGCCTCACGGGCGAGGAGTACTCGTGGTCAAGTGGCATCTACTACTTTGGCTACCTGGTCGCCTCGTACCCGGCGGCCATGCTCATGGTGCGCTGGAAAGTCGGCAAGGTCATCACCATGTCGGTGTAAGTCTCTCAACCGCCCCTCAGGAACCCAGCCTCCGCTAACCACTGCGGCAGCCTCGTCTGGGGCGCCATCCTCATGCTCACGGCAACCGCCTTCAACGCGGGCTCCCTCCTCGCGAACCGCTTCTTCCTAGGCGTGACCGAGGCCTCAATCGCGCCGGGCCTCACCATCGTCGTGTCCATGTGGTACAAGCGCTCCGAGCAGCCTCTCCGCCACGCGGCGTGGTTCCTGGGCAACACCTTTGCCGGCATCTTTGGCGGCCTCGTCGCCTACGGCATCGGCCACGTCGAGACCATGGCGCCCTGGAAGGCCGTGTTTCTCACCTTTGGCGCTGCGACGGTCGCCTGGTCCGTCGGCATATACTTTCTCCTGCCGGACACGCCCATGGAGGCGAGGTTTCTCAGTCGGCAAGACAGAGAAAAGGCCGTGCTGCGCGTCAAGGAGAACATGACGGGCATCAAGAGCGACAAGATCAAATGGGGACAGGTCAAGGAGGCCCTGTTGGATGCGAAGACGTGGCTGATTGTCGCGCTGCTGCTGGCCTCGTGTATTCCCAACGGGGCCGTGACTACGGTACGTTAAAGGCACAGCGCAATCGAGCCGCCGGGATGGTGTACAGCTGACTCTTTTTTTTTGGTTCTAGTTTTCGGCCATTGTTACTGAGGGCTTTGGCTTCAGCACCTTTGATACCCTGCTTCTCAGCTGCGTCACCTTCCTCCTGCAGCTGGTGCTGGTGCTCTTCGCCACCTGCGGAAGCGGCTACTTTGCCAACTCGCGGACCTACTTCATGGCGTTCAACTACGTGGTTGGCGTGGCTGGCGCGGCCATGGTGCGATATATCGCCGCCGAGAATAAATGGGCGCGATTCGTTGGCACTGTACTGGCGGGCGGGTATAGCGGCAACTTTCCATTGACCGTGTCCCTCGTGTCCGGCAACGTTGGGGGCTTCACAAAGAAGGCGACGGTGAATGCCATGGTATGTTTGTATCTTTTTTGGTGGTTGTTTTGACACTTTTGCTAACGGGGGGTTGGGAATTAGTGCTTCATGGCCTATTGCGCCGGCAACATCATCGGTCCCCAGCTCTTCTTTGCACGCGAAGCGCCGGAGTATCTGTCGGGGTTTTTGGCGCTCATGATATGTCTTGCGATGGGCTTCGCCTTGTGCTGGGCCATTCGGTTCCATCTCATGTGGGAGAATAGCCGGCGAGATCGGGTGGTCAGCGCGGACGAAGTGGCCGCGTTTGAGGAGGCGCGGCATGGCGTCATGGTGAACTTGACTGACATGACGGACAAGGAGATTCCGCAGTTTAGATATGTGTATTAGTCGGTGGGGAGGGGCGGGGATGTTGGTGAGAGTGGCTTAGGAAGGACACTGCTCTATCCTTGTTGTCATGTGTGAATTGATGAAGATTGATGCATGTATTTTTCAAGTTGGCGTGACGGCGGGTCTTGATGGCAGCTCGGAACAAGGAGCCCCACTTGACACTTCTCCGAACGCCGGCTCCAACCGGCAACCTCATCAGAGTCATCACCAGACTCACCACCCGAACCTCACCCTCCACAACCCTCAAATATCTCACTCTGTCGCCAAACTCCCCATCTCCTGCCCACCCCCCCCCCCGCCACTGGCACATCAGTCTCACACCCTCTCATTTCAGTCATCCTCCCAGTCAAGTTTGCAGCCCCGGCCCCCCCGGTCCCCCGCTCCTCTTCACCCATCCCAGTCGCCATCATGGCCACCGACAACAAAGCGCACCTCCTCCCGCCGTCCTATAAAACCCAAATAACCGCCTGGCTGGCCGAAGACACCCCCACCTTCGACTACGCCGGCTTCGTCGTCGGCGAAGTGCCCCGGCGCGCCACCCTCCTCGCCAAGTCGCCCGGCATCCTCGCCGGCGTCCCCTTCTTCACCGAGGTCTTCGCCCAGACGGGCTGCAGCGTCGAGTGGCACCACGCCGAGGGCGCGCCGCTGGACCCGTCGTCCTCGCCCGGCGGCAAGGTCCAGGTGGCCACGGTGGCCGGCCCCGCGCGCGGCATCCTGCTCGGGGAGCGCGTGGCCCTCAACACGCTCGCCCGCTGCTCCGGCGTGGCCACCCAGTCGCGCCGCGTCGTCTCGCTGGTCCGCGGCGCCGGCTACGCGGGCGTCCTGGCGGGCACGCGCAAGACCACCCCGGGCTTCAGGCTCGTCGAGAAGTACGGCATGCTGGTGGGCGGCGCCGACGCCCACCGCATGGACCTGAGCGCCATGGTGATGCTCAAGGACAACCACGTCTGGAGCAGGGGCAGCATCACCGACGCCGTGCGGGCCGCCAAGGCCGTCGCCGGCTTCAGCGTCAAGGTCGAGGTCGAGGTGCAGAGCGAGGAGGAGGCCGACGAGGCCATTGCCGCGGGCGCCGACGTCGTCATGCTGGACAACTTCACTGGCGACGGGGTCCGCGCCGCGGCGAGGTCGTTGAAGGAGCGCTGGGCGGGGAGGAGCTTCCTGCTCGAGGTTTCGGGGGGGTTGACGGGCGACAATGTCGAGGCGTATGTCTGCAATGGTGAGTTTTGCGTCGTGCTTTTGTGTTTGTTTTCTGCTTCTTGTCCGTGGTCGTGATGCGATGGGCAATGCTGACCGTCTAGACGTGGATATTATTTCAACCAGCTCCATCCACCAGGGTGTGCCGCACGTCGACTTTTCTCTCAAGATTGAGCACTGAGCAGCCGTTTCAGGGGGCTGTAGATGGGGGGCATCGTCACTCTGTTCAACTATTCAAACTAAATGTATATTTATACGCCCTAGCGGCTGTGCAATCTTGTCTGTAACATGTCCTGACCAGCATCTCGGTACACGGCGTAAAAATGCCCTGTTCATGATTTACGTGCCATTCCTTGCTTCACTTTGAAGTTTGAACCCTTGACACTCTGCGCCAGGCCGGCTTCCTTACTCCCCCCCCGCTAGCCATGAAGTCCCTGGATCCTTCTACGCAGAAGCACACCCGTTGCCGTTGGCGACTCGGTTGGTCCCGCAGCATGGGACAAGCACACTCGACTCATTCTTCTTGGACGGAACATCAAGAGCAGGGTTTGCCTCGAAAAAGTCCACGGGGCGAAGGTGAATCTGGTACATCTCTATGGGCCTAGTCGATGTCAGAGCGCGTGCGAGCAACAACCAATCCCACGGGAAAGGAAAAAAACTTACATGACCGGCCAGTCCTCCACGCGGGGATTATGCGTGAGGCCATACACGGGCCAAACCACAGGCGAGCTCCTCTGTCCGTGTCCATTGGCGCCGCTTGGCTTCCCTTCCTCCGTGAACCAGTCCCCCCGGCGAACCATGTCACCGATGCCTCCGGCCTCCGCGCGGCTCTGGTTAGTAAACTCCCCCGCGACCCAGAACTCGCCGTCCCGGTACCCGGTGACCCAGGCGTTGTGCCGCGCAAACTGCGCGCGCTGGGAGAGGACGCTCTCCTCGTCCGCCAGCATCATCTGGGTAGCCGGCGCGACGAGCTTGTACGCCAGGTTCCTGCCCGAAACGGCATTCTTCCTGTCGGGGTTCTCCATCTTCAGGGTCCGGTTCAGTCTCGGCTCGGCGTCGACGTGCGTCGGCCCGTCGACGACGCGGCGCCTGACCTCGTACAGGTTGCCGTGGGGGTTGGTCGTGGGGTTTTTCCTCACACCGTGGCTCTCCTCGACGACGACCTGGGTGCCGCGGTACGAGTCGATGGCCGGGTCGATCCGCGCGGCAAAGATGTGCTGGTGGTTCTGGGCGAGCACCCCGGGGGCCACCACGTTGCCGTAGCCGCTGGCCTTGTCCTCGTCAATGGCCACGACGCTGAGCATGCCGGTGGCGCGCGTCTCGAGGGTAATGCCCCCCGCTAGGTCGAGCTTAAAGGCAAAGATGTACTCGTAGTTGGCGAGGGTGCAGATAAACTGCACGACCAGCTCTCGGGCCCGCGCTACGACGGCGTTGTTGGTGCGGAAGTTGGTGTGCTTCCAGAGGATGCCTTCGTCGGCCTCGTGGATGCAGACTACGGATTCTGCTGGCATGGGCGATCCGTCGGGGCCGCTGAGCAGAGAGTCGATGTAGTGGATGGCGCCGAGACAGTCGCATCCGAGGGTCAGGTTGTTGGCCATGCGGCCGACGCCGCCGTCGCCAAAGTCAAACGCCTGCTTGCGGTGGAACGGCGGCCGGGGGTCGGCGTAGGGGACCGTCAGCTCGGAGAAGCTGAGGCGGTAGAAGACCGGGCGGTTCTGGTAGCACACGTCGTGGAGGACGGCGCCCTCGCGAGGCGTGAAGCCCACGCGGAACCGCCACTTCTGCCACTCGATGAGGCCGTCGTCTTGGATGGTGAAGGACGCGCCCTCGGGCTGGACGACGTTGAGGGGCTTCAAGTCGGTCCGCATCGGGTGCTCGAGAAGCTCGGGGATCCATTCCGCCGGTTTGGACTTCTCAAACAGCTTCCTGGGCTTCTCGCGGCGAGGGACGGGGTCCAGGCCGTCGTCGCTTCCGCCGGTGGCCAGCCTGTCTACTCGGATCACCTTCTTGGTGACCCAGTCCATGACGGGGATGATGGGGACGGGATAGCTATAGTGGTTGGTGTCGGGGTGGTTCTTCCTCGCGTCGTGGGCAAACACCAGGCCCTGCATGAGCCTGGGGTCGTCGTCCTTGTCTGACGGGCCATGTGGCCACGGATCAATGCTGAGCTCAAAGCCCTCGGGGAGAACAAATTCCGTCATGGCCTCCTTGAACATTTCCGACGCCACGCAGTGGTCAAAGAACTGGGTAAACTCATCACTCCATGGACATTCATGTCAGTCACTGTGATGCTGTCTAGACTGGCGGATGAAAAAAAAAACTGCAATATGACTCACGTGGTAAAGTAGGGATACGAATGAGGTGGTGCAGTATCGCTGCGAACCACCTTTGCAGCATCCAAATCGACCACGGCCCTCACAAGCTCATGCCTATCCACCTTGATAAGGTCATACTCGACATGAGCCTGTCTCGCTGGCCGAGGCGTGTCTGCCGTCAGACTGCCCGCATGCTCAGCTTCCAGGTACGGAATGAGAGACTCCTTGCTCGGCTCCTCGAGATTTATCTGCCTAAAGTACAGGGACTGAGAGCTGCCATACTGCTTGACAATGATGTCTCGTGCCTTCGTGAACTCGTCGGCCGAGAGCTGTGTCAGCGGATGGGGGCCAGCAGCCACGGCGGGGTTGGAGTGAACCGTCATGGCGATTTGTATTCTTGAGTATGGTTGGTCAGATGCACGCCGGTATCCCAAGAAAGCAGAGGATGACTGTATCTTAAATCTAGCAGCCCGGGTATGTGGTAGTACGGGGGGCGAACCACACCTTTATGTACGATCACTGATCCGGTCAAAAGAGAAGCACCAGACACAAACGTCGGGCCAGACATGCACACTTGTACAGGCATGTAAGCTCGGAGTGGGGCATTTCAAGCACTTGACCCCAAGGAGAGAAAGACATACATGCCGGGGAAGTTGGACGATGAGGAGCGATGGAAGCTGTTTCTCGCCAAGACGTTGACGACTTCAGCCGTTCGTCAGCTCCGCGTCGAGTACGCATGGGCTACCCAGCTGTCGTGCTTCATTTTGACCAGATGCAGTATCTGAGTGGTCGAACTGGGCACACACGGGATCATCTGTGGTCGGTGCTCGAGGTCAAACGGCGTTTGTTGGGTGGTGTTGTTGCTCGGTCTTTACCTAGTTTGGGCATTGGCATACACCACGAACCGTAAAAGTATCGATCTGGAGATGAGGATTACCAAGCCCAGACACGTCGGCGTAACTCTGCTGGTCGTTTTGGGAAACGCCACCGATCAGGCTTCGATGGCGTCGCTTCGCGGTGCTGGACAGCGACAAGGAAAATGCTGCGTCTGGCTATTGGAAGCTTGCATGAAGTGCCAAGTCTGTGCTTCGATGGACATGTGCAGACTGCAGAGCACATCCTCTTCTATATCAGATGTCGTGACATGTCAGATATTTCAGCCAAGGAGACCCAACGCCGTCCGTATCGTATCGTGACGAATACAGCACAGATGCCAGCGTTGAATTCTCAAAAAATTACCAGAAGCAGCATCCTCCTCCTCTGACCCCGCACTCGACGACCCGAACTGGACGACCCGAGGCGGGGACCGGAGCGCCGCCAGCCGCGGGGGCCGACTGGAGCCCGGCGCCGGACCGTTTCCAACCATCGCCAAGAGTTTGGGCCTGATGGGCGGCGGCCAAGTGTCGTCAATGCCATCAAATGGCCCGTGACCGCGCTGGTATTCACAGCCCGACAACAGGCGTTTGACCAACTCGCCAAGTCTGGACAAACGGATGTCATCTACGCCTTTGTGAATACCGGAAGACAAGGATGAAGCCTCACTTCTGGCCAATACGTCCCGCGGCTGCATCCCCAAATATTGGTTCCGAGCGGACAATATGACAACTCAAGGATCAAGTTTAGTCAAACATCTGCCGTCTGGCGGCGGGGTTTCTCGACGAAGCGCCTTTTCCCGTCAGATGAGAAAGCAGGGCCATTGAAGTTTTAAGCTGAATGCAAGCTGCACCCGTCAGCAGCCTCTTTGAGAAACAACCAGCCAATTATCGTCCAACGAGATTTATGCATAATAAGCAGCCGGCCCGTGAACCATGGAACTTCTTTCCTCGCTTACTCGTCGCTTGTCCATGGCTTACTCTGCAATGCCATTGCCTAGGCATGCTTGCAAACGAGTGTCATGCCGAGGCTGACTTGTAACGATTTCTCAACTGCGGTGGGCCACATGGTCGGTTCCCATCGCAACAAGCATTCCAAAGCAGTCGGCTGCGAAACACGTACATCAAACCGGTCGCACGACGATTACTGGTTGAGGGCGATGAACGCGCTGCTAATAATAACAGGATCGACTGCAACATACCAGCCATGGAGCTGTTAGAATTACTCCGCAGTCGCGGCGCAAAAGAATATCCGTTCCCCGCGTCGCATCGTCCCATTTTCGCGGCCCGGAATCGCGCATCACGATCGCCAAGACGCGGTGCGCATTGTGTCGCGGCTATCTGCTTCCGGGACTTGGTGGCTATTCATATTGTCGTGACTCGTGGCACACACACTCATGTGCCTTGCTGCGCGGCAAGGAATAACGCGCAGTATTTCCGTGGACTGCACTCTATGTTGGAGTGCGGCAGTGTGATGTGATATTGCATGCGGTCAATTGATTAGACCGGACACCAGACTTTTTGCATCGCAATTGGTAAGGATGATGTGCTTGCGCTAGCCGTGCGTGGAGCTGTGTCGACGGTACTGTTCATGAGTCAGCATGGATGAGATGAATCCCTCTGAATAGGTACATAGCAGGTTGCCATTTTCGTAACGGCCAAGGATATCGACCAATTAGAGAGGATAAATTAAAGAATACTCAAGTTACTCAAAATCTTGAATGATTAAAAAAAATCCCATGTATAAAGAGCGGCAAGGTATACAACAAGCTACCCTCCCTGCGAAAGATGTTACTGGTACTTACTTGGTAACTTGGAAAGTATCGCGGAAAAAGTCCACTGGTGGAGTCTGGTATCTGGAAAAGATGTGGCATCTGGACCTCCTTGCGCTTGCTGTGGGGACTTGGGACGAATACGCAATTGCACCGCTAAAACCAAAGCATCTCTGCGATTACTAGCTAATTGATCGATTACTAGCTAATTGATCGATTACTAAATGGGAGCCGTCTTGCATACCTACCTAGGTACCTAGTAACCAAAAACGTTTCTCCTTTATCCCCGACTTTGACTTTATGCTGCTAGATTAATTGTTAACTTTATGCTGCTAGATTAATTGTTGACTTTATGCCGCTAGATTAATTGTTAATTGCTGCACCTTGCTAGACGTGTTTGTGTAAAAAGTGGGGTCAACTGGATTCCATCTCAATTGCTTTGACGGCTCATTAATTACGGAACATACATGGGCCAAATGGCGTCTTTCCGGGTTTCCATTTGCGCAGTAAACTATTTGAACTTTATTCCGTGAACGGGGTATGTATCTGGCCAGTATGAGATCTGCCAGCACACACCGACACAAGAACCCCAGCGCCTGTGCAAAGTGCCCATGTCCAGCATGAAACGGCCCGAGCAGGGCGCAGCGCATCATGGCTGCACCGGCACTGCCGTCATGGGTCGATACGTATAACACGATGCTTGGGATGGCATTCCGCGCGCCATGCAAGCAACCCTGGCGGAAGGAAGTGCGCTCCAGTCCACACGTATGTATAATGTCAAGTCTGGTATACAGATGGGCGCCGTCGACGCATCGTGAACAAATGGCAAAATTGCCGCGGTGGCGTTCTTGCGGCAGCGGGAGCTTCCACAGCTGCGAACACCACACACGTCATCTCTATTCATATGAGCCGTCCAGTCGGCTTCGAGATTCGTCCGGTCAAGTGGCTTAGCGGTGGAGAAACAGGACTTACACTATAACCCCTGTTTGATTAACCACCCGTGACCTAACAAGGTTAATAGAGCAGGGCCCCCTAGCTGTATCGGCAATCCAGCTGCTAATTGTGAGTGGCTGTTAAGTGACGTAGCAGGGATTAGTAAGGGTACACCAGCTATGTTACTTTTTCCCTGAAAACTTAGGTATTTATTTCCCCCACCTTTTAGCTCTCTATTGGCTGTATACCCCCCTGTGAGGTCACGGGTAGTTAATTAAACAGGGGTTTATAGTGTATGTACGGAGTATTTCGACGTGCACCTTTGTGTCGGGTCATGCATTTCACATAATTCGCCAAGCCAGTCCGTCTTCGGGAAGCGTGTCATGACACGCAAAGAACTCTAGGACGAGGTATGCCACGGTTGTGTATGTATAACTATGGAAATTGGAGACAAGAAAAGGTACTCGATAAGAGAGGCGGCGATGAGAAGTTCTGGTACGAGGGCCCGGGCCCATGATGATTGGAACCCAGGTATTGGCCACGCTTGCGGCAGACAATTTCGTCGTCAGCTTCAGTATAAATTCCATTACGTATTATATACGTGTGCATTATATTTTTTCCTCTTTTTCTTTCTTTTTTTCTTTCTTTCTTTCTCTCTTTCTCTCTTTTCCGAGTCAGCCAACTCGAGCTTTCGCATGGGTCTGAAACGGCGCAAGCTGAAGATGGGCGGCGTCTTGGCACAGACAATTGAGGCCGCCATGCAATGCCATGCACGCCCGGCATGTTTGCCCCGGCCATTCCTACTTATGCGGGTGAGCTTGGCTACAAGTACTCCGTACGATGTGCCAAACGAGAAGCTATTACCGAGCCGACTGGGGGCTCGGGCGTGTCATGAGCAGAATTTGGACAATGAGCAAGTGTCTGCGTGGCCGAGTGCGGTGACGGAGACAAAAGAAAACAAGGCAGAAAAAACATGGTCACAGACGATCCCGTGGTTCAAGACGCTGGATGGACAATGGACGGCGGGCACATGGCGCTGTGCATGGATGGATGGACGGTGCGGCAAAATTGCCCGGGGACTGCACATGCACGTGGTGGGTTCACAAGTGCGCTGGCACTCTATGCGTCTATGCCGCATCGACTGGACTGGAATGCCGGGCACGGTCGTGTTATACTAGTGCTTGACATGCCAGTAGTATGTACATCGACATGTGCAGGCAGGCTGCGCTGCGATCAGTCCGATGCTGACTCTGGTGCTGCGTCCGATGCATGTGCATCAATTCATGCCATCCGTATCCACCAGAGTCGCCCCACGGTCTCGATGCTGCTCAACCGCTCCATCGACCGGTTTGACCGGCCACAAAATGGCATCTCTGCTTGAGTCAATGTTTGCACTGACATGAATCTCGAAATGCCCACTTGCCCATCCGATTTCCAGCTATTTTCCGAGCTCGATTATGTATGTATAGGCTGACCGCCCGCTTCCTCCTCGCCTGCCCAACATTCAAGTCAGCACCGAAGGAATTGATCCTGTCCGAACTCTCCCTTCGTGCCTGGTGATCCATTCCTACTTGGAACCCTTCGTTGCCCATCACAATCACAATATTTGTCCTGCGCACGCCCGTGCAGCACCACCTATTTTGACCTGCGCCAGCCCTTTTCTTCTACTTCCTCCTCCTCCCCTCTGCCGCCGTCGTTGCAACCTCCCTCATCTCGGGACCTGTTGCCTCCATCTCAGACCTGCAGTACCAGACAGTTGCTGGTGTCGTCACTGTCGTCACCTTGCAACGCCACAATCCGCGTCAACCCATGCTACGGCACGGAGCCCCCAGTTCAATTTCCGGCTCTTCGGCATAAGCAGGCATATGTACATCATCAGCCTCTGCCTCTGCGTATGCATGCGCGTCCTCCTGTGTTATGTATAAACGACTCCGCGCTGCGACCTGCCTCTCTCCGCGCCATTGACCATCGACATCTCGCCAGGCAGCCTCTCCCGAGACAGGCAAACCAGTATTGTTTCAATAGCCTGTCCTGTCCACCGTCGTTCAACCCTTTCATCTCGGCATACGGATAGGACCACGCGGGAGTTTGGGCCCGTGCGACTTTTTCGATACTGTGGCCCTTTCGGTTCGCCAGTCAAGCAATTCATTCCTGAGAGGAGAGTTCGACCGCAAAACTTGGCTCGCAGAACCCACTTGCGCTGAAGCCCAAACGCTCCACTCCGCTGCGAATAGACCGACCAACAACAATCAACCGGATTCCCATTTTCTTCAACCCCCACTAGGACCGCGAGACGCCATTCAAACCGCACCCGCCTTGTCCATGCACCTTGTACTCTAGCTTTCCTTTTCCCTTGATATTCCTTTTTTTTTTGCCATCAGGAGCCCGCTCGGTTTTATAGCCAGGGGATTGACGTCAATTTTTTTCTTTTCTTTTTTTTTTTCGTTGGTCGTAGTTCGACTCGCACCCGGCTCCCAAGCAGGACAAGGTCTACCAGCCCCTTTCTGCCAAACTGCAGGAACAGTCCGTCGACCCCTGTCCCGACAGACAATCTTGGTTCACAGACCAAAGAAGAAGGAGAAAACGAAAGAAACCGAGCACTTGCAACGTTGCTATCGATTGACAGCATGGCCAATTCACGCCGCGCTGTGGCTGCGGCTGTTCTCGTATTTCTCATCTTTTTCCTCACATTACGCTCACACAGCTCGCCCGCGCAATCGAGAGGCAGTGCCATCCGCGCGCACGCTGCGTCATCCGGCAATGCTCACGACGACTCAATGCGAGCGGTTCCGCAGAAGCCCATGATTGACATGTCGCGAATGTCCACGTACGACAAGCTTGCCTACGCGTATCCCTACGACATCGAGACCAAGTTCCCCAACTACATCTGGCAAACTTGGAAGACAACGCCGGCCGACAGCAATTTCGCCTTCCGCGAGCAGGAGGCATCCTGGACCCTCCAGCACCCGACATTCGTACACGAAGTCATAACCGACAGCGTTGCTGAAAGCTTGCTTCAGCTCTTCTACGCCGCCGTTCCCGAAGTCCTCGAGACCTACAATGCGTTGCCCTTGCCTGTTCTCAAGGCAGACTTCTTCCGCTATCTGATTCTGTTTGCGCGAGGCGGCATCTATTCCGACATCGATACCTATGCCATCAAGAGCGCTATAGAATGGGTCCCCTCGCACATTCCTCGCGAGACTATTGGCCTGGTCGTTGGTATTGAGGCCGATCCCGATCGCCCAGACTGGGCAGAATGGTACAGTCGCCGAATTCAGTTCTGCCAGTGGACCATTCAGAGCAAGCCCGGCCATCCGGTGCTTCGAGACATCATTACCCGAATCACCAACTCTACACTCGCATTGAAGCGGGACGGCAAGCTTTCCTCGTTCCAGGGCAAGAACGTGGTTAATCTGACTGGCCCTGCTGTGTGGACGGATACCATTATGGACTACCTCAACGACGGCCACTTCTTTGACATGAGAAAGAGCCAAGGCAAAATTGACTGGCACAATTTTACGGGTATGGAAACGAGCAAGCGGGTGGGTGATGTCATTGTGTTGCCCATCACCAGCTTTTCACCTGGCGTGGAGCAGATGGGCTCCAAGGATTACGACGATCCAATGGCGTTTGTCAAGCATGACTTTGAGGGTACGTAGCGACGTGCATGAGCTTTGTCCCCCCCCTTTTTTGCCCTGGCTTTGAGCTAACTTGGCGATAGGCACTTGGAAGCCCGAAAGCGAAAGACACATTGGCGAGCAAAACCAAGATTCTTGAAAAGCCGTAATGACCAGCAGCCCGAGTGGCATTATCCTCACTGAGCCTCCTAGACGCTACGACGCATAGACAGGTACCCACGTGAATACGCCTTCACCTATCGGTACTCCTAAAATTGTCTCACTGTATACTACGCGTACGGCGGCTTGAACCTACAAAACCAAACCTACGCTTCTTATCTATATATATTCAACATTGGGGCTTCCTAGAGGCGGCGCCAAATCGCCTATGGTGGAACTGGATCCTGCCGAGGCAGCTCATTTGCCCATCCGTTTTCTTTGGTACAGAGAAGGCGCCATATCTACAATTTGGAGTTTCTGGTTTTAAAGCATCTATTCGGACTTGAGCATTTCTTGTTTTGGGGGGGGAAACAAGATGTATATAAAAAGTTCGTCGGCGCCGAAGGCTGTGTATTTGCTTTTTCTTCTTTGTTTTCTTTCATGGTACTTTTAGACGGAATCATTTGTGGTACAGCGTCGTTTTATGCATGCTGGGTTCAGAATAGAACGGAGTCTGGGGATGCGGGCCACTTTGTTGCCTGTGCTAGAGTAGATGAATGGCATGGACTCGACGAGTCTGCTTGACGATTCAAAACGTACATGGGGGGCCTTGTCTTGGGAGTGATACGAGGCTCGCTCTTTTTGAGCCGCAGCTTGGGTGATCAAGCTTCAACTTTGGGGTCGCTGTTGTGGAAGCGTCGTGGGACCAATTATTCTCGTGCAGGGCAGAGGCTTCAAAGACTACTCGGTCCGTGTGCCTTCTATGCTACGGAGAGAATGACGCTCACTTATCATATCGACCAGTTGTGCCGGAGCACAGCAGGCTGTTGGCCTGGAAACCTGATATTGCCGGCACCCCGCGTCAAGCAACGCGCCCCACGGAAATTAAGTGCTCGCATTGACATGATGTGACACGAACTCTCAAGTCCTAGGGCATGGATGCAGAAACCGTCCACTTCCGCGTGTCGAGAACGGTCCCTCGCGAGACACTGCAGACCGGGGCGGCTCAGGAATGGCTCCGCGGTCAGTCCAGCCCATCACAGCACAACACGGAGCTTTCACCAAAGCCACCGTCTGTCGTGCTACATGTACACGGAGGAAGCTCGTTGCGATGCGGCGTTGTCGTTTGTGGCGGCAAATCATGCGAGGATATGCTCGCACCCTCATGCGTGGCTGCCAGAACCGCTCCCAACTATCGCGCTCCTTCCTCGTGAGGAGTAACGGATGCGGAGGTCGGATTTTGAATTTATAGGCAAACCCCGTCGTTTTCTACCCCCTTCCTTTTCCTTCTCACAAACAGATCGTAAACCATTGTGATTATCAGCTCTACCACCTCACGACAAAAGACACTTTATCTTTGCCCAAGTGGCCTAGCAACCATCGCGGAGGCGGACATCTCCATGATGTCACGCGACGATTACACTATTGGATGGGTTTGTGCATTGCCTCTTGAACTGGCGGCCAGTAAGATCATGCTCGACCAAGTTCATGATCTCTTGCCGACACTTCACGGCGATACCAACTCCTACACACTGGGGAGCATATGGCATCACAATGTTGTTATGGCTTGCCTTCCAATAAGTCAAGTCGGGACAAATCATGCGGCAATTGAAGCGACAAACATGAAGAGGTCGTTCCCATCCCTCCGAATGTGCTTGGTGGTAGGAATCGGCGGCGGAGTGCCGAGCAAAGCCGACGTGCGGTTGGGCGATGTTGTTGTCGGAACAAGGATAATGCAGTACGATAAAGTGAAGACGAACCCGGAAGGAGAAGAGCGAACAGAGGTCTACAAACTTATACCACGCGCCCTTGGAACTGCCTTGTCGCATTTCGCAGCGGAGGACAAATATACACCGCTCAACAGTCGATTCTCGTCTATACTGCAAGAGAAATTAGCAAACGAAAACCACCGCAAGTTCCGTCCTCCGAATTTGGAAGATCGCCTCTTTCAGGCAAATTATGAACATATAAGTTCAGAGGCTAGCTGTGATAGATGTGACTCTTCGCGACTCATGATAAGAGGGCAGCGAAAGACAAATACGGTAGTCCATTATGGAGGGATCGCTTCCGGAAACAAAGTCATGAAATACGGTAGAAAGAGGGACGAAATCGCGGAAGAGCTAGACGTCATATGCTTTGAGATGGAAGCCGCTGGTATAGTGGACGTCATAGATTGTCTCGTAATTCGAGGAATCTGCGACTACTCGGATTCACATAAATCCAAGGAATGGCAGGACCATGCGGCTGTCGCTGCCGCCGCCTATGCAAAAGGGTTTCTGGGGATGATACCAATGACTGAATTCCAGTCGACGACTACGAATCTTTCTCGTTCTCGTAAGTCATGCCGAAAACTCTGACGCAGCTGGCGGTCAACTTTACTCACATCTTCTGTATAGCTCAACATATACCTCGCGAGGGCCAAAACGCTATGTTAGCATCTCTCAGGTTCAATAGCATGTCTTTTCGCAAACATGCAATCGAAAAAAATCATGACAAGACCGGTCAATGGCTCTGGAACCACCCCTCCTTTCAAGAATGGCTTGACCCAGCATTGTTGTCGAGACACCCGGGCTTCATATGGATCCGTGGTAAGCCAGGTGCTGGCAAATCGACGTTGATGAAATTCGCATGGCTTCAGACACAAAGGGAATATCAGCAGGCTTGCCGTGACCGAAAGATGATAGTTGCCTCTTTTTTCTTCAACGCCAGAGGCGAGACACTGGAAAAGTCAGCCTCGGGGATGTATCGGTCGCTGCTTGTCCAACTCCTAGAGCATTTTCATGACCTGCAGAGAGTACTTGACAGTCGAGACCTTGAAGAGTTGCTGAATCTGGACAGCTACCCTTTAGTAGTTCTGAAAGATCTTCTCCAAGACGTAGTATCGGAGCTGGGAAACCGCGCCTTCTTCGGCTTCATCGATGCTTTGGATGAGTGCCATGAATTGCAACTCATGGATATGGTTCGGTACTTCGAAGAACTGGCGGAGCATGCAACACAGAAAAGCATTCCACTTCGAATCTGTTTCTCCAGCCGTAACTATCCCTATATCAACATACAAAGAGGTGTAGAGCTGAGGCTGGATTATCAATCCGGTCATGCCCAAGACATAGCGAACTACGTTCGGAGCGAATTGCGGATTGAAAATCCTACCTTACACGAACAACTGGTTTTTCAAATTCTCAAGAAATCTGCAGGTGTGTTCCTGTGGGTTGTTCTTGTTGTGGACATACTAAATAAGGAAGAAAGAGACGGCCGACCAGCCTTCACAAACCGCCTATCAGAACTACCATCTGGATTGAGCGACCTATTTGAAAGTATAATAAAGCGTGATAATGATAATGTGGATGATTTAAAACTGTCTCTTGGGTGGATTCTTCTGGCTCCACGACCACTGGAATTGGAAGAATTCTATCACGCCTGCTGGCATTTCAAGGACCCAATGTTAGCAAAACAATACACCAAGGATCGAGGAGAAAAATACGTGCTCAGTTCCACAAAGGGTCTTGCTCAGGTTGCGCAATCCACGCCACCAATTGTGCAATTTATACACGAATCAGTGCGAGATTACCTTCTCAAAGACGACGGTCTTCGGAAACTATGGCCTAATCTTCCATTTAAATGGAAGGACATGAGACATGATCAACTGAAGCACTATTGCTGTAGATACATCCAGCACGCTATCAACTCTGCACATATTAACAGCCCTGACGTTGAGAATGACGATATCTCAAAGAGGCTTCCATTATTGCGTTATGTAACTCAGAATGTCCTCCACCATGCTGAAAACGCTGCGGACTCCATTTGTCAGGGTGTATTTCTGGAAAAGTTTCCTACTGCCCAATGGGCAAGTCTTGACAATATGTATGAGAAATATAATATTCGCCGACTTAGCCCAAAAGTGGATCTTCTCTATATACTTGCACAGAGGGGATTCCCGAATCTCATCCGAACGAGGCTTCAAAATCATCCGAATATTCTTATACGCGGCGAAAGACTCAAGTACCCGCTGTTTGCCGCTTTGGCTAACGGTCACAAAGACGCCGTAGCTGCTCTATTTAATTTACCTTCGACCATCTATGATGGAGAGGACATCACAGCGGGCGTGAACTATAAAAAAGATTACCACGGTCGCACACCACTCTCATGGGCCGCCCAGGAGGGTAAAGTTGGTCTCGTTAAGCTGCTTCTCCTCGCACAGGCGGATGTCAATGAGCGTGACAATGCGGGACAAAGACCGCTTTTTAGATCACAACCCAAAAGACATTTTCCAGTGGCAGAGCTTCTTATCAAAGCCGGCGCTGATGTGAACGAAAAGGGCTACATGTACACCAACGGGAATTCAGCCATGCGTGTGACCCCACTCATGCATGCCTCAGCCGAAAATGATGAGATATTTGCAAGATTCCTCATCCAGAATGGCGCAAAAGTCGATACGATCTGTTATGAAGGTGAAATGGGAGTAGTAGAAACAGCACTGACAATTGCCTCGCGCCATGGCTACGAGGCAATGGCAAAATTTCTCATTGAGAACGGCGCATTAGATGGTGATTGGGATAAGGACATCAATGCACTCGCACCAGCCGCCGAGAATGGCCATATCGGTGTGGTTGCGCTTCTCACTGAAAATGGCATACATCCATACACGAAACGTTGTGGAGGTTTTGCGCTTGTGAAAGCATTGCACTATGGCCATGTTGCAATAGCCAGTCTATTGATCAGCAGGGGGGCAGATGTAGAGTTTCTGACAGACGTTTGGGACAAGCCTTCGTCATGCTCGCCACTTGCGGCGGCGTCCAGCAATGGCCATGAATCCCTGGTTAGGCTGTTGATTAGCAAGGGGGCGCGCATAGGTCGTCCATGTGCATCTTTTTTTGTTAAGTCGCCGCTTCTTGGTGCTGCGTGTAATGGTCAAGAGGCAATAGCCAAGCTGTTGATTAGAGAGGGGGCGTGTGTAAATGAGGTTGCTGGCTCTACAACGCCACTTATAGCTGCCTCCAAGGCTGGTCATGGGGCAATGGTCAAGCTACTCATCGATAACGGGGCGGATGTAAATCAAGTCTGCAAGTCATATTTATGTGATCCAGGGACGACGACGCCGCTGGATGCTGCCTCGAAGGGGGGTCATGAAGCTGTGGTACAGCTACTTCTAGAACACGGCGCACGAACCAAACAGTGAGACATTCCGAATGCCATTGCGGCGATAATCAGGAAGACGGCTAGCAAGATTGAATACAAGGAATTACGTTAAGGGCCGGTCTTCCTCAGACATGTGTCAAGACAGCTTAGCTGAGACGGTTAAGTCGCTGGTGAAGCCTAATTGGTCGAGCAGAATGTTCAAGTCTTATCTCAAGTAAACTATCTGGTAATAGTCCTGTATATTTAAATAATTTATATCCCTTTTAGTATACAAGTAAGTAGCCCTTGATTAAATATCCTAATCTTAACTTTAAAATATAGCTTATTAGCTTATATAATATACTATAATAAATATAGAAATAAAAATAATCTCATAAAAACAAGGCTAGAATATAAATAAGCGACTTATAATATAAATACTTCATATAATAAGTTTAAACCTACTTTTTATAATTCGGCGATAGTGTCCGACTTGATATTTGCTTCTCGTCATCGTCCCTTTAAGTAACCGTTTGCAACGAGAGTCGAAGGAACATGGAAGTCGTCATGCATAATACTCGGCTGATAGTAGAGGGACCACAATGAGCCGTGGGCCATGGTAGCAGTGAACCGAGATTTTGAAGATGAAAACGTTGCTGCATCGTCACTCTACGGACAGGCCGCAACTTGACAACCGCCACGAGAAGGGGCGGCAAGACTGGACCAGATTTGATACAAGGGTAGGCAAAGCCCGGTGGACAGGACAGGGTGCCTGGAAGATGGGACTGGTGGTCGACGGGTGCGTCGGCGCCGTCCAGTCTGGGCTAGCCACGACCACAACATTGCAGAAGGCAAATGACGGGAAATTGCTGACGAGTCGTCGCTCCTGCTGCAAGACGAATTAGATGCACTCGACCTGGCAATTGAGAAGCTGACAGATGAGCAAACGGAGCTTGAGACAGAGACAGAGATCAGAACACTTGAGGGCTGGGGCTAGACCACGGTCTTCTCCATATGAGGGACAACACGATCGGGACACCCACACATGCAATGATGGCGGTATTTGGGCCAGCGTGCAAGACCCTGGAAAGCTGTCCAAGAAAGATCAACAACACAGGTCGTTTCTTCGGAGGGATCCCTGCATCCATCACCTTGGCAAACTCTTTGTGATAGGCGCTTGCATCCCGCTCCTTCATCTCCGCAACCAGCCTCCGTAGCGGATCTTCATCTATAAAGGTCTTGATGGATTCCTTCGCCGCCTCTTTGTCTGCACGGCTCAGGTATCGGTAAGCGAACCAATCCATGTCTGTCCAGTTTTCTAGAGCGTTGGCAACTAGCGGCTCTGCGTGCGTGGACCGTTCTGCCCACTCACGAGAAAGCAATGTATTGCCAAACATGTATAGCTCCCGGGATTCAGTCACGGAGAGGAATTCCTTGAACGACGTTATAAGAAAGAGTTGCCACGTGTTGTGTCCAGCTAATTCGACTGTAGTCCTGCCGCTGATCCAGAGGAGCGGAACGAAAAACTGGACTGGGACAACGCGGCTCCATTCCCAGTCAAGCACACCAATAATACGCATTTTGTCGTCGACCATTAAATTCGATGGATGGAGATCGCCGTGGACCAGCACAAACGGGCCATTGTCTAAAGCCGGGTCTATCCATTGCTTGGCGTGCTGGTAAAAGAGGTGGTGATGATATACGGCATCTCGGCCCATGCCCACCTCGACGGCGTTTCGGCTTTTAAAAAATGCGTTGTAGCTAATGTCTAGTAACATGTTTGCGTAAGCGGTAGCCGAATGCATGCAACCACGGTCGTTAGAGTACGCATCCTGAACGGCAAACGGATCCAAGCCCTCCAATTGTTGCATGTTGATGTCGATTGTAGCTGCCTTTTGACCGACTTGGAACCCATTCGAGGTTTGCGTCTGCTCAAGTCTGCCAATGGAAGGAAATTCCAGTCGTCTGAGCTGTATGTAAATGTCGGCCAATGACGTGTAGAGTTGCTCCCTTTCCTGCGAATCCAGCTTCTCCATCTGAGTACTAGAGAGCATCGTGCCGTCAACGTAATCCAGAATAACGAATGTCGATAGGGGGTCTGAATTGACATCCTCACTATAAGCTAGAATTTTTGGAACGGGTATGGTTGTGCTTTCTTCGAGGCAGCTGACTGTTGTCAGCAAAAAGCGACCTTCAAAGGGACCGGTACGTACCGCATTGTAGCCACCTCGCTTTTTATCTTGCGGCCCGGGCAATACCCTAGACAGGGTCGCAAGGGAATTCGAAAAACGCATCTTTGCAAGTCTGAAAACTGAATAAAGAAGCAGAGGTTGTAGCTTCCCTGGGTAAAATAGTCGCCGGCCGCTGGCGCCTGGAAGAAGGAACCGGGACCTTTGTCGCAGCTAGTTGAGGCGAGTTGGAGAAGTTCAGTCTCGCGATTGCGTACGCTTCTAATAAACTGATCCCGTTCATAATGCACCAAGCGCTCTACTATGCTGTTGTTGAAATGAGATGACCCGGCCATTATTTGGCTGCTCTCTGCAAAGCTGAAAGGGGTCAATTGCAGCAACTCGTCTGGACGCAGCTTCGAAAGCGTGGACGGAGTTGAGTTTTGCCGACACCAAACCCCAGTACCGCGTTCTACCTCTTTAGATGCGGAATGGCTCGCGGGGCTCCCACCCCCTATGGCTGCTTATATAACACAGGTGACCGCGATAGTACTAAAGCGGGCCTAGCAGACCAATTAAAATCTAATGTAGTAATTTATACTCGACCGGATTACAGGGACTTTTATTATCTAGTAATTTCGCAGGAAGTAAATGTACTATTTAACTGTTGTTGTCTGATTGGCCTAAACCCCTTTCACAGCATATTAATAGTACGTTCCTATGCCCCAACAAGTCTTGATCCTAATAAATTCTTTTCCTGGCGTTTAACATGACATGATGCCGTTCGATGTCGGCCAACACGATAGCTGAACCTACAATTAGAAGGGAAGAAGATGGAGGGCAACTCTTACCCCGTTCATGTTTTGCACAGCTCCCACCCACTCCGTCTAGAGCCTGTGACTTTGCAATCTGTGCACGCAAACACTGCAGTGCAAGGCGACCTTTCCACGAACAATTAGCGTGCTGACATCTCTTTCGAGCCGCATGCAACGGCCCCGCCTCCCGGGCCGGGATCCACCACATATGTACTCCGTAGTACATGTGTATCTCGAGGGGGCTCAAATGTCAACAATATCCTCAGTCGACGTCGAGCCTATTTTGCAACTAGTTCTCTCGCAAACAAGACGTAGCCGGTGGGCATAAAGCAACTGGGAGCATCGTCGTCCCATCTTCGGTCATCAACGTAGCGATTTGGCTACGATTTGATTGATGGATTTCCCTTCTTTCCGGGGTGGCATACTCGATTTCGTCGCAGATGATTGGCGTAGGGCATTCACACACAAACAGTGCCAGATATCCGCTGACTTCAAACACTACATTCAGGCCCGACGATAAATCCGTACCAGAGATGAGCATCTCGCGAAATTGCCTAATCAGCAACAAGCCACTTGAGGATTCCTTGCCTAGCGCGGTGTGGGGTAAACAGCCGTTGGAGCGAGGAAAACCATGAAGATGAATGGATGTGGGGAAATCGTAGCCGCCTGCTAAGCCGAGGGTGACAAACCCCAGCCAACAGACTGGATGACGGCGCGGGCTGCGTGAGGGGAATGAGACACCGCCTCCTCCGCCCTCACGACTTCTCTGCTCGTCAACATCTCGCTGCTGCGCAGGTTCCGCCCGCAGAGCGCGCTCTTTTCGCGAATTGCCGCTTTTCTTTTGCGTTTTGTCGAGCGCCGGGACGCGCCAATCGAGCTTGCCGGCTGTGTATACTACGTCATCACGGGATCGCGGTGGGCTTCGTTGGCACGCGACCCGGGCTGGGTATATCGTCCCGCAGGATGAGGACGCTGCTGCGCGTTGCGGGAGGACGGCGGGTGAGCGGGAGAGCCTGGGGCGCTGCCGGTGCGCGGCGGGCGATGTCGACGGAGGGATTGAGTTACCGGACTGGGCCGAGCGAGGTGTGTATTTGTGCTTGATGTTGCTTTCCAGGTCTTGGCCGCGATGGCGTCTCGTCAATGTACGACGAGCGGATGAGACACGCGAGGCCTCCTTGCTGCCAGCCCCTAGTGTCAACCACCGGGTCATCTCGTCTCACAATGGCTAACATTCGTCACAGCCGCCGATGTACATGGGCACAATCCCAGAGCACTTTGCGCAGATCGTCTCTCGCCATGGCGACCGCGCGGCCGTCATCACGCGGTCCCCCACGCCGGCTGCCTTCGAGACAACCCTCACATACTACATGCTGGACCTGCTCTCTAACCGGCTGGCCTCGTCGCTCGCGAGCCTGGGCGTCAAGAAGGGCGACCGCGTGGCCATATCGCAGGGCAACACGCCCGAGTTCGCCGCCCTCACCTACGCCTGCTTCAAGCTGGGCGCGGTCCTGGTACCGCTCAACCCGTCCTTCAACGCGGCCCAGGTGGAGGCCGCGCTCAAGCACCTCGCCGCCGAGGTGCTCATCATCGGCGCCGTCACCGACCTGGCCTACAAGCCCGGCCGGGGCCGCAGCAACGAGGAGCTGCTGACCAGCATCGCGGGCGACCTGCGCGCGTCCGCGCCCCAGAGCGAGGGCGTGCCCAGCCTCAAGCGCATCGTCGTCGTGGACAACCGCGTGTCCCACCAGGACGTGCGCTTCAAGCTCGACGAGTGCCGCGCGCTGACGCCGTACCGCGCGCTCCTCGACGGCTCCGACCGCAGCGTCGTCCCCTCGGCGCCGCTGGATGCCACCGACACCATCAACATCCAGTTCACGTCGGGCACCACGTCGACGCCCAAGGCCGCCATGCTCAGCCACCGCTCCATCCTCAACAACGGCATCTTCATCGCGCACCGCATGGGCCTCGAGCCCGCGGACCGCATCGTCGTGCCGCCCCCGCTGTTCCACTGCTTCGGCTGCATCCTGGGGTACATGGCGACGGCGACGACGGGCAGCGCCATCCTGTTCCCCAGCCCGGCCTTCGACCCCGTCGCCACGCTGCGCATGTGCGCCGACCACGACGCCACGGGCCTGTACGGCGTGAGCACCATGCTCGTCGCGGTGCTCGAGGCCCTCGATGCCGGCGCCGTGGCCAGCCCGCCCGCCCACCTGCGCAAGGGCATCGTCGCCGGCTCCTCCGTGCCCGAGGCCCTCATGAAGACGATCCGCCGCCGCCTCGGGCTGCGCGACCTCGTCATCTGCTACGGCATGACCGAGACCTCGCCCGTCAGCTGCATGACGTCGCCGGCCGACCCGCCGGACCGCCGGACCGCCTCGGTCGGCACCCCGATGCCCCACACCGCCGTCAAGATCGTCGACCCCCGCGACCGCGCCCGCCTCGCGCCCCTCAACACCCCCGGCGAGCTCGCCGCCGCCGGCTACCTCGTCATGAAGGGCTACTTTGGCGACGACGCCCGCACCGCAGACGTCCGCGTCGCCGAGCCCCGCCTCGACGGCTCCCCCGGCCTCACCACCTGGATGTACTCGGGCGACGAGGCCCAGATGGACGAGCAGGGCTTCGTCACCATCACCGGCCGCATCAAGGACCTCATTATCCGCGGCGGCGAGAACATCCACCCGCTCGAGGTCGAGAACTGCCTCTTCCAGCTGGACGGCGTCATGGAGGTGAGCGTCGTGGGTGTGCCCGACGAGAGGCTGGGCGAGACCGTGGCCGCCTTCATCGTGCCCCATCGCGGCTGGAAAGGGGACGATGGCCAGCACGCCGGCGAGGGAGACAGGGTTCTGAAAAAGGATGCCGTGAGGGAGTGGGTGCGGTCCAAGCTGTCGAGCCATTTGGTCCCGAAACACGTGTTTTGGGTCGACGACTATCCCAAGACGGCGAGCGGCAAGATTCAGAAATTCAAGCTGAGGGACATGGCGGTCAAGATTCTGCAAGGGAAATGACGTGGTTTTGGAAGAATGGGCCCCGTCGAGCTTGGATGGAAATGGCCGTGTTTGCCCGTGATTTGAAAGCCATGTATAAAGGAGCGGATTGCATTGCATTCTTGGATATAACGTTTCCCATGATTGATTGGCTTTTAACAATTTCTTCCCTGTGAACCCACGGCTCAATTGAGACCAAACAAGGCTTCTGCTCCGCGTGATGCGTTTTGAACACGTGAAGCATCCTTAACCGCACATCATCTTCACCTCACCTTCACATCACGGCCCGGTCCCTACTCATGATCCATAATGAGCTGTTTCAGCTAATGCAAAGTCTAGGAGTTCCCGCTCTCATGCGTCATCTTGCATCTGCACATTCATTGCGCACGATGTATATCCCATTCCGAGCCTTTAGAAACGAAAATAACAATCAACTATGGCAATGTCCGGTTCCCCGTTCCCGTTCCAGGTCCGGGTCGGCGTCATCACTTAACCCAACAAGACGAAGCAGTGTCATAAAAATAGAACCACGCCCAACATTTGAATGCAAGAGGCCGATTGAGCCTCAACGAATCATTGGAGTCTGGGAGAAATGGGTTTGAGCAGTAAGTAAGTCTCAACGCCTTTAACTCCGCTGTCCCTACCTCCTTAATCAACTTGCTTCTCACAGCCAATACGTCCCAGTAATTCCTTACGATCGCTATGCCCCGGGAGGCTGACACCGGAGCTGCTGGCCTGTCGCTTAACGCCAGTTCTTCGTTCCCAGCTTCGAAGATCGATCTCATCGGCGTCGACTTCCTCCTCGAGAGGCTCTGCCTCTTCATAGACGTATTCATCCTCGTCTTCGACAGCCTCGTCATCACTCCGAGAATCTTCTGCTCCGTCACCACGAAGCACCTTCATGGCTACGCGGACAATCATGGTGAACCAGAAGATGGTGATGCCCTGCAGAGCGAGCAAGGGGGTCAGGAATGACCACTTGACAGTTTCATTGTAGCAAACTCGTCCGGTAGAGCTGAGGAATGGCTCAATGAGCCACGAAAGACCGGCAGGCGGGTCCTCGGGTCCAATTAGGTGGTCGTTGCTGCCGCGGAAACAGCCCGAGGGCATAATCTCGGGAGTATGGGCGTAGACTGACCAACAAACCATGACATAGACAAAGTGGCGGGCCATAAGCCATGAGAGCATGAAGACGCCGAACATGATGTCGCAAAGAGTTGTGTACCCCGCATACTTTAGACACTTGGCAGCCTACATCTTGTCAGCAAAATTTGGAAGCGGTATGCCACTTCAATGGGCGAGGAGCATACCGGCAGGAACAAGTCCACCACATCCATGATGACCAAAATGACGTTACCAACACGAGTATGATGGTAGAAGTAACAGGAGGAGATGAGGACCGTGGTGATAATGTGGTGGCTAAACATTTGCCAGTGATCCTTGCGACGCTCCTCGATGTTGAGGACGATAATTTGCTGCAACCAAAAAGCCCACTGCGCCAACACATATCCCTTCATCAGTCCGTCCATTTCTCGGTTTGGCCAGTCGGTCCACATTTCACGCAGATTGAGGTAATACGGCGACTTGCAGTAGATATACTGTACAAAGTAACTGGCATTAGCATGTCAAAGCGTACTGGCAGTCCGAGACGGCAAACTCACCACGCCCATGGCCCAAAACACGCTGTAATAAACAAGCAACCAGGCCTGTTCTGTAAACCGAATCTGGTCCTTCTTCTTCGTCACGCCTTGCATTCTGGCAAACGGGGCCAAAATGTACTCCATGAAGCCAGCTCGCAGGAGAGTAAAGAGGACAATGCAGAAAGTAATGAAATAAGCGTCGTCGAACCCACTAGCATACTGGCCGGTTTTGGCATTATAGTAGGCGAGTTGGAAATATTTGCGGGTGTGCGCTCGAGCTTTCGGAATAAAATTGTGGCAGAGGAATAAGAGTGCGAGGAGGTTGAAGGAGAGGCCTAGAAACATGTGTTAGCAAAAGCTTGCTGGGGTGTTAAAAGATAACATGAGATTGAATTCAATCAATCCAATGATGATAACTTGACCACCAATCCCCACAAATGCAATTGAGGCCAAACAAGGCATTGGGAGAAATTTTTTCCCCCGCAATTTGTAGGTGACTAGCAGCTCCAATTGAGGGCAGAGTAGACGTACTGATCTGATTTTCAACAAACCAGCGGGCGAAATGTTTCCACGAGCCATCCTCCTTTCGCCGCACTCTTCTCACAAGCACATGCTTGCCGTCAGAGCTCTGCATGTACAGCGGAACCTTGGATCCAGAGGGGGAAGGCGCAGGTCTGAATTGGGATTTTGATGGTCCATCTGCGACGCCAGCGTCCAGCGATTGAGTGCGGTCGTAGTCGCCCATTGTAGGAGAGGGCAGCGAGAGACGAGAGGCGAGAGGCGAGAAACGACAGCGGAGAGAAGTCGGGCGGGGAGAGGGGGAAGAATCGACAAATGAGGCGGTGACAAGCTTTCGCTACCTAGGTACTTGAGAACTATGTCGAGTCGATGCTTCAGTCTCGTTGCGCGGGCCGGAATCTCAAGGCCTCCCTCTCTGTATGGCCTCGCCAATGGCTGGAAACGTCTCGGGCAGAGGAAAAGAACAACGAGCGGCTGGATTGCGGTAGAGCGAAGAAAGAGGCCGGGGGGCCAAGACGTTCAGATATGGTGGTTGTGGATCGCTCCGCTACGACTTGTGGGCGTTGGATTAGGTTGAGATCCAGTGACAGGCACAGGAAAAGCACTTGAGGTCTTTGGTTGAGCTTGACCCAGATTAAAGGCGGGCCAGGGCAGCAAGGGGGGGTTGCAAGAGTGACGGCTGGTTCCAGTTTTTGGTGGCTGCTTTGAGCGGAGTTGAACAGCAGCTTGTGTCTGGTGGTGTCAGTTTTTAGCGGCCAACCGAGAACTGCACAATGTGCTTCCACGTACCGACCAGTTGACAGTTTGGCACGAACTGGTTGAACAGGCACGGCGTATGGCGTAACGGCAACCGACGACAATGGCGTGAGGCGGCGTCCAATCTCTGCAAGACGTCAGACGGAGTTGCTGGAATGGATGGGGCCGAGTTTCGCCAAACACGGGGACGGCGTACAAACCAGGACAAGATTAGACTGTAGAATACATACAATATAAACTTTGAGGGCAACGAGAAACGAGATGAGTGAAATGGCTGTGGCCGAATTCCAGGTAGACGAGCATCAGGCAGATGAAGAGGCTGATGGGGGAGAAGGGGGGAACATGGGAGCGGGAGTTGGAGTGGGGGATGAGGGTGCTGGAAGTGGGCAGGTACTTGTGCACATGTACATGCAATCATCCCCTTGAGTGCGATGCAGCCTTTTGTATCTACTAGGTACTCCAGAGCACCCTTGTCAGATTCCCAGATTTCTCTACGTGTATCTTTGCCAAAAGCGCTTCAATTAATGTACTGAGGACTGTTCATAATGCTTCTATCATAATGATATGGACCTAGGTGGCCACGCATGTACTGACTTATTTCTCAGTTCTCGTTAATATCCCCCTGAGAGACTTTGTCTGCACCTTGTCCCTTACCACACTCTAGCAAGCGACACTGGCATAATAAAACCGACCGTGCTGCGACTTGTGCGTGGCCCGTGGAAGATTTATACCCATTGATTGTTGGAACCAAAGGTGCATAACCTAAAATGCACATCACCTTCGTCCTGATCAGTCCCCCCCACTTGTGATACATTGCATTGGCTTGTGTCTTTTCGATTTCACAGCAGCTTTGCAAATTATGCAATCCCAAGGTCTTGTTGCTTCTCCGTAGTGTAGATGCTAATAGCATGAATGGCCTTTTTTTACAATTAATAAGAATAACTAGAAGGATATCATGACAAGAAAGTAACATGAAAAGAAGTCAGAACGCCTTCAATTGCCAATTAATTGTATTGATGCTTGGGCAAACCTCGGCGAGTACCTAGTATGTACCTTGGGCAGATGCCATATACAACATTTGAAGCTCAGCAGCACATTCGCATCCAGCATACTCCTTGGACCTGTGCACCAGCATGTGGTATACGATAGCTGACGTGATATCATCAACGGTGGTGGGAGATTGATCTACTGGTGCCATTCATCGCAAATGCTATCTGGCCCACGCCAAGCCCAACCCAACAGCATAAAAACCATGCAGCACTTGTCATGCACCACAGAATCTGGAGACGGACACAGCCGCCCCAACTGATGCATCATCTCGTCAACATGCTCTGAGGAGTATTTATCTGCTGTATCCCCGGGGAATGCTCGCCCCGGTCATTGCCCCCCGGCGGCCTCATCTCCCCCTCTTGCCCCTTTCCCACGCCGTCGTCGGCCTCGTCTCGATTGTCGTGACCCCCATTTACCACCACCCCCATTTACCTCGAGCTTTTTTTCCCAGGCCACGCGCCAGGAAGCATGCATACAGGGATGTCGAGAACTGGAAGAGGCAAAGATGTGCGCCGCCGCCCCAAAAAACACGAAGTACCGAGTACTACTAGCAAAGAAACAAAGGCAATCGTCCTGTCGCATCAAGGCGGTGAAGGCATCGTGTTGGTATTGAGGAGCGCAAGTGTGCATGCAGCCTCCCCAGACGCCGTCGTGGCCGTTTGTTCACAAGTCCAGATGTCTGGTTCATCATTGGCCAATACAAGCCTGCCCAATTGCCCCAACAAGTCAAGTTGATCTCGTCGATGATCTTGCCCCGCCATTCATCCACACGCATAAATGCCAGGCGGCGTTTCACATTGACATTCGATTGACGCCTACCGGTGTGGGCGTTTTTGTGCAACAACCGTTCCATCTTCTCTCTCGCCTTGATAGGCAGTGCATACATGTACCCTTCTTTCCAGCGCAAAGGCCATATGCAGCACGACGGTGGCGTGCGCGCCGCCCGCCATTTGGTCAACGGGCGTCTGGTCGAATCAACTCGGCACATGGGCTGCGGCCCGTTGACCGACAGGCCACCACGCACCGTGAGAGTCTGCACCATGTGCTAGCGTATCCAGCGATATGCGGGTCCATCCAGCACTCAATCTACTCGAACTCTCCGCAAGAGGCTAGCGCCAGTGCATATCGAAATGGAATAAAATGAACCAAGGCTAGAAGGCCAGGCGATGATGCAAGTGGATGAGAAAACGGCCAATGCTGCGTTACATTTGGTTTCACAGGGTGGAGCTAACGGCCACGCTTCTGGTGACGGACTGTTATCACGGGCCAAGAAAACGTTATTAGTGTATAGCTTTTGAAAGGCTCATGGATCAGAGACGTCAGAGGATGAGCTGTTTTTGCCTCCACCACCTGTTAACCGCACATCACCATCTCCAACAAAGCGGCCCTAAACATGCCTCTCATTCTTGGATTGAATATTGCAGTGGCATCCGTTGTGTCAGTATAGGAAATTTGGGGTGGCGGTTTTCCTCACAATTAACATGCTACAGCACACGGCATTTTTTTTTTATCATCAGTGACGCAACATGAGTCGGAATTTTTAACAATGCGGAAACGCAGGAAACTATGTTTTCTGTATTTGATAATACCAACGAAAGCTACATGTTTCCACGTAATCTCTTCGTATGATATATCGTTATCTTAGAGTACACTATAAGAAATATCATACTATCCAGCTCGCTTTACTCTATTTTATTAGAGCTAATCCCATACTTGCGGATAGATGCACAATGTACTATTCAAGGTCAAAAAGACCACACAGACTGAGAGATAGAGTCTAAAAATATGGGACGCATATTTTCCAACGTATAGCTGGTTATAGCGGCGCTTCGGAAGGTCTTGTTCATTCATCCCACCGCTCGGCGATCCCCGTAGGCCTCGAATATTGCAAAGAAAAATGAGCAGCCAGACAAATACTCTTTAGGGAGCATACGGAAAGTGGTCCTTCTCGGAAGACGAAGAGCCTAGATGTCCTTAATCTTTAGACACAACCTTATACGAGAAGCTATTTTTCAGAACCTGGGTGACCTATCAGAAGAGTATTCTACTCTTCAGCTCGCCTACGAAAGGGACAGGTTGCCTGCCATCTCTAGAACGACAAGTGTTGTGAGCCACACCTCTGTACGAAAGAAACTTTTGGGTGTGTGGCAGGCGAATCTGGCAGAGCGTCTTCTCTAGAAGGTCTGTTCAAACAATTGTGTTTCCTCTTGGCCATGAGCCTCTATGCGTGTTCGTATTAAAGCTTGCGGGCATGATCCCAAGGCGTCAATAGTCGAGCTACGTGGTACGGCTGGTGATGCAACCGGAAAGCAGGTTTTGCATGTACGGGGTAAGCTCCATCTATGCAATGTAGAAGTCGGGGCACAACCGCCGGTCCACTGTCGAAACGACCGGAAATTGAAGAATCCCTAAAATTAATGTTCTTGTTACACGGAAAGGGCCCAACAGATCGTGAAGCCCAATAAAGGGGCTTCACCGACAAGGGACGTGTTAGTTACACAGATTAAACACGTGCCCGGGTAAGAGCCCTAGGCACACGCGTTCCTTATATGTATAAATAAGTGATTACTGTTCCCTTCTTTGCTCTTGGAAACCAAGGACCTTTGACACTCTTCGATATTATCTTCGAATTTGAACCCTTCACGTTCCGAGCCCTATTAAGCCCTTGTTACAGTCCTATTTACAAGTTTAACTTTTATGCAGCGATTTGCCCTCGAGAAGCGGGAGTACTTTTTAAAAACACTTGCATATTCGATGGACTGCGAGATGAGGAACCGAATTACTGCCCTCTGGGACTGGCAAGTGATAGGTCCGAAGGCATACGCCAAAATCGACAACGCCATCTCTTATTTGAATTTCCGGCAGTCTTGTATCCGGGGTTGCGTCTTTTGACAGAACAAGCACACTTTACATGACTTCTAGATGATATGAAATCGTAGATATTCAAAGTTGAAAAGGTGGCTAGGAAGCTTTCTACGCCAAGATGAATTGGCTCTAGAATATAGGGAGACAACAAGAATAGAACAGGATGAATTTATGAAAGTACTCAGTTAATATTTAGTCCTGACACATGACGTGAAATATCAACGCAGTAGTGACGATAAAGAAGCAGTCGTTGCTCGCCTCTCGTCTTTCGACGGCTTAGAAGCCGTATTCAATGAGAAAGCATACAATAGTGCGCGTATTGTTCAACACGATTTCATAAAGGGAGAAGAGGGAATTGAGGGGTGTGGGAAAATGTGTAGTTTATATTATTCCAAGGCGTTTTCTGCTACTTGACACACTACGCTACTTGTTTGTTTACCGCTCAAATGTGTGGTAAGCCGAGCGTAGATGTTAGTTATGAATGTTTCAAAAGTCACTGAAGTTTCAGCTATCAAGTAAATGGGCTTCAATACCGAAGATTTTAGCACCACTTATATTTGTTGATATTAGTTTACCATAGTATGCTTGTTGAGTTGGCCTTTTCTGATTTAGAAGAGTGTAGGTCCATGGTTATATGAAAACGAGGCGCTGTTATGATAGTCGCTTCAATGCCGCAACCGCTTGTTGATAGTTTTGATCAGTCAGGCTCACAAGCGCAAGCGACGTCTTTGGCGTTACATCACTACGGATATTCTTTAGGCTTTATGCATGAAATTAGGCTTGGCGGTCCCAGCCAAGACCCCATTCTCAATATCGTCTCTTGCAGCAACCCTGTTGGCGATTTCCCAACTAGGCCACTCGCTCGCCCAATAAGCCCAACTAATTCCGTTTCCCCTCACCCTAGTCCATGTCGGCCAAGAAGGCAAAGTTTGGATTGCGACTGAGCATCCAACTCGATTCCACGTGCTGGCTCTGTCAGCACACTCAACACCGCGGACCAGGATACCGAAATGATGCTGCCGATGGAAACCAGATGAACTACTCATTTTGATTTCGAAAGGCACCAGCCACGTTTTCAAATTCCCACTACTTATTGGCGCTGCGCGACATCCAACGGTTCCCAACATCATGTCTCGCTCCACTGCCCTACGAGCAGCAACAAAAACACTTATATATGTCGCATTCTTGCCTCATACCAAAAACCACATCATCGTCCTCTCCTCGCGTGTGGCGAACGAATCACCATGGTTCGGTCTATCCTGCTTGTCGCCGCGCTGGCTGGCTTCACCCACCAAACTGCCATCCCTTGCACCACCAACGCCAAGCTGCCCAGCTTGAAGTTCCGTGACGATGGAAAGTTTCAGATAGCCGTCTTTTCAGACTTTCACCTGGCCGAATGTGCGTATCGTCTCCCACTTTGGTCCTCGGACTCAACACCCACTAACCGAGGCCAGCTGCCGCAACCCCCCGCGGGCCCAAGCAAGACAACAAGACGATCCAAGTCATGGCCGACGTCCTCGACAAGGACCGCCCAGACCTTGTCGTGCTCAACGGCGATCTCATCACCGGAGAAGTCACCCTCAAGGACAACAGCACAGACTACATCGACCCGCTGGTCGCGCCTCTTGTCGAGCGCAACCTCACATGGGCCTCGACCTACGGCAACCACGACCACACCTTCTCCCTGTCCGCCGAAAACATCTTCAACCGCGAGCACGAGTACGTCGGGGCGCGGACGCAGCGCATGGTCAGGACCGCCGAGGCCGGCGTATCCAACTACTTCCTGCCCGTATACGCCCGCTCGTGCAGGGACACCACGGCCTGCGACCCCGAGCTCCTCCTCTGGTTCTTCGACTCCCGCGGAGGCGCGTACTACCAGAGGCCGACGGCGGCGGGAGCGCCCACCCCCCAGCCCAACTGGGTAGACACCACGGTGGTAGAATGGTTCCAGGGGACGAATGCCGCGTTCGTCCAGAGGGCAGGCCGCGTGATCCCCTCGCTCGCGTTCGTTCACATCCCCCCGAATGCGACGAGCCACGCGCAGCGCCGAATCCGCCCCAACCGCAACCCGGGCATCGACCTCGAGCAGGTGTCGCAGCAGTCGCAGGGGTGGTGCGCAAACGGCACGCAGGACTGGGACAACCCCCGGTGCCGGTATGGCGGGTTCGACGTGCCGTTTATGAAGGCCCTGGCCACGACGCCCGGCCTCATGGGTCTGTTTTACGGGCACGACCACGCGAATACGTGGTGCTACCGGTGGGACGGGGAAGTGCCGGGGACGGGCATCGTCGCGAGGGGCATCAACCTGTGCTATGGTCAGCATACTGGCTACGGGGGCTACGGCGACTTTATCCGGGGCGGGCGTGAGATTGTGCTGGATGAGGGGAGGCTGAAGAGGTTCGAGGTTGATACCTATATGAGGCTGGAGGATGGGAGGACCGTGGGCGCGGTTTCGTTGAACGCGACGTTTAATCGGGATTGGTATCCTGCGACGCCTAACGATCAGACAAAGCTGGAATGAGGGGATAAATATAGGGGGGGATAAATATAAGGGGGGGGAAGCATGTAATCGGTCGGATACTGGCCGTGACGTTTTATACTATAATGTCTGGTGTTGTAGTACGGAGTATAGTAGCACTTGGTGTATATTTGTTGGTGGGCAACTATATTCTGCCATTGGCTGTAGACTACATATGTCAACTAGTACTTGAAACAAGCGCCAAACGCCCATCTTGTGCCTGTTCCATGTCCCCTTGGAAACGAGAGGCGCCGACATACCGGGTGCTTGCCGTCGACTCGACACAAGACGTCGCCCCGCCCGGCGCCGAGGCTCGGCGAGATTATTCCTCCGGACGACACATTTGATCAGACATCATCAGACCACGAAACATGGGTGGATGCCATTGCGGCGCCGAACATGCTCCACACGGCCGAGAACATGTCTTGGATTAGAGTTCAAACATGGTCAAATACCGTTCAGCTCACCACGATTTGGGTTTGGGATCTGGGATATAAATGCCAAACCAGGCCCCCTCCCCTCCTCGGTCCTCACGGGACACAACATTGAACCTACACACCGTTGCCCTCACATAGGAACACGTACACGGCGCTTCCCCTTTTACACCACCATGCCTCCATCACCACCCACCTACGCCGACCAGCAAGCCTGGAGAGACATCCAGGCCTATCTCCCCAGCCGGCTGCACTTCACGCCCGAGCACTCCCCCGTCGAAGAGTTCTGGTCTCACCGCGGACACACCCTCCACCTCGACCGGTGGCCCAACCCTTCCTCCAAGGTCCGCCTCATCCTCCACCACGGCGTCGGCACCAACGGCCGCCAAATGTCCCTCCTCCTCGGCGTGCCCCTGCACACCGCGGGCTTCGACCTCGTCGCCATCGACATGCCCGGCTACGGGTGCACCCGCGTCTCCCCCCAGAACAAAAACTACCCCTACGACGAGTGGGTCCAGATCGCCAGCGACCTGATCGACCGCGAGATGCGCGACGACCCCCGGCCCATTGTGCTCTACGGCCTCTCCGCCGGCGGCATGCTCACCTACCACGCCGCCGCCAAGAACAAGCGCGTCAGGGGCATCATCGGCATGACGTTTCTCGACATGCGCATCCAGCAGGTTGTCGACGCGACGGCGAGGAACATCGTCATGTCCCGCGCGGGCATACCCCTTGCCAAGGTGGCCAATGCCGCGGGCCTGCCGTGGTTCAGGCTGCCCATGTCGTGGGCGAGCAAGATGTACGCGCTGGTGAATGATGCCGCTGCGCTGCGTGTGTTTCTCAAAGACAAGTCGTCGGCGGGGGCCATGGCGTCGGTGCGGTTTCTGGCGACGTATGCGGGTTATCGGCCGGCGTTGGAGTACGAGGACTTTGACGTGTGTCCGGTCTTGTTGACGCAGCCGGCGGACGATAGGTGGACGCCCTTGCGTCTGAGTGAGCTGGTTCTCGGGAGGGTGAAGAAGGTGCCGGTGCGGATTGTAGAGCTGGAGGGGGCTGGGCATTACCCCTTGGAAGATAGGGGGCTGCAGCAGATGGTAGATGCTATTATTGAGTTTTTGAGAGAGGTGGAACAGCAAGTGTGATGCTGGAATACTTGTGGGCTGGTTTTCGACATGGGTATCTTTGGTGGACGTTTACGTTGTTTATACGTGGGAACGCGATGGAACGGGGAGGCCGAAGCAGTCGATGCTCTTGGGCGATGAACGTGGCATGTCAAGAGTAAGTGGCTCATGCAAGACAACAGCATGGCAGCGGTATTACCAATGGTCTATACTACCGTGGCGGCCATCTAATTTCTCCTTGGCGGTTTATAACCGTCTTGGCTAGATGCAAGCTCACGGTGAACTACATCCCGAGTTGAGCAATATCAGCGTTCAGACAATGGGACAGGCAGATCATACGACACGCATCGAAAGCAGTTCTGATACCCATTCATCATTAATTAGCCGCCGAGGTATCGTAACAGAGTCAAATGGCTGCCAATATACCACATGCATCGCTAAGCCCATCACTGTCCTTGAATGTCCGGGTCTTGCTGACATTTAAAGAAAGTTTTCTCGTCCGTGTAAGACCCCTTGAACCCGAACCCAGCACTTTCATCGCCGCCTTCCTCCGAGAACTGGGCCTTGAATTCAAAGCCAGCCATATCTGCGTGGACCATCACAGCTGGGTACAGTCGACCTTGCACATTTTGGAATGCTAGGCCTGAGGCCATGTACTCTCGTTAAAAACAAGTCCGTACCACGTAAAACGGGCAGCCAGAACAGGGATGTACGTACCAATGATTTTGCCGTTTTTGGTGTAAAAGGCCATTCTGTGCTTGAAGTTTACTCCGCATCCGATAACATCGCCCTCGCCGTACTTCGGACCGCAGTTGGGATTCGTGTAGTCCCCTTAGTTGCCAAAATGGCCGTTGCCGCCATGATACCACCAATCTCCCCACGACGAGTCTGCGCCGGAACCCAACGGGGTGTCTTCGCGACAGAAGCCCACGGCAAAGCGCTTACAGGGGCTTTTCCACGTGTTACTTGTAGGCGTTGAAAGAAGGGGAACGGGCTGTGCATACCTGGAATTGCAGCCTTCGTTGACAATAGTCACCTCGAAATAGTATACGTCGTCCCTCGTCGGCACCATGGGGTGGTTCGCTCGTGCGATGCCTATGCGGCACGTCTCACAACGGTTCTCTAGTCAGGGCCATTCGTTAGTGATTTTTTCCCTACTCTCTCCGACTTGGCATTCACGGCAAGTCTACGTACTGCTCACCGAGATCGACCTGGCATCGGGTTGACGCAGGAGTGAGAAGAACTTGTCCTGGGGGTGCCATTCTGTTGGAGCCTGTAAGAGAGGCGGCGCGCCTTGACTTCCCCCAGGCACACCCAGCATGGCACGGCGAATCATGTCGACGATTTCGGGGTTGTCACATTGTTCAGCGGTGTACAGCGCGGTCCATCCATTGCTGTCCGCCAGCACCAACGTGGAAGCAGAGTCGGTCATGATCTTGGCCAACAGCTCCTTGACAAAGTCTGCCTGCCCAGCGGCGGCGGCGGCATTGATGGCAAGGACAAAGGGTGATTTAGTTTGTGCCAACTTGTCCACTTGACGGAAAACAGTGCCAAACATGTCGGCATCGCCCCGGAGAGCTGCCCAGTATAACGCATCACGACCGCGCACGTCTCTGGAAAGAGGATCACCACCGGCCTCCAGCAGTCTCTGAACAGTTTCATGATGGCCACGACGAATAGCGTATATGAGGGCCGTCTGGCCCCGATGGTCCTGTAGGTTGACGAGAGTGGGATGCTCTGGTAGAATGTCCGGGCACATGCCATGCCTGACGGCGACAATCAGCAGCGTCCGGCCAGCCGAGTCTCGGGCATTATGATTGATATTCGGATACTTGTGAAGCAACCGCTCTAGGCTGACCCGGCTCCACATCCAGGGATATCCGAGCAGACGTTATCCAGGACGTCCGGGGACGACACCGTGGTCAACGAGTATTTCTAAAATGTCTCTACGGTTCTTTTGAATCGCCAGTCGCTCCGGCATCCCGCGGCTAGACCCGACATCCGCCTTGGCTTCGACGAGGAGTTTAGTAATGTCAATGCTGCCCTCACGGATCGCGGCGCACAGCGCGGAGCTGGATAGTCTGCGGGCGAGGTTGACGTCGGCACCATGCTCCAACAGAATCCCAACCATGGTCGGCGAATTCCGTTTCACCGCCGCTTGGAGTGCCGTGTAGTAAGGGCACGACTTGGTACTTGTGGCATTCACATTGGCCTCTTGTCCCAGAAGGAACTTGACAGTCTCCGTCTTGTCGTGCCATACCGCCGCCATGAGGGGAGTTCCGTGGTCATCAGACATCTACTCGAGATTTGCCCCTTGACGCAGAAGGTATTCAACCATCTCCGGGGTATCCCTCATGGCAGCGTGATGAATGGCTGCCGTGCCCTTCTTGTCCGCGGCATTGACGTTCGCACCGCGTTCTACAAGGAGTTGAACTGTAGCAAGCTGCCCATAGAATGCGGCAGCAATGAGGATGCTGCCGCCATCATCGCCCGTGCAGTCCGGTTGGAAACCGGCGTGTACAACATTACTATCGCTGCGAGTCGTGGCATTTGCGCCTCGCTCGAGCAGTAGCTTCGTAGCTTCGGGGTTGAAGCAACATTCCTGTAGAACAGTCCGCTTTGTCGGAAGCTGCTTGCTCCCAATGTCCACGCCTGGGTGTCTTTCCAACACCATTTCCAGCATCTTTGTGTCCTTGCGATTGGCTATGAGCAAGAGAGGCGATACATTTTGCTCATCCCTTGCATCTATATCGGCGCCTTGGGACAAGAGCATCTTGACGACGTCCGCGTCCCCCCCTTCGAGCGCGAGATGCAACGGCTGCCTTCCCATGAAATCCTGAACGTCGTGCTCGGCTCCCTTTTCAAGTAGATATTCCACGACGGGTGCATTGCCCACCGACGCGGCGGCATGTAGCGCCGTACAAGCAATAGAAGCTTCGGGTCTCCAATTGATGTTCCAGCCTCTCTCGTGGAACAAACGAAGCATATCTCTGCCCTTTTTTAAATTTTCGGCCGCCATAGCCAACGGGCTTTCTCGTACACCCCGAAGTTTCTTTGGGTGGATAGGCACCCCGAGAAGCATCTCAACAATGCGAGTGTGGCCTTTCTGCACGGCCACGAATAACACATTAAGTTGATCTTTGTTTTCGTCACACAGGTGGTAGTCCTCTGTCCGCGCGGCAAGGAGCTTCTCCATGACTTGCACATGACCCAACGATGCAGCAATATGAAAGGCTCTCTCGCCATTGGCGGTAATGGCGTCTACGTTGGCATCATGCTCAAGCAGCAGCTGAACGGAAAGACTTTGACCAGCCTCGGTTGCGAGGTGCAAGGGGGTTTCTCCGGAGCTGTTCCTCGCGTTAATATCGAAATTACCGGACTGCTTACATCTTTCTTCCAACAATAGTTTCATGATGCCTATGTGTTGGTTCTTTGCGGACAAATGCAGTGCCCGGTTTCCGTCCTCATCCGTGATAGCAGTGTCGACTCCAGCTTCAATGAGCTTACGAGCAATCTATGTCCAGCCGCCTGACGCTGCACCAAGGAGAGCAAGGGATCGGCTTTCTTCCGAGTTGTATTCGGGGCGTTCGACCAACGCACGAAAGGCGGGCCAAACATATATATCGCCTTGTTGGGCATCTTTGTCTTGTGAATTCATAATGTCCAACCGACTCGGTACGATGTCGCTATGTTTTGGCTCATCAACAAGTTTGGCGGACCGTAGCAATACTTGCGTCGATATGTCCAGGTCCCTTCTCTCTCGATGTCAGGAAAATCGGCTGTTGGCCGCTGGCTTATTTGCGGGAACAAGACTAGAAACAACCATTAGAGCAATGAAAGATTTCTCCTCGCTGAAATCACTGACCTTGTCGCGATGTATCACTCGAATGCTTTCTCTGTGATGCGTTGAACAATCTCCATAGTTGGTTGACTGGCAGGTGGGAAAGAATACGACCTGGGACAATTTTCTGAACCGTCTTTAATATATGAAATCGAGTAGCTAAATTTTCCGCGCCAGGTGTTCAGTCGTGCCTGGGATCTCAAAGAAGCCGACATGAGGCTGTCCAGACTCCTGACCATGGTGGCATGGCGCTTTGATACACTCGCTGATACAGCATCGGAAACAATTCACAAGATGACGGGTCATATCCTCGTACAACATGGTGGGTGCCAAGTTATTCCATTGCATATTGACAAACAGGCACGGAGTGATGGGGGTATGCACGGGTTCAATTCTGATCCGGGCGGACAATGGAACATGTCGCTATTTTTACGCGTGGCTAGAACAAAGCCATCGCGGCTTGATTCGAGCTGTAACACTGCATCTCTTGTTTTGAGGCTGTGAAAGAAATCGAGACAATTTAGCAAATGTGCGGTTACACCGTGCAACATTTTTCTCAAGACCTCTGAGAATGGTATTGCACAATGGCTCGAGAGGCAATTGCTAAAGTTAGCTCCAAGCACTCTAGGGTACTCTTCCACGTTTATATCCGGCCTGGCATGTTGGTTCGATCTGCCGCCTCTTTGATCGAGGCTGGCGATTGTCTGCCGTCGGGTTTTACCGCCAAAGTTGATGCGAAACGAAACGGCACCTTGTTTCCCACACGTAGCCAAGCTCAGAGCCTGCGGCGATCCCCGCGTCCCTGGCGCTGGACTTGAGTGCTTCATCAAGGTATTGTTGACTTAGATTTATTCACGGTGAAGACACCAACGGGCAAGAACCGGCTAAGTGGCGAAACGGCGAGGATGGGCAGACTGCCCCTGAGAAGATGTTGGATGGAAAAGTCAGGAGGAATCGTACTGCCGCATCAGGCCCGACTGCAGGAGAAACTTCTCCAGCGAACAGTAAGCGAGTCCCAAAATTATAATTCACAATCTAATTTCCCAGGATCATTTGCGAAATGAGGCGACGCCAAGGTTTGATAACTCAAGAAAGACTTTGTATACATTCATAAAGTATATACATCAACATTCTTGCCCGTCGTCGGGGCAATTCCAACAACTGGTAAGAGCTATAAGTTACAGATTATAGGGATCATGTAACAAGGTCCCAGTGAGGGCTTAGAGAAATAACTCAATTCATCCAAGAACAGTTCTCTGTATTCAAGGCCCTTCGTTGTCTTCAAGGTCTAGAAGACCAAAGAGCTGAATTTACACAAGACGTCAGTGAGCCTCGTGTCACCTGGTCTCGTGTTCGGAGCCCTTCGTATCATCCATGCGACACCATGTTGAGTTGTATAGGCAGTGTCGTGGAGAGTCGTTGGTAACTTGCCCTCATCATAATTTGTACGAACGGATCCAGCATCTTCTGCACTAGCATGAAAAGATTTATTTCATCCCGCCAGTAACTGGCGTATCGGATCGGTGTTCTCCGGCCCTTGATATGCTTGGGTCTGTTCGCACTTTGATCCAACGTCGAGCAGCCGGTGCGGGACTTGGACCTCAGGATCGTTGGTCTTGTTGGAGCTGTAGTGATCCGAGATACATTCCCACAACTACTCCTCTTCCCTGCTGAAGCCAGGTTCTGATTCCAAAATACGACTGTCCCGGCCATTATTGTTGCGGGTTCTCCCATTCCGCGCACCATGCGGATTCAATCAGATATTGCAAGATGGAGACTCCAAACCAAGGTCCAGTCTACCAATGAGATCATGTTTAAATTGCCAAACGGCTCTGAGGTCAACTTGAACGCGATTTCTTGGCAGTGTAGCTTGGTACATGAGAGCAGATCTAGCTGAAGATTGCTGAACCTATTCACAACAGCTTGATAGAGCTGGCATTCTGTGCTGACAGCAACCGAAACTCCTCGAACCGTTCTCTGGATTCCCCGCCTAGCTTTTAGCTGGTAGAGGTTCGCTCGCCCAGACTCCTTGTAGTCATCACAGGCTTGATATACAAAGCAAATGCTTTAGGAGATAATACCTGCGAACAATAGCCACTCTATCTGCAACCAGGAAGCGGCTCCGACGATCACTGATGAATTCGATGAATTAATTAATTTCAAGTGGATAAAAATCTCCATATTTTATTAATATTCCAGCTAGTCATCGGACCAACTTTTCGCGCCGCATGGAGGTTTGACTATACAACCGACTTGGCGTCTTAACAGCCGCCGTATACTTGCCAAGTACTCAATAAAGACAATCCTACAAAATAAAACGCAGAATAACCTGCTAGATACGGACTCCAATCGCATGATTCATGCTGCCAAGGGCTCACCTATCCACAGGAGAAAATGCTTCCACGCTGGGTGCTGTGTTGCTCAGAGAGACATGCCAAGCCCACGTGGGATCAGGCCCGATCTTGCAAATCCTGGCTGACAAGCGGCCAGCTTTACTATTCAAAATAACTTACATGGTCTATTGTAGGATCTGTCAGACGAGGCCCACCGCAATCTCGCGTATCGCTCACTGTATGCTCTTGTAGGATCCGACTTCGGTGTTGTGTGCCGAGCCAAGATGCCTTGGGTATTCAAAATTCGGTGGCTGAGGCTTTATAGGGCCTCGAATACTCCTCGAACCAGCCCCGATGAGAATATTGCTTGTTAGGCTCCGGTATTGGTCCATTGACAATACAAATTTTACGGCGTTACAGACTCCTTGGCAGTAGGACGAGGCATTGTAGTTGGCCCACCGTCTCTGAAAGTTTAATATCGAGGACCGCAATTGATATTCTATATTGCTCAATGTGAGGACGCGTCTTTTTTCCAGCAACTAGCAGAGCAAAAAGAATGTGCTTCTGCTAGGAAGAAGCTTTGCGGCAATTATAGAGGCCAATTCACCTGTAAGGCATGAGATTATCAATGAGACGATTCAAAAACTTGTACAATATGGATAGGATGGTACAGAGTGATATTTTCACGGGAAATTCCTGGTAAATACGCGGATCCACGTCAAAACAAGTCTTTATAGACTGTGGCAACATTCCGGAGATTATAATGGCCTCACGTAGAAGGAACTATTCCACTTTTTAGTCCATATTTTTCCATTTCCATGTTTTTATTCATCGAAGCCAAGGCAACTCTGCCCCCGAGGAGGCACCGTAGCCATGTCCTAGCATCGCCTCTTCCGGAGTTGACGAATGATTTTAGATGTCCCGCGAAAAGAAATTGCATCCTTCCCGCCATCACAGGGCCCATAATCGTATGATGAGAAAGAGTCACCAGGCTTGTGCGTTTTCAATAGTCTAGCGAGATTCCCCTGCATTCATTATAGAGTACCCGCTCGTATAGGCCGCATAGCCGGCCGCCCGGTTACCCGCGGTCAAGGAGTCTTATACGAAGTATAAAGCATACTCGTAACCCGGCCTATATCGTGGAACAATCTCCAATTCGACTATTTTTCCGATCACTTGTTCAACGCTTCTCGCCACCATGAAAGTCACGCTTATTATGATTCAGGTTCTCGCGGCCATGGGATTCGCAAGCCCTGTGCCCGAGGAGGAGCCAACTCGCGTAAAGCGCCTGCAGTTTTGCAATCAGTACGGCGGCTGCAAGCCCCAGCCGTCCGCGAGCACCTAGTAAGTCCATGTCCCTTCCATAAACGAGATTTTGTGCTGGAGGCTAATCCATAGATGTGAGACTTGCAGGCATGCCGTCTACCGTCCGAATCTGAACTGCCGCCACGGTCCGGGGGATAAGCATATTCACGAATTCAATATATTGTGGAATAATCAGGATTCTATCCGATTATTCACTTTTCTATGGCTGTGGGAAGGGTGGATATGGATTTCAATGTGGCATTCTTGGAACAGTCGACTACGACTCGTTTGTAGCTTATCGTATGTTGTCTGGTGTTAAGAAATTCAACTCGCCGCAAATACCAGATCTTTGCTAGCAAAAAATTGTGACTATGGCATGAAAATCACGACTGACATTTTGGCACTGCTGTGGCCAGAATTTGTTCGCCTAAAACTGTCTATCTCGTAATCCATGTGTCTTCCTGGACAATATTGCACAGCGCCGTGAACCACACCCCATTTTTACCCAACTTGATGGCTCCCGCTTTAGAGGCTTAAACTTGACGTGGCGGCCTCCAGCTTGTTGCTTTCCCGGCAAATGTCTGTTATCATAATTCGTCCCGGCGTCGATTCCCAGCCATATTTCAGAAGGGCATCTCTGTGACTTCTACGTACTTGGAAGCGTTTGTGTGCCGATTGCACGGCCAGAATTCTGGTGGGAAAAAAAAACTTATTTCCACAGTACCGAGAGACAAAAAAAAGAAGGGTGCCTGGAGGTGCGTATGTTCACACATACCAGGGTTCTCTCCACGACTTGGCGCTGGATAAGCCTATTCGACGAGATATAGTGTCAACGGAATACAGGGGAGGATAATTGCTTCTCAATAAGATCATGTTCTCTTCATATGGCACCTCCTTGGCGCACAAAGGGAAAGCCTCCCCCTCGCCACCACGAACCGAGCACATAGACATCTTTAAACCAGGCATATGCCCGCAATGAAAAGTAGAAAAGCAATAACCAGTTTCTTAACGACCCTCAAGAACGGGCCAGCTCTCATAATACAGGGCAGGCTTCTATGACAATATTACAGGGCGTCTAATCTATGACATGTCTATACATCGCCCTCCCAATCCACCCTCTCTACGCCCTGCCTCCTATAATACACCCTTTTCGCCCACTTCCAGCCCTCGTTCCCAGCCAGGTAGACCCCTACCGCAATAAACACCACTGCCCACTCCCACGAAATTCCCTTGTGCATAAACACCACGTCGTTGATAACTGGGATGTACAGTGTAGGAAAGACCATGACAAAAACAACTATCACGGAAAAGAATAAAAACTTGTTACTCCAGAAATGCGCCAGCCATGCCTTGAACCCATACGGCATATCGAACAGCGATCGACGGAAATCAATGAGCTCCCACGCGAAGAGGAGGAAGATCCACGTCATGGTGGTGTAACTCGTTGCGCGTGCGCGGAAGACGGCTTCACAGGAAGACGAGTATTTGTTGTTGCAGTCGGAGCCGAGGTCGCCATTGTCGAAGCCGAACACGACGACGGTGAAGGAGCCGATGGTGCAGCAGGCCATGAGGGCGCCGTAGATGACCATGTCGAGGAGGAACTCGCGGGTGAAGACGCCATATTTGAGCTACCAGACGCCAAGGTGAGCACAGGGATGCATATTTTGCGAGAGTGTTGCAGAGTGAGAGACTTACATTCTGAGGGGGGCGGTTGAGGATGTCAGGGACCGCGCGTTCAAATCCCAGCCCGGTTTCACAGAAAGCCCCGGTGGCCATAAGCATCCACAGAATCTCAACCGGCGTCAACAAGAAGACGGACACGTCGGAGCCGTCCTTGAATGCCAGTCCGGTGAGCAATGAAACCACAAAGCCAATATTCGCCGCCAACACGTGCAATATGAACTTTTGGATGTTGTCAAAGATCCGGCGTCCTTCCTCGACGGCATTGAGGATCGACGCAAAGTTGTCATCGGTCAGCACGATGTCGGCGCTCTCTTTGGCCACGTCTGATCCCGTGCCCATGGCAATACCGATATCTGCACGTTTCAAACTAGGACTGTCATTGACGCCGTCGCCTGTCATGGCAACGTAGCGGCCTCGTCTGTGGAGGGCTTCAATCATGCGAACCTTTGTGCTGGGCGCGCAACGGGCCACGACAAGTGGGAGCTGCTGAAGATTGTCGATTTGGCTGTCTGACAGGGCGTCGAATTCCTGAGCGGTCATCATGAGAGTGCGAGACATGTCGGCGGGGAGCATGCGAATCTTGTCTTCGGAGGGAAGGATATTGACTTCCATGGCAATGGCGCGCGCTGTTTGCGGGTGATCGCCTGTGAGCATGTGCACCATGATGCCGGCTCCTTGGCAAGCCTTGACGCTGGGCAGAGATTCGCTTCGCGGAGGATCGTATATGCCGATGAGGCCGCGGAAAATGAGATTCTGCTCGAACTCGCAGCGGTCTGGGGAGCTGCCATGTGCAAATTCGGCATCGGAAACGTCGCGGTCCAAGGGCTTATGGGCTAATGCGAGAACACGAAGACCTTGCCCGGCCAAGGAGACCATGTTGTCAAGAATATTCGATTTGATGGTTTCTGTAAGTGGTTCGACGGCATCGTCAAATGAAATGCGGTCACAGATTTCGAGGACTCGCTCAACCGCTCCCTGTTTCATGAGTTAGCAGATTTCCCTCAGAGAGCCAATGACATGCATATTTGACCTTTGTAAAGACATGTGTTTGCTGCGACTGACAGCTCCGAAACAGGACTGACATCTTCTTCACATCTGAATCAAACGGAAACTCAGCGACATGCTGCCACTTCTTCTTTTCCCCTTCGGACAACTGAACGCGGCTCCATCCAAAGCGCGAGGTAAATACTTCAATGGCAATCTCAGTCGGGGCGCCACGAGCCTTCCACTCCCCAGGGCCTTCAGCGGTGTCCTCCGCCTTCTCCAAAGTGGCTAGGTTTGCCAAGGAGGCAATGCTGAGGTACCACTGAAGCGAGGTCTTGTTACGAGCGTCATCCTGAGGTGCGACGGGCTGTTCTCTATTTTGTTTCTCGTGCGTTTGGGAAATGTCTTTGGGTTGGGACGCAGTGAAAGCAACTGCCCCAGCCGTCGGATTGTAGACTTGGTTTCCTGTGTCCACAGAATACGTGCCAAAGCCGGGAATCCAAGCCTTTCTTACCACCATGCGTCCTTGTGTGATGGTGCCAGTTTTGTCCGAACAAATGTCTGTCATATGTTGTCAGTAAACCAGGATCAAGACGAACAAAACGAATGCAACGCGCACGTACTGGTAACACCGCCCAATGCCTCCAAACTCTGCAGGTTGCGAACAATGACGTGCCTCTCCACCATCTTCTTGGTACCGGCAGCCATGGTAACTGTCAAAACCAACAGCAAAGACACGGGGATGGTGCCAACCGACGTCGTAACCGCGTACAAGATGACGTCTTTCCTCGTATCAAACTTGTTTGCTCCCAGCACAACAATGGCACAGACGATGGCAAAGACAAACAAGGAGACGAATAACTGGGATAGCTTCCTCTGCAGCGGGGTGCCAACAGTCAGACCCAGAAACTCGCCAATCCAGTTCCTCATCATCCTCCCCGCTTGCTTGACGTAGGACAGGGGTGAAGGCCGGCTGTCTTGTTGGTCAACAATGATCTTACCATCGCTGTTCAAAGCGCTGGCAATGGCTCCAATTTCTGTAAACATGCCAGTGGCGAAAACTACACCTCGACCACGCCCCTTGGTGATTGTGGTGGAGCTATAGACGACATTGAGGCGATCGCCTGGGCCGGTATCCTCGTCGAATGTCAATTTCGGACTCTTGGACATGGGCATCGCCTCTCCGGTGAGGAGGGCCTCGTCAGCTTCGAGATTGACTGCTTCAATCAGTCGAATATCTGCCGGAACAGAGTCTCCCGTGTTGAGGTCAACAATATCGCCGGGAACCACATCGGCGGTTTGGATATTGATGGTGTCCCCGTCTCGGTAGACGTTGCATGTCGGGAACCCAAGGGTGCGCAGTGAATCAATCGTCTTCTCAGCTTGCAGTGTCTGAAAGAATCCGATGACGATGTTGACACAAATGATGCCTCCTAGGATGCCGCCGGCGATCCAGGCCTCAATGCCGAAACTAGCAGCCAAGGCAAGAATAAGAACCTGCCCATCAACACAAGTTAGCCATACTAGATTTTTTTTTCCCCTCTCTCCCCTAGGTTGTTCCAGGCTTACCAGAGTCATGGCATTGAAGATTTGCTCGAGAAAAATGGCTACGGGCTGCACACCCTTCTTTTCCTTCAACTGGTTTGGCCCATACTCGGCCAGCCTCTCGACAGCCTCTGCGCCGGTCAACCCTTGTGACGGGCTCGCGCGCAGTTCCTCCAGAACATCGTCGACGGACAGGCTATGTGCCGGACGACTCAATAGCTTGTTACACTGGCCAGACACGTGGCCTGCCAGGGCGTGCTGTTGAGCAGTCTTGCCTCCCATGATAGGCTGTGGTTGTGATGGCACGGCAGCCACAGACGATGCATACGTGTGAGAAATGGACTAGGGAACAATGGTCGAGCGAGCTTTAACCCCATCACCAAGGTCAAAGGCCAGAGGACGGCTAGATATATACATAGATGGACAGATTACCGGCAGTCCTTGGTCATGTCGTGGATGCACATTAGATGCCATTTTGGGAACAGTCGAGGCTTGGGCACGACTCAGCAGTTGTCGTCGGGACCCGAAGCGGCCGCCGGACCGTTCAAATACGGCGCCTAAGTCATAACCTCTGCATCGAGGCGGCATGGCAACATGGGTCCAGCCAGATTCATCAACTGGGGATGAAAGAGGAGTGCCTGAGTGGCAAAGAATCGACTGCGTCCATGTGTTCCGATCAAACGTCTGGCAGATCTGGAGTTGAGCCAGGCACTAAACTGTATTCGGCAGCCAAGACGCATTCAATCGAGGGAAGTGGATCCAGGGTAGCCACATCTTGCGGACAACTTCTTGACGAGATACCTTACATAATTTACGCACATGCATGTGCGATGATGATGGCCCAAAAAGGCAGCCGAGCCTCATTGAAAGACTACAAGTCGGATCCTGAAGACAACAACTCGGATTCACAGCCCCTACGCCCCTTCTCGAACACTTTCGTCATGCAACGACCAGCCGAATCAGGCAGAAGGCCAAGGCCCTATTGACTGCAGTGTCCATGACTCCATGTTTCATACTCGCAGTCCAAATGCAATTTCCAGTCACCAGTTGGTGGGCGCCATTGGTCGAGCTCCCCGCCAACATCGCCCAGCCTTTTGTTCTGGTCGTTCACAACATGCTGAGTACGGGAGGACATGTCGAGAGCGAGATGGGATATTGTTAACAGAAGCCGTCAGTTGTAAGCTCCCAATAATCCCAACCAATTCCCCCCCATCGTCATGCCATCCTGATTGTTCAAGCACAGCTGGATGTGTCAATCATGTCCCAAGACTACACACGTCATTGCGCGTGCAAGTGCAGACAAAAAAAAATTATATTCGCTCTGCTAAAACGCTCATAATCTAGTTCTTTCAACCCGATGACACGATTCTCACCATTCAGGCCCCAACCCTCACGTTACAGCAGATTCAAATAAGCCGGATTTTCATAATCGACATTGGCATGCTTCGATTCAATGCGGTCACCACAGGTGCCAAAAATACGGTCCCAAACACGCGTCTGCTTGCCGTAATTCTGGCTCTTTCTCCAACCCTTTCGGTGATGCAGGTCATGGTCCTCGACGACAAGCTCCATGTTCAAGTACGTCAGCAGCCAGTGAAACGTGGACGAGGCGCCAATGTGTAAACGCAGACCACTATGCCCGCCGAACTCGGTAAAGGCAATATACTGGTGGCAGATCCACCAACTATAAAAGTCCAGCGGCACGCCAAAGGCCTTAAAAGTAAGGAAGGTTAAAAAGGGAACGCCGACCATATCAAAGAACTCCTGCTCCTCGTCGGCATAGGCTGCGAGGCTAGGGTTTGGGTGCTTGGTGAGGTGGTGAGTGCGATGGAACTTCCACAGAAAGTTCACGTCATGCATGGCACGGTGGTACCAGTAGAACCAGAAGTCAAGGATGATGCCATATAGGCCGGTTTGCACAACAAGCCAAGCCCACCACGTCCAGGAGCTCATGACGTCGGCGGGCGATTCCGACGCCTTGTACGTGAGGAAGACGGTCATGGCCATTCGTCCGCCGGCCGTCTTGGGGCCAGCCATGACAACCCGGGCCACTCCAATGTCGGGTATGCCGTCTCGATCGTGCACGTCGCCGTCCAGGAAGCCGTACATGTGGCCGAGGCGTCGGATTTCGCGGAGCTCGAGGATGACAACGGCCAGGAACGCCGTCGTGTAGTAGCCAATGGCCAGTAGCGGGGAGAGGTTGGTTCCCGTAGCGGTCACCCAGGCTTGGTGGATGGCAAGAGGGATGAGGGCATGGATGAGAATCCAGGCGTGTGTCGTCCACTGCGGCACATAGGGGACCTTGTCTGTCTTCTGGTGGACTGGGGTCGGGCGCTTGGGATCCCAGTGGTATACGCCCAGCAATTCCACCGCCCAGTGGAAGACTGTCCATTTGCTCCGGTCGCCAAACCGCCATGTCGATTTGATGGAATCCTTGGGGTTGACTTGGGAGACGGGGCTCGCCGTCGTTGTCTCGGTGGCCGCCATTTTGCGACTCTCTATGAGAGAAGGGACAATAGACAATTGGGTCAAACGGGTAGTTGTACGGTATATCAACAAGCTCAACTCGGCATGGCTCACAACGTCTACATATGGCTGGCAAGGCCAAAATATATACTTGTCATCTGCAAGTGTGCAACCTGCTTTCACATGCTTAGAAAACCCCCAACCCTCCATCTGCAGGAGTGTCGTCATGTGCCCCAAATGACAGGAGCTGTTTACTCATACAGCCCGTTCTCCCCAACAAAAAAAGGGTATCAAGACTCGAGAGCGCCTGAGTTGAGACGGTCAGACCAAACCCCTGGGCGGGGTCCCGTTGAACTAAATGCCGAGGCGTTGCCCGTTCCATTGTTGTGTCCAACGCTGTCTGGTTCATCCCCGCATCGAGTTGCTACAAGCGGACTGATATTTTGTCCCGGCTACCGTTGCGTTGGGCACTAAACCTGTATGCGGAGGAGAAGAGTGGAACCGTCCAGCGCCTCTTCTTCCATTTCAAGACTCAGCGCTACTAAAAGCCTATTCAAGCAACGCAGCCTGGCACTAGTGGCTCGTCCACGTAGTCGCTGACGGGTATTCAAGCTGCAGAGGTGATCATCCATGTCGGGAATTGTACTGCGGAAACAAAAGAAATGACCTGGCCCTGCCCTTGCACTCCGGTGTTTCAGCTCGTTGCCAAACTATCGCCATGTGAAAATGGTTCGATCCTCATGCATCGCCATCACACTCAACAGGACAATGCGGGTTGAAAAACATGTGATTGCCCTTGGATGGGAAGCACTCATATGGAACGAGCAGTATAATCGTTCTGTTCTTTGAAATGGCACCTTTACATAATGACCTCGCCTGTGGAAAACGCTCTTGACACCTAGGTCCAAAGGAGCCCTTCAAATAATAAAGCCTGAGAGCCAGATAGTGACTCTTGAGCAAAAACACCTGACAATTCGGAATGACTCGCTCTTCACACATGGGCAAGACTACTCCAAGATTATACTGTGACCTAGAAGTGAGTCAGGGTTGACAGCACAACGATAGAGTGAAAGTGTCAGCGCCTTGGGATCAACCACGGTTGGCTCCATGACCGACGGTACTGTCAACTCACGTACCTAGACAATCACACTGTGATAACTCACCACTACGTCATGGTTCTTTCGAAGCGTAGTAATATGCAGCGCGTTACCTAATTCATACCCATAGTTTGCGCGGCATGGAGATGGTTGTCCAGGATTCGTTTGCCGCTCAGTTGCCGCAGCTCCTCACGGTTGCCTGACAAAACGCATGTGATTTTGAAAATGTTGGCGCTTTCCTAAATCTCCGTGCCTGAAGGGGGGTAAAGTATTCAAGCACAAGATGGCACGGTTGGCTTAACCGGCATCGGGGATTGAAAACGCGACTCACAAGGCTGTGTCCCAGTGTGTTTTGGAACAGAAAATACATGTGATACAAAACAGATCTATCGACAATTAAAAATGGCATTTCAAAATACTAAAGGCATCCAGAATCACTACTGATGTTTTTTGTTTGGGGTGCAGACGTTGTCAGAGCCTCTGGGTTGCAAAAACCTGATGATTGCGGCACAAGGGACTCAACGCTTATGGCTGATGTAACCCATTTCACGCTATGTACTTGGCATTGGTCTTCAATCGAGTCATGAAGGAACTTCACATGATAGTAGTTTAGTCGGGGTTGCAAAACAATTGCTCAGTGCTTACTACGGTCTGCCTGCTCTTGAGTCACGGATAGGATGATACTACCGTGCCATTACCATTAGGGGTTCTCCTAATTCCCGAAACCTTAGCTTTCATGTGCAGATTATTGTGAGATGCAAGTCAAAGTACAGACAGTTAACTGTCCTCGCGTCGGATCAAGACAAATGGTGCAGGTGGACAGAGCATTGCCTTTCCACAGCTGAGGCCCTTTCCCACCCCATTCGCAACTCGGCAACAAAGCCGCAAGGTAGAATCCGAAGCCGAGAAAAGACGAGAAAATTCGCATGGACCTGCTGTTTACTCTATTTACTAAAGTTATGGCTAGCCACGGAAGACACTGTGGACACTACAATGTTCACATGATTCCCTCGGATACTTTGTGACATTTGGTTCACAAAGGAAGTCTGCACCGCAAAACCCAGGACTTGCGCTATAACAAGAAGCATCCGAGCTGTTTAGCTGTAGATTGTCCTAGTTTGCTGAGGCTTCTCAACTTTGATCTGTAGATAGTAAGCCATATAGGCCTGTTATCCAAAAGAAGATGGCTTACCCCGTATCCGTTGAACGGAGAACACATCGCCTCTCGGCCAACTATAGTTCCCCGTTGTTCATGATGCTCCAAACCAAGCGGTTTCTTCAGAATGTCTCCCCATAAATTGTGAAAAAGTACACGACTTCACTAGCATCCTGACCAAACTGATACGTCGCCCAGACCCAAGATTCACACCTATACTCCTATTCACGAACCACAATTGTGCACAGCTTGTTCACATCCCAGATGTAAATCCCAGCCAACCAGCATTATGTCCACGCACGACGCCGCTTCTTCGTCCGTCCTTTTGTCTCTAACAGCATGCCCTACTCCCTCCTCAAACCAAACCCGTCCTCAACCAAACTTGCCTCAAGACTGTTTGTTCTGTCAGGGCTCGCCATCACATTTGCTTGCGCAATGCAATCTCAACAAACACCATGACCTACATCCAACGCAGCTTACAGAAGAGGCTCTTTATATTCCACAACGCAATCGTTTCATATGAACGAAGCCCAGCCACCCCCAAGTGATTCCAAGATCCTTATACCCGGCAACACATACACAGAAACGACCTGATCCGAGATCCAATTTCCACTCCGCAACCCGTTGTCAGACTTTCCACCTGCTTTGATCCCTCCAAAGCTTCCCATCCCTAGCTCACCAGTCCGTTCCATCTCGCAAGGCCCACGCTTCTCAACAAAGAACTAGACAAGTACGGCTGTCACCAATACCTTGAAGCCAAATGACGCGTTCCGTACCGCGGGAATCATCCGGGACCAACCCAAGGTACAGAGCAGCTTCAGAATCTGTCCATCGAGCAAAGACCACCTCAATCCGGGACATGCGCAAGTCGCCACGCCACGCCTTGCACAGCTGCCGGTTCCGTATCCAGGCTCGCACTCACCACCAACTATACCGGGTTTCATGCCCATCTACAAACCGGACCAGGGCTCCCGGGCGACCAGCTCCCAAATACACAAAACAAGTCTTCCGTAGTCCCTTCGCCGGAGGACAACGGCGCTGAAACAGCGCTTCAGGATCTGCCCAGGGCACAGTACGGCATTGCCACGCCGAGAAGACGCAGCTCGGTTCACGAACGCTCCTCGGCACAATGGTCAGGATATGCGCCTATCCAAGGAGTGTTGCTGAGCGATTGCAAAGCCAGGCAAAGCAAGCGGTTCCCGCAGGAGGACAAGGAGCGCGAATCCCGCGCGGACGGGGGTACATTCGCCCAGACCGGGGCGTCATGAACGACGGAGCACGAGGCGGACGGCCGTGTTGAGACGTCCGGGGATGGAGCGAAACCGCCGTCGCGGCACCGGCTCGTAGATGCTGTGGGAGTGTCGAGGACAACAGTGCCGCATGGCGAGCTGGTGGCGGAATAGAGTTTTGCTGGACTCATACAGGGGCGGACGACGATGTGGGTGGTGCGCCAACTTCTGTTGGATATATTGACCGCAGTATGATGGAGCCATCTTTTGAAGAAGCTTGCTGTGGAGGATGGTTGGAGAAGAGTACAAGGACAAGAATGGACGTCTGGCTCGGACAAGGTCTTCATTTACTCTCTTTTCAATTATTCTAGGGTCTTGCGTGTGAAAGATTCGGCAATTGGCAATACGACTTGTGCTTGGCGATGCCCGCGCCCACAATACGGGATGCCAGTGGTCCAGGAGATCATGGCAATAGTACTATCTGAACAATTCAGCTTGTTCGGTCCAATCCCTGCTAGCAATACGCGCCTATTCACACTGGACTCTTCTCCGTTCATAATCTCAGGATAACCGTGTCATCTACACCCCATCCAGTCCATGCAAATAACAGCACAACCCCCAACCATGTCAACTCCAAGTTCCTGTCTCCTCGCTCTCTCCCGCAACATATAAAGTCCCAGCCCCCTCGCAGTCCACCCACCGCCAGCTCTGCTCTTCCTCGTCCCCTCTCTCGCCTCACATCCGCGCACCGTGCCAACAGCATCGTGAAATAAACCCAAGAATCGTAATACGGCACATATGCACCTTCCCCTCCATCCCGGCAAGTCACTCGGCGAGCAAAGGAGCTTCCCTTGCCCGAGCCCAAATTCGTCAGACGGCCACTGCGTTCCGCCAGCGATCCCACCAGCACATGGCAGGCCATCTAGTCTCGGCATGCACCTTGTTCGGGAAAAAGAAAGCCCCCAGCAGCCCAACCCAGCATCCGGTGAGACTTGCTGCGTCTTTGTGCTCTCACACCCGCAACGAGGCTTGCCGAGAAAACGGTGGCTCCCCAATATCGCCAACGCCGGACCAGCCACCGTCTCCGCCAGCATACGGACCTAACTGGGCGGAGAGAAGTGAAGCAGCGTCCGTCCCCGTACCAATGGAGTCGACACACATATGCCTGCGTCGCATAATCGCATTTTCGGGTATCGCATTCTCCCTGACTTCGGGCTTTGCTGCAGCATCAATCGTACCCGATCCTCATACCGGCGGCGTCTCCAACCTTCGATCCCATGCTTAGAAAGGGGGGGGGGGTTGAAACGTCAGCCACCAATCGTCATGGGCATGCTATCTTTGCTCCGCAGATCCGGATGTACGTAGTCCGTAGGCCGTACTCCGTACATGCATACAGCCGAGCTGCAAGTTCCGGATGCCTTGGCACGAAAAAGTTGTCCCAGAGTCCAGACAAGGCATGCGTGGCTGGCCTGTCGGACGCGGCAACGCCCGTTCCTGACGCCCAGAGTCTCGGATCTACCTGCGGATCATGCCGATTCCGAAACCAAAGCCAAAACAACAGACGGAAATATGACACTCGAGAGAAGACAAACTACACGTCATGTGTTACCCTGCGCCGGCTGCGATTCCCGACCAACAGGGTATAGAACATGGCAACCGCGTGGCTGTTGTTAGCCCCCCCTTTTTTTAATCCCCTTTCTTTTTGTTTGATGTCATGTTGGGCCAAAATTAGAGGTAACGACAGGACGCATGGCATTAGGCATGCTTTGGCGTCGGGCTTCGGCGCACCACACGGCACGTTATCAATGAGCGTGGCTTTCTTTGCGGCGGCATAGAGGACGCATTTACCCAATGATTGGAATCGTTACCAGAACAACAAGTGTACACAGAGTTGACCGTTTGGTTACGGCAGCCTCGTTGCATTGGGGTCTAGACCCATTTGCCATCATCTCAGCTGTCCAATATAATGCGCGGCGCGTCTGAACCACTCTACCGGGCGTTGAGGGTTGTTCGACGTTGAGTTTTATTTGGCCATGGTTGATTGGCTCAGCTGTATGCGCCGTGGTGCCTACACCACCAGGTAAGCCGCTTGTCCGATTCCTTTTTGGGCAATTCATCATTTTTGTCGGTTGCTAATCTCCAAGTAACCTGCAGGGAATAGCAGTGTGCCTCCTGAGTCCTCGTGCTGTCCGTCTGATCCATATGCATGCAGGGAACTCAACCAACATCCAACAGCCAACTGAACCTGACTGCGTCGATACAGGTAATTTCCATCAAGCGGTAACGCTGTAGTTGGTTGGTTCTGGAGCATCCCAGATGGCCAATATGTAGTTTCAGGAACGCCAGCAAATACCTCTGATACAGCCACTTGGGTCCTGTAAAATGGCCATAGCAGGCGACCACTCGACGCCAAAAAGAAAGCCTCCCAGCCCCCTACTAATTTCCCTGGGCCAAAGATCTCTCTCTCTGTTTCGAGAAGCCTGAAGCGTGGCCTGTCACTGCAACCCCCACCAGAAAGTGAGGCTGACTTGTCGCGCCGACTCGCGCGAACGGCGGCTTCCATGTTTAACCCCGCCTGGCGCACGCGGCCTACTGACATTGCAGAAGTCATTGCACAGTACTCCGTAATAAGGCGGTGATGCGCCGCAGTAGTCTGGATGTCGTCGTCTTCCCATTCGCCACCATATGGCGTCTTGGACACCCCACAAACGCCGTGGTAACGCGGCACAGTCGTGTGTCTCTCAGCCCATCATCACACTCAGGCGAGGAGTAGTATCCAAGGGCCAACAAGGCATCTGGATGAAAGGATCAGGCGACTTCTGCCTTATACGACCCTGGCGGTCCAACCAGAACAGAAACGGTAAGAAATGACACCCGCCTCACTTCAACGTAATAGACAAGGTCCTGAAGAAATCGACGACGTAACGAGTCCACCAGCAATCCCTGTACATGAACATGAACCACTGCGGTATCGTGGCAGAGAGGACGTGAAACTCGCGGTCGCAGTCACACCAGCGTCATGGACATGGCTGGTGGCCCGTCCCGTTACCCTCTGGGTAGCATTCAAACAAGGCTTGGCTGCAAAAGGACCCTGCAGCCAAGTATCCCATGTTGGCACGGCGTGACACAGACACGATAATGAAATGCCATGTCCTGGCGCTCGGCCGACCTGGCATGCGTCAATGCGCCTCATTCCGCGGAAGTTATCTTCTCTCGCCAACAGTGCAAGTGTGGTTCCGAGACGGTGAATCTCATGCTTGCTCAGCCCTTTTTCTTTCTTCGCATGCCATTCGTGTTTTAGAAATGGAGGCCAGTGCCGCCGAGATGACGGCCGACTGATTGCTCCCGAGTTGCCGGCCTAATTTCGCAAAGAGAAGGAGGGGGTATCAGCAATCAGTACAAAAAAAAAAGGGGGGCACGGAGTACTACATGTACATACGGAGTCAATGCGCTTGGCACCGTAAAAGTTGGTTGGACCGCTGGACGACACCTGGAGTCTGCTGATGCCGCACTGCTGCGTCTTATGCCGCCGGCGGCGGAGCCAGGGCGTCTATGTCGAGGCGGCTCAATACGTACCGAAAATGTCAAGCCAAGTCTGGTTGCTTTTCCTCGACACGGTCCACTTGTCGTCGCCGGCTGGTTTTGATTCGGACGCTGCTGGTACCGTGACTTGGGCTTCATGTTTGTTGGCGGCAAGGAAGCCACTTGCTGATCTTGGCGCCGCTGTTGCCTACGGTCGAAGCAATCAAGGTGAGAAGCCGTGATCGCCTGGTGTTCATGGCTCTCGTGAATGATGGTGCCCGAGCTGTCGGAATCAAGCCACTTGTGGGGTCAAGGATCCCTGGTCGATCTTTTTATGTCCATCCTGGTCAGTGTCGGCTTGGTTGGTTGCCTTGTGTCGTCGTCTTTGCGAACCAGTGGAATGGGGAATGGAATCGCGGTTGGAATGGAAGACCCGACTATGCCAAATGTACATAATACCTGGACTAGACCTACACCGGCCGTCTATGTATTTCGCAATCTGTCTCTGGATACCGCTATTACTGAATGGCAATCAAGAGAGTTATCGTACAAACTATTATTCTACATCCATTAGATTCCCGCTCTGCACTTGCCATTATGCCCCAAACCCATGCCTTTGGCTCTGAGACTTGTGCTCACCTTTCTTTTTCTGTTCCCTCTCCCTTCTTTCTTGCAATCTATTTTCGTGCCTTTTTTTCTCTTCCTTTTTTCGCTTAGTTGGGGCTGAATGTTGTCGTCGCGTTGCCATGTGGTCACACCGCCTCATCTGACATCATGTCTGAACGCAGCAGAGTGAAGCAACTACTTTGTCAGATTCCGACCCCAAATGCACAAGTTTCCTCCGAGAACCGCTTTCGGCCACCGCATATGTATGTATTGTGGCCATTACTCCTCCGTCCTCATGACCCCCGAGGCGCAGGCTTATGGTTATCCCTGAGGCCAACCGACGTGCCTCATTCACCCGCCATGCGCTTGCTTAAGTTGAATCAATTTGCATCATGTGTCATGCTCTCTTTCTTCTCACCCACACAGCAGTCGGTAGTGTGACAGGGCAGCCTCATTTGTCTTCACCAGTTTGGTATTGCCAGACTGAGAACCTAACCTCGAATCCTATAGGTTGCTGGTCTTGATCCTGGTGCAACGTTCATGTTAAAACCCGATTGGACGATTTTCTTTTTTCCCTTTTGGGGTTTGACAGATTGACATACGGGGGAAAAAATGGCTGCCCAAATTGGCCTCCAAATTTTGGAGTCCAACATAGAAAGCATTTCCACAAATTCCCATACATGTCAAGACGTCCAACGAATCAAAGAATAAAACGAGATATTGCGTAGATAATCATAAGAAAATAAGCAAGCAAATAAATGGCATACAAATGATTGGCGAGATAGATATCCACTGTTGAGACAGAGAATTTTCCATGTAGGCAATGCTGATTGTGACAGATCAGGGTCAGTGATTGATATAATTCAACCCCCCCTTTCCTTCGCTCGCTATAATCGATATTGTGGCGTTGTAGGCGGCGCAGTTTCAATCTTGGTACTCCTTTAACCAGGCGTCGAATGCATCTCGTCCAGTAGGCTGGCTTCGATGAGAGGAACTTGTGTTGCCAGTTGCCGGTAGAAAGAAAGGATTGTCGAACATATTTCACCAGGCGATTCAGCTCTGGTGTGTGCGTGTGCTTTGATCCAATTCGCACTATTATTAGTGAGTCGACCCATCTTTAAACCAGCATCTGCCACCTGTCCTTCCATTCTCCAATCCTCCGCCTCTCCATTACCCCTCCAAAACTTGTCATATACTGATACTTCAAGGACCGTAGTGTCTTTTCAGCTGCCAGCGGGTCATTCTTACCAGCAACATTACTCAAGACTTTCAAACGTAGCTCAGAGAAACGTATATTTGCTTCACGGGTTTGCTGGTTCGGTCGATGCAACATCAGTAACAGACGCGGCCAGCTCAACTGGCTCATCTTCGAGCTCGTCGTTGTGATTTCCCCCCTTTGTAGAGAACTGCCTCGCATGCTTATCCCAGTGCAGCTGTCTTTTCTTCATTGCAATGCTATGCCCGAGCCACAGGATTCTTTCGCAACGCTTGCCTACGGTTGACGCAGGCTCAAAGTATTTTTCGTCGTCATCAATCGCCGTATTATCAAACCACTTCTTTGGGAAATAGGTTCCGGTATAGATTAAACCACGCATAGCATAGTCTTCGGGAAGAGGGTGCGCCTTACCACCTTCGGGCCACGGAATTTCCGGGGTATCCAACCGTGGTGTAAACTCGCTAGTCCGTAATAGATAGTTGAATAGTAAAGCAGTCTGTTCCCATGGGAGTGAGTCCTCTAAGTACTGTCTTCCCACGTCAAAATCCATCATAAACCAGTGGAATACTAAGAGGGTATGAAGGCATGGCAATGTGTTCTTGTCACCCCACCGAGCAATAACAATCTCATACGTGCGAGCTGCAAATCCCACCGCTGTCTTGAATGCGTCAGTCAGCACCGGATCTGGAAGATCATCCATCATAGTGTCGTCTGCTTGTTGACTCTTCAAAACAGCATTCATAAGGACATTTGACGTATCTCCAAAACCTAGGAGCAGGCAGCTTAATGAGATGCCAATAAAATACCTAGCCTTGTTAGCTTGCAGATCTCATGTTATTGTAATGACGTCTCTTACCCAGATTCAAGCCAATTTCCATGTTCTCTTCCAATGCGATTATCCAGAAGTTCCAGAAATTGCTTCATCGAGGGCTCGAGCTGATCCTCATGCGTGCCAGAGAAGAGTATGCCATGAACTCGCACAAAAGCTACATCAGCTGGCTCTAGACGTTGAGAAGCACTTGGATTTGCATTTAAGAGGGGATCAAATAGCGTCATGACGCTATCCCTAGCGCTGAGAAATGGCACTGGAACGCAGAGAGATTTAGCATAATAGTATAACTGTTGCAGGGCATTTGGTCGTGCCAAAATCGCTAGGTGGTGATAAAGTCGTCCGGTCATTGGTATCTTATCCGAAGCCTTAGTATACCAGAATCTTGATACACCAGTCCAAATTTCTCGATCTCGGATATCATCATCTTCAACTGCCATCCTGTAACGCCCTAAATCACCAAGACACTCTATCCACGTATCTTCAAACGCGGGAACTGTCTCATATAGCAACGCCATCATGGTATACGCGATATATATGAAGGTGAGCATATGCTCAAGCGAGCCAGGCAGTTTCCGCCTTAGAAGCTCTAAAAACGAGTGTATACCATGACGCCACATTCGTGCAGGCATAAAATACTTGGATGCAAGCCTTCGGAGCGCGGCGCTCGCTGATGGGTGTTGAGATGCCAATAAAAAGTCATGGTGCTCATGGAGAAGTGATCGGTGAAGAGAAATCAATGCATGATATTGCTCTTGACTTAGGTCAGTCTCCTTCTGTGTGCTATCATATTCAATGCACTTGCTCTCGAGCAAAACCAGTCCGGCATAGATGCCTTGGACTTCGGCGGCAAGCTGGTCTGAGGATATAGACCGAGTATCTGGTTGACGAAACAACTCCGATGTTGACGCAGCGGCATCGGCGGACTGTTTCGGCTGGCCATGATGTTGTCCTGGATTGCGCTGGCCTTTATGCTGGGGAGACCGATGATGGCTGGAAGAGGACATCAACTGGCCATGCCTTGTCTGTGGCGTTCGTGGTCTTTGCGGCGAACCGGTCTTTCGGGCATCATCGGCAGTCCAGAGTTGACGACCAGTCGGGTTCTTGGTGCGAACAAAGTCATCATCTCTCTCACTGAGTCTGGCACGACTCCTGCCTGGAGTCGGTGGTGATGAGCCGCGTTGTTGGGTGATTGACGCGGGAGGGGAACATATCTTTTTACTTCCTCGGCGGGTAGATACTGAGTCATCCCCCGCTAAATTCAGCCTATCAAAGTCATCTTCAGCCCTGTCGGTGAAGTCAGGGTTGCCAGATACTGGTCGTTTTCTGGTCACTGCCCCGGCATTAGTGGTGTCCCCAGGGGGCCTGGTTTCTGAGCTTCTACACAATTTCGAACAAACCCGTTAGTATTAGTTTCAGATGTATGGAAATGGGATGCAGAGGAACTCACCGAGCCTTGGTGGCATCGTTGCCCTGGAGCGTACAGTTCTTGAAGGCTTCCTCAATATCAGAATGGTCAGCTGACGTTGGATGCTTCAACGTATAGTGCGCCTTGAATTCATCAAGGCTGTGCTGCACTTCGGCCTCGCAGAGCGGACATGAGACGCTGCGCGAGGCGGCTTCTTGACGTGCAGCTTTGCGTTGATGCTGGACCCATCCTCTTGTGAGTTTGTCCATCGCCAATGGGTCCGATTCCACACCGCAAGGGGTTGTAAGACCATAAGGACTGAAGTTGCTTCTGATGAGCAGACTCTTGAGCTAGCCAATGAGCTGTCTGGGCACAGAGGTAGCCTATGTAGTTATTATTAGCCTCGGAACAACGGTGTAACAATGCATGGTCGCCACTGCGGGCTCAGAGTTTTGTGGCAGACGCGGCGTGAGCACTTACAGGCAATGGGGATTTTCTGGGCAGCTCTCTCAAGGCCGTAGAGTCAACTCTGGCCTAGAATCATTCATGACATGGTCAGCATATGCTCTCAACAGAAAACGAATGGCTCAATCCCAGGACGTGGGAAATTCAAAGAATTCCGTTGCTAGCCACAGCCTCTCTACGGGCCATGACAGAGTGCCGAAACAAGGAATCCAGTTTTGAACGAATGAAGCAAAAGCAAATATGGACAAAAGTGGAATAAAAAGTAGATTTTGTACGAGCTGCCTCACCTAGTATGCCCTGTATTCCAAATGACAGCACGCTCGAAGAAGCGGCTCTTTGAGCCGCAAGCAAAAGTTTCTTCGGATTGCGCCGTTGGACGTGCTCTTGTATTTGATTTTTTCACAGGGTTGAAATCAAAACAGACCAGGACCACGACGAGGCTGTCGGAGACGGAGCGCCTGGTGGTCGCCTAAGTGCACACAGTGCGGGTCGCGGGATGCTGGGGTCCACTTTCTGCGCCCCTGCTTGACGCTGGCGTGGTTCGCCAGGTTGCCTTGTAGGAGGAGGCTCAACTCGAGGTGGTACCCTGGGTGCTTTGCTTGGGTGGGAGTTGCTTTTGACAGAGCGTTCAATTCTATCAGGTGATGGAAAATGCCCAAGTCTTGCACACTTATCCGAAGGGAAGGGTTTTGTTTTAGTATTAAGATATCGGGGCCGATCGGATTCTGGTGAATGTTTGAACGTGGCAAGAACGTGGCAAATGCCTGAATACCTAGGTACCTAGAGGGAGGTGCTTGTCGACCTCCAGATCTAGCAATCAAGGTCAGCCAAATTGCTCATCATGATGGAATTCCGTTGGTGCTCTCGCAAAGTCGTCGCTGCTTCGTCGTGATCTAGAGAAAAGTGATGGGTTGGGAAGATTCCGTGGTGGGAGATGATGATGGTTTATCAATTCTGACTCGTCCACCCGACGTGATGCGGAGCCTTTGTTTACCCCCACCCCCCATGTTTTCATGTCCGTTTTTCTTTGTATGTGAAGAAAGCAACTGAATAGCTCCAACCAAAGTGCGCCTGGCGAATGACTTACCAGAGTATTGATGCCCTTGGAAAGTAGAAGTTCGATGGATTTTAAACGTTGAATGACACTAGCGGTGCAGGTAAAAAGGATAGTCGTATAGCAACGAGATTGCGTGGTGACAGAAATTCGTGATACCTCTTCTGGAATGGAGCAGTAGCACCTTTATGTATGCAAATTCGAATCAAATAATCACAGCCCTCTCTGCCTGTTCCCACATTCACAACGACCCCGTCTTCGGTGTTGAGAGAGTTCAGAGCATGTTCAGACAAAGCATCTGCTTGATTCTGGTCAGCACTGGTCGCGTGTTCCTAACCGTCATGCAAATAAGGCAACTATAGGGCTAACATGCCATCACGGGGCAGGCTTGTGAGAGTAATCACCTGTGTTTCGAATGTGTCTGCTCCTCGTTCGCCACGGCAAGTGTGGTGGAATCCTGTTACGCACTGGCCTCATGTTGGCCCTATTAGTATATCAGGCAGGCCTTCGCCATGAATGACGCACGAGTGGATTGAAGTTCAAACATTCTTTGAACAGCATCGTGCCTTTGTTTCGCGCCTACTCCGTACGTTCAAGCTGTTGGGATTCAGACGCAACTTGCCCTACCGCATCATCGCCAACGCGACGTGAATTGGGCCCGTCTTCCGAACACGATAGGGAATGTATGTATCTTACATGTTTTTCCCTAGTCGGACATTTTGGTTCGCATCTTGATGCTTGTCTCGGTACACCGTATTGAGGAGCTTATAATTGCTTACGCCGGCACATTTCGAGATCGCCTCCACGGCTCACGAGTCTTCTTGAGGTTCCACGCCTCGTTCGGTGTTCCAACTAGGCAGATATCTGACTTGCGTCAAGCCGAAATGCTCATGAGCTCAAGCGTGAGCTATCTGTCAAGAATCAAGATATCCCCTGCGTGCGGTGCATGACTTCGAGCCTTCCTTCCTCGAGGAAACGGGAGCCATCCGTCTCATTGGTCCCCGTGATGTCACACCCAGCCTCGGTCAAGGCTACCTACCTATAGGTAGGTAACTTGGGGTAGGTGGAGGTACCATGTACTTACTCAGGCAGGCAGATCCGGTATTACGTTGGTTCGTACTCCGTGAACTCTACCGCAACAGCTTCATTTCCCAACAAAGTTTTCTGGTTCAGGATCTGACCTCTGCATCTCGTGCAACACTTGCTGACCTCTGTGAAGCACACAGATCAACACACACGTTGTCTGTGGTCATCTGAGAAGACAAGTTTTTCGAGGTTTGCTTATGGTTACTCCGTAATTGCAGCCCTGCCTTGCCTTCCCGGCTTGCAAGCCAGGGGGGCTCTTCCAAACCTTTCATCAATATCAATTGTCTCGGCCTGCTTTTGTCCTAACCAGACTTTCTTGCCCACTGCCTTGTTGCCTCTCGACACTTACCAGCGGGCGTCCATGGGAAAACCCTGGTTCGTTTATTTGTGCAAACAAGCAATAATCCATGATTACGGCTTACTCAGTACCGCTCGCCACCGGCCATGCTGATGTCGCCTTCAATGTTTCGCCACGGGCAAACCACGGATTGCTGCCTGAGTGCCAAGTACGGCGTATTCAGCACCTTCAATGTTTGACCGCATCAACCTGGCTCCGAAAATTTGTCAGGGACCCATGGACATTGGAGAACAGGCCAGGGCGATCTCGCCAGCCTCGGTTGGGGATCGATTCAGGCCGATTGAGAATTTAGCTGCCAGGAGCTTGCATGTGGTACTATTTTTGGACTATTGAATACATGGCCATGACAGTTGCATTGAACATAGTCACGTCGACAGCCCGGATTTCACAAAAAAGTCTTTGCTCGACGTCGTGCGCAGGGCGGTGAGTTTCCTTTGCCGAAAGTCATGTTGACTCGGGCTGAGTTACTAAATGGTGAACATATTTGCTAAGATATATGTCAATGATAGCCTCGGATTGGTCAAATCAACAAGTGTGCATATCCAGGGTTGCCGATTGGACCGATCTCAGACCATCACCGCCTGCGAATAGATACTTGCGTCGCGGCAGCAAAAGATACCATATTATGGCGTTATCCGAACATGAATTACACGAGAAAGCAAATGGCCGAGAACAGCCCCAAGATAAAACCTGGCGTCGGTTCCCGTCCACGTCTCACCGTAAAAAGCGAGTTTAGCGTCTCATCTCCCGCTTAATTCGCCCTGCAGCCAAGCGCTTTCCCCCCCAAGCCTTAGTTCTGCGTTTTTGGGCATCTAGATTGGGCAATCTGCAGAGAACACAATCGGTAAGTCCTGCTAGATTTTCTGCGTTGACGACGGTAGCAGCCGTGAAATCGCACAACATCCCGAAAAGGCATCTTTTGTGCTTGTGTATGTGCAACACATGTCACAAGCTGACCAGGCGGACCATTGGTGTACCAGAGCCGACGTTCACATCCGATACTCAAAAGGCATGCATTCCGGCTATATATGCGGCTCGTTCATCGCCAATTTTGATTCCAGATCTATCGATACGATTCATACTTGGCAGCCACTGCCAGTTTTGCCTCGATCCGGTCAATCATTTCCGTATCATACACTTCTCCAAGAGCTTTTCTAGCCTTGAAGATCTCCTTTTCATGTCTGGTTGCTTCCTCTTTGGTCATACATACGAGATCTCGTAGCCGCACGGTGGAGCATTTTTGGGTATCCTTGCCCTCTCCGATGACACTCATGTTTGTGTCCTCTGGTCGCTGCCAACGAGTCAGAACCAGTTTTGTCGATATGCCACTGACAGCGCTGCGTCCATGATACAGCTCTTCTGCCAGAAAGGCCACGTCACCAGAGGTAAGAGGCGTCTTCAGGCCGACTGTATCCAAGCCCAACATTCGTGCAAGTCTGTCCTCGGAGCCTTGGACAAAGGTCATCATTCCTTCGTACATTTTCTCTCGTCCCTTGGCTGGGACATAATTTAGTGGATAGCCCGTAATGCTCAGAATGACATGGTTTGCCGCTGTGAGCCCAAAAATAGCAGGCATAGTTCCTAGCACGGGCAGTATTCTGACCCTAAAGTTGGGCATCACGCTGAGATCACCCACCACCCCTTTTTGAAACTCCTCCTCGGGAAGGGGAAGCAACTCTGCCTTGCCTTCTCCAGATTGTTCTGTTGAATATACCGCGGGGATGCCGCTGGTGATACCGAGTAGTTTAAGACGTCGTCTTGTTGCCCGTGATAGGCCATCATCGCGACTTGCACCAATGTCGCCAATGACAATCCTAGTGGGATCGCTCTTGCAACCAGCTCCCATTGCGCTGATCACTGGAAGCTTGTGGTCGTAACAGTATTTTAGTAACTCGACTTTGGTATCGATATTATCGATAGCATCAACGATGAAGTCGGGCTGTCGGCCATCTTCCCAAGGCCCTAGCATCCGCGATGCCACGGACCCATCAAACTTTTCTTGTTGTAAATCAAACTTGACCCACGGTGCGATGGCAATCAGTCGCCGCTGAAGACAGTGAACCTTTGGAATACCAACATCCGCCAATGTAGCAACAGCATGTCTGTTCAGGGAGCTCAGCGTGACTTGATCAAAGTCAACAAGCCGGATCTTGCTCACGCCGGAGCGCGCAAGTGACGCAGCGCAATGCGATCCGACACCACCGCAGCCAACTACAATGACAAATGAGCCGCGCAATTTCGTGAGCCCTTCAGGGCCGAGAAAGACCCTGTTCCGAGCGAGCTGTTCGAGAATGAGTTCCTCATCGAAATCTCCGGCTAACGCCCTTCTGCTAAGGGCCTGGTTGCGAGCATCTTCCTTGTCGACTGCTGATTCTGAAGACGCTCCAAAGTTGTTCAATCGATTCGTATGATGGCCGCCATCTCCCGGAGAGGGTATAGATCTCTTGAGCTCAGAAAGTCTCTGCTCTCGCTCCCGGCCTTGATATCCCAGAATGAGTGCAACGGTTGCGCCAGACAGCACAGCTGTCGCAAAAAGATGAAACCGGTGGCTTGAAAGGGTATCTGAAAAGAAGGAAGCCATATTTTCCATCAGATACCGGAAATCACCATCCTAAACCGCCGATTCGCCTCATTGGCCGTTGTTGTTTGAGTATTTTCATATTGAACCGACTTTTGAGGTTCCACTTTGATGATGAAATTTTGCTTAGTCACCTCCACTTTTTGTAAGGCAGCCACCATCATTGGCTGCGGGTCGTCCGTCTGCCTAAGCTCTAGTTACTTCAATTCATTAGAATATTAAGACGGCTGGCAACACCTTCATTCGAAACGGCGCCCGCTGGGCCACACCATCAGTCATGCGTGCCAGGCTCGTCATGCGCCGGCAACAGGCCGTCCTCCCCTCATCTAATCCACGATTAATCTGCACACGATCCTTCGCAAACCAAACTAAATTCACATCCACGACATCCCGACCAAGCTTGCCCTTCCTCCTGGTCCCGAAAGCGAGCCCCTCCATCGCCCGATCATTTACCTCCGAGCGCAAAAGGTGGCTTAAACACGAAGCAAAGCTAGTCGTCAGATACACCATCACAGTCTGGGGCCTCGCGATCTGCGGCATCTTGATCTTCTTTGCAGTCAATGAGGAAACATCAGAACGGGAGTCCCCCACGCCCCACGAATGGCACTACCTGACGAGGAAATTTCTCCGCGACGCGCAGAGCTGCCGGGACCCCAAGGATGGCGAAGTCAACTGGGCGCGGTGTCTAGAGCTGGCACGGGGAGTGGTTATCCGACTAGAGGATCCCAAACTCGGCGGCGGGAATGTAGTCAAGTTAAGCGACAAAGTCGATCCGAGCCTCGAGGTCCCAGGGGAGTTCATCAACTGCGACATCTCAGCCAAGTCGGAAGAATGGAGGCGCGGATACTTCGAGGCAATCATGTTGGCGGCCAAGGCCGCAGAACACGTCGACGGATGGCTGAGGGACACAACGCGCAACGTGGTAAGCGCGCCCGAGTTCGTCATTGGCCCCTCGAATCCACGGCCGAAACCCATACCACCGGGACGACCGCACGCACCAAGGGAGGAGGATTGCGAGCCGGCGTATCCAGCCGCAGACAGTTGGTACGTGAAGATCCTGGCGACGACCGGACTGTCGCCTCGCCAAAAGATGGAGGCGGCGCTCGAGTACGCCACCTTCATGGAGTTCAAACACAGACAAGAAGGCTCGGAGGCGCTGTATAGTCTCGCCCTGGCCGAGGCATCCACCGGACTCGACCCCTCCAAGCTACCGTACGACCCCAAAACGTTCATCGTCAAAAGTAATGCTCCAGCGCCGTCGATGAACGTTCTCGATGCTCTGACAGCCATCGCCAACTACAAAGCCCGACGGGGAGATGTCTCATCTGCCCTCCCCATCTACATTTCTCTTCTCAAAGCGCGCCGCTCTCTATCAGATACCCCGCCCCCTGCGATTCGGACAGAACCCAAGATGCTCTCTCCATACGAACGATTTGTGAGGTTCTTCGGTCCTCCAGCCTATCCGGCCCCGGCACCAGATGGCACCCAACCGCCGTGGAGAACTCCCTATGAGCGATGCCAGGAGGCATCCCTTGACTTGTATATTGGCGAGATCTTGTACGCCACTTCATCGGAAGATGAGGGGTTGGCTTGGACTAGGGACGGTGTTGATTTGGCAGAGGAACAAATGCGCGCGCTTGGATCCGCGAGCAAGGATAAAGAGACGAAGCAGATATGTCGTGAGTGTCTGGGCACAGGCCTAGAAAACTGGACCACAATGGTATCCCTCTTGGCAAAGGCAGAGGAGTCTCGGAACATTGACGCAAAGTCTAAGCTGTTTTCTTTCTGGGGTGGGCCTCAGGATGCCGAGGGTCGATGGGCAGCAGAAGAGGCTGTGGTTGAGGAGCGCATCAGGAGGACACGAGAATTAATGGAAGACGTAACTCCACCCAGGATGGGAATTTGGTCTTATTTCAAGGCATGATGTATGTTTTCTCGAGGATTTGTATATTAGTATCAAGCAAATAATTTGAAAATACCCTCTCGTATACCCTGCATCGATCTTGCAAACAATCATAATTTCCCATGTGCCTGACTCTGTTAGCTCCTTATACCGTTTCTTGGAATATCACACCTCTTCGTCGTCAGACGAATCAGTGTCACAAGCTTCTCCGTTCTCTAGGAACTTTCTCCACCGCTTCCGGTTCTTCACCTCTTGCTTCATAAGGTCCGCATCCACGACCCGGATCAACGGCTTTTCCGAGTCAGCTACCTTCTCCCAGTCCTTATCAGTAAATTCTTGCTTAGGCTTCTCCGCTACTAGAATATCGTCATTTTCATATCCCGGGGTCAGGGCTACAGTTTCCAGATATTGAAGGGCCGGTTTGAGAGCACGTATGAGAACCATTTCAGCGTAGAACGGCTCGGAGGAAGAGTAACACGGACACCCGAAAGCTGGGATTTGTTCCTCCTCATTTCCAGAAGGGGGCGCGAGGGGAGTATCCAGGGGCTCCGTAGAAACGATGTACGCTCGGGCGCGCTAGAATTAATCAGTATCTACTGGTGGCAAGGGATGCGGTACGACTTACCTTTGCCGTGAAGTCTCGAAGCGCTTGGTTGGTTAAATCTGCTGGGTAGACTGTTCCCATGAGAAGCATAGCATCGAGATGATCCTTCCAAGCGTGCCAGTTTGTCGCATCGTCCAAGAACTTGGTCACCAGTTCGCAGCTCTGCCCAATGGCAATCAGATCGACCTTTGTGCGTTCGCTCATCACCTGGAGCAACGTACTAAAAACAGACTCGACATGCTTTTCTGGTGTTTCATGTGCGATGACGGTGTTGATTTCAGGAATATGTCGCCTTCCAGCATGAACAAGGCTTGGCAACGGGATCGCCGTGCTGTCCGTCGCGGTAAGCATGCGGCGACCCTCGGGCCACCAATACAACTGGCCAGGATTGGCAATGAACACGCCAGGCGGCGACGAATCTTTATTGGAGGCGACTTGTTTTTGAAGTTCTTGAACGACAGAAACTAATGAGCCTTTGTTAATACCACCAGGCCCATTAGCCACTCGGCCGGCCAGCATGCCCAATACTTTGGTAGGCTCGCCGAAGAATACAATAATCCGAGATTTTGAAGGCAAGTCAGGCGTCGCAAACACAACTATGTGCTTTTCCGAAGTCGTGCTTCCTAGTGGTAAAGCAACCTTATCTAGTCCCTCAGCAACGAGACGCTGATGAATAATGTCTTCCAAGGCTTCTAATCACCCAATTTTAATGGTAGTTCCTTTCCTCGAATGCAACAGGGAACGTACTGTCAAATTCGAACCTCTGACACTGGTTTATCCGCTCATTCTTATTTATGAAGAATTTGAAATATTGTTCTGGGCTCTCGACAGATCGTATTTCATCGTCGTCGTTCACAAAGTATCTGCTATTATTAGATTGCGTGTCGTGATAGTTTAGGCGCCGGGATGATTGAAACAGACCCCAAGCCTTTCAGGTCAGATGGAAAGGTCGCATCTTTGGGAAGGCCAGACCAATGTCGGCGAAACATGACGGCGATTGTTTTGAGGTGAACTGGACAAATGTTGCGTTGGAAGTTCACAATTGTCAATACGAGGAACATAGAAATAAAACGAGTTTCGAGATGTGATTGCGGAGTCACTGACATTGCAAACAGGGCACAAGCGCTGCCGGCTGTCCGGCAGGTGCAAACGGTTCAAAGTCCCATCCACAATACTGGCAAACACCCGCAGTTCCCTGCTTTACGATTCTAGTCACCAAATTGATCGATTTTTCCAATAGTATTAGTCTTTTCAAATTACAATAGGCATCGCATAATTTGAAACCGAAGGGTCTTTTGTACTTCGGAACTTCATCCCGCCAGGATGAGAGTCAGAAGGACAAATATCTCGCAGAATATCCACAGAGAATAGCCGCCCAAACGCCTGGCTCCATTGTACATAATTCCATCCAAAACGCCGGCCCGATTCCCCTCCATTTATCATTGAAAAGTTGGCCTCAACCCTGCGTGTATCGACTTCTGAACGCTTGACTGATGCTAAATCGGCTGCTGGCGCCTCGATTCATGTGACTTGCAAGAGCTTCCTCAAGAGCGGATTGGGTTACTGATGCGTCTAGATATTGTTAGCATAAAACTGGACTCCAGGCCCGCCTGCTTCGTAAACCTACCATCCAGATCACTAAAACTACTTCCCATGCTGGGAGTCCCATCACTGCCCTCGCGAGAACTCGCCTTTCCCTTGCCGCTCGGACTGCGTCCTGCCAGCTCCGCAGTTCGCCGTGGAGAGAGTGGTCCAGGTATCTTGGATTCCTTCGATTTCGGCCTTGGTATCGCAGTAGGCGAGCCTGTGGACGAATCGTCGGACGTTTGAGATTGGTGAAGGTACTCCCGCATGGGATTCTTGTGGTTTCGTCGACCAGAAGCCCGTCCATCTCCCCTCAGTGTTGAAGCCAGGTCTTGACCTGGCTGATCTGAAGCCTGGAACGGTTGAAACGCGGGCTCCAATTCATCATCTCCGTCATCAGGATACGTTTTCGCAGCTTCCTGTTGTTGAAATCGTGGTGGGCGGCGGATAATTCGAGACTGTGCGGGGCTGGATTCCTCGTCAGACGATTCATTGGAGCTGGATTCAGCAGGTCCTGGAGAAATCGCTTCATTGTGGCGATGGTCGGCCTGCGGTTCGGGCGATTTTGCTGTAGGTGACGGTATCGGTAGTGACGATAGTCTCTTCCTGCCTGCCTGGTCGACCGCTCTGCCCGGGAACGACGTACCATGGCGCGGAGAAGATGAACTAGCGACATCCTTCAGAATCGTAGTGTTGCCAGACGTATCACGACTCATATTCGGGCGTATAGGTATTGAAAGCGGCGTTCCACTCAGCGCACCCTCAGGTCGCGGCATCGGCGAGTCTCGTCGTCCTGAAAGGGCAGATGGAGCGCGTTGATATGATGACCCAGTCGGTTCTGCGCCAGGGATGGGAGACGGGGCAGCTGAGCCTTTCGCTGCGGCCGTAGCCTTTCGGACTTGGGCTCGAACCTGCGACGCATGTCTTTCAGTCAAGTACGCGACTTGCTTAAGGAGGAAATCGACGGGGACATCGAATCGTTCAGCACTGCATCATGGTCAGAATATCCATTGCGGGGTGTTGGATGATCAAACATACACTTGACTCCCTGCGCAAGGTTGAGGTCAGCATCACATCACCTGCCAAATTGGGAGCGTATGGGAGGAGGCAACTCACAGTCAATCTCGGTTTGCGTTGCACCAGAAAGAATCTTCCACAAAGCCTCGTCTTTGGACGAATCCCAATGGACCTAGGTCACAGGTCAGGAGCCATTGCAAGAGGCGGCCAATGGTGGCACTCCTACTATCTGAACTTACGGGAGGAGGATCAACAAAGTCTCCCCTGGGTATGGGCACCCTCACAAACACCGTATACTTTGGCTGGGACATGTCGATGATGTCCCTGAGCAAGCCACTGTCAGGCGAGGATGGCGAGATGGGAATGGGAAATGGTCAGAGCTCAGGTGGTATAGCTGATGGAAGTAAATGTTGGGGTCTATCGATAAGACCAGATGACAACATCAGGAAGTGGCAGGCATTAGCTTGCGTGGTGGATCTGGGACCCCAGCATCAGCTCTCACTCGGCTGACAGGCCAGGCAGGCTGGGGCGGTACTTGGGCACTTTACGTAAGCATCAAATGCATTCAGCCACGTGGGGGAACCATGGACACCCAATTGACGACGTCTTCGACATCCCCCCCGAAAGAAGCAAATAAATTGGCATGCTCCGACCACATCATTTGCAAAGCTTAGATCATGCCAAAGCCACACCAACACCCACCCAAACCTTATGTGACGCTTCAATACTCCGTATTTTTTAACCTTTTGGCGCACTTGCGGGACTTCGCCGACTAGTACTCTACCATCAAGTCTTGCGTCCGCACGTTTCGGCGCAACCTTTCTTGATGCACAGTTTCGATACAGTGTAGTATATCAGTATTTGCATCCGGGTATTTACATTTCTTCCCCAACTTTGACTTCATTTCTCAGGCTTCAGCGCAAAGTGGCTCGGCTTATATGCTCCTCCCGCCATCCACATCGCCGCCAATATTGACTTGGAGACCGATCCCAAGCCTGAAGACGCCGGGGAGCCTATTTTGAGCGACAGACATCCCGGACTCGCTGATGGGACGCACTGCGGCGACAACACTGAGCATTCCGAGTTCCGAACCTCCCCAATGTACTGTCATTCTGAATATGGGTACGGGTATCGTCCAGAAAAGCTTGCGCAGCAACGTACTCTATTGTCAGGGTACAGATCTTGTCTAGAGCATAATCAAGTAGGCTGGGCATGACCTTGGACAGTAAATGCTCAGTATATGCGCCGCGAGGCTTAGAGTTTGAGGGTGTTTATCGTTTGTCGCAGTGACCATGTTGAGCCTCGTCGGCCTGCTTCCATTATGGATTCCATTGCATCAGAATAAACCCTTTTCTGTCCGATTCATTGGAGAGCGCATCGATACGTTTTCCTCCACCAATACGTTTTCCTCCACCGATACGTTTTCCTCCACCGATACGTTTTCCTCCATCGATACGTTTTTCTCCATGACCCTGAGTTGAAGAACAGCGGAGTGTAACACAGTATACGGTTTGTACGGTAGTGCGATGCGGTGTAACGCTACAAAGACAAGAGAAACATCCAATCAATAACGTCTGCCAGCTGCATACAGGCGAGCCGCAGAACGGCTGGGCACGCAATCATGAAATCCCTAACAAGCACTCCAATAGTGACGAGTCCCTTGAAAATAATACATCATGTTTATAATTGTCTAGTACCGGTAATATAGAACACGATCTTGACCAGCCCTCCGCTCCGCACCACCGCCGACCAGAAGAAACAAGATTTATACTCGTTCAAAATTTCTACAGTCCCAATATGGTTTATCCACTTCGGAATGCTATGAAGCCGATTTTTCAAGTCCGCGACTGTCGAGGCTCTACCAAACTGGCAGCCAACCCTCTCAAACGACATCGAAAATTCGCCCTGCGACGGGTCGCAAAGAATCCGCATTTCCTTCCCAGTCAAAGGCCCCCCCCCAACAGAAAAAGCGGTGTAAGCTTTTAAGAATCTCCCGCTTGAGACTCTCCGGCTTCAGATCAAGGAGTAATCCGTCGTTTTCATCAATCTCATCCATCTCAAGGGCACCCATGAATAGCATCCGTCCTCCCTAGGAGGTGGTTCCAGAATAGACCGTGAGATTGCGCAACGTTGCCCAATAATGCGAAGGATTGATCTAGCGCCGGTAATGACTAGGACTTGGTCGGGGCCCAGAGTCGGCGTGACTAGAACAGCTGGACATGCTTCTGGACAGTTGCCAACGTAGATTCCTTCTTGGGTGGCGGATTCCCCGAAGCCAATGTTCTTGTTGGCGGATGCGGCGACAGCTCCGTTGGATCCTTGACAAGTAAGCTCTTGCTGCAGAGTACTATAGCTTGGTACGCTGACGACAGATGCTTGACGGAGCGGAATTTCGTTCCTTGTTTGGTTGAGGATTGTATCGCTGCCAAGAGCATGGAGCGAGTACTCGATCTGCTCAGAGTCTGAGATGGCGTGAAAAATATGCAGCATTTCAACATAGACGAATAGCGCTGTGATATACATCTCCACGGCTTTTGGGTGTCGCTGCGACGAGTTGTACCAAAACACCAAAGTCATCACGCCACGACGGCGCGGATAACGTACAGAGAAACTGTTGCGCCGCCAAGCAGGCAATTTCCGTTCTGGATAAACGCAAGCGATCGCCAGAATTGAGGGACTTGATGTTTCCGCGTGGGAAGTGTTCGGGTAGTCCCAATGCAGTCTGCACGATATTCGGCATATGGTGGAGGAGAACTTGGGCCCAAAATCGTCGACAACTTGTTTGAGCATGCTATAGTCCCCGGCAGTACCAGAGGATCCTCGAAAGCAGTTGGATATTGTATCCGACACTTCAATAAGACCCCCGACGAAGAATTCCGCTTTCCGGACAAGATATTTTGTAGGAGAAGCCAAAACGGCATCAGGCTATCTTCGCCCTCTGCGTCATCGTCCAGGATGCTTAAGCGGTCGAGGCAACGCACTTGTTGCGAGCTTGGTAACATGCGGTCTGAGGTAATCTGATCCATGGCAATGCCCCAGATGTCTTGGAAATTCTTTGATCTTTGCTTTATCCATCAGCAAAGGAATCGACATTGAAATGTCGCAGGCCAAGTCCTGCGAATGCGATGAGTCAGTCAGCGGCCGCCTCAAAACAGGGCGGGGCTGACTGACCTCTGCTTATAATAAGAAAATATACTATGTTTCACCCATGACGATGCCATGATTTCCATAGAATCTCAACCCCGTTTTTGGCCAATATAGCATTGCAGTTCTCTCATACCATAAGGAAGTTCATTTGTGGGTCCTTTAAAGTCTGAACCCAGCTCTTGGTCCCTTGACCTTTGTTGTCCAGGTCCCAAATGACTTGCAATGTCTCCATAGCGGTGTATATAAAACCCCAGGGGCAGGATCTCACAAGCCGCTGCAATCTGTCCATGACCCATTCCCTCCTAGCGCGACCGCCAGCTTCGGCTCCCGCAATAAAAGTCGGCCACGTCGTAGCCTTGAAATTGGGATCATTGTCGGGAATGCTGGACAGATGCTTAAATATGTCGCGGCTCAGAGCCTCCGCCACTTGACCGTGATCGTTCATTTGGCTCATCGATGGAATCGCCTGCAAAATATATAGACATGCTGCAAGGCGGTGAGCTGACCCTGCGTGAATTCTGCTTTGAATTGGTGCATCCTGTAGATAAGACATATTCCGAACATCGTTGGCCCATCCATTGATGTCAAAAGCTTGAGCTTCCTGGATGAGGACTAGACCTGCTGCCCTGACGTCTTCTTCGGAAGCGATGTCAGGAGAGACGTTGGATAACTGGGAGGCCGAATGTAGAATGGTGAGAATTTCAGGAGGACAGCAGAGGTAGCTGTTGGCTGCTGCTCTTTGGAGTATGAAAGGAATCTGAGATGGCTGGAAGTAGGATTGGGTGTCAAACGAGGCCGCAGGCATGAATGCAGAAGCCAGGATGAAGTAGCTTTTCAATCGTCAGTCGCACAAATCGAAACGGCAGCGCGCTTTCCCCCCCAACTTACATAAAGCAATCCGACAGCATGTAGTCTCGCAAGGCAGTATCTGCCACACTATCAGGTTGTAACAAGGACATGATTCTCCCAGCCCCCTCAAGGTGAGCTTTCCAGCCATGTTTCCCCGACTCAATCAACTCGACGTTGATGAAGAAGAGAGCGGCAGCAAGCACAACATCACCCCCAGTCGTTTTGATGTTTTCTACCGCACCACGCATCAAGGTCAACGCCTTGGATTTGGCGACCAGCGCGTCCTGGAGTGCGCGACGCGATGCTTGTTCAATGCCCACAGTAACACCGTCGTCCACACCCTTCGGGTGATGTGCCAGCGGAGCACGAACCAAGTTCGACATGTGTGCCGCCGATGCAGCGACTATAATGTGCTGCAGGAGTGGGTGAGCCCTAGTCAATGGAAGCAAGCCACGAAACGGGTTGCGTTCCGGAATGTCTTGAGATACAAGATCTTTACAGACTCGATTCGTAACTTTCCGGATGGGATGAATTAGCCAACCGCACCACCACCAACAAGAGATGTAGACATGTCCAAACTTACAATACGACAGGTAATACCGATGATCATACTGCATATCCTGGTACAGAGGATCTGCCAAAGCCCACGGACTGGTAACAACACCCTCTGGCGATGGTGATCTTAAAACCAGTTTCGCATCACCCTGATATTCTGACATGGACATGTCCACCGGGGTTCCCGCATCACTACACAAAGAAGGAGGTGAGCTGCTCGGCGTAAGGAAATCCAAATCAGCCTTCTTTCCGGCCACTCTTGTTGCTCGAGCCGCCGTCCTTGCAGCTGCGTCTACAGGAGCACTCGACGTCCTCCCAGCAAGCTTGCCGCGGCTGGCGACCGCGCCTGTCCAGCGGAACAGTTTCCCATATCCAAGACATTCCTTTCCAGCGGCAGTACATTTGTTGCAGTGTGGGTATGACTGGTCACACCGGAGCCGTTGTCGCCGACAGTTGTGGCAGGGCTTGGTCGGCGGGTTGGTCGAGTCCATGGCTTCGAGTAGCCCTGGAGGTTTGCTGTATCTGGTAATCCCAAGTCAATTGAGCCTGTCGGCCCATCTGTGCAGCATGCATATCGATTCGAAGGACGGAAAGCCTTCTCTTTGCCTTTTGCGTTTCACGGCTAAATGTGTCTCGGCGTTTTTTGCGGCCGAGCTTGAATGAGGTAATGACTCTGGGCCATGAGGTATTGACTGAAAGTTTGGCGCTAGACTGAAATAGGCAGCCAAGGCGCACTTTTCTTTTTAAGCTTTGCTTTGATTGGTTGTGCGAACAGGTTGATTTCTCTTACCACGTCGAGCATAAAGACGGCGCGTGTTCTTTTTTCTTTTTTTCGTTTTTTTCTCTCATATTCCAGCTATAATGCTAGTTACTGGAATGTTAATTTAAGCTCAAGGGCACCTCGCCCTAGTGAAGACAGCCTTCGTCTTTATAATAACCAACTCGATGACCCTCAGAAAGTCACCATACTTGGAGAATTTAGGACTCCTGTCTCCAACATTTCAACTCCTTTACAGCAAAGTCCCGTCCCATTGTTCATCTCTCAACTTTCAGAGATGTTCAATATCGAGGTCGTTGATGGTTACACCAGCCCTGAAGGCCCAGCCGATTAGCCCACGAACCTAGCAAAACATGTCTACCATTCGACAGGAACTCCCAAAGTATTCATGCTCTACTGCAATTCTACAGTTTGATTTGGCATGTGGGTCGTCATGGCTGCAGCTCATCCCATTGACGGTGTAACAATATAAAGGACGTACGCCCCATAGTAAGAATGCTCAGAAACCTGGGTCTTGCCCAGGATGATGATGTCCAGAAATACATCATATCAATCTGACCAAACGCCCTATCCAGGACCACAAATTTCGCGGCCAAGTGCTCGATATGTCACTTGTCAGTGTTGTTTAATTCTTCGAGTCTGATCTGATGGGCCCTGTATCCCACCCATCGCACACGAGCGACGGAGGTCTGTGAATGCCGGGACTCTATTTCACGGCATTTGAGGGCCGCTCAAGGCAATATTGAGGGGATCCTCACCTCATGCGGTCAACCTATCGCGCACTCAACCAAGGCACCATTCCGCTTGGCAAGATCCGGGGCGGATGCGCCCTGCGGAGTAAATCTCCCGATTCTCCATCCAAAATGCGACAGTGTCTAAACTCTAGCTCGAAGCTTGAAAAGCAAATCCGTCTCCCAAGATTTGCTCATTCCTCGAACTTCGGTGTTACTGAGAGCAGTAGTAGCTCTTTCAAGCATTGTCAGGTGGCCACATTCGTTGTGAGACAACAGTCTCAGAGTTTCCAAACCTCGCCCGCCCCAAACTCCGAGTCATTTGCAAATGGCAAGCACCAACAGCGGCGGCACCATGACAGATCGCCTCGAGAATGCCCCTGCAGGAAATGCTCCAAAGGGCATCATCCAGACGCCATCAAAAAGGGTGGCGTCTCAACCAAGCTTTTTTTGTTGCATATTTGGTCTCCGGTTGGTTTAGCCCAAGAAGTCAGCTTCCCCCCCAACTTTGATATATCTGTGCGTCTCCGGAGCGCGGCTGCAAGCGCACAAGCACTTTTGCTTCACCCATTCACCAATCGCCTTGTCCCTCCAATAAGGCGCATGGCCTTGCCATGTCAAGCCGGTACTAGCCAGCGGGACCGAAATGACATGCACGACGCCACTGTTGCCCGCGCTTTCAAGACGACTCTTCACTGATAGGGCATGTGGCGCGGCATCCATACATACCTTAAGTATGTATGTATCTTGCACCAGCTGGACGACTGCCATGTGATATTTCGGGCCTGCGCCCAAAAGTCATTTTCAGGACCCCTGCTGCGTCTGCATCTGCGTCTGCTGCAGGTCTCTTAATGCGGTCAAACCCGCGGTGCTGTGGGTGCCGAATCCTGGTCTGGACCGGCAGCATGTTCTTTGACGGGCGCTTCGTTCCGTATCGAATCATTCATGGTTCATGACGCACAAACAGATTTGCTGGAGTGGAGTGAACATGGGGTGCAATGTGTTTGCCAGTGGGGGGACAAAAAGCAACGTCGTATCATGTTGCCTTGAGATGCGATCGTATTGGTTATTGTTGTTCTCCTTGTTGCTCCAGATCAGCTATAGGAGATGGCGGACTTTGTTTTATATGTCGCCCCCCGAAGGAATATGAACCCAACCGATGCAAGTCTCCTGGTGGTGGCATCTTCACACAGGACGCGCCTGTTCTTATTTGCCAAGCCTCACCCCCTTGTGGCTATATAACAGGCTGCTGACCAGGCTCATCATGAGAATTGCCTTCACAGACTCCGGAAATTCCCATAGTAAAACTCAGTGGTCCCTTGGATTCGGAGAAAACGACCGTGTGAGTGTGGGTAGCGACGTATTTAATCCAGGAAGCAGGCAGACGTGAAAAATGAAATTTGATCCAAGGTTCATTTGCTATTGTCACAGTCATACCATTCTGGACACCCGATTTCACCGATGTCCCTGTACTGTTTAACATTCCACAAGGCACTACGTAAGAGAAGTCAACGCTGAATTACCAATATCGAGCGGCGGTGTAATTGGCTCGTGCACCAGCCAATGACTGCCCAAGGGATCGTGAAGGCAAGTTCGAAATCGAGCCATGCGTTCAATATCGAGATGGGGTGCCAACATCAACAGCATGTCTTATTTCGAGTGACGGCAGTATTGACTATGCTTGTCGAATAGCGATACTATGTGTAAATGAGGAGATTGACATGGAAGCTGCCCTCTCCTGTATGAATTATGGGGTATGATCCCGGTCGGATTGTTGTCAGCGGCGACAGAACTGAAGCATGCCATTATATACGATCTCAGGTTACGAAGGAGCTGAGTTGGCGTCTGGGGTGCTTGAGGAGACAGGATGCATATATATCTCCCCGAAGAATTTGCCGCACTAGCCTGTTGCTGAACCGAGCTGCTGGTTGAAGATCCCAAGAGGACGCGTTTGCCTTGCTGCGCAGAGTAGAGATATAAGATTTTCACCGCGGGTCGGCAAAGGAGATGCAGCATTTAACATATCGATGCTGATACGGCAACTTGTTCTTCCGTACAAAAATGTTTGGCAGAACGTCTCGCAGTCGCCTGTGTTTGCGGGGTTGGGACAGATGACGGGTTCCGGCAGTTTGTGTAAATTGACGATGATGTTGCACCATGGTCCGCGGGGCTCCAACAACTGTCAAGCCAGGATCACCACGGATCACTGCAGGGTCGATCGCGAGGTCACATTCTGCCGCAGGTTGGGCGCCGAATTGGGATGTTGTATTCTTTGTGGCAGCTGTAGCACCCAAAAGTCCCGCTCGCTGAACCGGTCAGCGTATACATGGGCGAATAGCTGTAGAATGACAAAATAGGTGTGGGAGACTACCAGACGTCGATAACTAACACTTATGCGGCGAACTACAACTTGCTACCTGGGAAGAGGCGACAAGAGGCCTAAATAGATACGGTGTCTTGCGGGTCAAACCACTGGTCGGGGAAACCACTGTATACACGTCATACACAACATAATTTAACGGCTGTAAAAGCTTCGGCGTAGCAATTCTCTGGCATCGACTGTGCGACGTCGCAAATTGCTCATGGATGCCATCCAGATTGGGAAGACACCATCAGCCCGTAGAATTGCACGTAGTATTATAGCTGTTCTTTGCAATACGTACCAGGCGATGCACCTCTTAAATCCCTTGTGCTGCGGAGTTTTCGGAAACGATCTGACCAGCACGTTCGGAGTCGTGAAGAGTAGTCGGAGACTTCTACCAAAATTAATAACACTTTTAAGCGCTAGCAGGGGCATCACCGCAGCATGGCTGGTCGTGTTTAGCTCTCCACCTGTCGCGTGGGTTGGCATGGTAGATCCTTGCCCAGATCATGACTGGAAGCGAGACGGAATGATGCACAGCCTCTCGTCATCACTTCAAGCCTGTTTGTGCCGTGCATAAAGGCCGCCGATATGGTATCTGTTTCCTTCTCCTCGGCTCCCAGGGCCGGACCAAACAGTTTAACCGAACGAGCTAGTACTGGCATCTGATTGTGGTCCTGTCCGCGATGGGTGACATACCCGAACAGGCGTCATTGGGCGACTGGCTCTGCCATGGCAGCAGCCTTTCTGGATGCCGCAAAGTCAAATTCTTGAGTGCCTGGCATTTCTACGAGTCAGCACGAGGGTCATGGCCAAGACGCAGCTTTAATTGCCTTTGATGGGGGGGGTGAGGTTCGATCAGCCTTGCGACCCGAGTGGCTCATAAGGAATCTACCATTCCCCAAAGGCAATTAGCAAACCATATTTTTAGTGCATTGGGATATTCAAGTGGCTCAATGCATGTATGCCCGGGATTCGCACCGAAATAAACAGCTTACTTGGTTGGCTGAGAAACATTCCCCAGCAAAAGTGCTACGCTTGGCGTCGAGTTGGCCTTGTGCCCTACAGCAACAGGCCAAGAGAATCGTTGTGTAATGCTCGAACAACTCGAGCGGAGTGAGAAATCTTGGGGATCAAGTAGCAGTTCTTTGCTTCGGAAACGGACCCCATTCCCAAAAGTCCTTTTGTTTTCTGGAACTTTAGCAAGTCTAGCGGGAGTTTGGTTGGTGCTTGTCATGGGTGCCCCCCAGGAATGATCCCAGCAGGCACAGAACCGCACAGGCCCTGGGGGTTGTATGGTGAGCAATGGTTGGTTCCCAAGTTATCTGGGGAGGCCATCTTGAGCAGGTTCCATCGCATGATGCCGACCAAATGTTGGTGTCGACTCGGCCAAATGCACTGTATGTATGTTATTCAATGCGTAGCTTGGGTTACATCTCGAGTTTCCTGAAATAATGCGAGACAAGTGGCAACGTTGAAGACAAGGTAGATTGCAGGCAGTCCTCCCTGCCTGGGGGTAGTTGCAAGTTGCCACGCTTCCAACAAAGAAACAAACCAAAACGAAGACGAGATGCAAGAGAAGTAATGCAAGAGATGCAAGTGGAGCTGAACTGTCCAGAGCTGGAGGCTGCTTCCGCCGCCTGCGACACCGAACTTCCCTGCTGGGTCTTTGATAGTCGCGCTTTCCCTGTCGGCTGGATTGTACCATGTATTGCCTGCGTCGGCCTGCCAGGCACCAACATTGATGATTGAATGCATTCAATGTTTGATCGATATGTGCTCGAGCTGCCAAACCTGTGCCCCGTTTCAGCTTTGCATCGTAAATACCATTTCTCATCCCAATGCAAAGCCACAACTGCGACCAGCAATACTACATACCAAGTACGTACCTTATTACATACCTGGGTGCCTCCCAGTTATTATTATGCCTGGTTTCAACAAACAATGCGCCGCTCAGCAGGTTGGGCGGGCCAAGGAGGTGTCCAGAAACCCCTCCCCGGACCGTCCAGATGGCTGTGTTATGCCACGCACAAAGCCAATAGTTCTCTAAGACAATCAACTAGCTTTACCCCATATGGAGTTCAGGGGATATTAAAATTGAACTTTACCCTGATGCTGAACCAGGAATACATGCATTGGACTCTGTGTCCTCTGTTTCAGTCGCCACGACCTTCATGACTACTACGGTAGTACTACCTAGGTCGGCCCATATCCTCCCCCGGTATCTAATATCGATCAACCAATCATGTCTTGTCTAATACTGAGCAGGTGAACATATAGTACTTTAGCGACGAAGGCTCGACTATTTGACATATGTTTCCAGTGCAACGACAAAGTGTCATGCATGCTCTAGCTATACCGAAACGTGGTCAAAATTATCATGTGTGTCGAAATGAAGCTCCAGACAACAGTTCCTATATTATATGTACCCCTAAGTTCTAACCCTCCGCGGTTCAAATTCTGGAAGTCACCCCGGCATTACACTCCACCTTTGAAGGATGGAAACACAAGGGCATCCACCAATCGCGATGCCGTTCTCTCACTAATGCCAACCCAATCCATCAGGTAGTACTGACCGATGACCGTCATCCTGCTCACCCAGCGGAACAGAGGCCCGGAACAACCAGCACACGAGCCTTGCTACGTCGTATGGTGGAATTCAGACCTGTTGGCGCCAAAGTTCCCCGAAGAGCGAAGCTTATACCAGTCCAGTTCCCCCCTGTCATCATACTGAACAACTATGGTTTGTACAAGCTCCTCGCGACGATATCAGCCAGAGAACTAGTCTAGCCACTCGCGCGGAAAGGCCCGGCGTCTTTTTTTATTCATTATCCCGCCGTGGCAGATTTAAGGTGCGGAATTGATATCGGCAGATGGCTGGCGCTGAAAGAGCACAGACCTGCGGATCTCTAGGTTCTAATTTGGGGAAGACCAACATCGCTTCCACATTTAGGGTTTTTAATCGAGGGCACGATCAGGTGCCCGAGAAATCAACCCACAGTTCGTCTCTTGTTGGTTTCACAAGGTATTCACAGAGATGTGAACATTTGCCAGTATACACTGGGTCTGATGATGCTTGTACACAGTGTGGTGCGATTACCGGGCACTCCCTACAGGACTGGACCCCATCCTCCTGACTCGGAGCGGATCATCAGTGTACATATGTATGGATGTATGGCAAAGAGCTGACAGAACAAACCGAGAGTATTCCATAAAACAAGTCATTGTCCGTCCAGTCTTACCATCAAGGAAAACCTCTTGCTCGGGGAGAAGCCCTTAGGCGTGGCCATTTCAGATGGGCCTGATTCACGCCCAATGTTGCGGGAACTTCCACCACACAAAATCCATTGGGAGCATTTCCTGATTGTCGAAACTTTCAGTTTATGCCGCCGCAGATCCGGCAGAATGCCTTTTGCATGCTGGATGTGAGATTTGCTCCCCTGCTCCGTAGTTCAACGGTAGTTGATGCGGCGAATGGGCAACATGGAGAGTCAGGGAAGTTGCCTATTCCTTGTCAAGTTGCTGATCCTTCCGGTCCAGTTCAGCCTTTACACCAAACCAAGTCTCGCGTATTAACTAAGGCATATGAGAAAGCATCAGCAGGCGTTGAGTATCGTTATTTTAAGACGCACTTACAGGACAGCATTACGTGCTATGGGGTCTTAATTTACATGACCACCCTGGCTACGACTTGGTCCTAATACATAAATTAGCCGGCAACCTTGGTGCAGGGGGGTCATCCACACAATAGCTGGGGTCTCGTAATCTACGATGTTGTTTGCTTCAAGCGTTTGGATTCCTAGACATTTGGCATAACGACGAGTCAGTCCGATGAACTGTGACTGCGTCGGAAACTTGAAAGTCTCGAAGACGATTGAGCTGGCTTTAGCGCAACATCCTAGAATGGCAACTCTCAGCACGCCTGGAATTGCAGCGTCAAGAGGAAGACTTCTGACAGCCAGTGGCGTCAGTATTAGCCGATGGAGGGTGATAGGATGCGGCTGCACCAGTATGCATAATGCACCTACAACAAGTACTCCGAACTTGGTGCTGATTTAGGGGCGACGGAGTACTACATCTCACCCTTGCTTCTCAAGTCTGGGCTCCGGAATTGTGGTTGTGGAACCAGAGCCAACCCTCGAGCTCGGGAACATATTGAAGACCAGCAGTACTTGAGGGTGCGTCCGGCCTGAAGTGGCAGAAACCAGGGGGCGTTCTGGGGACACACAGGGCTGCAGTTTGTCAAACTATCGCCGTAGCAGGTTATGAGAATAACGAGGCTTTTACTGCGGAAGCGTCTGCTTCGTAGGGCGGGCCATGGGATAGCTCTGCAGGCGTCGTGGTGGCGGGAGAAACAAGGTCAGGAAGACGGTACTTGAAATGGCGACGGCTGGGCAAGTTGCAGACTGCGCATGCAATGGCAATGGTTCGTCTCTCAAGGTCGAAACCGAACCCCGGCGAGCAGCCAGACGTATGGTCCAACATATTCGGTTCGAAATGCAAAGGCATAATGACCAAGACGATGAAGGTTTTTTGATGTTTCCGGATACTTTCTCCGCCGACGAAATTTTCTCTCCGCGAGATGACGTGCCGCCTGCTTGGTGCCCGACTGATGAAGCTTGAGCTCCAGGTCTTGCCTCATACTGGCCGCAGCTTGGCGAGAATCCGAAACACTCCCGCAATCCGATGATGGTTCTCTTCAATGCACCGCATAGCCAAAATACAGAACGAAACAAACCAAACGCAACTCGCAACGCTGCTCAAGTGCCACCAGCATGGCTAGCCAGCAAACCATGCCCGGCATAAGATCAGCTTGACCATCCGGTCGCACAGGGCCTTGATCCACGACCCCTATGGTGGTAGATCGTCTCGAGTTCCTCCAGCCCACGCATTAACCCTATCCACCTTGACCGTTTGACCATCAACGGACCCCAGTGACATTCACTGGAGCCTCTACAGTTGCCACCAGCTGCGATGCCAATCCGCGGCAAAGAGGAGCGGCGCCAGAGACCCTTGTGACGCGCCCAGGCGTGGTTGCCACCCCCCCTTGTCACCCTCACCCCCTCCTCCATCTAGCCGGCCCGTGGTGTCTGATTTACTATTCGCCCCCCTCCCCCCGTGACAACCACGCCTCCAGGTTGCTTGGTCTAACGAGCCTGGGACTCTATCAGTGTTGCGAACCTGTGATAGGCACAATGGCTTGTTACTCCGGCCTTCTCATCCAGTTTCTGGTCGCCTCACCACCCCACCTCCTGAGCCTCTTCCCAAAGATGAATGTCACGGACTTTTTCGTCCCAGGTTTCCCTTCAGGTTCTGGGCAACTCGTTTAGCTAGATTTGACCCACCGCCAATTTGTGACAGATGTGCTTGCAGTTGAAGACCCCAGTGATCCGGGATCGCTTAGTGGCATGTCCCCCCAGATCTGATTTACATTACTTCCGATTCATCAGGTTGGTGGTGTACATGCATATGAATTTGGTCTTGTGCGGGATTAGGACAGACTTACTTATACCAGGTTAATCCCCATCCAGCCGTATCGTCGGAACCGCCATCTGAACAACCTACTCGCCAACATCCGCATTGAGCTTTCTTTTACAGATCAACAAGCCATCAAAAAGCAGTCTTTCCGTCTCAGTCTATTTGCTCTACTCAGACACAACCTTCTCGTTCTTTTCCACGCAATTGAGGACAAGATATTCAACGGCGTGCCCCCGCCGCTTCACACAAGCCCTCCGTTAAACCACAACACTGTGACATTACCAGTCATCGTCTTGTGAAATGGCTATACACTCAATAGCACGTCACCATTCCTTGCTACAAACTGAAATGTACCGCTATGCGCCTCAGCCACCACCATCACCGCCAATGGAGGAAACCAAATGCTCGTTGCCTTCTATTTCGAAACTCTTGGGGATTGCTGATGCCGGTTCCCCGACCAGTATTGCATCCCCAGACTCTACATCCGAGTCACCTCTCACTGAAGGTACGAATGAGCTTGGAAGATACAACTATGAAACTGTAACATATCCAACCGAGAGACTAACATGATCAGATCGAGCAGTTCCTCGACGACAAGAGACTCCATTTTCCAACCACGAAAGCTGCATAAACTCGAGCTACGCGCAGCATCTTTCTCAGTCAAAGGGCTTTCCGCCCACTCCTCCTCTAGGCTCTGATGCCTCTTTTGATAATCATAGCTCCCCGATCACCAAACCGCAAAGGCATTTCTCCATTGGAACCTTCTCCGGGGGTAAATACCTGGAAGCAACGCCACCCCCGATGGAGAGCGATGCGCGACGATTTTCACTACCGCAGCAATCGGTAACTGGGACCCAAGGGCATCCTCAGCACGCCATTCCTCAACAGAATCTGCCCCTGGGGGCTTTCCACAGCCTGTCAACAGTCGGGGGCTACTATCACTCAGCACTCCCATCTGGTGCCGCTCCGCATCCCCAAATTTCGAACCTCTACTACCAACAACCGCTGCCACAAACGTTCCCACCCATGACGCTTCCCATCGCATATACTCCGTCATCTGGCAGCAACCCTTGGCAGCATCACCACTACCTCAACCCCGTCCACGGCATGTCCTACACGCAGAGTCAAGATCGATACATCTGCCCCACGTGCAGCAAGGCATTCAGTCGTCCTAGCAGCCTCCGTATACACAGTCACTCCCACACAGGGGAGAAGCCGTTCAAATGTCCCCATGCAGGCTGTGGCAAGGCCTTCAGTGTCCGCAGCAACATGAAACGACACGAACGTGGCTGTCACAGTTTCAATATCAACTCGGGTCGACAACCGTCAAGGTAGACGTGATCATGTTGCATTGTCCTCCATTGTAATGTTCTGGCCTCACGGCACTGGTGTTTCGGAATTTAGCGGCAATATCTACATAGGGGTTATGATACAAACGGACTTTTTGGGTGTTTTGCACAAGTTGCGCGGGATGGACTTGTAGGCAGGGACGCGAGAATCACAGGATGGTTTTGGAACGGCGAGGCGTTTTACAGGTCAGACATGGAATGGGATTTGAAGCTTGGAAGTGGTGGACCGTATACGACAAAGGTGTATATGAATAGACTTTTTGAAAATTATGCATTTTGTCCTACTTGTTTGATTTTCTTGCCACGATATCTCGCGGGTTATGCACCATATGTGACGTCTGCTTCCAAATGTGTCGCCTAGCTATGTATGCACTTGATAAGAATTTAGTGCTGTGGCAATGTAGAATTTTCCACGGCGAAATGGCATCAACAGAATGTGGCAGTCATTTCCGAGATTCTATTATAGGATCTACGGCTGTGCTATTGAAGACCCTGGCTATAATGCTGTTCCTGCTTCTTAATACACAAGGGACTCTCATCTCGTGTGCACGACTAAGCAAGATTCAGCTCGGTGCAAAATAAACTAGATTGGGCGGGGATGGGGGTCCCCCCTAGAGAAGCTCCAAAATTGATATTGTATGTCTATGTAAGTAGGTGAAGAGAAGTCGGGGCGAGGAGGGGGGCCGCAAGGACGGAAACAAACTATTGAGACGAAAATCCCGGACGGGCTTTCCGGGCGTGAACCTGGAACCCTGCTCGTTGGGATGCTCGGGGGGAAGATGAATGCTTTGTGCGCCCGCTGTCGATCACTGAATTCCGGCCAAGCGGATGTGCTTTCAAATGGCGCCGGGGAGATGGAGGTCACAGCAGAGCGGTAGGGTTCGGCATGAAATACTAGAGGCGGAAAGGGAGCTGCGATCAGATCGCCCTGGAACCCCAGACTCTGGTGCTTCACGGCGCTGGCTCCGAGAGGCGCATCGATTGGCTTCCGAGGTAGCAGTGCCCGAGTCGAGTCAACTAGAATGCTGCACTAGTACTCCGTACTCTGTACTCCGTACGAGCTTTGAATACAATGCAGAAAGTGCACGTAGCGTCAAGGGCGGGAAGGCTTGGCTTGTTACGTGGGCAAATGGCCTATGAACGGCTATGGTGGTCCGCCATCGTCCTCTGCGTTTTTTTAGCGTGCGTTGTGGCTGTTAGGCTCATAGATCCGAGGCAGCCGGGATGTGATGAAGATTCGCTCATCACACATGATACTCCGGACTGTCTGATGATATCCGCCGTGGCGGGCAGCCCAGCTCTCAAGGCGCACATGGAACAGCAGCCACAGGTGGCTACTGTATTTTCGGCCGGGTCGTGAGTCAGGGACCTGGACGGCGATCTCACCCACGCTGCTGGGAATGTCCATTGATGGTTCCCACCCACTTCCCATTTGAGTGTTATGGGGGTCAACTGGGTCTGAAAACCAGGCGTTCATCTTGTGGTTGAGCCGAAGCTCTGGGTGTCTGGTCTGTACTGAGAAGTGCATGGGGCAACATAAAGAGCTTCAAGGCCGGTGAGGGCTTGGCGTCGTATTCTCACAAAACCAAAAGTCTGCAAACCTTCCAGAATAATTCCAAGAGCCCACTGGGAGAGGATTTGGCTTAATTGGGACCATGGCTTGCCAAGGGGGTCGTGGTACTAATGATTATGTCAATATTAGTACTAGTATGTCTTTTAGTCTTCTCTACTCGTCGTGCGCCGTACGAAGTGGCAATTTGTGAGTGGCCTAGGTCCTCTTTCCTTGGCTGTGGACCTGCAGTACAAGGCCAGCACCTCGTTTTTGGGGGGGGCGGGGGCGGCTCGAAGTCCAGATGCCATTAATTGATGGCCACCCGCCGGTGAAAAATCCAAATTCGGAAATCCTTCGGCCGGGGCATGCCGTCAAACTACATCTCAGTCGTTGTGAAACCCGACGTCGCATGGCCCGCCGTCGAAGTGGAGGCGAAAGCCCAACATGGACGGAGCCTAGTAGTATCAACATCTGCATAGTGAAGAGTCTTCAGTTTTTCGCTAATCTGAAATGCTAGCCTTCTCTCTGCAACCGTCGTATGTATAATTCTAAGTCTGTTTTAAGCTCGGCGGTCCCTCATGACGTGTTCTGCACCATTTGGATAAGAGCTTCTTGGTGGGGGTCGCTTTTCTGTTGCAAGTTGTGTTACACAACTAGCCCCCAACCAACCGGCACAGTGACGTGGCCAGAATCAAGCAAAGCCATGCAGTCCGTTTGGTGCACACTGACAAATAGGGCAGCGTGCATATTGCGATGCGTCGTCACTAGTCGCTGCGTGGTAGCCGGGTTGATCGTGGCAACATCAAGTGTCTTCTCGGCACTTTGCTGTAAAACTGCCTAAATACAACGGCAATGGAGATAACAGCAGAAACAGCCATTGACACACCTTGTTTCCAAGGGGGCAAGAAGATATGCTTGGCGTTCTAGAAACAAACTACCCCCAACTCTAGGGGTCCATCAATGACAAATTTCTCTGCTGTTCCTCTTCTGGAATTGCCCTGTTTAACCTTGTTCGATGGGTCGAGACCTCGGTAAATGTGGTTGGTGGCGACGATTCTTTTGAGGGGCAGGTTTCATCTTCTGCCGATATCAATGCTGTTATCGAAGATCATAGCGGTGTATCATTTAGCTTCAGATCCGTCCTTGGCAGCGTTTCATCCCCAAATCTAAGCCTGGAGTCAGCAACTTGATCAAATATGTCGAACCGCTGGAGCTCGATCTGGATGTGGCCCAGGGAGGGCATGAGAACCGTGTAAATCCTGGATGGCGATCAGTATCTACGTACCTAAAGGAATCGTATGTCCCAACTCTGATACGTCATACGTCGCGAGGCCATTAGAAGTGGGCGAAATGCAAACATTTGTTTAGGACGCATGACTTTCCCCATGTTAGAGACTAAAATTTCTGGCGACTTTCGTGGACTAAACAGTCGCGTAATATTTGGAATTTTCCCACAGATTCATCCGGTGTTTTTTTCTTTGTGAGAGAGAGAGAGAGACAGAGAGAGAGACACAACGTTCATGCAAATCGCAGTAGGCTCCCCGGATTATGGACTTCCGCCACACAGCGCATCCAAGGAGGCACGCACTGTTGCCCACGTTTCATTGTGTATTGTTTGAGCTTGTTCCATCCTCTTGCTGCTGAATTATAAAATTTGTAACAGCACTCAGAAAATCTTCCAAATATTGTGTCTCAGACACATGTCTCGGATACTACTGGGTGCAGCTGTCAACTTTCAGTTTGTCTCTCAGCCAGTGCTACCCCGTATGTATTGGCAGTAATGCTGCAGGGCCAATCACATTGTTGAAGGTGTATCATATGATACAAGCAACTGAGAGTGGAGTTTCTCTTTAACGGTATAGATTGTGTGCTACGGCTTCAAGGTTAGTTAAAACGAAATGCTGTGTTCCCACGTCCTACAAACCGTGGAGGCGGACCTTAGGCACCAGCTTCGTAACACGTCTGTCGAAAGCTTAGAGGGAAGGATGTCTTCCTGAATACTCCGTATAGTCTGAGTTTATAGGCCAAAAAAAGCGGAAGCCTATCAGCGAAATAGTAGAACGACGCCTGAAGACTTGACAGCTCATATCATCTACACACTAAATGTTCGTTCCTCTTCCTTCTAGCTGTTCTATTCTTTTATGTGTGTCTGTGTGTGTGTGTGTGTGTGTGTGTGTGTGTGTAGCATTCGACGTGGCGGGAGCTTCCGACATGCGTACCAGCGCCGTAATGTACATGCAAGGCACTCCGCGTTACACAGCCGTGCACATACATAATGATCAAGCATTCGCCCACAAAACTGTGAGATAAGGTGCATTCGTAGCGGCAAGAGTCACGAGCAAATGGGCTTCACAGTCGTCAACCGAGGAACTCTTCGCGCACTTGTGATCAGGGCAAGATGGTGGTGGTCCGTTCCTCCTCCTCTCAAAGAGGCACTAACACGCACTGGAGGACCAGAGAAGGACAATATACACCCTCTCCGGGTTGGGCACCCTGTCCCATCGTAACAATCACACTCCAGCTTCCTATCGTGGCCATCAGTTCACATTGGTGTGTGGTGGTTTTGTTCGGGCGGTCCGTACGTACGCGATTGAGCTGGGGAGCATCAGCTGAATGATGGCATCCAGGCCACCGCCACAATTTGAGTGATACTGCCTCGCCGCAGTGCGATAGAGAGGAAGCAGCAATTTCACAAAGGTCAGAGAGGCCCTGCAATAGATTCCAGATCCAGGCCTGCAATTGCATCAACTGTCAGTACTTTTCAGTCCATAGGCTGATTCGGCGCCAGGCACTGCTCCATTCTCGCAACCAAGCCTGAGCCCGGAAAATGCAGTGACAGTGATGGCATTCAAGCGAGAAGATGTCAACGACGGGGGACAGATTAACGTGTAGATTGGCAGAGCCCTGGATCAGAGAAGTCTAAGATGGATTGAAATTGGCTGTGCAGCCCACCTGCACCTGCAGTTTTCCGCCTCCTAGCTGGTCCTTCCATCTGGTCAGACGGGGCCATGAATGGACAGGCTACCTTGGGTTGTACCTATCTGAAGGCCATCAGCTACAGTGGGTGCACCTACCTAGGGTAGATGATGAATGGGCATGTGCACGTTTGTCTTTCTCCTGGAAGGTGCTGTGCACCCAAGTTGCTTTTTGAAGTTCCCAAGTAACCCCGCCACCGTCCCCCGCAACTGTACATGAGGCAGATGACTGACGCCATCCAACCGGTCGTTCTGTCCTAGTTCCCAGCAACTCGGGCCGCCAATCCATCAGACTGCTCCACTCTATGTGCAGGCGGCGCCATGTGCAGGAGCAGGAGCAGGAGCAGGAGCAGGAATAACATGAACATGAGCATGGAACATGGGCATGAGCACGAAGTAAACAGTGCGTGGAAGCAATTAAAGTTACTCAACCACCTGCAGAGGAGTGCGTGTCACCACTTGCGCACGCAGTCTGTTAAACGACGTTATCCTTAGCAAATGCATACAGGCACTTGGAGGTTGGTGTTGCCACTGTCCCCCGTCGTTGATTGTGTTCTGCCCACCAACAGATTTAAAGCTGGCCAGGATGACATTGCGCCTGATCAAATCCCTCACCCGCGCGCCATTGGACTTGCTCCCCTCGACCTGGGGTGCTCAGCGGAGGCAGGAACTAAAGGAGCTTGGGGGCGATTGTTGCAACTCATTCTAAAAGAGTGAGTCCTCATCTGCCCATGTCCTCACTCAAGTGGTGGTGTTGGCTGATTCCTTGTAGTTCGTCAACGAAATCGCCAAGGTACCACATCCACGTTTCTGCACCGGCATTGGAACCCCAGCCCGTAGCTTCAATAGTTCTCCCGAGCCTGTTAACGAACGAAAAAACCTCCTTTGGTGGGTAGCTTTGCAAGAACAAAACACCTTTCATCCAGGAACCAATCTATGGGGGGTTAAACCGTCTATGTATTCCCAAGCCAGGCTCACGGCTTGGCCCGTTGAGGAACCGCCATTGACATTGAACGATCTGCGCCCGTCAGTGAATGCCCCCAACATTCTCCAATCACGCGCTGGCGTGATAATCTCTCTTCCCCCCCAGAAGAGACCGGCAGCCACAGCGAAAGACCCAGCCAGGCCAGACGACGGCCAGACAAGCCGTGCACCCACCATCTTGTTGCCGCGCTTAGCTTCGACGTCGAAGGCGCGAGAGCAGACCTCCGGTTCTCCCACCTTCACCCTTCCTTATCTCGTACTTGTGCCGGTGCGTCGTGGACTTGGCTCCCGTCGACGTCGCTTCTTCGAGATCATGCACGATTGTGCACGACTTCACCATCACAGACAATCATCGGCCAAGCACTCGTGCTCTTCTTCAATGCCAGCAGCACCACCAATCAGCCCCGAACCCCCAATAACTGTCGCTGTCGCTGAACCGTCTCGAGGGCATTGACGGGCTCGTCCACTAAGCCGTGAAGGCTTTTTGCCTTTTTTAGGCGCTCTCGCACGCCTTGCGCGTGTTGCCCATCATGACGACCAATGCTGTGCCGGACACGCAACTAGGTCTCTCACAAGAGGAGATACAGCTCCTGCGGCAAGGCCAAGCAGCACTCGGAGGGGGATCGACCAGCTCCCGCACCGCCAGCAGAGCGAGCAGTCAAGGCCTACTACTACTAGACAGCTCCTCTCTTGCTGCTCTGGGAAGGTACTTTGATCGGTTGATGGCAAATATCGAACAAAACATACGATATCTTAGCGAGCAAGCACAGATGTTCACCCAAGTACAATATGACCGTGCTGGAAATATCATCGACGGCGCCGATGCAGAAATTGAGAGATATCGGCAGATTCTAGTGCAACTTGACGAGCTAGAGACGGACTTTGACCGAATAGCCCATATCAAAGAAATCGTGAAGGGGTATCGGTCCAGAGTGGAGGAGCTTGAGCGAGACTTGGAAACAAGCGGAACGTCTAGTCGGCACCACAAGCATTCATCCCACAAGCATTCACATTCCCACTCGCATAAGCAAGGCTCGTCTCACAGGAGTAGGCACTAAACGAAAAATCGATATGTCCACTCAGGTCACCTTTACCAGCAGGAGCATCATCCAATACGAACAAAAATATATATACTACAGAGCCTCATCAGCTATCCCGCCCCGCGGCCACGATTTATCTACATCTAAAGGAAATCCATGTATCCTCCACACGAACGCTAGCTGGACGAGATCAAGGTTGGATTGTACGAATGAGGAGGGAAGGAGATGATCAGAAAGGGAACCTCAAAGATGAAACAGAGGCCTCACGGCCGCGCAAAGATATGGATAGGCCTCACGGCCTCGTTGACTTATTCATCTGGCGTTTGTTAATTTCCCACCCCCGACTTGAGCACATTTATGGGTTGTCTTTTTTTTTCTTCTTTTTTTTTTAATATCTTGCACTTGGAACAATTTTACCCGATCTTGGCGCAGATCCATGATCCTTTTGATTTTGCTTCGGATTAAATATCCCGCCAGTTACCGATGGAGTACGCACAATTTAGGGGAGAAAAACGTCTCCTTATGTCAGCTACCAAAACACTTCTGCAAATTATCGGACCAAACTCTCCCGGCGTTTTACTCTGTGGCAGCAGATGGCATAAAGTATGGTGTAATGGACTTGGTTGTTTTGCTTTCATTGTCATGTTTTATACCCGGTGGATTAACAAAAAAAGACTGTTGCCAATCGCGAGATAACCTTTTGGGGGCACCGCTGGACTGGGGCGGCGTTGGGACACTGGAGTCTTTCTTTTCTCATATTTTTTTTCTTTCCATTTTTGTCTCTTACCTAGCTTTGGGGGAGGTAACACCAAGCGGAAGGACTGTGGAGGGGAGTGTCTGAGACGTTTGCAGGAAGAGGTTTACGGGGTAGTCCAGACTAAAATGCGACACCTTCGCGTCGAACACTTGACCGTGGTGCCAATTTCGGTGTAAACCAGGTAGTCGGTTGGCCCGAACCCCTCACTCGCTCAGTACCGTGCAAGAACAAGAACACGAGCTTGTGCCCGATGCCATTGATCCAATGAGAGGGGACGTCTATAGGCACCCAAATGGATCTTGTTTGTCACTGCCCATGCTGTCGGGTTACCGGATAAAACGTCGCCTCGCATCATTGACAGATTTGAGGGCTGCGGCGGATGTGCGAAATGTCCCGCCTCGTTGCCATGGATTGCGCGACCCATGTTCTCCGTACATATGTGGAAAGGGATGTCGCCGGTTGGCTCGGTGGGATTCGCAAATGCTACGTGAAGCGGCAATGGACATGGCATCTGTATCCAACAAGAATCGAGTACGACGAGGCTTTGCTCGACCAGCAAAAGGGGTCCTCGGCACGCTCCCCGCGCGCCAAGTTGACGCCGTTTTAGACGCAATTCCCGCACCCTCCTCGACTGACAAGGTCAGGCGGCGAAATTGGTATGCCGGAACAGCAGGTATATCATGCCTAAATCCGGAGTAATAGGCAGCAGTAAAAGCCAAGGCGCTTTTGACAGGCGCTGACAAGGTCTGCCGTTGCCGGTCTAGGCATGACGGCACCTGCGAGCCCGGTTACATCATCGCACAGGGGGAGCACTTCTTGGACATTGATCAGGACCATTCGACATCAGTTACAAATAGTAACACCTCAGGACAACGCCGCGGCCTCGTCAGACTACACATACGACACCGTGTCTATCGTCTCTTACGCTCCAGCCGCCGGTCATCGAGCCCAATGACGATGCCGGTATCCAAGCACTTTATGTTCCAATAAGTTGGAAATAAGACTAGAAAACCTGTCCGTGCGTAAAGTCATCACGGTTTTGAGAAAGATACACAGCTCAGCTAGTCCAGGTAGCCAACGCTTGGCGTTCATGTACTACTGTATATGGTCATTGACCAAATAATGCAAATTAGTCTGGCCGGCTAGCATAATACGTCGATCCCCAGACTCATTTTCATGTTCCATCAGCAAGTCTGCCTATCGAAGCAAGAATCTTCAATACGACAAACACCAATCTAAATCGCATGATTTTCGAATCGCACACGTCACTTTCGTCAATCACAAAGCCTCACAACATATGAGATGAATAAATTCGGCCGCCAAGCAGCACACAACACATGTATCTACACGCCCAAACCTCCTCCTCCCTACCCCCCCTTTCCCCAAACGAGTCTCATGAAGAAGTGAGGCCGCGAGTCAATTCAATCCTGAAACAAAGAAAAACCACGAGTCACATGTAAACCATCTTGTCCATAACGCCAGAGCATGCCCATATTCGTAACCCTCGTCCCCATTACTCTTTCCTCAATACTCCAGCATCTATCCAACTTGCTCCCACCATAAAGCCAGTGTGTCAAACAGGGAAAAAAAAAGGAAAGAAAAGGAATGTGTAACACAAACAGGAAAACAGCTAATCGTGACGTGCGTGCCCGGTATCGGAGGCATTTCTGATCGTCAAGCTCCTCGCCACAGTTTCACCCCAACATATTCATGTATTATTCGCCTCGGCGAAGCAAGGATTCCTATACCTTGACAATACGCTTTTGCCTTACTAAAAAGGGACTGGGCATCTCATCTTTCTCTGGGTCCCAAACAGCTACAGACTCACTGCCGCTGCTGCTGCTGCTGCTGCCACTGCCACTACCTCCGCTCACTCTCCGCTCGCAGACCTTCTCCTTAAACATAGCACGCTTAGGGCTGACATTCTCAAGAGTACCACCACCGGCACTCATCGGACGACCTCCAGCGCGAGCTTGTTGCAGTTCAACCAGGGTCCTACCCTTGATATTGTTCTTAGCCGCCATCTTATTGAGAGCCTCCCCGCCATTGATGTCCTTCTTGACGGAATGTTTCCGCGTCAAGCCGCCGCCTGTATCTGTTGGCAGGCTTGCCATTGATGGAATCTTGCTGATTTGTCGTGTCGGCGAGCGTGGGCGTGGCTCGGCCTGAGGACCAAATACTGCCTTGGAGACTAATCCGGTGGCCGACGCCTGAGGCTTGAGGCGGTTGAGAGGGCAGGACTTTTGTGAGGAGAGGACAGGCCGATTCTTGGAAGTAAACGGATTATTGGCAGAGCGAATGTTCCGCGTGGGTGAGGGGACAATGTCCTCATCGTCAGAGTCGATGGACAGCGGTTCGCGAAGGTCCCATCTAGGATCCGCAGATTTGTTTGCATTGGCTGCAAAGATGTTGCCCGAATGGCTTGTAGGGGCCTTGGTCGCTCCGCCACGACGGGGAGACAAAGAGAGGTTGGCAATGGCCATGGGACTGGGCGATGCCATTTCAACGTCCATTGGCGTCCCAGCGTGGCCGGCAAACATTGTTTGGGCTCGGCCAAATGGTGTTCGTGCTGCTCGTTTCGGCTCTTTTGATGCCTCTGGACTGTTGAGAGAGTATTCGCTAGGATCTGTTGTTGAAGGAAACCCATCGCCGCTGCCGCCTGTCGATGATTGCGGAATATCCGGCTTAGCAATAGCTGAGGCATAATCTTCAATGGGAAGGGTCGCTTCTGGCTGTACAAGATTGGAATGCTTTAGTTTTTGTAATTCGGCGTCGACGCGTACTTGAATCTCCTCCTCAAATCGCTGTTGTAGTTGTTCGATTTCCACATTGGCAAGGCGATCAATCTCAAGCCGAGCCTTGACCTCCCACTCCATCCGCAGTTGGGAATCAATCTCCTCCCGCATCATCTGTCTCTCTCGTTCAAGGTTGGCAATTCTCTCATTCAACTCCTTTTCCTTCCGGTGGAGAAGATCTTCCTTTGCGCGCAAGGACTTGTTCAAGTCGACGACTTCTTTCTCCTTGCGCATCAACTTGACAACTGGCAAATCGAGCAACTGAACCGTGTCTGGTCGCCTGTCTGGATTCACCTTAAGACAGTCTCGGATAACCTGATTCAGCTCAGGGGAGTACATTTCAGGCAACGTAGCGATCTTTCCCTCCTTAATCTTCTGTACCAATTGGAAGTGTGTCTTTGCGTTAAAAGGAGGCTCCCGTGCACAGAGTTCGTAAATGATGCAACCGAGTGACCAAATGTCTGACTTGAGAGTGTACTTCTCCGCCGCACAAATCTCAGGCGACATGTAGAAGGGCGTGCCGACATATGTAGATGCAAAGTCATGAGACTTGATCATCTTGGATAATCCAAAGTCTCCCAACTTGACCGAGTTATCTTCTCCCAGAAAGACTAGATGCTGTCAGTATTCATTCACCGCCATAATGGCAATAATCACGACGTACCATTCTCAGGCTTCAGGTCTCGGTGAAGAATAGTCATGGCACCGGCAGGCACCTTTGGCGTCCCATTTGCACTCCCCTGCGTCAAACCAAGTGCATTCGCACCCGCCTCGGGCGGATCAACACCGTAGTGGCATCGGTACAGCGCCATGACGAGTTGGCTGAAAATACTCCATACGAAGCTCTCCTGTGCTCTCTGCCCCTTGTGCTGCAAGTCCTTGATCACTCGTCCGAGGTCGCCATTCCCACAGTACTCCATGTACAAGTGAAGGTCCTGGCTGGCTTTGAGGTGCTCGCGGTGGTAGTAGGCGACGATATTGGCGTGGCGCAAGTGTGAGAGGATCTGGAATTCGGCATGGAGCTGCTCGCGCTCCTTTTGGGACATGCGAAGGTACGAAATCTCCTTGCGGCACATGATGAAGCCGTCGGCCTTTCGGCGCACTTTTCGAATTACCCCGAAGGAGCCATGGCCTAAGCGAAAGAAGCAGTCAGAACCGGATTCAAGAAGAGGCCGGTAGAGAGACAACGTACCAATCTTCTCCAGGGTCTCGTACTTGTCTTCCGACGACATGTCGATCGGTACTATTCGAAGCGAGAAGCCAACGTCAATCCCAGGGTGGTGGTGGTGGCTCGTCCTTCAACAACCCATACACGCTGGCATGCAGTATGGTAGCAAAAAAAAACTTGCTAGTAATCAAGATCGCTGCGTGGAATATGATGCACCGCAAATCAAGCAACGCAAAAAAGAAAGCAAACCCTGCTGTGGTTAGTAGTAACAAAGGCTGTTGGTGATGATGTTGGCGATGAGGATGTTTGTCGAGAGAAAGGTGGCTGCTTTTTCGTTGGACGTCGTTCAAGTTCGGGCACAGGCGCCTGAGAGAAAGAAAGCCTTAGGTTGTCCTGCTCACAGAATAGCGTCGTCCCGGTGTGCATTGAGCCGCGTATGGCCAGCGGTTCTGTGAAATTGACCAGGGTGAGAATGACCGGCGTAAACAGTAGCGGTGTTACCACGGCAACGTCTAATCGATAAGCGCACCGCAGAGCGCCACAGTGGTGGAGCAACAGGGACTGTGGCGGTGTGGAAACGGTAGCAGCGGTGTCCGGCCAATGGCAATGCTTCGGACTTAACAATTGTATAACGACTGATTAAGAGCCGCCAAAACGCCATGAGTGGGACAGCGTTTCCTCTTTCAACCAACTGTCATGCATTGCATCTAGAATAGATTTCTTGCCATTTATGTAATTTCATTTGTTCTCGTCTTCCATGTCTGGATCTGTACAGGGATATACATCGTCTCAACGGGGCAGAGATCTTTGCGCCGCGGCAGCTGAAAATGGTGCTTCGAAAGCACGAATTAGAAGGGAAGCTGGGCGAGGAGAGCGAGATGATCAAGAGCGGCGAGCTGCGCGACGAGAACCCTCTCGACCAGAGCGACGAGTTTAATGAATTCCTGCTGGCCTGTAGACACGGCGATTTACGCAAATGCCAGGAATTCATCAGCCAGGGAGTCAACATCAATGGCAAAGACCGATTCGACTATACGCCACTCATTATTGTGAGCACCAACTACCCTGGAGTCGTCATGCGAGACCACCTCATCTTTTCATCTCCATGGCTGATATTATGTGACAGGCCAGTCTCTGTGGACATTATGAACTCGTCCAGCTTTTATTAGATTCAGGTATTTCCTCTCCCTCCCGGCAGCCGAGCCCACCAAATGAATCCCAAGGAGCCGAAGCTAAGTGGCAAAAGGCGCTCTGGCCGAACGCAACACGTTCCAAGGAGAACGCTGCATATACAACGCCCTCAATGATAGAATACGCAATCTCCTGCTGCAGTACGACTTCTCCAAGTCTTCAGACCCCTACGTCTACTGGTCCACCCATATATCCGGACTCCTCAACCGCTCCACGCCAACCACATCGGACATCTCGCTGACGTCGGACTCGCGCACCTTCAACCTGCACAAGTTTCTCCTGGCCTCAAGGACACCCTACTTTCGCAAGAAGCTGGAGGCACAACCCGAAACCCCGTCATGGCACCTTGCCAACACCGTCCCCGTGGAAGCCATCCAGATCGTCCTCCGCTACCTATACCTCGGAGACTTGCCCAAGGATCTGGTGCCGGCCGGCAGTCCCATCTCAGAGGAAGACGTCGTCAAGGGCCTGGATAAGATCAGCAAGCAGCTTGAAGTCGATCACCTCTGGGAGGCCATCCTGGCCGGCAACGACCGCCGCCTAGCGAGGCAGCGGTACCAAGACGAGGAGGAGCGCGCGCTCAAGCAAATCGGCGACTTTTTCAGCGCCAAGGTCCTGGGGGGCAAAATGCTAGTCGACACCGAGCGCGTCAACGACGTCAGGTGGAAACACGACAACCCCGCGTTCGCAGACGTGCTCCTCCGCGCGGACGAGACGCACGACGACGACGAGGAGGCCCAGGAAGCCCCCGTGCTCAACGGCCAGGGCATCCCCATCGGCACCGGCAGACGGCCTCGCAAGTCCGCCCTCTACCCCGTCCACAAGGCCATGCTCATCCGCAGCGGATACTTTGACAGGATGTTCTCGGGGGACTTTGTCGAGTCCCACCGCTCCGAAAACCTGCACATCGTCACCGTGGACTGCACGCCCGCCGTGCTCGAGCTCGTCCTCACCTTCCTGTACACCGAGAACGCCGCGTGCCCCCTCGAGCACGCCCTCGACCTGCTGTACACGGCAGACATGCTCTTCCTGGATGTGCTGAAGACCAAGGCCGCGCAGGCCATCAGCACCCTGGGCAGCGGCACGTCCAGCGCCCTCGTCGACCGCACGCACAAACACGCGCGTGGCCTGGCCAACGGCGCCGGGCACTCGGAACAGCAGGCGGAGCTGGTGGAAATGGAACCCATAAACATTTACGACGTCATCCACGCGGCTTGGGATCTCCGCGTGCAGAGGCTGGAAGAATTCGCGGCGCGCTACCTGGCCACCAGGCTGGAGGATTACATTGACGAATCCGATTTCCAGGAACTCATCCGTGAGAGCGCGGAGCGAATCCAGCGTCGTGAGGAGACGGATACGATTGAGTTGCTAGATGATATACGATATTACTTGTCAGAACGGTTTAGATTACGCTTCGAGGATGCCGGGCTGGATGACATGATGGGCGAGGATGGGGAGATTGACGCCGAGGCGGCGGTGTCGTTGGCGGAGCAGGGAGATGTCATGGTGAATGGGCATGGTGTACAGAATGGCGTTGGGGGGAACGGTGTTGTGAAAACTTTGGATGGTGAGATGGCGGAGGATGAGTTTGCATCGGACGCGATCAATTATCAGATTTTGCTAGGCAAGATCGATGCCATGTTGGAGCGGCTGAAGTTGGATGCGTAGCTTGTAGGTATGATTGGGGCATTGGATTGGATGCAACGCTGCATGTCTAGATGACGTATGTTATGGAAAATAGAATGGCCACATTATCATGGCATTGACTGTATTCATACTTGGTAGATATCTGCCTATACAGATGCTGGAATATGGCAGCTGCGTTGTTTTGCGTCCAGGTGATCATTGCATCACTGCATTTTTCTAATAGTCAATAAGTTTCAACTTTGATCTCAACTTCTCAGGTAATTCCTCGGGCTTGACTAATCCCATCTGCACGCAGTCACCCCAAAAGAAGAAAACTCGGTTCTGCGCATAACTCAAGTAGTCAAATTCATCAGGGCCCAATTCTTGCTCGGCTTTTGCTGCCTCTTCTTCGGATACGGGCTCATTGTTGGCATCCAAACCTGGAACCTTGGCTTGTACAATGCCCCATGCAATCCAGAAGACACTGCATGCAGGTCTCCAGAGACGGGTCTCCTCCAGTAATTGGCGCACATGTAAATCGCTCTGTTCCTCTCGCGCACGCTCGGCAGCGCCCCAGCCACCGGGAGGGACGCGGGCATCAAGCATGAAATCGACGATCGAGCTGGATGAGGCGGTAGGGTTGAGAGATGGAGTAGGTGGGCCACTGTCTGGTTTGACTCGTGGAGTCGAGCCAGCCGCAGCGAATTGGGAACGATGGTCAACATAGGACTTGATGAAGCGTCGTTGCTCTTCGGGTGTCGGGTATCTCTCGTGATTGCAGGCGTGGGAAGTGACGGGATCGTGGTAGTTATACGTCCACTCCGTAAAGTGATTGGCAAACTCAAGGCCGGGAAGATTGGCGCCAGCATATTCAAAATCAATAACAACCAACTGCTTGTGTTTATTGGCCGGCTGAAGCAGAGGTGACTTTTCATCATCTGGTTTAATGCGCAAAATGTTTCCATACTGAGTCTGTTGAATACAATGTCAGCATATTTGGTGGCAAATTGAGGGCACCACATCATCACTTACATCATTGTGCGCAAAAACCAATCGCTCCTTGATTATCTTCTTTGGTTTGTAGCAGTTGACCAAATGTGTTCGGTACTTGACCACCATGGCCAGGAACTGCTCCCACGGCGCTCCACACACAAAGCCATTTGCTTTCCAGGCATGAACGACAGAGTCAGATTTTGCTGGGGGAATGGAAGTGGTCTCCAATTGCTTGTCAAGATAGGCCATGATCTTGGCTACGTTTTCCACCCACTGGTCCCAATTCTTCCATACCCCGGGGCCGCCATCGCGTTCAAGAGGAAGGAGTTCAATACCATCGTGCAGTTCCCTCATTCGCTTGGCAATTTGCTTCGAGGTATCCGGTTCACGTAAGTGAACAGGTGTCAGGGTGATGGAGTTGAAGAACTGCTCAAACCGGCCGTTTTGGAATGTTCCTAGAAGCCGGGGACCAATCTTCTTTCGTGCTAGACGCTGGAGCACCTTTAACTCATTTTCACGGTCAATGAGATGCTCCACTTGAGGACCGTATACTCGGAGAAGCAATTTAGGAGGATTCTTTTTGCCCTCAATTTCGGGAAGATCCATTGGAGGCGTGACAACATAAACTGCGTTAGTCAACGCCCCGCTCAATCGTTCAACTGTGATGGTGTCACCGCTATTCAGTGGGATGCGTCTCCATCCTTTGAGCCTGAGAGTATGGGCAATACGAATGATGTCATTCTTAAATATGAGCCAAGGATCATTCTCCTCCGCCTGGTGGCTTGTAGAGTCGCTCTCGTTTGCGGCACCGCCAGTGTAGCTCATCGTTTTGGAATTGTCCAACCAAACGTCACAGCTCGGCACAATAGCATCGCCATCCACATAATCAGTGTCAGACGAGGCTGTGCGATTTAGACTGGGTTTCGAATTGGCACGCCGCCGGCGGGAAAGCTTGGGAGGATGCTGGGGAATGGAGCTCAGACCAAGCGATGCTAAAGAATCTTGTAAGATGTGCTCGAGTTTCTCGAAAGACACGTCGCTGGATTGTGAGTCGACCGAGTCAGATCTTTCACGAGCTGCAGTTGTGGGAGTTGAACGGTCTTGATCAGGAGGAGACTTTGACTTGCGACGAGATTTGGGTTTGGCAGCGGCATTCTTCTTTCTCTTTTCATGTTCTAACCAGTCGGCAACTTGGGCCAGCAGCTTTTCAGCGTAGTACTGGTGGTGCCTCTGGGAGTGGTGATGGCTAGAAGAGGGTGCAGAATCGTCATCTGTTCGTAGAGCCGGCGAGCCTTCGCTAATTGAAGATTTGCCAGATGCTGGCTTGCCACTTAACCGACGGCTTGGTCCTGCGCGAAAGGTTTTGATGGATTGGGACTCGTCATCGAAATCAGGAACTGGTTCGGCAATTTGCACAGCTATCCGTTTGTAAGCTTGCGATCGACATATGTGGTATTGGTATTTTTCACGGAGTGAATGGGCGAATAGCGCCACAAGGTCGTAGTGCAGATTCAGCGCGTGGGCAGTCACTGAGCGAACCATAAACAGAACACGTACTACTCCCGTCCTCATGATGCTTGAACCATGTTAAGTCTACGTCACGATATGATACATTCACTTCACATACCTTTAAGGGTACCGCTGGCTGGAGGGGTTCTGTCGCCGTCGCCATCAGACTTCAAGGCTGATCGCAGAGGCGCGGGGCCAGAAGTCGCGGGGCTGTGCTCAGCCATGATAGGACAGCCGTCTTGCTTGCGAATGCCTGTCTTGCCGTCGATACAGAGGCGATGCGCAATGAACAGAACAAGGACGTCTGCCTCGGCCTCGAGCACTGGAGGGTTGGCCACGGGAAATGGCCTTGGTGGACGATGGTATCGAGCGTGGAGGGAGGCGAAGAGTTGTGCGAGAAGTCAGGCCAACGCGGTTACGACGTGGAAAGTGGGTTGTTGGTGGACTCTGGGCCTCTTTCCGTCGTGCCTGGTGGCGCAGGTGGACAACGAAGATGTGCTGGCTGAGAAGAGCAAACTTTCGGTCACAACATGACAACGGAAGAGTGTTCAGCGATACAGAATTAGAGTAAGTAAGAGAAGAGGCGGGAGACGGCGAAAAAAAAGAGATGAAAAAGCCAAAAGGGGAATTGGCTGCGCCGACGAAAACGAGGCTGGAAGGCACCAAGGGCGGCAGTGTTGGCCGCTTAGGTGCATGTGACCTCTTGCCTAGTTCTTGTTAGTCCACCGAGACCGCAGGAGCGACCCTCAATCCTTCCTGCCCTTGTGCCGCAGCTCCACTCGCTTATCATTCATCCATCCCCTTTATTAGTATGTGTACTCATGGCTCAGTTGAAAATCGACAAGCTGAGAGCGATTGACCACAAAGTACCACCTGGAATAGATGGCCAGCTGTCGAGTCTTGTCTCTGCTAGCCATGCCGTGCCTTCTATTAAAATCTGCAAAAGGCTCTTGTACGTCTGTTGATGTATTCCTCGTCACCAGGGGGGGTGGGACATGGCTGTGAGGGCAGCCGTCTTTTTGGTGTGGGTTCAATAAATTGATGTCGCCGGCTGGTTTCTCAACATTGAATGTTAATGTCTGGCATGTCCCAGTGGCCAACGCACTGTGTTTAGTGGATCACGTCACTGCAACCGACGCCGCAGGCACTGTCTACAGGCACTATAGGCAGCAAACAATATTCAATGTTGACATATGTATCAATTGATTGCATGTCTGGTGAAATCAATGTTGCCTGGACTCAGTGCCGACTGCCTCGAAATGGCGAATATCTCAACTAGTGCCACCACTGCTCCATCGGGGATGTTCCACCGCATATTGTTCACTACATCTACGAAGTACCCTACTGAGATTCTATGAATTGGCATGCTACCCCGGATACCCGCGCATGGAGAAGCACAGCTTGGAGCCCAAGGATACTCGAGTCCGCAATACCGTTTTCCAAGCGTGCACAACGTGTCATGGAAAGCATCCAGTGTCCCCTATGCGAAGTAAGGACGCTCAGGTGTCTGGTCATTCTGTTTATGGCTCTGCCTTTAAAGTAGTAGAATGACACCTGGGACACGTGTGACCGCTTGTCTTACCTTGTCTCAGAGAAGACAATGAGTTGCCATAAGTGCTGCGTCACCCGCCGGGTCTCTGGTGGGGCCGGCCCGGACCGGCACCGAAATGGGTCCATGAACCGGTCCCACACATGGCGGCGTCGGGCATCGCAACAGTCCTTGGTTCGCCCAAGGGTAGCGAAGCTGAAAACGTACTTGCCATCTGTTCCAGGCTTCAGGAAGAGACGGCAGCAGTGGCTCTCAGTTTACCATGAGCGTATCAAGCGTAGGTGGGATCTTCACATGTTGCATAGCCAACACATCGCCATAAGATTCCCTGCTTTTGGACCTCGTCGTTGAAGCGTCAACATCTCGGCCACCTGGTGATGTTGCAGTCTGGCATCCAATACCTAGAATTCGTAGGGCCTACATAGGGAGCCCTATTTCTCATTGCTTATCGCCCTCCCTCCATCAGTCTGAAAGCGGCATCTACGGCTGCTCGCACAGTAAAAACCTTCCCATTTTGTGTCTAGATATGTTCTGCTTCATTAGGGCCCGCAATCAACATTTTGACAGTCTCGCCCGACTTTGCCTTATGAAAAGCCTCCTCCGCTTGCTTAAAGGGCACCACGCCCGTGATGAGCCTCTGTACGTCCACACTCCCATTCGACACCAACTCAACGGCAAGCTTAAAGTCTCCAGGTCCGTACCGGAAGCTTCCTCGCGCCGTGACCTCCTTCTGGCACATCTCCATAATAGGAAACGTAATATCCGACTTGCCCATGCCTCCCTGAATAAAAGTCCCGCCCACCTTCACAACATGTAAACTAGCCTGTATTGAAGCCTCCGCGCCGCTCGCATCAATGACCACATCCGCACCGTTCCCAAGACTGCACTGATCTATCAATGACTTTGCATTTTCCTCTGCTGATATCCTTTGAGACAGGTATGTGTGCGTAGACCCCATGGTCTTGGCAAAATTCAGCTTCGCCTGGATGATATCAACGCTGACCACCTTGAAAGCACCGAAACATCTTGCAACAGCCGCGCAAAGAAGGCCGACTGGACCGGCGCCCATGACTACAACACTGGCGCCAGGCGAAATGTGGGCTTGTTTGACGATGTGCACAGCGACCGCGAGAGGCTCGATTATGGCGCCCTCCGGGAGCGAGACGTGGTCGGGAAGCTTGTAGCAGAAGTCACAGGGGGCAACCCAAAAGCCCGCAAGGGTGCCGTCGTTGGGAGGCGTTGCCGCAAAAATAATGTCTGGGCAGAGATTATACCGGCCGGCCAGGCACTCATCACAGCGTCGGCAAGGATAGCCTGGCTCAATCGCGACCTTGTCGCCGGCCGCAAGCGACTTTACGGCGCTTCCGACGCGAATAACTGTGCCGGCAGATTCGTGACCTAATACCATAGGGTCTTTGACTTTAAAGTGGCCGATTCTACCATGCTCCCAGTAGTGTATGTCGGATCCGCAGATACCTGTGTAGTTGACAGCTATGAGGACCTCGTGTGGCGTTGAAATCTTGGGTACAGGCCGTTGCGCGAACTCGACATGATGCGGGCTTTTAAGAATGAAGGAGAGATTCTGTGTGAGTTTGGTATCAGCTTTGTCCCACGCGTTTTCTATATCTTGGGCTGGGAATGCCAACACTTTTACCGGCAGATTCTAAAGAGTCTTGTGACGACTCTGTAGTGGTTGCCGTGAGATCTACACCCGAATTGTCTGTGTCGGGTGTGTGCCATTGGGAAATTCCGGCTGTGGGCTGGGCAGGAGCTTGGATGAGGTCGATTTCATTTTTTGGCTGACTGTGGTTTGGAATTGATCTTGGTTGGATCAATGTCATGTTGGCGGGATTCAACGATGACAAGAGTCTCGATATGCGCCGAGTAAGATTGACGGCCAGGCGCAACAAGTCAACTCTTGTTTAATACAAATACAAAGACTTGCAATTTAATTTTCCACTGCCAACGACCTGTGCAACAGCATTTTAAAATCGTCCGGTTCAATCCAAGACGAGGGATTAGATCGTGTTAAGTAGATCAACCGTCGGCTCGTTTGAGCTTTGGACTCGTAGAATCTCCATCCGGCGGATGTGAAGTGGGAAGGTGGCGGCAGGGTTCGTCGTGCCTGCTTCGTCCCGTCATTGATCGTCCAAGAAACTTACCCTCGTTCATCAAAGCTAATGCATCATGTGACCATTCGGCTTCAACGTTGCGCATAGCTGCACGGTGACGACTTTGCGGCTCTGACACTTTTGAGTCTCCAAACAAACTACCTAGGTCGTTTCGCAGTCGTGTCGAGGCCAAGTTGCCGACCCTTGGTCGAGTGGGGAGACAATGTCCACGTCCTCTTCGGTTCCGATCACGACCCGGCGGCTTCCCACGAGGGTGAGCAATGCTTGTCGCCGGTGCCGCCGCAACAAGTCCCGTGTAAGTCATCATTGAGTTCCCCTTCGGACCTGTGACGAAAGCTGACTTGATGGCAACAGTGCGATTCGTTCCGCCCGTGCTCGCTGTGCTTGCGCGCTGATGTGGAATGCGAATCGGCCCAGCTTGAGGAGTCGGCACGCATTCAGAAGCCTATCATTCGCAAGCCGCGGCGAAGACTCACACGGCGAATGTATGATCACTTATCCATTCATCTCTCTTTGAATTGAACTTAACCACATGTCTCTGTGATAGACGACCTCATCTAGGAGATGCTAGAGGCAGCTCCAACGCGACAACCTCGCCATCGACATCGCCCAACAACGCACCCCCCAATGCCTCAGAACATGATGCGTTTCACGACGAAACGCACCAAGTCCGGTGCGAAGTGCCGTCACAGTTGTCAGATGATGTCCACTCGCGCCACGGCGAAGCAGACTCGGCTATGGGCATTGCGAGAAAGGTACGTCTGTGGTTGTCAGCTCTACATGCATCTGCATTGTGAGTATAATGCTCACTCCAGCGCCTGCAGATAAGCCGACTTGGGAGTCAAGGCATTGAAAGTTGTTCGACCTTTGCCATTCCTGATGGTGGTTACCGCGCCCAAAGTCCTCGCTCAGGTGTTGGTGATACACGTATTCCCATTTCAACCATCTTGGGAAGCCGATTTCCGGACCGTCGGCTCATCCAACAACTCATGGAAGACTACTTTGATGCGGTTCACTGGTTTTCTTTGGTTATATACGAACCAAAGTTTCGGAAGCGACTTGCCTCCGTGGAAGATGGATATGCGTACCAATCCGATGCTTCTTTTCTTACTTTGTTATCCATGGTCTTGTGCATGGCTGCGTGGTATCGGTCGAACCGAGCAGCGCACGAGGCTGATGAGGATTGGCGTCGTTGGAGTGAGGATCTACTGGGCATTGTTGAATCCAGGTTGATCTGCCTGATGGATGAGACGTCAATTACAGCTGTGCAGACGTGCATCTTGTTGGGCTCTCACCATGTCTACCACGGTCGACCAAACCTTTCCTTTGCGCTACTGGGAGCAACGATTAAGATATCTCATGCTCTGGGTATACATCGTCATCTGCCGCATAAAAGCCCTGACGAAATTGAGGAGCGAAAAAGAGTGTGGTGGACAATCTACACGTGGGACAGGTATGCTGCCAACCCTTTGCTGCTGCATGTAACCCTCTGACTTGCCCAGATTTGCCTCCATCTCATATGGGCGACCATTAAGCATAAATGATGAAGACTTTAACCTCGAAATGCCGCTAGAATATCCCGAATCGCCATACTTTTCTCAGAAATCCGGGAGCCAGCAATCGTCAGACCTTGTATATTCGCGATACCAGACTGAATTGAGTAGTCTCTACCGCATTGTATCCCCAGCGTTGAAAGTAATTTTCGGCTCCATCTCCACGCACAATTCCAAACAACGCTACGAATCCGAGTACGCTTCACTAGTAAGCGATGTAACTACAAAGCTAAATACCTGGAAAAGCAATCTACCTCCGCACCTAAGCCTGAATCTAGATCAGGACTACTGTCCTAGAAATAGTAGCTGGAAAACGCGAGCTCACACTTTACAATCTTTGTCCTTGCAGTTAACTTTTGACAATGTACTTATAGTACTTTATCGGCCATTTCTAGCCAAGCAGGTCGATCACCTGTCGATTATGCCCTCAAACGCATATGCCCTCGCATCTCAAGCTGGGTCTCCTGTTCCTGAACTCCACGGCTCTCCATTAACTGAAAGCCTGAGAAACTTGACAACCCCGGATGCCGCCAGCAACTCGAACAACAACTCGGAGTATTGGCTGAGTGCAGCTGTAAGAACGGGACGACTTGCTGAGCTGCCTGAGCTCGCCCAGCTTGCCAAAGAGAGCCATCTCGTTGCCTTTATGGCTATAAATTTGTTCCACGCTGCCATCGTGCTTATACTCCTTGCTTTGTCTGACCCTCTATCTGATAGAGCCCAGAAATTGAAGCGGACAATCACCCGAGTACTTCGCTTACAGCAACTGCTGGGTAAGCAATCAGCTCTGTCGAAACAGAGTGGGTTTGTACTCCAAAACCTCATATCATTGCTGCTGAAGAGAGAGGAAGAGGCCATGCTGGGCAGGCCTGCTCCTGGTCCTCGAAGGGTCGGCAATGAAGAGGCCCGGCAGTCTCGGGTTCCCATAAATCGTGCTTCCCCGGTTTCTTGGGCGCGTCACCAGTCCTCCCCTTTGGGAGGACCGAACATAATCACTCAAAACGACTCTGCCGCACAAGTATGGCCAAATTTGGCCGTGGCACAACAGCTGAATGAGAGTCTTACATCCGTGCAGCAAGGTTGGTACAGGCCTTCAAGTTTGGTATACACAGTGCTGACATTTTATTTCTTCAAGTATTTCCTGTAGCCCACGAGCAGTCATTTCAAGCTGCCAATCTGGCAAGCGCGCCGTTTGATGAGCGGCAGGTGTGGAATTCTGCGTTCGGCCAGTCAGATAGGTGTGAAATCGATCAGGCCGTAGGCCCAGGCGCCCCGGAAATTGAAAATGGGATAAATGGCCTTTTCTGGCTTTGGGATTTTAACTGGGATAGTGGTCATAGTCAGCCATATTAGACTTTAGGAAATTGCATGTTGTCCTGAGGGGTCATTGAAATTCTGGCTCTGGCAATAACTTGACTCTTATTGCATCTGGCTGACGCCTTTGCTCGGTTTTAGACAAATACTTCAAAGCGATTAACAACCGAACCTGGTTTCTTGCCGACACCTCACAACGAGGCAACACAGATCAAAATAAGAGGTCAGGCACTATGCTGATGGGACCAAAATATGCCAATTATACCAATGTTGACACAAGACAGCTTTCTTCACCCTGATTAGACAATATTCGACGATATTCGACGAGCCGAAGGCATTAACCAGGGTATCTACTATCCGCAAGCCGGGATACCGGAGGCGCTGGCGGTAAAAAATATGTGGGGCGCCAATGGACGTTTCGGTTCCGGCGGATGATTCGAGCGCGGCATTGAAGGAAGTCCCGCCAGAACTTTCGAACATGACCATGCCACAATGATGTTATAGCCCAGACGTCAACACGCATATCCACTTGGAACTAGCTTGCACGAGTCAATCATTTACGTCAAGCGTGCAGTAGCCTAAATATCCCTGGCCACAAGCGGCTGGAAATCAGGAGAAGGCCCCGAGTCAGTCTTAACAATGGCATACTCAACAACCGGCGGGAGGCTTCATGCCAGCAATGATGGGCTACCCCGGATTACCCCAGACGACCCCAGGGGCCTGTTTTCTGGGTTACATTGAGTTCGAATCTTGAGGGAATTTTTTCTTATATCTATGTCGCAGCATCCTCATGTCAACCGAAATGGGTCCCCTCGGCTACAACATCATCCCTCAAAAAGAACCTAGCATCGCTCACGCACCCGAATTCTCGCAATGGATGCGTTCAGCACCCACAAAGAGCAACAAAACTCTGCGGCAACGCCCATACAGTACCATGCCGGCCTTCAACTAGACGAGACTTGCAATGACCCGACCCAGAGCTGGCTGGAGAGGAAGCTGAGGCCCTCCAAAATCTCAGCTCGATACCCTATCAAGGGCAAGCCGTTACTCTTTGCAACATGTGCATTTGGCAGTCTTGGTGATGCCTTATTCGGCTACAACTCGGGCATCATGTCCGGGCTTCTCGTCAATCCGGTCTTTGTGGCCAGATTCTACAGGGATTACGGGGGAGCCGACGGCACAACTAGCAAGGTGAATCCTTCCATTACTGGCATCTCAGTCTCGTGCTTGCAGCTCTCTGCTGCTCTTGGGGCACTCATAGCTGGGCCATTGGGGGATATGGTTGGTAGGAAGAAATGCGTCCGCCTGGGAGCGTTCATCTACTTCTTCAGCGCCTTTATTCAGATATTTGCCCCTGGATTCAACGCATTTGTTGCGGGACGCACGATCCAGGGTCTTGGGGTTGGATTCCTGTCCATGACAGTTCCCATCATTCAGACGGAAATTGCGGCACCACATCGTCGTGGCCTTATGGTTGGAATTGAATACACCTTTCTCATTGCCGGATATATGCTCTCGTGCTGGGTAGACTATGGCTTCCACTTTCTCCTTCCTGGACCAATTTCGTGGCAAGGACCGTTTATTATTCAGATTGTTCTTTCCTTTATTCTTCTTTCCATGTCATTTTTCCTCCCCGAGACCCCTCGTTGGCTAGCGAAACAAGGTTTCATGAAGGAGAGTCTGCAGACGGTGGCAGACTTGCACAGCAAAGGCGACGTTGACGCCCCGCATGTCAAGAGCGTGTTTCTCGAGATCCAGGAAGCAGTTCGATATGAGAGGACACTAGGGACCTCAAGCTGGAAGGTGAGCTCCAACTGAAACTACGCTATCCTAGAAAACATGACATCTTAACATGGGTTTCTCAGGAAATGTTTACTCGTTATCGCAAGCGTACAATCGTCGGCATCACTGTTCAAATGTTTGCGCAGCTAAATGGCATCAATATCATATCGTTCTATCTTCCAAGCACCCTTTCCGCGGCTGGGTTTGACGACAGGAAATCCCTGCTCTACACTGCCGCCAATGCTATACCTTACACGGCGGCAACCGTCACGACTTGGTACCTAGCTGATAAATGGGGTCGACGACCTCTCTTGATCCTGGGTGGTCTTGCCATGGCAGCCTTGCTCGGTGTGGTGTGCGGCTTTACGCAGGCAAACTTGCCGGTCAAGATCAAAGCCGACGGCCAGTACGCCTTTGTCATGCTGTACAATATTGTTTACGGATTCACATGGGGTCCCATGCCATGGTGAGATGGCCGCTCAATATCTGTTGTTGCGGAATTCGTGACTGATTTCTCTCTTTTCTTAGGCTGTTGCCAGCAGAGATTTTCCCACTCCGGGGGCGCAGCAAAGGCATGGCCCTCGCGACGACCAGCAACTGGATCTTCAACTTCATTATAGGCATGGTTTCTCCCGACGCTTTTGCAGGGATACATGGCTACTTTTATTTGATCATTGCGGGGTTTTGTCTCTTCTCCGCCTTCCTCGCCTGGAGCTACTATGTTGAGACGGCTGGTCACACATTGGAGGAGATTGCCATTGCATTTGGCGACAAGGCCTTTATTGACGCGGATGAGGATGTTGTCCAGAACACAGATTTTGGCACCCATTCAAACCAGGAGAAAACCAAGGTGTAGCCGAAAGCCCTGAGTCAAATTTGGGGGCCATTGGTATATAAGCCACCTAGGGCATTGGTATTTTACTGGCTTGATACATTTGCCTGCAAGAAAATAGGCGTTTCTATTTATTTATTTTATTTGGGGACTCGTGGAACAAACCAGGAATCTCGATAGCTTACAAGGAATTACCTGAAGAAATTTAGTTTACTCAGTGCCGTCTCCAGAGCTGTAAAGTTGGGAGACGGCTGGTTCATGCGACGCTGTCAGATTGGATTTAGTCTTCTAAAATAAAAATGGTCCAGTGAAGGAGTTCCCTTCGCCCAATGAAATAATATTAATCTCAATACTCGGACCACGAAAGGCGGAGCTTCAAGGTGCCATGCCGGCTGTTCAAGTCAATCCAACAAAGGTCGAGTGGAACTCAGGACTAGAAGTGAAGTTGACACTGCTCACAGCACATCAAACCTGGTCAAGCTAACTGCTCCGCCGTCTTGAGAAATACAACCCCAAGAGACGCTAATGAGGTTAGTTTTGATCTTACCGGCAGAATCATCGTGGAAAGATGTAATTCAGACGCTTATATGTACACCTCAACTTGCATTTATCTGATACACAGTCCTCACCGCTTCCCCGCCTTCACCTCTCCTCTCTCAACAATCCAGTTTCCCCCCTCCCCAAAAACAGTGATGACGATAATAATCTTTCGAAGCCAGATTATCGTTCTATATCTACCCAAATTTGTCTAGCTTGCAGATACAAAAGTATACTCCCTTATTGTGTCGGCTCTGAATGATTCACCAATTACACCCACTCACTCTATCCCCCCCCGGCAAGCAACGTCTTCCTGTCAACATCGACGCCCTCATTCCTCAAAGCCCAAACAATCCCATCCACGACATCGTCCACAATAGCACCAGGCTTGTACCGCGGCTCCCGCTCCGTCTCCGTCTCCGTCCACACCCCCGTCCTCACCAAGATGGACACCCACTCCGTCCCGTCCTCCGGACAATACTCATTCGCGCCGCGAATGTCACTCTCTGGATTATCCCCAATCATGTACACCCTCCTCAACGGCGTGGCATCCTTCCTCCCACCCGCTTCTCTACCTCCCTTCATGGTAGAATAGTACTGAAGTAGCCGTGTATGAGCGTAGTCATACGTAAACTGTGACGGCTTTCCCAGCGCATTATAATGCAGCTCAGCGCCATTCGTAACCGCCGACCAAACGCCCTTGAGGGCTTCGAGAAACGCCCCAGTGCCAAATCGATTCACAGGGTATTCCGTCTTCCACACAAGGTCCAGATTTGAGATCCAGAGTTCTGGCTGGCCATCCTGTTGCCACCCATTGTTGGGGAGACCGCGGTTCCCGTTCCTGGAAGACAGGGTCCCTAGGTAGCCGTTGTGGGAGACTAGCAGGTCGTGGATGACCTGGATGTCGAGCGACCAGTCTCGGGGGTCGTTCCAGACCAGAATCTGGTCGATTTTGAGAGCGTTCCCAGCGAGACTCTTGCTGTAGGGGTCTTTGATGGCGGACGCAGACTTGCCGTCTGGCAGAGGGCGGAATTCCGAATGCAGCGTGTCTTTCAAGTTGTCAAAGGGGTACAAATCGCCATTTGCGTGGATTAAATCCGCTGGTGTGACGGCACGCTCGAATCCGTACCTAATAACAAGGTCAGACGGTTGAAACATGACAAGCAATTTTCCGTTGCAGGGTTGACAGACTCGTTTGCAATCTTCCTCGCGGTCTCGGGGTGGGACCCGGTTATGAGAACGGTCTGCTTCTTCACTTCATCCGCCCACCCGCGCATGGGCGTGTGCGACAAGATTACCCTGTCCCGAATGACGTCCTCGTCGATGGAGAGGCCGAGGCGTTTGCTGAGGGAGGCTACCTTGGCGTCTTCATGGGCGCCGCCCCCGTTGGTGAGGAATACGTAGCGCATGTTTTTGGAGCGGATGCTGCGGAGCATTTCGCGGGCGCCGGGGATGCCTTGGCCACCACGGTATAGTACTCCATCGATACTTGTGCAGTTAGCATGAGGATGTAAGGGATTCTTGATGACGCTGATTGAGTGAGGATGATGCTCTGGAGTCTGGAGGCTTACTCAAAGGCAAAGGCAATATCTGACAGGGATTTGGTGTCTGACGTCGACGACCAAGAGGCATTTGCCTTTGGTGAATGGCTTGATTTCTCCGGTAGATGGGATGTGCTTCGAAATGTTCTCACTGGAAGGTGCCGGGGTGGCCTGCTTCCAGTGTGTTGGATGAACGACGGAGCTGGTTGGGATAGTTTGGTGGTTGCCGTCAGCCCTAGATGCCGCGTGCAAAGGACAACGCGAGACATGGCTGCCGATGGCGTCGCGCGATTCGACTACCACACCGCTTTGTTATGGTGTCGAGTGATGACAGTCGGGGGGATTGGCGATGGAGGTTTGGAAATGTCTGGTGTTGCGGAATTGCAGCCCGTTGTCGGAGGGGAGGGCGTGGGTCATACATTCAAACGTTGACATGTATCCGCCCGTCGACTCTCATCAGGCAAACCAGTCAATGGCTTCCAGAGGGCAATGCCAAGTAACTGCAGTGGGTGTGGTTAAAAACATTGGATGGCTGTCATTCGTGGCCTACGAAAAATACGCACTCGCGCAATCAGTTCAATACATTACAGTAGAATTGAGTTGTTCTCGCCAACACGGTTGGCATAGTCTATGCACAAATTGCCGTACACTAGTTTACATGGACAAATACAGACCCCAATCATACACTCCATCATACACTTCAACTTTTCCGCCTTGCCTGGGTCCCTCATTTCCTCCAATCCTTCATATGGTCCAAAATCAGTTGGGCGCCTTGGTCTGGTGAATGCTGTCGCCCCAGAGCCTCCACGAAGTCGCCTTCCGGATCCATCAGATAGAAGTAAATACTATGGTCAACCAGGTAGTCTTGGCCCGGCTTGACATTTTGCGGTGTGCTAAAGTACACTCGATACTTCTTGCAAAGGTCCTTGATCTGGTCGTATGTGCCAGTCAGGCCAATGAACTTGTCGTGGAACTCGGCAAGGTAGCTCTTGAGGGCCGCCGGATCGTCGCGCTCGGGATCGCAAGTGATGAAGATTGGTAGAAGTGCACCGGGGGCCCTTTCTTCGACTACATCAAGCATGCGCGCCATTTTGTCGAGTTCTTCGGGACAAATATCGGGGCAACGAGTGAATCCAAAGTACACCTAACACGAGCTTGTTTAGTCAATTGTTCGCAACCCAAGCCCAGCGCAGCGAGATGCCGCAAGAACACGTCTGTGGGATCATAGCACCATACCAAGGAGTATTTGCCCTTCATCATTTCACTGGTGAACGGCTTGCCATTTTGGTCTAGCAGCTCAAACGACCCGCCGACCTTTGGCCTGCCAACACCCTTGGACGCATCGGCTATCCTCTTCCTTTGCATCCGCCCCTTCTCAAATTCAAAGTACCAAACCAGTGCACCGCAAGTTGCGACGAATAGAATTCCGGCTTTCCACGAGAAAGGCTGAGTGCAAGAGGTTGATTTGTCAGCTTGTAACTCCTTCAGAAATGTGTATACATCAATCTGGGCCGGGGGTAATCACGTACGCCAGTGCTATGCCGACTCTTTGCCTGCTCGACAGTCTTGTACTTGGTTCGCTTCTGCAAAATCGGTTGTCTGCTTTGCACCGGTGCGCGAGGGAGAGTCGGCCGCAACGGCGTCGGCTGGAATGCACGGCTGGAGAAGCATCGCTGGCATTTTGTGAATGAGCCCCGGAGGAATTTGGACGACGCTAGAGATTGCGCCATGATGTGTGAAGACTTGAGGTTGGAGCAACCCTTGTGGAAGCTCTCGTGCAAATGCTTGAAAAAAGCAGCCTGGTGCTGGATGCCGCGACGAGCTCCATGTGGGTTGCAACTTGCCACCGAAAATTTGCCGAGACTTGAGACTGCATGCCGTACATGTAGAGCCCCCACGCGAACCCCTGCTCTTGGGCGCTCATTGTCGCTCTCACTCTCACAGTGAATGTAGGCGCGCATCAAGCTCACTCATCAATAATATTTCAAAGTGTCAATTCAAAATGCAGCCCCATCCAGCTTGAATCGCATCCTACTTTAATAATGAGAGTCTTGCTGAATATTTCATCATAATCAGGATTCGATCAGCGGGATAGACATCTTTGCCGCAGCTGGACTGCCCAGCTCACGCTCTCTACATACGATGGATCAGAGACCCGGATCCTCGCATGAGGACCGTTTGCGATCCGAATCTGCCGACCGGGCAGTCAAGTCTGAGCATGCAGTCAGCTCTCCTCAGATAGCCGGTTCAGATCTCGCCTCAGCCTCGTTCAAACCATCGCCAACGCCTCTCCCTTCGACAGAGGCACCTGACTCCGCAGCCATGGCTGTTGCGTCCAAGAAGAAAGGCACAGCGACTGGCGTTAAGAAGGTCCCAAAGAGACCAGGGCCTGGCAACTCAAAAAGAAAGAAGAAGAAGAAGACGGGTTCAGCAGCTCCAGGCGTAGACGATGCTTCAGGAGAGGAGGAATCCGACAACGGCCCGTATTGCCTGTGCCGTGGTCCCGACGACCATCGGTGGATGATATGCTGCGAAAAGTGCGAGGACTGGTTTCACGGGGAGTGCATCAACATGAATAAAGAAATCGGCGAAAACCTCATTGAGAAGTTCATATGCCCAAACTGTACAACCGCGGATCTTGCTACCATTTACAAAAAAACGTGTGCGCTGAGAGCTTGTCGCAAAGCGGCGCGTTTGGCGCAAAGTCAACCGAGCGTGTTTTGTTCAAATGAGCATGCGCAAATATGGTGGGAGAGAATGATTAGCAGACTGCCCAAAGGCAGAGCCAAGAGTGGCCTGAATGGCCAGCTGGCGCAGGATGAGTTTATGGCACTTCTCAGCAGCAACATAGGGAGTAGAGATGAGGACGGCACGTTGAAACTGGTCAAGACGCCCTTTTCGGACGATTCGACCAACGGCATAGAGGCAGAAGGAGGTGAGTATACTCGGCCGCAGATGGTCTATCGCACACACGGCTGACATGCACAATAGATGACGCGCTTTCCAAGTTACTAAGCGACGAAGAACAACAGGTCCTTGATGAAGCAGCCAAGGCTCGGTTTGAGCTAGCGGAAGAGACGCTCCTCTGCCACAAAATGTTTACTCTGATTGAGCTAGCCCAAGAGCGCAGACGCGCGGCCATTACTGATGGACGGTTCGGCGACGACATTTGCGGCTACGACTCCAGATTGGACGCCGTATCTGCGCGAGACGTTTTTTCCGCATTTATCAAGTCCCCCGAGGGAGAGGAGGTGTTTAAAAACTCGAAACTCGACGATCCACTGGGCGAAGACGACATGGTCAGAGGAATGTGTGAACGAAAACGCTGCAAGACACACAGCGGTTGGCAAAAGATGCTCCCCTTGGGCGTGAAGCACCATATTCGGGAGATGGCAGGCCAGGCTGCAGAAGTGGGAGAGGAGGAGCAAATAGTTCGCAAAGCTGTGTTGGAGCGATGGAAGAGGAGGCAGGCCGAGAGTAATTGGGTCGAGTCTTTGGAGGAGTGATGAGAGCCTCTTGTGCTTCATCAGCTTGGATCGGGGGGAAGGAAGGCGTTACGGGATGTGGACGATATTTACGGGATAAAATGATACCAAATGTAGATTTGACGGGATTTCAAACGCCTTACTGCGTAGTATTAACCAGCATATGCGAGCTGCACCCGTATCCCAACAGCCCACAACACTAAACAAAAATTACTTGTACCGCTGATACATCAGCAAAGCATTCCCTCAACCCTTGTTTACGCGGACAAATCAACAGACCAGCGACTCCAGGTAACGAGTTGAACTCACGCGTTTGTCGGGCTGTCAGGTTTAGTCAAAGAGGGGCAGAGGGGTAGCTTCGACGTCAACTTTTTTTCCCCTCCGTCCCAACCCACCGCGACCCTGCTTATCAAGCAGCGCCGTACACGCAGAAAAAAAGTCACTCTTATTCCGTCGCCTTCGATCGCCTGTTCTCCAGCTCAAGCAGTGTATTTAAGCCCAGACGCCGCTAGCACCCAATCCTGCAGCTCTCGATCTTCCTCGCACCGAAACTTGGCCGCATCAGCCACTCACAATGTCGCACCCGGAAGAAATGGACGACGACCTCCTCGACGTCGAAGACGCCGCTGAAGAGTTTGAAAACTCGGGCGACGACATCGCCATGGACTCGGACGCTGAAGACGAAGAAGAAGAGGTGCTGCTGCAAAACGACTCCATCGCCTACTTCGACCTCCCGCAAGACTCCCTCTTCACCATCGCCCAACACCCCTTGCACCCGTCGCTCGTTGCCGTCGGCGGCTCTGCAGGACCTGAAGACGACGCCCCCGGCGCAGGATGGCTCTTCGACACATCCGCCGCCGCATCACGGCCCGTCCTGCCCGCCAGCTACGCCAGCAACCCTGACGTGACACCAAAGAGCACACAGCTCGACAGCCTGTTTGCCCTCGAGGGCCACACCGACTCCATCAACACGCTCGCATGGACGCTGCCCCGCGGCGAATTCCTCGTCAGCGGCGGGCTAGACGGCCGCATGAAGGCCTGGAAGGCGGACGTGCGCCCGGGCACGGTGGACATGAAGCTCGTAGGCGAGGCACAGGAAGTCGAGGAGGTCAACTGGATCTCGGCGTGCCCCTCGCCAAACCACCCAAACACCATTGCGCTCGGCGCATCCGACGGCTCAGTATGGGTGTACACAATCGACGCCGGCGACGCCTCGAACCCGCTCCAAATCGTGCAGAGCTACTTCCTCCACATGGCGCCCTGCACCGCCGGCGCCTGGACGCCAGACGGACACCTCCTGGCGACGGTGTCGGAGGACTCGTCCCTCTACGTCTGGGACGTATGGGGCGAGGCGGCCGCGCGCAACATCATGAGCGAAAACGGCATGACGGTGGTGTCCCTGACGGGCGAGGACCAGCGCTTCGAGGTCGAGGGCGGCCTGTACTCCATCGCCATCGACCCCAGGGGGTCCTTTGTCGCGGCCGGCGGCGCAGGCGGCGCCGTCAAGGTCGTCTCGCTGCCGCGCCTGTCGCCCGCGTCGTCCCAGCAGCGAGGCAAGTCGCCCGCCGACGCCACGGCCGGCGGGCAGATCCTGGCGTCGCTGCACACGCAGGGCGACAGCGTCGAGTCGCTCGCGGTGTCGCTGACGGGGGCGACCCCGCCGACGACGCTGCTGGCGGCCGGCTCCGTCGACGGGTCCATCTGCGTGTACGACGCGACCCGGCGCTTTGCTGTGCGGCGCCACATTGCCGGCGCGCACGAGGACCACTCCGTCGTCAGGCTGGAGTTTGTCAAGAACACGTGGCTGCTGACGAGCTGCGGCATGGACGGCGTCGTCCGCCGATGGGATTTGAGAAGCGGCGGCGCCACGGGCACGACTGCGGCCGGCGCCACGGACAGAGGCCTTGCCAAGGAGTGGAAGGGCCACAGGGGCGATGGCGAGGGCGGCGGCGTGCTTGGCTTCGTGCAGGGCGAGACGGGCGAGAGGGTTGTCACGGCGGGTGATGACGGTGTGGCCCTTGTTTTCGAGGCTTAATGATGGCTAATGTGATTGATGTATACGCGAGATGCGCTGCCATGATACAAGGCGAAGACGGTCACCGGGTGTACGAGTGTATATAGATTTCACGCTGGGACCTAAAAAAAGTTGCAAACAAAGGGGGCCTCTACCAGCCCGCAAGTAATCCATTTATCCCATTGTTAAGATGAGCCTTCTTTTTCTAAGTTGTATCATTGTCCAATCCCAACGCCCAAAATGTTGAATTGCGAATTCCAAGAAGCGAAGCCTCATCAAAACACCCTAGGCTCATAAAAGTATCAAGAGAAAAAAAGAGAGGCACTACTTGGTACTTCGTGAGAGACATATATGTTAAAACGTGTCCCGGTCTAATGCGCAAGATAAAAGTATTATACACCATCCTTGCTGAATGTTGAAATTGTCAAAAGACATATGCGTGCTTCTGTAGCATGTTGCCCCCTTTGGCGCATAATTTCAAGAGGCAGTCTACTATATTGAATGACGAGGAGGGTCTATGACTGAGTAGTGTCTTCGACGGGAGGGCATGTGCAGAAGAGGTTGGTATCTCCGTAGGCTGCGGCTGTTAGAAGCGATCATTCGTGACAGGTATTGGACTGAGAATAACTTACTGTCATCAACACGAGTAACCGTAGGCCAGAACTTCTTTTCCGTTAGATACGGAAGAGGGTAGGCAGCCTTCTCGCGAGAGTAAGGACGCTCCCACTTGCCCTCGCCGTCGCCAACAAGGAGATCCTTTTGGGTGTGCGGGGAGTTGCGGAGAACGTTTCCTTGACGAGGCTGCTTGCCATCCTCAATTTCGCGAATCTCAGAACGGATGCTAATGAGAGCGTCAGCAAAGCGGTCAAGCTCCTGTTTGCTCTCACTCTCTGTGGGTTCAATCATGAGCGTGTTGGGAACCGGCCAGCTCATGGTGGGAGCGTGGAAGCCGTAGTCCTGCAGACGCTTGGCAATGTCGATAGCCTCCACGCCAGCCGTCTCACGGAAGGGGCGGGCGTCAATGATGAATTCGTGAGCACAGCGACCATTGTCATTGGTGTACAGGATGGGATAGTGGTCCTTGAGGCGAGCAAGGAGGTAGTTGGCGTTGAGGAGGGCCATGGAAGTGGCCTTGCGGAGACCCTTGTCACCTGCATTTTGTCAGTAAATTATCCGCGACTGTAAAGTAAAGATACAGAATCATTAAGCTTACCCATGGTGGCAATGTATGACCAGCTGATGGGTACAATGCTCGCGCTGCCGAAAGAAGCGCTGGAAACAGGAGTCTGGCTGTCCTTGTGAGGAAGGAAAGGCTCGAGATGAGACTTGACACAGATAGGGCCAATGCCAGGGCCACCTCCGCCGTGAGGAATGCAGAAAGTCTTGTGAAGGTTGAGATGGCACACATCAGCACCTAGAGCGCCTGGAGAAGTAAGGCCAATCTGGGCATTCATGTTGGCACCGTCCATGTAGACCTGACCGCCGTGAGCGTGGACAATTTCGCAAGCCTTCTTGACACCGGGCTCAAAAACACCGAATGTACTAGGGTAGGTGACCATGAAAGCACCGAGCTCCTTCTCGTGCTTCTTGCACTTGGCCTCGAGATCGGCGAGATCCAAGTTACCAGTAACGGTGTCACACTTGACGGGGACGACGCGCATACCGGCCATTGCGGCGGAAGCAGGATTAGTACCGTGAGCGGAAACGGGGATCAAGCAAATATCACGCTTAGGTCCAGGCTGCTGCTCGTGGTACTTGCGAATAGCTCGCAGACCAGCAAACTCACCCTGGGCACCAGAGTTGGGTTGCAGAGAGGTGGCATCCATTCCAGTGAGGGCAGCTAGCTGCGCAGAAGTCGCGCTGAACAGTCTCTGGTATCCCTTATAGCTGCTCACAGGGGCATGGGGGTGGATGTTGGAGCTCTTGTCGTGGCCAATGAGTTCCATCTGGGTTGTTCCGTTGAGCTTCATGGTGCAAGAACCCAGGGGAATCATGGAGTGAACCAGAGACAGATCCTTGGACTGCAGCTGGTAGATGTATCGCAGCATCTCGGTCTCGCTATGGTAGGAGTTGAAAACAGGGTGAGTCAAGTAGCTAGACTCTCGGCGGACGACTTGCGGGATGTCCTTGACAATTTTGTCCAGAGTCGGCTTCCAACCCTCAGTCCAGAACTTGTTAGCAACGTCTAAATTGCGGTCGGTATGATTCTTTTTGGCAACAGCCTGGAAAGCATCGACGATGCGAACATATGTATCCAGGGTAAACGTGGTGGGAACGGCTAGAACAACTTCGCTGCTAGTCCAGGCCTTGCCTCCGCTGATTCCTCGCTCCAGAAGCTCCTTTCGGAGTGTCTGGCACACCTTGGGGTCATCGAAGCTGATTGTGACGGTGTCAGACAAAACACGACCCTGGGGGTCCAGAGTGGCAGTAGGAACAGTCAGACCATAGTGCTGAGCGGCAGACTGGACCATGCGAGCGTGGCGAAGGTTGTTGACCGCCATCTCCTTCAACTGAGCAGGTCCATGGTAAATTGCGTACATGGCAGCCATGTTTGCCAAGAGAGCCTGGGCAGTGCAGACGTTACTAGTGGCCTTTTCACGACGGATGTGCTGTTCACGCGTTTGAAGAGCCAGACGAAGAGCACGTCCTCCAGTGCGGTCCTTGGAAACTCCAATAATGCGGCCCGGCAGACGACGCTTGCTGGCCTCCTTGACGGCCATGAAGGCGGCGTGGGGACCACCAAATCCCAGAGGAACACCAAATCGCTGCGAGTTACCGAAAGCAACATCGGCACCCCATTCACCGGGAGGGGTCAAAAGAGTCAGTGCAGAGAGGTCCGTTGCGACGCTGAAGAGGGTGCCCTGCTTGTGGGCTACATCGACCAGCTCGCGGAAGTCGCCAACACCGCCGTTGGTATCAGGATACTGGGCGAGGACACCAACCAGGTCGTCACCGAGAGCCTGAATCTTTTGGATAGCATCGGGTGCGGACAAATCCATCAACTCAAGACGAATGCCAAAGCCCTCGGCACGGCCTTGCATGACCTCGAAGGTTGCATTGTGGACGAGATGAGAGACAACATAGGTCTTTCCAGGGCGCTTAGCACGAGAAGTGGAAAGGTTGCTGAGAGACATGGTCATGGCCTCGGCGGCGGCGGTACCCTCGTCGAGCAAACTGGCATTAGCAACAGGTAGACCGGTGAGGTCAGAAACCATGGTCTGGAAGTTGAGCAACGACTGCAGACGGCCCTGGCTAATCTCGGCCTGGTAAGGCGTGTAGCTGGTATACCAGGCGGGATTCTCGAGAATGTTTCGCTTGATGACGCCGGGGATCTCCACGGGGTAGTAACCACCACCGTTCATCCAGGTGTGGATTTCGTTCTGGGCATGCATAGCTTTGAAGAGCTCGGCTACGCCAGACTCGCTGTACGTCTTGGGCTGGATCTTCTTCTGGGGAGGTAGCATAATGTCCTCAGGAATGACCTGAGCGACAAAAGCCTCCAGAGACTCAACGCCAGAGCCTAATTGCTTGAGCATGGCGGGGATGTCCTCGTCGCGAGGACCAATGTGTCGTGCAGTGAAGTCCATCCATGGCTCAGGGTGTTCGTCACTGGTCTTCTGCATGTCAAGATAGGCCGGGTCCTTGCGAATCGAGTCCAGCTGAGCCTTGGAGCTCGCGGCCCGGGAGGTCTGAGAGAAACAGCGAGCGGCAGCGAAGCGTGCAACAGGAGCGCGCGCAACGGCGACGAAGCTGGCGGATGTGGTCGATGAGGTGGCACCGGCTGGCAGCGCAGCGCGGCTAACAACCGCGGTCGAGGAGCGCAGCGGCGCACCTCGGAGAGCTAGTCTCGAGGCCATTGCTGCTGAGGGACGTTGCGAGCGCTGTGCGTTGGGCTTCTTGGGATAGCAGGAGAACACAGGCTCCTTTTATCAAGGAAGAGTCAATATCCTCAAGGCCCTTGGGCGATTTTTGATTTTTTTCCAGGCCGACAGTCGGAAGCTTGACCTGTCCCACGACGGGCAAGAGTCCGAGGCGCGCGGCCCAAGTGGCGACCAGTGAGACGATGGCAGCCGAGCTGTTGATGGCAGGCAAGACAGAAAGTATGCTCTCTGCAGCTTCCCACGACAAAAGTGAAGGCAAGCAAGCAAGGTTGTCGATGCAATGGGTGAAGGAGAAGGAGAAGGTTCACGGGGAGAAGAAAGGTAAAAAGATAAACGGCACTCCGTACGCGGCTACTAAAGAACCGGAGAATCCAAAGAACCTTGCCATGACATCTTGTGTCGCCGGTTCCCGCTTTGTCGGCTAGTGCAGGGATTTTTTTCGTCGCCCCCATCGGCCAGCCGACTCTCCACAGCCAACGCGGATTGGCGGTCCACGCTGTTATCGCAGCACCACTGAACATGCCACCGCGCGTGGCCAAGCTTGCGACGTGTAGAGGACTTGAAACCAGACATTTCAAGTCAAGTCTGCGCTTCCCCAGGCAGTCAAGTGGTTCCCCAGTGGGCCTCTTTCCCGCAAAATCATGCCCCAGGCGCTCCTTCCCTCCCCCAACATGTCACTGGACTTCTGCTGAGGCTGTTCCCGTCTTGGAACATTTGAAGTCAATGTCTGGTCAAGTGTTCAAATGTTCAATGTTGTCAATGTTACAGCCCGTGTTTGCTTGCAGCGCACTGCAACCCAGCGTCCAACTACAATAGAATAGATGAATGGTTCCATCCAGGTACAATGTGTAGATCCGCCCGCCAACCCACCAGTCATGGCTCAACCAGGTGACCGCTTTCCTCCAACCCAGCGCATGCCCGCCAGCGCGCCTTTGCACCGAGGACAGAAGAAGCAGCCAATCAATCGGACCGAACGGGGCCGACGCTGTGCGACTCTAGCTGCCTCTTACGGCCGCATCCACTCCCTTAGTCACATCATAAATTTTCCACTCTGGCGTACCAGCTCCCCGACTGCAACACCACCTCGTCTCCGAAGTCGTCCTTTTTTTACGTAAATACCACGGGCTCCCAGACAAAATCCTGGGGCAACGAATCACCCGACTCTTTTCTCCCTCGAGCATCGACAAGCCAAATTGCAAAAATGTTTGGAGGATGTACGTCTGCCGCCCTTGACCGCACCACCCCGCGTTCCCTCTAGTCCACGCCGTACCTAAACATTGGGTAATCGGTTGGGTAATAGCCCGAGTTGACGTGCTTTTTTTATTGATGCCATCCAGTTGCCCCCCCACAGCAGTCTCCCGAGGAGATCCGCGCCATGGAAGCTGAGGCTACCTTTACCGTGCAGCAAGTCGTGGCTACCGCTTTCATGTTGTATCTCTGTATGTTTCACCCGGTTGAGAAGGAGTCTGGACAGGCTCCTGGTTGTGTTGGCCATTGTGACATTGAGTGCTGACCAATTCTCAGCCCCGTTTGCTATCGACATGGCTAGCAGAATCTTTTGAATTCGCCCACCGTCTACCACGGCAAAACTCGAAAGGATTGTGGGAAATTTTGTCATCGCCCTCCGACAAACAAGCCTGCGTTGAAGCGCGGTAACGATACGCCAAGGGCCATAATCTGCGTGTACGATATTAGGGGGCATAGCTCTTTTCTTGGATGGGATGCCTGTATAGAATACCTTGTACCACATAAAATAACTACGATTTAGACGTCGAGGTGGCCGTTCCGCCTGGCCACCAAAATAGAATATTCAAACAAAATTTAACGAGGCTGTGTCATGCGCTACCATGGTGGATGAAGCCCGTTGAAGCTCATCCAGTCCAAGCTTGTTCGGCAAACGGCTCTCTACGACTTTTCAGTGAGGCGTTAATGTCAAAGTCCAAGATCGATTTTAGTCCATTCAATCCAACACCTCTGCCAAGCCATGCAGTGCGTCTATCGACCACCTCTCTATTTCCGAATCGCATTGTACAAAAATTTCCTAGTAACTCGATAGCAAACCCAATTCCCTTGTCAAACGCTCCGTGATCATCGCGCCTCAATCCCGTTGTATCATCTCGATTTCAAGCTAGCGTTGCGGCTCTTCTCCCACTCCTCGAAATCGACACCAAGCGCCTCCAGTTCTTTCTTCAGATGTTGCAGCTGCTTCTCGTAGTCTTCGAGAACCTATAATCCCAGTCAGTAACTGTCTGTTGGCAATAATCCCGTGATGTAGAGCAATGACAAAACGTACCCTCTTTGCCTTGGCCTCGGTCTCCGGGTCCAAACCCTCGCCGTCTTGGCCAGCAGGCTTATCCAATTCTTTATTCAAGCGATCCGAGTACCCTCTCAGCACAATCAACCTACTCCATAGCTCTTCCTCCCTAGCTCCCAGCGCAGGGTCCTGCACCTCACGCTCCAACGTCTGCAGCCGATTCTTGAGGTCGTCCTCGTCGCCACTCAATGCGTACCCGCGGTTCCTCAAAATCTGTACTTTGGCCGCTAGGGCCAAGCATCTCTCGCTAATGGCCGTCTGTCGTCTTCGCGCCGCCAGGGCCCGCACCTCCGTCTCCAGCTCGTGTCGCTGCAAGATGGCGTCCAGACTACCGTTGACCTGGTGCAGACGTGTGTTGAATTCGGAAATGGCGCGCTTCTGTGTCTTGAGACGGTCCGCAACGCCAGTGTACCCTGAGCAGAGGACAGGCATGAATCCTGGGGCGGGTTTGTTCTGTAGGGCTTCTTCCCATTCGCGAGGGTCCTCGTGGGGTTGGGGCTTGTAGAAGGGGATATGGGCTTCGTCGACTTTGTTGTAGAAGTAGTGCTTAAAGACACAGCTTGGGTTTGCAGGGTCCCATTTCTCGGTGACGAGTTTAATCTGATCGAGGATTGGTTTTTGGTCTGGAGGCAAGTCAGTTTTGGCGGTGAGTGTCAAGGAGACTCGGATGGAGAAGCCTACGTGGTGTTTCTTTGCCGGGCTGCCACAGCGAACTTGATAGCTGGGCTTGTGACTGAGCCAAAGCCGGCATTTGTTGAACTTGCTGTTGCTGTGCCATCATTGAATTGCCTAGTGCGCCGGGTTGCTGGCTACCCATGGTCTGGCCGAAGACGCTGCCTGTCTGCTGCGCCGGCTGTGCCTGTTGTGTAGCTTGCGATTGACCAAAAAAGCCACCGGAGCCCATTGGCTTGGGCTGGCCGAAGAACGACATGGCGACGGATTTTTCGCGGTGTTGCTCTAGTCGAGCTCACCGAGGGATTGGGGGTGCAAATTTGGGCGTTGCGAAACTTGCAGCGTGCAGACGATGGTATTTCTCGGCTATCTCCAGGGGTCGTGAGGTCGTGGAATATGTACAGGTCAGACTCTTGGGCGTTGGGGCACGGCTGAGAGCTGGTCGTTGCTCGCCTCGTCTCTGCGCAGCTTTTTTATTGTCGCGCTCTGCCAAAACAGACCAAACTTCTAGCTACAGCCGCGCATCCACATCTCGGGCAGGCGCCTCGTGTGCCAGGTCGGCCTTGTCTCCACCTTGCAACCAATCACAGGCCGCCAATTCCAACCTCACTCCAAATTCCCATCCAGCGATCGCACCAACTCAGCAACTCATTCTCGGTTCGACGAACGGGCAGCCCCCAACACAGACAACATGGCGACCCGACGATCTCAGTATGTCTTCTGGCTCGGCTCTCTCCCTCCCGCTGTCTGATTGAGCATATCGGCGTTTAGCGGGATGCTTCAAAATGGCGTTGGAGGCAAAAGGACGAAAGCGCTCTCTGGCTAACCACTCGACTGTAGGTTCCATCAGGAAGTCCTCATCGACACCACGCCGCTCCCTGACAACGTCCCTGCTGTCAAGGAGATTGGTGCCAGCTCCGCGCCTCTCTTGTCGGCATCTTTCTTCATCGGCGCCCGATGCCGCGACTACAACGATGACTACATGCAGTGCAAAACGGAGAACCCCGGCCGTGGCGAGTTTGACTGCATGAAGGAGGGTCGTCGGGTGACTCGCTGCGCTCAAAGCGTGTACGTTCTCAAACCTAGAACTCAATGAGACCATTCATTATCCCAATTCTAGCGGCCATTTCATCGCAGGCTGATTAGATGGTCGCACGAGGAAACAAGACACAGCAAGCTGACAATGCAGCAGACTCACGGACATCAACACCCACTGCCTCGCCGAGTTCCGCAAGCACTGGGAGTGTCTGGACGACAGAAATCAACAGCTTTGGCAGTGTCGTCCTGCCGAGTGGAAGCTGAACAAGTGTGTCTTTGATAACCTGGTAGGCGACCCTGTGTGAATATGCATACTTTCACGGCAATTAACTAATTCTGCTGGTTTAGAAACTCGAGAAGAAGATTCCCGACCAGCCCAAGAACGTTACCCCGGTCGAATTGAGGCCAAAGCAGATATTTTCTGATGTTCGCATTGGACCTGGGGATGGCAAACCCTTTATTGCGGGACAGGACGCGAAGCAATAAGTGGCTAGGAGTAGATTTGTTAGATACACCGTGTATATTTTAACCAATTGGACGAATCGTTCTTTCTTGAGCAGTGTCCTGTTGTGCTCGACGAGGGACCCCATGGTTTTGACGAAAGGCACCATCTGGCATATAGGTTTCGTTACCAGCTCGGTTCAAGGCTGTTTGTGAGGTTCGTGCTATCCTCTGTACAGATATATCAACGTATGCTTTGCAGTCATCCGCTGTATATACGCGAATGCAGCATGCAACGGTTGGTAGACGAGTGCAAGCATCCGTCCGCTGAAACTTGGCAACTAAGTGCCCTTACGCTATTGCCAGGTGCGGTTGGGAACAGCCCATGTCATGTGGTATGTTGTAGAGAGCCTCTTTCTGTCTCTTAGATATTGCAATACTTGGAAGCTTTCCTCATCCTTTTCTTCTAGGTCAAATGAATACGAGTTGGCCATGCTTGCGATATACCTTGTCATGAGTCAAGTACTGGCTATTGGGGCCAAGTGCAACTCCAAAATCACAAAGTGGCCATGGGAACTTTGTGTGTTAACGACTGTGCGTCCTCTGGTCAAGGTCTGCAAATGTTTCAAGGGACATGCAAAATACCAACATTACGCGGATATCTTTCCGAAGCTGCATATGATTTTGACTCTTTGTTTCTGCAGATCATTCCACAATAGCAACTCATATGCGCGAATCCGACATGGTCGGCATGGCATGTTCCAAGAGGCTTCTACCCAAGTTCAAACTCTAATTACAACTCGGTGGGCATTGCGAATAAATTTCGTTGAATCCAGCACTAAAGGTAACCATTTGTATGGATAAAAGTCGTGCTGACTTCCAGAGACCAAGGTATACTTCTGGGGCTTTCTCTCGCGGTGCGATTCCCTCACACAGCTCCAGCATAACCCTTCTAGGCAGTATGCAGCATTGGTTCTTTCTGATGAAGCTTATTTCTATCTACCCGCTGTTTCTGACGCGCGAAGCCACTCTTTACCATCATCTATTGGTTCGTCTGGCCCATCCATGGCTCTCATATACTCATTTCCTCTATACCTACCTCTCCTTTTCCTCTACGGCACATATATCATTGGGGGCGAACCATTTCTACCCCGATTCTTCCCCTGCGCCACCCTCCGGTTATGTATGATATAGATAGCCTCCTGGAGAGCGGCAAAGACGATGCCAACCGATACCATGATGATCATGGTGCGAAGCCCAGTCCGATAACTACAAGAAGGTTTCAGCATCTCCCAGACCAAATTAAGTATCGCAAGATCTTACAATGGGACATCACCGGCACGGAAGTATTGAGTTCCTACCATCAACCCGCTGATGGCAGACATGACCCACATGCTGCAACGAAGTCAGCATTCTCAAGTTCTCAACGGTCTAGACACAGTTTGTTCAACACGGGAGAGGGTTTCATTCTCACGCAATAGCAATGCTCCGCTCCCCCGGCTCCCTGCAGTTCAGCTGAACCCAAGTATTATGAACTGGATGATAGCCAACGGCGAAGCTGTTCACCGCAGTCCACAAGCCCCAGCGAGACCACTTGCCAACAAGAGGATGAACCTGGCGAGCCACAACCAAGGTAACGAGGTAGCAGACGTGGGCGGCAATCACAGACCCGCCTCGCAGGTTCGTCCTGTCGCTCATGTACGCGAATAGGAAGACAACAATGAGGGCTAGAGAGGCGCCCACGGCCGCGAGAGCGTTGGCTGCAATGCGGTCGAAGCCAAGAGCCCTGCTCTTTTTCGTCAGCGGTTTCCGAACTCGAGAAGCGACATGCTTTACGTGGCATTTCGACTCGGTGTTTTTCACCTTACATGATGATTGACGGCGTATAAGTCGTCAAGGGGCTCCAGGTCGAAAACACGGCAAACGTCGACACATAGTGCGGCCAGCGACGGTAGTGCTTGACAGTGCGCCAGACGAGCCTCCACGGTATTTCCAGCCCTTGGGCCCCTGGCCGCTTTTCCGCGTCGTCGTCTTCAATGCGGTTCTGTAGAAGGACCTGTTCGTCTTTGGAAATGCGAATAATCCCACGGCCTATGAGCGGCCCAGGCTCGTCGGGAGAGCCAGGGAGGAAGAAGAGAAAGAGGAACGAGACGCAAACGGTGAACAGCCCTTCAACTAATGCCGTTGTTTAAGTCTTTGCTTAGCTTCTCACGATTTGTTTTGCTTTTTGGGGGGAGGGCCTCACGCATGAAAAGCCATTGCCAACCACGGAGGCCACGGGCATTGTCTAGCTTCAGAATACCAGACGCCAAGAGGGGACTGATGGCATTGCCGCCAAACATGCCAAAGAAGAGAATGGCGACTCTTCGGGACAGCTCCCGCTTGCGATACCAGGTTGACAAGGTGTACACGGCCCCGGGGATGTAGCCCGCTTCGCTCAGGCCAAGAATGAGGCGTACCAGCAGGAAGCCGGTGCGGCTGCGGAGGAAGACCTGCATGGTTGCCACGACGCCAAACATGAAGACCTGGGCGGCCATCCACTTTCGCGGTCCAAACTGGCTCGAGTCAGTATCTGAGTCGGGCTGTTGCTGCTTGGGGCTGGTGTGTTTGCTCACTCGTTGCAGAGCCATGTTGCACGGGATTTCGAGGACGACAATGCCCATGAACATGAGTTGGTTGCCGAGGTTGATTGTGTCTTGGCTGATGCCGATATCTTTGGCGAAACCTCCTGTCAGGGCGCTGGCCAGGTTCATGCGGTCGAGTTGAAAGACTAGGAGGCCGAGGAACAGGAGAGCCAGCACGGAACAGTCGACTCTGAAGCATGTCAGCTCGTTCAGAATCCTTTTGTCCGCGAAACGCGGTTGATGTCAGAATATTCTGGCTCACTTCCACAGCGCTTGCTTCTCTAGCTTTGGATCCCATTGTCGTCCGTCTGGGTTGCCTTGCTCGGCGGACGAGCTATCCTCGACAACCGCCTTTTCCACCCGTACTCTGGCCATTGTTTCTCAAGGACAATAAAAGGCTCCCCTGGGAAAAGAATAAGCGGTATGCATTCGGTGAAATACAACTATAGTTGTGAGCATCTCGGCCGTTTAATAACTGTTGCCGGCGGCGCTATTCATGCATTGCGTGGCAGGCTTCCCCAGTAGTTTATTCGGCAACCCAAACCGACATGCCGTCTTCATCACGCAATTGCTTGGCCCTACCGATAAGGATAGGTATATTTTACAAGAATCACCATGATTCCAAAGATTTGCACTGCGCGCGAATGACATCGCCGATATTCGAGCGAACAGTGGGGAAGCATTGTCGTTGAAGCGATGGCGTGATGAAGCTCAGTGATAGCTTGCTTGCAGGGACATGGGCACTCGCATAAAGCTTCCAGTCTCCCGGGTGGCCGTGGTGTTCTAGTCGGCATTGAAATGTGCGACCTGCTCCAGCCAGCGCCCAACTTGACGACTTGCAACCCGCGCATCTAGAGTCTATACAATATGCCTGGTGTAACTGTCAAGCGTGTTGCCGTCATTGGAGCCGGCCCAGCGGGCGCGATTGCTCTTGACGCCCTTGCCAAAGAGAAGACGTTTGATCTGATCCGTGTGTTTGAGCGGAGAGAGCGTCCGGGGGGCTGCTGGTACGTGAATAGCTTCGGTCTCGGTCTCGATTCCCATTGACGAGGAGCAGGGTCGGCGACACGTTGCCGCCTCCCACGCTGTCGGATTTCAAGTCACTGGCGGACAGGACAGCCGATGCTCCGATTGCCCTTCCGGAAACTCTGCCTGCCTTTACTCCCAAGTCGGACCAGCCACGGTTTACCGAATCGTCGGTTTACCCGTACCTCGAGACCAATATCAGCCATCTGCCCATGCAATTCTCCCAGGAGCCCTTTCCCGCAGACATTAGCGAGCGAACACGAGCTCTTTACGGAGACGGCTCGCCGTTCCGCCATTGGGCGGTGGTGAGGTCTTATATAACTGGCTTGTGCGAGCGCAACGGCTACGAGGACCTCATCTCGTTCAGCACCACAGTCGAGCGAGTGGACAAGATTGGGTCCGAGTGGAAGGTGACGCTACGCAAGGAGGGCAAAGACAGCGACTACTGGTGGACAGAGTGGTTCGACGCCGTCGTCGTCGCGAGCGGCCATTACTCGGTGCCTTATATCCCCGCCATTGAGGGCTTGGAGCAGTTTGAGAAGTCCCGTCCCGGCAGCGTCATGCACAGCAAACACTTTCGTGGAAAGGACAAGTTCAGGAACAAGGTAGGCCGGCTCGTCGAAACTCCAACTCGACCTTGGGAACGGACGAATCACTAACGGGGCCGTTGGTCGCAGCGAGTCGTGGTTGTCGGGGCCTCGGTCTCAGCGGCAGATATAGCATTCGACCTGGCCGACTCGGCCGCGTTCCCAGTCCACGCCATCACCATCGGGCACAATCTCAACGGCTACTTTGGCGGAGAAGCCTTTGAGCACCCAAAGATCGAGAAGCTGCCGTCCATAGCCAAGGTGCAAGGTCGCACGGTACTCTTGGTGGACAACAAGACCATCCCCGACGTCGACTACATCGTTTTCGGCACCGGATACAGCTGGACGCTCCCGTTCCTACCGCAGGTGCCCGTTCGCAGCAATCGGGTCCCCGACCTGTGGCAGCATATCGTCTGGCAGCACGACCCGACTCTGCTCTTTGTCGGCGCCGTGCACGCCGGCTTGACCTTCAAGGTCTTTGAGTGGCAGGCCGTCTACGTGGCGAGGCTGTTGGCGAACCGCGCGGCGCCGCTGCCCCGGCTGGATGAGATGCGACGGTGGGAGGCGGACAGGATCAGCAGGCGTGGAGACGGGGCCAGGTTTTCTCTCCTTTTCCCGGATTTCGAAGACTACTTTGAGAGCCTGCGAGGTTTGGCGGGAGCGGGCGAGCCTGGCGTTGGCAGGAAGCTACCCAGGTTTAGACGGGAGTGGTTCAGAGAGTTCCTCGACGGCCACGAGCTTCGTAAGGACATGTGGCGACGACATAACAAAGCGGCCGCCGGGGCTGGCTCGACAAGGACGCTGGATGCGAAGCTGTAGAAGTTGCGTATTGGGCGGACAGTGTGAGATTAGCGGCAAGACGCCCTCTGTCTGTCTGTTTCTCTCTCTCTTTCTTTTCATGTATGAATGTGTAGCTCTTTGCTCTATCTTGCTCGGTTTGTAAACACATGAACTTGCAGGGACTTGCATATCATCAATCTTACCAAGACTATGCATGATGCCGCGCTACGGCTCCGTTCCCCCAGCTCCTTTGAGTGCCGAACTTGCATGAAACAAGGATAATCCAGAACCATGGACTCAAATCACCGATTCGGTACAGAGTACATTTAACTCATTACTACTATCACGAGTGGTGCGTTTGCAGCTCCGCAGTGAGCAACTTCCTCCAATGCCCTTATCCACGGAGTGGAATCACCAGTCCCTCTTATTTCCAATAATTTCAGACGAAATAGGGAGTTGCAATAATCACCCTGGCTGTTTGGGTAGCCGCCGCCGTTTCATGTCCCTGGCCGCATCTGCTACGCTTTTTACATCCTGCGTGGTATGTTGTCTGATATCAGCCGGCTTATAGACTACACAGCCACCTCCACAGACAAGTTCAGGCTTTCGGCCAGACCATCACAACAATAATAAACTTACATGAAAATAAATACAATTGACCTACCAAGAAGCCTAAGCTCACAGTAAGAAAAAAGGCCAGATACACATCCCAATCCATACATTATCACGCATCTTCGTGAATTCGCCCACGTTTTCACCCTGAACAGTTACTTCACCTCCCCAACGCCAGCTAGCTACCCTACACCAACCAACCACCCATGCAACAGGGACAGCAAAGACATCGGAATCGCGAAATCCCGCCCCGTCACGACCAATGTTGCGCGAATTACAGAGTACGGAGCATAGACATGATACACTGAACACAAGATGCCGCGCTCTAATTCGCTGGTGTAGCATCGTGTAGCATCTCCTTTGGTCAAATATCGCTCAACATGCGGTCCCTGTACATACCCACTGTCTCACTTCCCGCCCGATGAACATCGATCGTCAATCACGGCGATGAAAACCATCCCATCCAATCGGTCTGTGTTCCTACTGGACGCCAGATTTTTTTTTCCTGGCCCTGTACATGAGATGAAACCCAGCCATCGCGGTGGAGACCGTTGTGAAACGAGATGGCGCTGTCTGTTAAGATGAGGTCCGCTTGTTGGGCCTCGGCGGCAATGGCATGCGGAGGTAAAGTCAAGGTATCACACCAGACCGTTACTGGATGCTTGGGGTGTATGCTAGGAATCCTTGCTGTGTTGATGTGAAAGGACGGAGATGACGACTATGCAGAGCCATTTCCGGCCATTATCCCGACGCGAAGTACGGAGGAGCAGGGGCAGATTTCGGGGTTTGGGATGGGCACAGCTTGTCAGTAATTTGATGGGGTTAAATGACGGGTCGGAATGCCGGCAAGTCAAGTGTTTTGTTGTTTGAGATTAGTCATTGGGTCAATTGGTATGATGAAGTTCATGTGAGGGCACATGCATACACTCTAACCCGTGTTTAGCTCACCATCCGGGACCTAACAAGATGAATCAAGTGAGGCGGCCTTATTATTGATAATTTTACAAGGTTAATAATAAAATCTTCATATCAAACAGGTGATTTTCGTCTTTTCCCTTAGAAAACACGATATTTCTTCCTCTTAGCTTTTATTTAAAAATAATACGCTTCATTAATTATATACCCCCTTATAAAGTCGCGGGTGGTCAGTTCAACAGGGGTTGGAGTGTAGCAGAAAGCCGACATGCCTCATCTGATGTCGTGTCCGACGGACGGTAAGGGGCATGGCGCCTTGTACACATACAAGTTATACAACACGGAGGGAGGGCTCGCATCTGGGTGTACCACGATCCTTGCCTCATTTCAACAGTGACAAGGCCGAAGAGTCAGCTGGCGGAGATGACAAGCAAGGGAAAAAAGGCCACGACCACTCCGTGAACCTCGCCAAAGCCATGCTCTTGGCTGGCTACCTTGGCTTTCTGATAGTAGTACTAGTCAGCATGGGCGACAGACGTGTCTGACGTGTTTTGCCACGTGTCGCGGAACCCTGGGCTCGAGGGGAAACACTGAGAATACGGGCCATGTACTCCGTACCTATGCAGGCACGCGAGGAAGGAAAACGAGCAGCATAAGTAAATACCAGTTATTACCTGGGAGCTGCATACAGCCCCGGGCCAGTAACTTTTGGAAAAGGAGCAAGGCACCTTGCGAGCCCAAGCGATGGAGGATGGAAGTACGGAGTATATATGGTCTGTACAACCAGCAAAGTCAGCAAGCACAATATACTCCATACCAAGGAGGCGATATCAGGCAGGATTGCAGGAAGCAAGCGCAGTTGCCCTGAACAGGCAGCACTTTTTGCATGAATGCGCTTATGCATGCCATGTAAGTTTATCCACACGTCTGTGCAAAAGCATCTCGGGAGAATGGTTTGCGCAGGCAAAGATGGCCTTGTGACTCGAAGTTGTGAGCACATGTGGGACACGACCAGGGGCTGCGTGTAACTTTACCACCGGGCTTTGGCCCTCAGCCTTAACATTCTAACTTTGCTCTGCTCTTGGGCCGCTGTTTCAACTGTAAATCATATCGATCCCGCCGAACATCTCTGTCCAATGCCTCGACTCCCCCGCCTATTTGAGAGACTTCAAAAGCCTCGGGCTCCCTGCAAAAGCATATTGTGAAGCTTGATTCGTTGCAGATCTGGCATCTGTCCCCAAGCGTAGCCAGATCTGTGCCTATGCATCGACAACGGGCCTCCGAAATCCTCACCGCTAACTTCCAAAGTACCTTCATGTCGCCATGTCGTGGCGGCTTTGCGAGTGAGCCTCGATGCATGCTCTTAATAGTATAACAAAGTAAGTAGCTGGTTGAGCAGAAAATCGGGAGCCGCTTGTCTGTCACGGATTCCATGCTATTGTACGGAGTACGAGCTGTGGTATAATAACACGGCCTGATCCGATGTCGCTTAAGTCCGACTATTTCGCCAAGTACGCAATGTTGCTTCAAGGATGCTGTGAGCGGGAGGACAGTTCAATTGTGGCTAGTTGCATTCCACTGTGTGGACGGATCCATGCTGTCACCGGGGTGAAGGGGGTTGTTCAGGTCGTGAATCCGTCCTGTGTCTGGATCTGTGCCCTGGAATGTAAAAGCAATGGCTCTTAGGAAACGAAACTAACGCAGGAACAAAGTACTAGAACTACTAAACCAAAATGTAATACTATTCTGCTTCTGCAAGTGTTGTGCAGCCTCCGATGCTCAGCTTCGAGCAGTGTTCGACAGCACATGGGGCTTGTCTTGGAATTTTTCTTCGGGTTCGTTAAAAACATCGGATAGCTGAGGTTTGTGCCCGCAAACACCAACTCTGTCTCAAAGAAAAGACCAGTTGACGTCAAAGACTCCCTCCCCCGCACGCAGGGCCAGGCGAGCAGATCTGGTGCAGAGCAGCACAAAACACTTTGTTTGAGACAATGAAGCCAGCAGCGTCCAAAGAGAAGCAGCCGAAGAAACTTTGTGCTTGGACAAAATAGCGCCGGGAACTCAAGAGCCGCCCCCGTAGCGAAAAGGTTGTCTCTGAAGAATCTGCCAACTGTGGTTGGTGGGAACGTTTCCGACGATATCGCTGATCACGGCCACGGCGACCTCTGGCCAGGTTGTCTCCGGATCTGCAGACTGTGACGCTCCAATGTTAGGCACGTACCACAATTGTTGACCCTAAGAAATCTTCCGCAAATGAAGCGAATTCTCTCCCCGGTGCATCCTGGACGAAGACCGACTCGTAAAGAGCGGGAAGTCGGCAAGGCGAACCAAACATGGCATCCTCTCATGGTGATTCACGGTACGAACACCAAAGGAGGAAATGGCGAAGGACAAAAAGGGGGAGGGGAGAGTGGGCCACTCGCCAACTCGACAGCCATCCCAAGAGATGAGGGATGTTTCAGGGACGAAGAGCTCCGCTATCGTTTGTAGCTTGTTCACTGGGACCCTTCGAAACAACAGGATATGATTGGTCCACTGACTTCTTCAACCCATGCAAGCCTGGCGCCACAGCACAGGGAGGGCAAGCCAGGGGAAATATTGGCGGGAGAGCCGTGCGAGTGCGTTGTGTTTGGCGGGCCAGGTCCAAACTTTCCGTCCTGCTACTGGGCAGCCATGCGTACAGTACTTACTTGATGTATATACGGCCTGGCACGTTGCTTCGTACACGACTGGAAGTATCAACCAGCATCAAATGGCTTAAACCCTCAAGGCGCGCTCCGTAATATAAACAATGGCCTCAGAACAATAACCGACAGTCCTTCCCCGCCGCCATCATCAAGTCTCATTCACAGACCATGTTGCTCACACCCACCACTGACTGGCGCCTTTTGTTTGAGCACCCGTCGCTGCGTGGCGGTTTCTGCTTTGCTTGACGAAGAGACAAGCCTGTTGGCTGGCAATAAGAGCTGGAGTTGTTGTTGCCTAGGCCATTTGCGCCACTTTGTGCAACGGGTAACTTGAACATCAAACGTGTTGAATATTGCAAGGTAAACGTATTTGTTGTGGAACAAAGGCAGCGCCACTCAAATATACCTTAATATTAAAGGATGATGCGCCCGGCTTGCTGTTGGCCATCGCGACGCAGGGAGCCATGAACAATTATATGAGGATTACGAGTGCTTTGTAAAATGAGAGCTTGAAATGAGTTTTGTTCCTCATGCGACATGAACATGGTTACTGCCCCTGACAGAACTCGATGGACAGAGATGCAGCCGGACATGGAAATTCCCCAGCTTCTGAATTCGGTACTAGTATGACGAGAGATGACCAACAATGACCGAAAAATCGCTTCTGTGGTACGTAGGCGGTTCGGCTTGGACTGATCAAGTTAGTGTGCAAAGAGCCATGATGGTGATGCGTTTGGTACGGCACCGTCGACTGCTTGGCCCGAAGCCATGCTGTCCATGTTCAGTGTCGATGCAACACAGGATCAATCCACCCCTCGCCAAGCGCCAGGCCCCATGTGGCAGCCAGGCACAAAGCGATTAGCGCCAGGGGCAGGCAGGTGGCTCTGTGTGGACAGACCTTCAAAGGCTTGAGGCCCCCCGGTCGCTTCGTCTGGACAGGGGACAAGGGACAAGGGTCGCCGGGCGCTCATCCACTCCATGTCCTCTTCGGACATCCATCGAGGCGTTCGTTTGCCCGCGCCAGGTACCAGGCTCCTCATGCCCCCAGGCTCTTTGAACACTGGCTGAACCCGAACATGCTTGTCTGTCCGATGTGAGTCGACTCTGTTCGTATCATTGCGGTGTGTGGAGACTTGCCGGCGCCGCGCTTTAATGTTTGCTCTGCTTGCTGCCATGGCTCCTACGGAGTAGTACATGGCTCTCTGCAACGGGCAGCTACCTCTTCGTGCCACTGGCCGTTCCTTCCTTATTAACATCGCACGGCCGCGCCGTCTAGAATGCCGCTCTTCTTTTTAGTCCACCGTTCGCCCTCTTCATCTCCCCCCCCAAAAGCGAAAGACCTGGTTGTCGACTGCCTAGACGGCATTGCTACCTCTTTTTCTTCCTGTTCACTCCTTCAACGGCCTTTCGCCCTCCGCTCCTTTGTGTGTCCTTGACGGCACGTTACGCTCCTTGTGATTTTACCCCTTCAGACTTTCTGCTGTGCGGCTACTACTTGCGCATCGTCAGTCCGCGAAACTACGCCCTCAGGTTCCTCTCGTCGTCATTCGCATCCTCTTCTCGTCCTTCCTTGACGCCTTCCGCTTTGCCGATTTCCTATCAACACTGTGGTTTCGCCCTACGTCGAGAAGCCACACGAAAACGTCAGCAGTGCTGCCCAGCTGGTTCTGAAGAAGACAACAGACTATATACACAACAGTCAGCACTTTCCCGCACCACCGGTTACTTCGCGGTCAAACATTTACAAAAGGTAATGGCATTTGGGCTTTCTCTCCCCTTGCAACTATACTCAATGCCTCCTTTCTTCCTCTCTCGCCGAGTCGCTCTAGATGGGCATGTATACTTCTACTTGGCTGTCATCACGGGACTTGTGCATTGCAACGTCATGTACATTAGCAGACGTGCGCTCACAACACCATGACACCGCCATATATGTGATGAGAAAGCTAAATAAGTGCATTCTCCACTTTGAAGCGGTCGTCTTGACTCTCAGGGTTTGTCGTCAAATCCATTGTTTTGTCTCGGCATTCCCTCTGCAACATTCCAGAGCGCCTAATGTCACCCAGCCACCACGGCTCCGCAATCCAACTGTCTCCTGGTTGCAAATGACGAAAAGCCCCTGATTTTGTTGGACGAGCGACAGCGTCAAGATGGTGTCAACTGCATTTGTCGCTGCTTTACTGTGATTGTCCTCTGCTGAGACATGGACGAATGCGGCCCGAGCGACACCAAACACTGCTTGGCCATTTTATATATACTACTGATGCTCCAAATGCACACAAGCTAACTGGTGGTAGATAACCAAAGCTGCTCAATATGAAGTCTTCGTTGTTAGCCGTGGCCGCCTGTGCCGTACTGGCTGCCGCCGGTCCATTGAAGAAGCGTGCCTTGACGACCGAATGGGTTACGGAATTTGTTACCGTCACCGTCACCGCAGACGACTCTGAGCCTACTCCCGAGATTCCCGCGGTTTTCGTCGAGACCGAGGTGGTCACTCTTACTCCTTCTGCTCCCCCAAAGGTCAAGCCTACGCCTGTATTTCCCGATTCTCCTTCGGTAGAGATCAAACCTTCGACTTCGACTTTTTCACCACCGCCTAAGCCCACTGTGATTCAGCCCAAACCCGAGGTCTCAACTCCTGCCGCTCCTCCTCCTCCCGCGACGACTTCTGCTGCACCTCCTCCGTCGCCTTCATCCGGCAACTCGGGTAGTTATGCGGACAAAATGGTCCAAATACACAACGAGTGCCGTAGCAAGCATTCCTCTCCGGACCTAATATGGGACCCGAATCTTGCCATTACTGCTGAAAAGATTGCCAAGTCATGTAAATTTGCGCACCAGATGTAAGTCATTGCATTTTTGAAAGAAAAACACTTTGGTTGAAACAATCTCTTACACAAATGCAGGGGTGTCGACGGTGGCAGCTATGGCCAGAATATTGCAGCCGCCTCCTCCGATAAAAACAGCAACCCGACCGATTCTGGCGTCAACGCTGTGGGCGACATGTGGTACGGCGAGGTGAAAAACTACACGCCGGCATTTTATCGCTCTGGCCCTAGCCAAGGCACTCCTCTTGGCGACTATGGCCACTTCACCCAGGTAGTCTGGAAAGGGTCGACTAAAGTCGGTTGTGCAACTGTTTATTGCGATGCAGGGACAATCTTTCAGATGCCGTCACAATTCACTGTCTGCAACTATAAGACCCAAGGTAAGAAGTTGATCTCAAGTATCTCCTATGACTTTCAAGCCAGATTCTTACATATATAATTTAGGCAACGTCGGCGGCCAGTACCCTGAAAACGTTCTGCCGCCCAAGACGGGATAGTAGAGCCCAATGCCATGAATGCCAGTGATTGTACTATGCACATAACCCACGAAACTCCCTGGACGTGCAATCCAAGCAGGGAGGGAAGCTACATGGAGAGTTTTGTCTCGTGATTGAGGCCGGGTCATGGATGTGGAGCTTGCAGCAGGGTATCGTGAATTTCGCTTCTCACCTGTATGTTATGTTACATGATACTTTACGATCTTGGTCTTCATAAAACTAGGATTTTGTTCATTTTGTTTATTTTTCTTCCTTTGGCCGCCTGCTGAACCGTTGTCATGCGATTCAAATGGCCTTTCTACTGCATGTGTTGGGGCCATCATGACGATGCAATATTACTGACGTCTGTTGTACATGAGGGAGCGCCGAGACGGAAGGCAGGACAATGACTGGAAGCGCTGGATGTTTCGTATATTTCGTTCTTCTTATCTAAGCAAAGATGATTTTATGCAGAATTGACGGTTCCAACGCGCGTGCTCTGCAGCCTCGTATGTGCTGAGTTGACTGGCGTGGTTCAGCTTGGTGATAACTTGCCCGCCTTTTGAGACGAGGAACTTCTGTCAACTCATGCTGAGCCCTACCGCAGGCTGGGTGTTGTTTTATTCCTCCTTATGCGTTTGCAAAGCGTCGAGTTGATTGTTGCCTGTGTGAGTCGTGTTCGACAATTGTTCTTTATCGGCTACGAACCAATCAAACCTCCTGCAGAGTGAGATAACATTGAAGGATCAATGGTACATGAAGGCGTCGAATAGCGAACAGACCAAGTCACTTTTTGCAATTGCGAAAGCACAGTGCCTATGTACTTCGCCGCAACGGCGCTCGACAAGATGTGCCCTTTTCATCTAGTAGAGAAGGCTGAGGGTGGTCAAGTCTGGTTGGTTTTGACGCGGGGAAACCCAAAAGCCTTTGAATGATTGAGAATAGAGAATAAATAAATGAATAAAACTACGGCACCATGGCTTTTGAATGCAAACTCCATGTCGCACTAATGGGTTGAATGTCACTGACAATGCCACTGGCAATCCATGTCTTCCCCAGTCTGAGCTGATGGAGCTCCTATAAGTGGCACGGTGAGGTCTTGATTTGGTATCGGCATCTTCTGTTTTTCCTTGCAACAAGACCACCACCCACCCCTACATGATCTTGATCAATGTACGAGGCTGTTGAGAATTCAAGTAAGCCAAATATGGAAACAAGCATGTTAGCGCAAGCCAAAGTCGAGGTCGACCAAACTTGGGTTTGCACTGCTTACATGTAGGAACCCCGCGTTCAACTTTCACGCCTCGTCACTCTCCATCCGCCCGTCATCGTGAACCGCATCATATCATGGACCGCGAATCAACAGCCAGACTCACCGCAGAGTGCCTCTGCAGAAAACACACATTCAGCGCAGAAATACCCAAGTCGAGACTTCCTCTAGAGGGCAGCGTCTGCCACTGCCATTCGTGTCGCCATTCCACGGGCGCGCTGTATGTGCTTTTCTCGACGTGGCCGCGGCCACGTGCCGACGTCGACACCAGCGGCCTCAAGAAATACCAGTTTTCCGCAAACATTTCCAACCTCTTCTGCGGGACGTGCTCGACGCCCATGTTCTCCGAGCTGGCCTGGGACCCGGGCAGTCTCGGCGTCTACAGCGGCCCGTTGAAGAACATGGACGTCGCCCCGATCAGACTCACCAACCACATATACGTCGAGGATACCGTCGACGGCGGGGCGTCGGTATGGCTGAGGAGGCCGAATCCCGACGGGCAGGAGATCCCTCGCTACTTGACGCGCTCTGGACAGATCCCCTGGAGCTGGCCGGGGGCATCAACCTCGGCAGAAGAACCCAGGGGCGGGCCGGTGCAGCAGTCTGTAGGTATTTCCTGCCACTGCAAGGGCGTCAACTTGGTTCTTCGTCGGGGGGACTATGCCGGCGGGAAGAGGGGGGAGTTGCCATGGTTCATCGACCCGAGGAACTACAAGAGACTTGCTAGTTTTGACGCCTGCGACTCGTGTCGGCTTCACTTTGGAAACGACCTTGTCCACTGGACATTTACCGACTTGGCTGACATAGCCCGGGCGGATGGGGGTGCGTTCCCCCGGACAATGACGGAGCTCAGGACGGCCGTGGATGCGGGCGACGCGGCGGTTGGAACGCTGGCGTGCTACCAGTCGTCGCCGGACGCGCAGCGGTATTTCTGCAGGGTTTGCGCTGCGGCCGTTTTCTACGCCTGTGAGGATAGGCCTGAGATTGTGGACGTGGCGGTTGGCCTTCTTGAGGCACCGGACGGGGCTAGGGCCGAGAGATTCCTGTCTTGGACGTTGGGGGAGACGCCGGTTTGGGTGGACGATACGAAGGGCGGTTGGCGAGAAGGGTTGATGGGGAGGGTGCAGAGTGACGCTGAGGAGTTTAGGCTTGGGAGGGGTTATGAGAAGAGTTGGAGAAGGATTGCGAAGGAGGGCGAATCGGGATTGTTATCCTGAAATCGAGGCAAGAGGATGGAGTGTTAGTCATGGAGAGGGCATGGCTGCTGTTGGTTTTCTGGTTCCCTGACAAGTCGATGCCTACAATCTTTTTTGGGCAACGTGCCTGCGTTCAGCTGCAGGGGGTGAATATAGGTCATGGAATGGGACTTGGAGACCATACCACTCGTCGAATCCGCGGAGTTTCGTAGTACTTGATCAAATTGTTGGTCTCCTTTTCTAAGGGGCTGTCTGATGGCGACGGTTATATTGATCAACACGACGCTCTGTACTAAGTACATGACTTCTGCTCTTTAGATGTATTTGGCGTAATGCCATGTCTTTCCGCATTTTTTCCCTCGATGTTGTTTACCTTATACGCATAAGAAGGATAAAGGCACCCGGTATCCCCTTTTCTGCGATCTGACTCAAGGGAGATACTTGAACGCGTGGAAGGCTAGAACTGACGACTGGAGGGATTAGTATACCGTACGCAGAACTGCCATGTTCCGTATGAAGACATCTCGACAAAACTATTGACTTGGTGGCAACAATGTGGCACGGAAGTGCGCGCATAAGCGCCGCTATTCATGTGCCGTTCTACAGCCGTTCAGCCGCAACCGCCAAACATTCAAGGGTCATTGAAGACCATGTCGTCTCCATTGGCCATTGGAATCCATCTTTGCATGTCATATGCAAAGTGGCTTAAGCTACTCCCTCAGCCTTCCTGTGTTTCTGAACCCTTGTATGTATATAAGCGCCCAGCACAATGCTTCCCCTTGCGAAGTAAAAGCCAACAGAGAGGGCGACGTTCGCTGGCGTTCTTACCATTATTCCAAAAAGAAGAGGAAACGAAATAACTTGTAGCTATTCATCTCGTATCGCCGGCAGAAGGATGCTTGTTATCAAGAGGAGAAATCTGCACTCCGCGGATGGACAGAGAGGTAATGGCGTCAAACTAAGACAGCTGTGCGGCGAGCCTATGTGCAGTATACATGTCAATGTGGTATTGATAGTGCATCTCGTGTATCGATGCGACTGCAGAACGGGCCAGTCCAGTCGTACCTCATACGTGTGGCGTGCAGGTGATCTACCGAGCTGACGTTTTTGACATGGAACACGGCAGCCCACAAGTACTCGGAGACCAGGCATGTAAGAAGCAAGGCTGTAGCTGAGGTGTCGGTATCGATATAAGTCGACTTGTTTTTCGCATTTGCATTGGTATTTATACATTGGTTATAGAGAAGGCTGTGGTAGCGATATCGTTATATTGCACAACGCCGCTTTTTATAAGATTCAATCTGCTGTTATCCATGTTCAACTACTTTTGATTACCATGGCCGGCACCTCACCTACTGTTGACGGCCTTATCAACCCAGGACTAACACAAAGTCGGCGAGATGCTGCCCAAGAAGAAGGCCACGGCTCCCCCATAGGGCCCGACTTGGGTTCCAGGCCCAACAATAGGAGTACCGAAGAGACTGAGGCGGATAGAGGTGAGCATTCGCGACCCGTGGCATCATATCTTCCGTCTTGGGAGCACAATATAACTCACCCCACCACTGATACCGAAACACCCAACATTGAATCCGGCGATCAGCCTCAAGCACCCGACGACGACGGAGGCAGCCGCGACAGCTCGTCCAAGTACATAGAGCCCGTCGAATCAGAAGAAGCAGCCAAGCTAGGATACCCGTCGCTGAATTTCCGATTCCTTATACTGGCCGACTGGATACTTGTCCTGACACTTATCATCTGGCTGCTGGTGCTCGGCGGAGTGATTACCCTGACTGTGCTGCAAATGAAAGATCCCAGCAGGCTGCATATTCGAGTCGAGTCCAACTATTACGCCCTCCGCTACGGCCCCAGCATCGTCGGGTTATTCTCAACAAACTGGTGGCGGGCCATTACCCAGGGCTACAACAGGCTCATCCCCTACGTCGTCATGGCCAACGTTCGACTAAATGCGGGCAGCAAGGACCGCAACGAGGCGATTGTGGCTCATAGACTAAACAATGCCGACGCCAACACCATGGACGTGCGCCTAATCCCCGAGCTCTGGAAGAGCAGGCACTTGACGACGCTGGCGGTGAACCTGCTCTCGGTCAACATCCTCATTCTTACACCGCTCAAGACGTCTTTCCTCCAGCTGACCAAGGACTCTACCGGCTGGGGGGTCGAGGTCTCGCCTACTGTCGGATGGATCATCGTGGCCTGCTACTCGGCTCTGTCTGGAGCGACGCTGGCCATCATGATACGCCTCCACGGCAAGGTCACGGGGTTGAAATGGAGCCCCTGTTCTTTGGCGGCGCAGATTGCATTGCTTCAGTACTCTGATGTTCCGAGGCTGGAGACCTGTGAAGGGTTGGAGTTTGACACTCGAAGGCTGGTCGTGGAGAGGATGAAGGCCTGGACGCGGGATTTCGGTGTACTGCGGCTAGGTTATTGGAGGGACGTACGAGATCCCAGCAAGCTCTTCTATTGCATTCGATTCTTCAAGTCAGATGAAGGTATCTTCTTCGTCATCTCCGTTCGTGATCATGTGTCAAGGGAGTGCTGATATGCCATCTAGGACCGTCGCCGGGGCCTCTTGAGCGACAAATGAGGGCGAGAATAAGACGTGGCGATACGCAGCTGTACCGGTATGCACTGAGAGATCAAGACTATGCAGAGAGTGAAGGTACGAGAAAGAAGAAACGTATTCCCAAAGGTTTGCCTTGATCCTCTTGACAGTTATTGACTATCCACGACAGCGCCCGTTGCGCACTTCACCGAGTCGCAGATCAATTTCCTGGAGCGACACCCCAAGCCCCTCTCCTATTTCCGATACTGGTTTCTCTTCCCTACCTTCTTCTTCAGCGACTGGTTCATCGTGCCCATTTGGACGGTCTTACTCGGCGCCTTGGCTGCCCTGTCCGCCACGCTCGGCACGCGAGCCGTCCTGCTGGCCCATTCCTACGCCGGCTTTGCTCGCAGCTCGTTTGTCCGCAGCCTGGTGTTTAGCTTTCTGCCCTCTGCCCTCTTCTCCTCCTGCAACATGGTGCTGCTCCAGTCCGACACCTACCACCGGATGCTGCAGCCGATCCGGGCCATGGACCAACCCGCGCCCGGCAGAGAAAGCGTCTTGCTCGACTACATGTCGGCGGATCCTGTCACGGCCATAATAACGGCCTGCAGACGGGGACACTTGCGAATTGCGTGGGGTCTCTTGGTTGCTCTTGTTTGCGGCGTCACGCCCATCGTCTCGGGAAGCATCTTCATCTTCGACTTGACTTCGCAGACGTTTCGGGCCTCGCCGACTCCTACTTATGCTGCTCTGGGCATTGCATGCGTGTACATGCTTGCTCTGCCGTTTGCGAGGATCGACGCCAAGTACGTGGCTGGTCGCGGGCTGTGGAATATCGTGGATACGTTATCCTTGTGCTACGACAGTCCCATCCTGCACTGCCCGGAGTTTGCGACGCAGGGGAAGCGTGATGACGAAGACATACATCTGCAGTCGCAGATTATCCGGCAGGGGCGGCTGTACCAGTTCGGATATTATCTGGGCGACTCTGGGCGACGGCGTTTAGGCTTCAGCGTCGCCAGGCTGGTGCCCTCGCGGCAGGGCGAAAACGGTGGTCCCCAAACAGATCTGGTGACTTCTGAAGAATATGCTGTGCGTGGAAATAGTCCAGAGCCGGAGTCGTTTGATGGTGTCGATAGGGTCAAGTCCAGGTTTGGGTTCTTCAGATTTGTTCTGGTTTGGTTGCGTGAACCTGCCATCATCCTGGGCGTGACTCCAGATAGAATGCGGCAGGATGATACGGAAATGAACGTTATGAGAGGTGCTTCTGGCGGGGGCCAAGAGGATGAGAGAGACTAACAAGCTCATCCTCGGACTGAAAGAGCCTAATTGCATCGCAGCTCGGTTTCTATCGCTTGGTGTTGTTGGACCTGCGCCACATGTTTCTATCGAAATGGGCTCGCCGTCATCTCAGGACAGGTGATATTTTCTTCCTACAGAGTGGATCGCACAGGAATGAAAGATGCGGTATTATTCTGTCGATTATAATCAACTATAATGAAGCCAGTGTCCCCCATTCGGATATCAAGTACATAATCAAGCCACCCTTGGACATTTCATCTTGATATTCAAGCAAAAAACTCCAGCTAATAATTACAAACCAAGATAGACGCTTTCTTTCGCAATGCTAATTAAGCAGAGCCACCTTCCAACCTGTCAGTGCCATTCTATTCATACCACTTGACCTCTGCTCCGCCTCGAATGTATCCCAGCCTGTCATACAGCGACCTTGCTCGGACATACTTGTCCAACTTCCAGTAGTTGTCGCGAATCTCCCTTGCCACCAGGTCGCGCTTGGCCTTGTATTCCTGGCCCTTGGGGCCGTCGCCATGCAAGACCCAGTCCTTGGTGGCGTCCTCAAACCTGATTGCAATATCCTCCCGTTCCTGCAGAAGCCCGTCTCGAGTGGCGGTATCCTTCATGATATCATTTTCGCCCTCAACAGGCTCTTTATATTCATACGCCCAGTCCTCGTCTCCACCGAGCTCCTTGATGAGCTGCTCCGGCGCGATAAATTCCTCTAGGTCCTTACGGCCATACGTGAAATGAACCTTGGCGGCAATAACGGGATCCAGCCAGCCGTGGATGATCCTCCAAATGCCTTTGATCCTTTGTTAGCCGCGGAATTAGGGTGGTAAAGAACATAGGCCCGGGGCAACGTACCCTTAAACAACCAGGGGGCGTTGTGTATCAGGACAACGCCCAGCGACTCGGGGTAGTTGGCTTCAAAGCACATAATGATAAACTTGACCGGAACGTAGTCCATATTCGCGAGACTAAACCCCGACAAGTCAAAGATGAGGCACTGTCCGTATTAGCATCATTTGAAGGGGGAAAAGCAGTGCCGTCTGGTCCAACTTACGGCAGTTTCGACAGGCGGGTTGAGGACAAACCGCGCCGTCTCAATCAGGTACGTCGTGTACCGCTCGATGCTCTCTACACACTGGTCAGACGATTTATGCAGACGGGCCCTGACAATGCAGATGGGCCGACCGTGTCTGTCGGTCCCGTGCAAGAAGCTCTTTCCCATGCGAATCTGCTTCATAAAGTCGCGGCCCAGGGTCTTGGCTGCCTTCTCGTCCGCGACGGCACCCGCCTCGCCGTTGGGCATGATATCCTCGTCGATTTTAAAGTCGACATGTCTCCAGTTCATGGCCTTAAACATCATCATGAGAGCTTTGTTAATGTCCCACTTGCGGGCGCGCAGGAACCGCAGGATGAGTGTGTCCGGGTGCTCGTGCTTGACGGCGCCAATCACCATGGAGCGAATCGACTGGGCTGACTGGCCGTGCAGGAGCTTCTGGAAGTCGCGAATGGTCTCTGGTGACTGGTCGGCGAGCACGGCGCGAAGTTGCTGGATGGACTCGGGCGGTGCAGCCGCCAGCCCGTCCTTGAAGTGCTTGATGGATTCCGGGCTCTGCAGGGCCAGTAGCTGGGAAAATTGTTTTAGCAGACGCTGTTGCTCCTGCGGGTCGGTTGTGATGATTTGCAGGGCTTCCATGACGTCGGGGGAGGGCTTGGGCGTCGGGGGGACTTCCTGAGATGTACGTCCGAAGAAGCCGGTGCGCCTTGGAGACTCGGTGTTGATGGAGCCGGCATCCGAGACGATGGGCCCTGCGTGCTCGAACATGTTGTACAGCATGAAGACGGTCTGCCAGAGTTTGCGAAGTACAGCCTCCTGGTCGGCTGTCAGGTTGCCGAGATGCCCTGGGGCCATGTTGAAGGATCCGTTGGAAGCCATGTCGTTTTAGTATAGCCAAGTGTTGGTGATGCTAGAAACTGTATACGACTGTATGAGTTTGTCTTCAAGTGCCACAAAGAGAGGAGCAGCAAATGAAGGCGGCACTTTTGGGACAGCCCATCATTGCTGTCTACGACGTTATATAGCCAGCCATGTCGAATGATGAATGGAGGGTATGCTTCCCGTTAATCCCAGTTTGGTATAAGGGCAGCGCGAGAACCAGCATGTCGCCCACTAGACTCTAACTTGCCCAGCCAACCGTCACCTGATAGAAGTTGACTTTTATTGTTGCGCAAGGTTAAAGTTTGGATCCAGGTACAGCTTTACCTGCTTCCCGCGATCCATGACGGCTCGGTTTGCGATTGGCGGTCGGACATGGTGAAACCAGGCCTCGATGCCGCTTACAACTGAGATTAGCAGCCACAACATGCCAGAATGTGTGGGGAGGACGGTGAATTACCCCGCAAACAGAGACTGTGCAGTGAGCACATGATGATCTGCAATACGGCTGCGTGCCTAGGCAAAAAGTCGGGGCTGTATTTCCTAATGAGGGTCGTGGGTCTGTAGGGCAGAGACTGAGGGGCCGCAGCTCCGGCCGGTCGGCATGGCGCGCCCCCCGAACGGCAACGGAGCTTGATTATCGGGGCCCGTTTCCGTAGAGTCGCAAGCCGAGATGGATGTGTAAGGACAGTTTGACACGCTCAAACCAACATGCGGAGCTGTCAATGCAAAAAATCGAATTCGTATTAGATGACGCGTCCAATTCTTCTCATCCCAGCCAAGAGTGGGAAAGCGAACCAGGAGGGCATATTTTGGGGGTACATAGCATTTCCGGACAGCCTCCGGCTCTCGTTGCAAGCCCAGCTGCTCGGGGGCCACGTCGTTCCTCATGATCGAAGATACCCTAACCCTAACCCGCTGCTAGTAGACCTACGATTAGTTGAATTAAAAGTGGGACTATCATCGGCTACAGTGCTGCACCTTCTATCTGCACCCTCGCCACGGCCAGCTGAAAGGAGCAGGCGCGCATATCGCATCTTTGAAAATCTCCATCTCGCATATTTGCAAAATGCGATATGCGTGTCTAGTTGCCCAGCTGAGGCACACGTCGCAGCTATGCAGCATCCCCCATTCGTCCCGTGCGGTGCAACATCTCTCTACGCCCTCACGCCGACTTCCAATACAACCACGCCCTTTGCCCCAACATGAGCTTGTGCGAATACTGCGGCAAGATCCCCGCCAAGTTATTCAGCTTCCGCCGCAATGAGCAGAGCGACTACGACCACCAGCCAACAATCAGCGCCCTAAAAGCCTCGGCCGGGGGCGGGTGTCAGGGCTGCCGTCTCCTTCTCCATGCAATAGAGAGCAGCGAATCTGAGCACGCCGGCAAGTATGCGTTGCCGAGAACGTGGAATCCAGATGACCGGGTGCGTCTGAGCAGCACAAAATTCGGCTGGCAGATTGTGAGGGTCGGGTGGACCGATGCCGGTCATTTTCGAGGCTTTGCTGTGCCTCTGGACTGGAGTATGCGCCTCCAAGCCGGGCTTGATGATTGATGAATTGGCTCAGACCGTGTGGCTAATCTGATGGCACAGGAAACTGGGAGACTGTAAAGCCGCCTTCTTTCGGTGACGTCGGAGGGGAACGTTCTGGTCTTCACCGCGCCTACGAATCTCGTCTTCTGCAACGTTGGTCAAGAGAGTGTCTGGAAAATCACAAAGGCTGTCGTCGGGGGACCGGTTTCCTCCCAACTCGCCTTATTGACGTGGGAACAGAGGCTGATCCAAGGCTTGTTTTGGTGTTGAGTGCTGGAATCAGGTCCGCAGACAAGCGCTACAACGCATTGAGCCATTGTTGGGGCTTGACGATGCCGGAAGCCGCCAAAACAATGGCAAAGACGCTGCGCGACCACCTTGGCTCCATTTCGGCGGACATGCTGCCCCGTACCTTTCAGGATTTCGTCCAGAATACGCGGCGTCTTGGTGTGCCGTATGTTTGGATCGATTCGCTCTGTATTATTCAGGATTCACGGGACGACTGGGAGAGGGAGGCGGCCCAGATGGCTGATGTTTACTCCAACGCACATCTCACCATGGCTGCGTCAGGCTCTGCAGATGGCCAGGGAGGATGCCAAGTCGTAGACCATGTGCGATCGTACGGCCCCGTCGACATTGAGTGTCGAGCCATTACCGACAGCGCCTCCTCACAGGCATTGACAGAAGACTCAACAACAACCTTTCGACTTTGGAGCCGGGATACATACCCCGTCGGACAGATTCTGAGGATTGACCCATTGACACAGCGAGGATGGACTCTCCAGGAGCGAGAACTCTCGCCTCGGGTTGTTCACTACTGTAGAGACACCATCCGGTGGGAATGTTGTGAATCCAGAGCAACGGTTGAGTTCCCTTGGAGTGACGGAGCTTCGTTCGATGTCGGACGCTTGTTCGACGGGGGATCGTTTGCCAGACCGACACTTATTGGCATACCGAATATCAGCTCGAAACCAATCGACTCTGTCACAAAACAAAGGCTCACTTGGTTCGAGCTCGTCGACCGCTACACCAGCCGTTCCCTCACCAGGCAGACGGACATTCTTCCCGCCTTCTCCGGCATCGCCAGATCCATCGCCGAAACCACCTCTGACGAATACTACGCTGGGCTCTGGAGGTCCTACTTTGGGCATTGTCTACTGTGGGCGAGCAACTGGCACGTTGGCCGTGGATTCAGACAGCACAGCCGTCCTTCCGACTATCTCGCACCAAGTTGGTCGTGGGCCTCTGTGAAAGGCCCAATCCATTACCTCTCCTGGGTCAATGGCTACTGGCACAGCTTCAACGCCGACCCAGACCCGGCGTACGCACCGCAACTTGTCGACGTCTCGTTGCAAGCGTCTTCCGACCCGTACGGTGCTCTAAAAGCTGCGACACTCAGGATCAAGGGCAAGGTCGGCATGGCCATTTGCAAACAAGAAGCTTACGCGGCACCAAAGGATCATCTAAATGTTACTTTTACTGCTGGTCATCAAGATCGGCAAACTCTTCTGGGAATGGAGGGGGGAAAGCTTGACAAGGTCGGCGAGATTCGTTACGACGTCCCTCTCTGCCCTGACTGCTCGCCAATTGGAAAATTCACATTGCTGTGGCTGCTGTGCTGCCTGAATAGTGAGAAGACCGCAGATGGGAAGACGTCAACATTTGCAATCGCTCTCCGGGGCGATGACGACGTTGAAGGAGAGACGCGGATGTCTTCTATCGTCCCGAAGCGCTTTCGAAGAGTCGGGATAGCATGGGGAATTGATCCTTCATTCTGGGACAAGGCGGTAACTATCACTCTGACTATAGTGTAATGATTGCAAAGGGACATGCGTCCAAGTGTCCCGTTAAAGTATAATACAAAATCGCCCGAGACCTAATCGGCGACAAGGGGGGGTATCAAATAGTCCAATATCTAATAATATCCGCTTCCTGCATTTCCTGACCCCACTAGTCATGACATTCTTTTGTCCTTGAACCTAGGTCTTTGAGGGACAGGACCAAAGTACTGAGTGTGCATGGAGATGATACAAGTTTCAAGCGTGGCATACAGCCACACGAAAAGGTTTATCGGCCCAAAAATCGACATTGGTATGAGTGATACAGCGAGATGGCCTAGATTACGTTGAGCGCTTGACCTTGTCATGAGAAGCATATTCGGGACGTACCAAAGATAATCGGCCGGCGTGTGATTGTCTGCCAGAATTCGTCGGACGTGAGCAATTCGAAAGCGCCATGCCACTTCCACGGTCCTTTGAGGCGGAACTTGGTATTAAGATGGGCGCCCAAAATCCAAATAACCAGCAGTTTCCACGACGCCATGGCCCGCCGCCACGAGAATAACCTGATGATGTCGAGGATTCCCGGTGCCGAGTCCAGATCGAGCGCCAGCTGGTACGCATAGCTTTCGTGGTCGACGCCGTATTTGATCCTGGCCCCGGGGAGGGATCGAAGTTTGTAGTGATGCTCGTCCTCGGGAAGCAGGGTCCGCGGAATATATCGAGGGGACAAGAGATTTGTGACCCAGAGCTGAGTTTGCATCTCTGCGAGTGGCGGAATGGCACCGAGCGAAGGGCGTACGAAACCTATGAATCCGACGGTTGGGTCGTCTCGCTTCCAGATTTGACGGACATCAGCACAGTCAGGGGTCGGATATGGGATGTCGTTGGCGTTGTTGGACTTGTTGAGAAATGGGAAGCTCTGCTTGTATCCCGTACACATGACTACCATGTCTGGTCGGATTCGCTGTCCTCTCATACGGTCATACTCGGGACGTCCGTTGTTGATGAAGTCGACGGTTCCATTGCTGTCGAAGCGCAGGGGGAACGGCGCGAGATCCACGCATCTGCCGTGGGTGTCGGGGATTGGTGTTTGCACAAAGAACGAACGCAGGGAGTACAGCCACAGCGTAGGTCCGGGGACTTTGGGTCTGTATGGCTCGCTTATATAAGGGCACACCTTCATGGATTTGTTGAAGAAGACTACAACGTGGGCGTTAGTAATTTCCGGGCTGGGGGGACGGACCGACGTACTCCTTGATGGGTGGTCTCTCTCGCGGCCAACACCACCGATCCATTGGTCCATGCCTAGTGTAGTACCCGAGGATATGAAAAGGAGGGTCTTGATATAGATGTGGTAATACTCCCAAAGCAGCATGTCGTTTCGTCGAAGCATTTTGTGGACGTATGTAGTGTCAAACATGTTTGCCCGACTGATATCAATGGGAATACCTGGTTCATTGGGGTTTGGCGTGCGAAGACACGGCAATATGACTGGTCCAGGGTTTCTCTGCCACCTCCCCCGAGTTAGCCCTGGTACGTTTCCAAAAAATCACACAAGACCGACCTTTGGGGCAAAGTGAAAACCATCCCTGTGACACAAGATGACCCTCTCGACGCTCGGGGTAGTCACAGCGAGATAAGCAATATCAGCTCCCGTCTCGCCAGAGCCGACAACCATGACGGTCCTGCTGGAGCTAAACTGCTTTCGAGCTTTGAATTCCGACGAGTGTATAACTCGGGGCACGTTCCGGAGCCCCTTGATGTCGGGCACATTAGGCTCGACGTGTAAGCCCGAGCAGACGGCGACGGCGTCACAATCCCACTCTAGACGGTGGCCCCTTTTCGTCTCATACACGACGGTGTGGCCCTTGCAGCGACGCTTGACAGCCAGGACGCGAGTATCGAGATGTATACGTGGCCACAGGTCGAAATGTGTGCAATAGCCCTCCAAGTAGTCGACATAGTCGGTGGCACTGAGGAAGTCGGGCCCGTCTGGGCGCCGAAAATCAGAAAAGGTAGTCAGCTGCCTCGAAGACACGAGCTGTTTGGACAAGGTTAGGATACCGTGGTCCTCTCAGCGGCCCGTGGAAGCCACTCACCTCGGCATCTTCGTACACTCTGGCGGAAAACGTCCCCCCGACCTGGGGCTGATACTCAAAGAGACGGGCCTCGACGGCCTCGCAGCCAAGAAACTCGTGTGCCTGGGCGAGATACTTGAGAGTCACGAGTCCTGAAGGGCCCCCTCCAATGACGGCAACCTTCATGACAACGTATCGATACTCCAGACCCGGTGATTATGCTGGATTTTTGCTCTTCTTCTTGTTTTGCGGGTTGTCCGGCCCGGACGTCAGGCATATATAGAGGGATTCCCCAGGACCATTTTGTTTCCCACTGCTTCCACTCGGTCTTGACCAGTTCCCTCTTCCATCCGGCCTCTTGCCACCAGCGGTTCAGGGTCAATGATGGCCCTTTTGCTAGCCTCCGGACTGACCACTCCTTGGACCAAACACCCCTTCCATTATCCCGATGTAGAAGGATGCGGGCGCCTTGATCCAAACGCCCATCGGTACAAACACCTCCACGCGTTGGACGTAGACCATGTCTCAGAGGACAAGTTCCCACCAGCCCGGTGCCTCGTGGTAATACACGTCACACGCCTGGATCTTGTCAAATATTCCCGATGCTGCAGCCCCCGCGGTTTTGTGCCCCCCCGCAAGGTGAGTCCTTTGGGGGGGTAAGACACGGCAGCACTTTTAGAAGATGGTGCAGCAACTGTCAAGTGTCGCGTCGTGCAACTGGATCACCCGAACTCGAACTCTCCTTGACTGCAGCTCAGCCCGCCTGCCCGGGGGGTGAGAGTCCGTCTGACCATGTGCCCGTGGGCCAATAAATGCCTCAAACTACTCCGTAAACTGTCTTCTTATTGTTCGGGGCCCCGGTGGTTTGGATCGCTATTGTCCGCGATGTGCTTGCCGAGCGGCGAACTGCCTGGGACATGGAACACGTTCAATGGAGCCATGACCACCACAATGTGGGCTTTTGAGAGGCCGGACCACATGCTTCGCAGTAGTAGAGCACCAAAGTCGTGTCTAAAGGCTGACGATGAATCCAGGGGCCAGGAGCGGGGTGTTTGAAGAAGCACGCACGCGCCGGCTGGTTATTTGTTGAAAGGTGACATGGAGTCCGGTCTTCTAACTTCTGTCAGCCATCAATGTCATTGACATTTCGTTGGAGGTGGCGGATGGCGAACCGCAGCGTTCCAAGTCGCAGGATTCTTCTTTTTTTTTTCTTTTTTTCTGGGTTGGAAGCCCGAGACTAGAAGCACTGAATCGATTAGACTTGAGAGCTGCAGGATAAAAAACAAGAGAGAGAAAAAGAGCAGTCGATGCCTTCCGGTCCCGGGCCAGCTTGTCGTCCATGTTCAAATTTCCACGTAATCCCGCTTGCAGGTAGAAGGTACTTAAGTACCTGGGGTAGATGTGGAGAAGACATTTGTACTCACTACTCCGTACTCCGGCCTTGTACGTACTGTGAAATGTTGCGCTTCCACAAAAAAAAGTGTAGAGACTGGTGTGCACTCTTCAATGTTGGCTCATCAGCTCCGAACCCCAACTCGGGCATCAGCGAACCTGAGCAGTCAAGGCTCTTTACACCGGGCACCAAAATTACTCCGTAGTGCTCGGTATTTCTTTTTCTGTGAGACTCAGTCTCCTATCGAGCCTCGGCACCGCCAAGACTTGGAGTCGCACATCATGAGGCTAAATCGAGTTTGGTGCCGCTACATTGATGTAGCCAGTTGGCCGGGCTTGGCAAGGCATAACATTGAAGGCACAAGGCGAAAGCACTTGAGCAACAATGCCTGGCGCCGGTCTTGACAAAAGCAACCGGGGTTTCCTTGCCAAGCAAACACCGGCAGGATCCCGCACGCATCATGCGAACCTCGCTCTTCTTCTCCGCAAAACTCCACCGGGGCACGACGAACCGCAGACGCTCCCATCAATGATGCCACAATGGCCTGCTGGCCCTGCATCGCCCATCACCCATCACCCATCACCCTGTGACATGGCTGCATCTGGGGCAGCACGCGGCGCCCGGTTTCTATGCTGCGCCTGCTGTGCGACGCGCTGGGTGCCACGGCCCTGAGATCGCTCGCGCCAGGCGTCAATGTCCAGATGGCATGTCCGGGTGAGGGCTTCTGCCGGAGCTGTGCGACCCCGCGCGCCCAGGACATCGATTTCAAATGTTGGGATCCGTGTCTTTTGTGCCCCCTCGAGCCCGTGTGCAACAAGCTCACTCATTCACGTTGGACATTGCTGGTGGCGGCTGATACGTGTGTACCATTACTATATTGAAAAGAAGACGTACGGTCGTTACGTAAGAGTTTGCTAATTATCTACAAGAATACATACGTCAAAAGACATTAGGAAGAAAAAGTCAATTCATGGCTTCAGTGCCAGCGGATGGCACTTGGAGACGTCGCCCCCCGTCACCGAGTACAGGACGTCCTTTCGCAGCAGCGTCTCGGGCCCGGCGACCGGGTCGCTGACGACAAAGAGCTTGGACGCCGTCTCGCCGGCAAAGTCGCAGACGATGGGGAACAGGACCTGCTCCGCGTGGTCGACGACGACGTAAAAGTCGTCCCCGTCGGGGTTTCGGAACGGCACCAGTGCCACGGTGACGGCGGTTCGTGGCACTTGGGCCGCGTCGCTGGCCCGGAGGCGCGAGACGCCCAGCCTCGACATTGTCTCGCTGTAGTAGTGGAGGGACCGGTGGACGCCGTCGTAGACGATGTCTGATTGACCCGTCGTGTCCCAGAGCCCGAAGCAGTACTCGTTGTCCTGGTCGTCGTTTTGCACCGCGTAGAGGTTGCCGTTGGCGCACGACACGATCCTGGTTGAGCGAGTCGGGTTCACGAGCGGCAGGAGCCTGTGGTTGAGCGTCTGGTTGTACAGCTCGGTAGGCACGCCTTGCACATTATACGTCATGGACTTGGATCCGGTGCTGGACCGCGCCGTCTTGTCCGTGGCCGTGATGCGCATGGGACGCGGTCCGTCGAGGAGCTCTCGTCGTGCTGGCTTGTTGTCCTTGCTGCAAAGAGTCACTCGTTAGTCAGTGTTGCTGCGAGGAGAAGAAGGAGGAGGAGGAGAAACTAGACAAGGAAACCAGACTCACCCAATGCATTTCCGGAACAGGGCTCTGTCCTGGGTATCCAGCAAGGGGGCGTCGCCGGGCTCAACCAGCCCTGCCCAAAGCCGGTTGCGCCAGCTGATTTGCGTCAGGATCCCGTCGCAGCCGTCGCTGTCCCCAAAGGCACCCACGATGCTCCCGGCGTCGGTCAGGTTGACAGATCCAGACACCTTGGCGGTGCCCTTGATGGAGGGCTCGTCGACGACGCCGACCGCCTTCTCCCAGGACGAGATCTTCAGCCCGCACTTGAGCCCGACAGGCAGGCCGAGCTCGGCAGAGAGCGCCACCTCGCCGGACGCCTCGAAGACGGGCTTGAAGTACGGGTCCCAGCCGCTGTTCTTGTTGTTTCCCGGGTTGACGAGGTCTATGACCACCAGCGAGTCCTGCATGCCCATCTCGGCGCCCACCAGGACCTTGCCTCGCGCCGCCGCCTCGAGGCCGACGCGCGCGCCCACCGAGACGTAGGGCCCGATGGTGACGACGCCAAAGGACAGCGCGGGGAGCCCGTAGTTGAATAGTTCGTACTCGAGGTTTTGGCGGAGCGAAAACTCGGCGTCGATGCCGAGCTTGAGGACAAACTGCATGTTGGCCTGCAGCTCGAGCCGGCCCTCCTGGAGCCCGGCGAGCGGCGACCATTGCGCTCGGCCGGCCACTTGAGCGTGGCCCGAGGCGCCGCACCCGACGCAGTACACGTTCATGTACTTGAGGACGCCGTCGTCGCCGACCGCGTTGGGCGACCCCAGCGACTTGAGGAGGATGGCCTCGCCCCATGGCGACTGCGTTTGCGTCAGGTCCCCGAGCAGCGTCTTTGCCCACGTGTTGGAGGACTCCGGGTCGGGCGCTTTGAAGGAAAAGTCACGGTCGATGGCCCCTCCGATGCTGATGACGCTCGCCACGGCATTGTAGACGGTCGTGAAGGCCGTCTTGAAGAAGTTCCACACGCCGGACCAGAAGCCCCGTTGCGCAAGGGACCGGCGGCGCATGCGCAGGGCACGCGCAGACAGGGTTGAGTTGGCCGGGCCCGTGACGTTGGAGCCGGACGAGAGGCTGTCCAGGAACTGCTTGGCCTCGGGGCTCAGCTCCGTGTATCCAAGCTGCTTGTCCAGGAGCTGGTCGAAGTTGCTTCCCAGGCACGCCGTGGGCAGCCCGTGGGCGTCGTCGGCCGGCGCGGTGCACTCGAGCTGTCCCAGGGGCTTGCTGGCGCCAGACGAGGCACCGGTCGGAGACGAAGGGGAGGCAGATGCGGTCGATGTGCCCCATGCAAAGGCTTCGCCAGAGGCCGAGGCAGAGCCATGGGCCTTGTCCTTGTTCGCATTCCACCAACCCCATTCCGTCTCACCAAGGTTGGTGACCTGATCGGGGTGCATCGAGTCTCCCTTTGCCACAATGACCAACTGGTCGTGCTTGTACTCAATGGCAGTCACGTTGAAGTAGCACCGTTCTCCCTTGGCGTAGTCGCCGCAGCCTGGGATGTACGCAATCAAGAGCAGACCATTGGCCATGGTCCAAGTGTCCAGTGCGTGCTTGAAGGCCTCTTTGTTGTTGAAGGACACCGTCATGCCGTTCTTCTCGTGGTACTCAGCCGCCAGGTGGTCGGTGTGGTCAATATTGACAGCGGGAGACTTGAAGAAGTAGGTGACAAAGGCATAGTAGCCCGACTTGGACGGTTCTGTGAAGTGTAAGTCGAGTCAGTCCGGTCCCCTTGGCGTGTGCAAGATGGCTCGTCTTACCGGAAGCACCATAGTAAAGCTCACAACCCTTCTTTGGTTCGACCGGAATCACATTCTCAATGGCCTTTGTGTCGTACGACCAGTGCACATTCGGAGACAGTGTCGCTGCAGGAGCGCTGTTGACAAAGGTGGCCGTGGGCGATTCGGTCGCCGTTGGCTTGCGGTTCAGGGCATAGTTGGCCGGGCATCCAGCATCAGCGGTTTGGGTCACGATTTGCGTCACCGTCGTCCATACTACGACCGGTGCCGCTTGGGTTTCAGTGGCATTGGTAGTTGAGTTTCTCAAAGGGAAATGCGGCCCATATGCCACAGCTGGGTGTGCTGCTCCCAGGAAGAGAGCGGCTGCAAATGCTACCGGGAGCATCTTGCAAAGAGGAAGGGGAAAGGAGAAGGAAAAGGAAAAGGAAAAGGAAAAGGGGGGAGGTTGTTAATGAAGAACGAGGCAAAGGGAAAATGTGAATGGAAAGTGAACCGAGTCAAGGAGCGTGACTGATGATTTCAAGCAAACCATCAACGGAGGGAACGCGAGACATTTATCTCATTACAAGACGCCCGCGTTTCTACAGGACCGACAGCGTTGACGATAGTCACGGCGAGATCCATCTCACAATTATTTCCTGTATTGGACCATGAACGTCTCGCCTGTAACCGAAGTGGGTTGTACTACGTTGTAAAGAGGATTCACCGTAGTCATGTTGGGTTGTACTCCCGGTCTATATCGTGCACCCCAGCAATACATCACATGGGGTCGACAACTATCGGGCCGGAGGTCATCTCCAAACGGCAAATAGGCCCTCCTCCACTATTGGCTCGCTGGCAATAGTCCCCTGCTTTCAACATGTCGGAACGAGTATCCATGCATCACATCATTCTTGTTGGAGAGGGGGGCAAGGACAGCGTCGTGGTTCCAAGTGTCACATCACAACTCGAAAGCTCAAATTGCTCGGTATCCTTTGGACCGGCTTGAGGTTGTCTCCATCGGCTGTCGCTCATGGCCATGTCCAGACACACAACCCCTATCGAGAACCCAAGACAGGGTCGGGAGCCGGAGCCGGACCGGGGTAGCGGCCAATAAGTCCACAAAATCTACAGCCCGTCGACATGGATACTACTTAATCTGGGCTGGTGCGAACGGTGACGGGACGAAAACGAGTCAGTCACGTTATCAGATGAACCGTCGGCAGTGCTTGGGCTCTTGGAGAAACACCATGGCATCGAGGACGATGATGTAGATGCGCAACCCGTTCAAGACGGGAGGCGGCCCTGCGCCACTTTGCTCGTCTGACGTCCCCGGCGCGATAACCGAGTTCGGCAGACGAGTCTCGTGCCAACTTTATCCTGCGGCCTAGTACGTAACACTTTCAGGGCCCTTTTTCTTGGGTTATGTGACGCTTTTGTCCGTGCCCAGTGCGGCCTAAGTCCGACGCTGCAGATTACACACTCACCTCGCGCCGCCCCCCCGGATACCACCAAGAGCTGCAGCAGCTCACGCGGGACAGTACTGCAAGGTACAAGACGCAAGATGCAAGATGCAGGCTCGACGTATGCACATACGAGGGCTCGCTGAGCAAACCGCTCGTGGTTCCGTTTCCCCCACGATCACAACAGACCGCGGCCACCACCAGTCGTCCTACCATGCGGTAGAGTCTGGCCGTGGTGTGGACAATTTGCGCCCTGAGCCCTTTCGCCCGAGACTCACCACTCAATTATTGGTCATTTCGCTTCCGGTGATTCAGCGGACTGAATGATGGGACGATACTGTCTCCGCCAGATACAATATCCATGCCAGTTATACGGCGTACACCAACGTGACAGCCTACAGAAAAGCCCACGGCGGGTTTTGGATATACGACTGCTTTGCTGCTCACCCTTTTGCCCACCGCGCTCTCTCCACTGCCAATACAACCATTTTGTGGGGATTTGCTCGGGTAAGTTGCATTTGCGGGTATCGTCCAGTTTGGAGATGGGAGGCCGGGGTGCGATACTATATTGTCATTGTATAACAGGCCCGTGCAATCGGGAGACTGGACACATCGCAGCTTAGGGGATCCGCCGAGAACCGCAATTCCTCGCCCAGACAGATTGGTTGATTCGGCGCCTGTCCTATATCAGCACATCAGTATAATAAGGCTTAGCCTTGGTGGCGACGGTGAGCAATGAATGCAACCCACAAGGACCCGGAAGTCGGAGGATAGGGAGGAGACATAGATTATGTACGTGACCATTGCCATACCTCTCTTGTTCCCGCAATCGCCTTCTTGGCAATCCCTTCAACAGTGAATCAAGGTGTCTGCTGATCTCTTCCCCGCGCGCCGGCAACACGGATGGAGAATAGAGTTGGCACGAAGGATTTCTCCAGGAATAGCAAACACTCCATTCCTGTTGAACAAGGCTATAATACAAAAGTACGCCCGGCGGCTCCATTCCCGCTCTGCCTCTTGAGCAATTGTGCTCGTATTATGTATTCGATACGACGTGTTTTCGCAATCGCAGATAAGAGCTCGTAGGGGGAAACAGAAAAACAAAAGGACCAGACACAACATCACGGGCCTCACTTGGCCTGGCCCAGTTTGATTAAGAAACTGGAGTCATAATGAGGTATTTTGGTCGGGCTCAAAATGGAGCCCAGTTGTGTCTAGCGCATCTTGTCTCTTGTCGTAAAGTCGGGGAACATAGTCCAAGTCGCGTCTAATTTGACACTGCAAGTGCGAGACTCAAGACTCATCGTCAGGTCATGTGCCTCAGCCCATGACCACGGAAAGAGCTAGCATCGACCTGCGTGGAGGGACGGAATTGCAGAGATCGGACTGACGTTCTGAATCAACCATTTCCCACCCACTCAACCCCGTACTACGACATTCTCCTGCCTTCTTCACACCAGACTGCATCCGCGGCCCATGCATTTGGCCAGATCAGTCTGGATGGACCTGTGTGGTCTGCGTCGGAATGTCATGTCGGTTGAGCGTGTGTCGGACAACAACCTCCCTCACCCCTTGCCCGTTTTTAAAATTGCATCTCCGGAACACCACAGGTGATTGGCCTCGGCCCCGACGTCATAAAAGCAGCCCCTGCATTCTGACGCTCGTTGGCCGCTGGTCCGTTGACGGAAATGTCTCAGCAGAGCCTCGTCGTCGGTGGGCGGATGCACAGGGCTGACAGCTGACAGCGGTGGCCCCATTCGTTTGACTTTGGCATCGGCAGAGTTGAGGCTAAATTTCTCACCATTGTCAAGTTGTCAACGCCTCGCTCGTGGCTTTCGCATTGGCAAATCTCCACATGCACATCATTAATCAGCCGCGTGACGTCTGTTTGCCAGCTTGGGTCGGGGTTGCTCGTTTGTCTTGGAGCGCGGGAAAGGCGCAGGCACGTCGACGTGCCAGAAAGATGGTGCGAATAGCCTCAACAGCATCGAATTTGCAATCACGTCCATCCGACAAACCAAAGAGATAGCTCCTTCCGTTTACAGGCCGGAATTGGAGTGCTACAGCGAATGAATTGCATTTGGGGCACAAAATATCACCATGCCTTGGGCGCAGCACGCTCCTTTCCACGCATAGGCGACTATCACGAGCAAGGCCGAAGAATATGCACCCTATGCCATCCATGGCATCACATAGTTCAAGCTGAACCACATGCTTACAGCACCCCTTACACAGGCAAGCATTTGACAGACCCCAAATTCATCCCTTGTGAACATAGCGACAGGCATTCCTGACGACGCATCGAGTAGATGGCACTAATATTAGTTCCGTTCATCATAAGGTTGCGAGGCTTTTGCTAATCATATCAAGTTTTTTTAGTACAAATATTAATACAACCTTAATACAAGCATCATGCAAGCATTACATCCAAAAAAAAAAACCCCTTTATATTTGGCCGTATCTGAGGCTATCGCGAGATGGCCTTGGCTAGCGGCCGCGGCGCGGCACCAATTGCGCTGAGGCGGTCTACTTTTCTAGTCTCCTACTGTCCTTGGCCTGGTACAGCCCAATATTGTTTTAGATTTTACGCTTGCACGATACTTGTATCATGCGTGTAATTTCATTTGACTACAGAGCGAAACAATCAAACATTAATATTTGGCCGTATTAAGATAAAGAACCATAAAAGACCACCAAATATACCATACATGCATGCATCGCGATGCGTCAGACACGCTAGCAAGATTAGTGATTTATTTCGGCGCGCCGTTCAAAGTTATCTCGCGATAGCCTCAGCCACCCACTGCGTGGAAGCAAACTCAAACCTACATATAGTTTGTTGATCCTATATAGTCCCGGATGATGATCCTTCTGATTCCATTTGAATCATCGCTCTCTTTCAGTTGGTAGCACTTTTAATAAAAGGCATTTATTCCCTCACTTCCTACTATATTTATATGTCTTTTATACTTCTTCAGTCATTCTTACATGCCAGCTAGCAAAGGAGAGATACCGAACCCTTCACTATGCATTCCACTCTTGTCGCCCTCATTGCCTTGCCCTTTGCGGCTTGGGCCATCAACTCTTCTGTCAACCACACCGTTATTGACGACAACCGGGCGGTTGAACTTCCAGGTGTTCTCAGATACCCCATCAAGGGTGTTCAGGGCTCGTCTGGTCTTTCCAAGCGACAGGACGGCCAAAGTCTCCATTCCCAGCGGCATGGCCTAATCTACACCATTAAGCTCGACATTGGCACCCCCAAAAGCACTGTTGATGTGCAGTTCGATACCGGTTCCAGTCAGCTTTGGGTCAACCCCATCTGCTCCCATGCCGCTAGGCCAGCCGACTGTACCAAGCTCGGACGCCTCCGATACTCATCCACCTTGAAAACCCTCGGGAAGACACACAAACTCACGTATGGAAGGGGCTACGCCTATGTAAAGTACGTCAGAGACTTTGTGCAGGTCGGATCTGCCAAGTTGCCCAATCAGACCTTTGGTGTTGCCATTGACAGCGGCTTCGTGTCAGCCGGCATCCTGGGTGTTGGCCCTTCCAAAAGAGGCATGAAAAACTCGGACTTTGTTGTCAACTCCCTCCACAAACAAGGCTTCACCAAGAGCATTGCCTTTGGTGTTGATCTTCAGGGCATCGCTTCTGCCCGCGGTAGCGTCGTCTTTGGCGGTGTCGACCTGAAGAAGTTCCGTGGTACCCTGCACGCGACTCCCATTCTCGACAGGGCAGCTGCTCCTGACCACGCTCCTCGCTACTGGATCAACCTCGATAGCATTTCGCAGACAGCCGGTGGCGAGACGGTTACTCTTGTCGACCAGCGTTTTCCCGTCTTCTTGGATACCGGCGCTACCTTGTCGTACTTCCCCCCTTCTATTGTACGGAAGCTTCTCCAGGGATTCCCTGGCGCCAAGCGTGATAAGTATGCCAATTACATTGTCAACTGCTCTTTGCGAAGGCAGAACGCCTCTGTCGACTTTCAGTTTGGCAGCACTGTCATCCGGGCCGCGTACAAGGACTTCATCTACCCTTTTGACGACAACGCTTGTGCCCTGGGCTTCACCGAAGCTACTGACAAAGCCTATATCCTGGGCGACAGTTTCCTCCGATCCGCCTACGTCGTCTTCGACCAGACCAACAGGCAACTCGCCCTTGCTCAGGCCGCTGACTGCGGCACTCGACTGGTCGCGATTGGTCCTGGCCCTGCCGGTCCTCTTGTTGGCGAGTGTGGAAGGCCTCCTGTTACCAGCAACACTACTTTTCACACCTTTACCAAACGTACATCAAACAAGACGAGTTCTTCTACCAAGATGACCACGACTGCCTCGCCAACCTACACCTCGACCTTGACCACTACCAAGGTCTACACCATCACCACCGAGATCGTCACCTCGCTTACCACCTCGCACCCCGGTGAGAACCCCAAACCTACATACCGTATGCATTCCCGGCTGCACAGGGGATCACGACTGCCGCCCCATCCCAAGAGCACCGCGGGATGCCCTAATGGTGGCGACTGTCCCCCTCCCGCTGTCAGCACGGAGGCTTCTAGCCGCCTCCGTGGCGAGATCTGCCCTCCCCTGCCAACAATGTGAGGTTGTGATTCCCACCGAGACTGGCGTCATCCCTCGCCCTGGCAGACCACTCAAAGCTCCCGTCACTGCTGGTGCTTCCAGCATGGGCGCCGGTGCGTTTATCCTTGTTATTACCGCCATTGTCATGCTGTACGCCGGTCACTAGAAAGTGCCTGGTCGCAATAGAGCTGCGTGTTTTGGCGGATTCTTGGGATAATGGGCTTTTCTCATTCCTTTCGGTGTGGGGTTTCGTCCCAAATTTTCTTATGTACTTTACTTGTTATATATACCATTAGACTTGAATGATGGAAAAATGGATGTTCCAAAAAGATTGGTTATGGAACACCCGTCCAGTTAGGGTAGTTGTGACGGCAGTGGCCTCACGGAGGAGGAAGTTTAAACGATTCGCTTAATATAAGTCACGCATTGGCCAAACAGTCGGCAGCATAATATGTCGTGAATGAAATCCAATATTCGTTTTCCGGTATATGCCGGAGCACTTTGGCAGGTTATCCTCCCTTCTTCGCCGAGTAGCTGCGAGTCCAGCGCCGAGCGCCCATCACAATAACGACGCCAGACGTCCGCACGGCGCCTGCTTTCTGCGTTGCAGTCCAGCGTTACGATGCCAAGGAGCAGATGATGGTGTCGAGTGGTTCAATGCTGTCTTCCCGGCACGTCCCGCGGCGCGTCTTGGCAATGCGCCTCACTCCATTGTTTGTCTTGGCTGGCGGTGCGGAGATTGCTCGCTATTAAAAGTCGTAACGGTCCCATGTCTTGTTGGTGTCTGCATAGACTCAGCTGCATGGTGGTTCGTCTTGTTGCTAGCGTTTCCTCTGGCCAAATACTACTGAATTGATCTTTGTTAGGCACCAGCGCCAGCAATGAGACAAATGAGACAGCTTCACCACTCCGCTCTGCGTAATAAAATAAAATAAAAATAAGCATGGGCATAGCCCCCACCTTGCGCTCATTACTCAGGCAAACAGGGCATCAAATACGGAAAGACGACACGAAAGGGAAAAAAACACATAGACCCCTAGACAAAGTTTCTCAAGAAATATACAACATACCGTTAATGCCCCCGTGATCCACCCCCTTAAACCGAAGCCATCAGCCTCCTCGACAACAGCCATCCATCACCAAAAATGTCCATCTACAACACCGTCAACCAGTAGTGCCCGCCCACAAACCACATCACAGCCATCTCCTCGTCGCCCTCCAAGCCCCTCGCCCCGCCGTACCTGCACGCGACACTCAGGGGCAAGCCCATTAAAGGCATGGGACACCCTTCCCACGCCGCTCCTCCTCGGGCCCACGCTCGACGTCGGATGTGGCCCCGGCCTACGGCGTCGACATCTTCAGCGCCGCCGACCAGACCGGCAACGCCCCAGGGGCGACGTACAAGAACCCCGCGGCCATGGGCGTCATTGTGGATTTTGTAGCAGCATAGGACGGCGTTGGAGGAATGTAGCACGAGGGACGTGCGTGTTTCGCTTTTGGGCTTTAGCTTAATGTACAAGATTCTGCCGTGTTAGTTGTTGACTGCCACGAAGCCCTGGTAACATATTTTGGCGTATGCGTATTAAAGAACGGTGGCCTTCTTTTTTTTTTTTTGTGAGTGGAAAAGCTGATTTACAGGCTGTATTTTGCTAATTTTGAAGATACCATGGGAAAAATTCCCCTTTTTCTGACTGAATGCCCAGCATGTGACTTGAAATCACAACGTTACAAGCATGAGAAATCACGCCTTCGTCGCCCATCAGTCCGAGGACCACAAAACACATGGATACAATCATTCATGTATTGAATACTCATTAGTGCTACCAACACCAGTCTAGACTCGTGTCCAACGTCCATCCCGTGTGTTCATCATCTACACCATAATGCTATATGCTAACCTTTTTTGCATGGCTTCACCGGCCCTCGTAGTCACAGGCCCTATCCAGAAGAAAAGTCACCCGCAAAATTCGCAAGCGGCGTGATGGATTCCACGGGCCGCTTGCGGTCCGTTCAATCATTTACTCGGTCTTGCCGACGTCGTTCCTTGTTCAACATGACAATCTTTCTATGTTGATCGGTTCTTACGGTCACTACGCAACAGTAAGTAAATTGGTCACCAAACCCGAAGAAAAAAACGGCACAAAGATACTTACGTGCTAAGTCTCCGAGAAAGCTGGTGCAGCTTCTTATCATTATCAGCCTCCTGGGCCGCCTTTTGCAGAGCAGTAGCCCGCTCCTCCTCCTGGTGCTTCACGACCTCTTCGTGGCTGGGAGGCAGGCGTTCATTTTGCAAATCAACCTTTCGCGCATCCTCAAACGAGCTTATCGCATTCTTAATACCTTCAGCGCCAAGCATGAGCGTGCCTGCGGGCAGCCTGCCTCCGGAGACAGTCTTGAGCTCGGTAACCTTCTCGGACTCCTCTCGAAGCACCTGGAAGACGCGTGACATGCGACCAATAGCCAGAATCTTGTTCTTGATCGCTCTCCGCTTAAACTCGATCGAATTGGGGTCATCGCCTACTTGGGAAGTCGTTGGCGAGTGTGGGCTGGTCGAAGATGGCGTCTCCTCCTTGAGCTCCTCTTCAGAGCAGGTGCTGAGAATGGCAATCAACATATCCGTAATCTTCTCACCTACGAATGGCAGAGACCACGTGAAGACGTCCATAAAGTTGGGCAACCAGTATGGGTGAGGCGTGCAGTTGAACTGCCGGATGTTCATGACGTTATTTTCGTATTTGAGCACCGCGGCCTTGTTGTTATACACGTCAAGATAGTTGGGAGCAGAGAAGATGGTCATGACGCTGGGGAAACCGGTAGTACGCGTCTTTCGATACATGCGGTACCCAGCATCTTGAGCCTCGTGTGCCCGGATAATGGATAGGAGGTTGTTTTTCTCGAGGAATGCGCAAGCGGCGTGGTATGAAAAGAAGTATGAGCAGCCGCGCACGTGGTTGTGCAAGAAGAAGTCGGTCGTCTTTTCCTGGCCAAAGTCTTCCAGGGGGTCTGCCCAGAGAATATCGCACATGAGACCTTGTGTGGGAGGCTCTCGGAACCGGTCAATCTGTCAGAGGTTAGTTTTTTTCGGCAGGGAGACATGGGCTTCTCTGCGCCCATATGCAATATACGCACATTTCTCAAGTCGTCAAGTGTATGCAATTCGGGGCTGAGGCCACCATGGATACACAAAAACTGTTTGTTCATCACAGCTGCCAATGGCAAGCTGCAGAAAGACTCCATGCAGGCATCGTAGACAGCCTCCGAGTACTTGTGCTTGCATTCGAGCTTGAAAGTGAAGTAGTCGGTCAAGTGGCGGCACTCGTGGTTTCCTCGCAGCAACCATAGAGTATTAGGGTAGTGAATCTTCAGCGACCATAGATACAGAACGCATTCGATACTGAAGTATCCTCGGTCAACGTAATCGCCCAGGAACAGGTAGCGGGTCTCGGCTGGGTCGCCACCGACTTCGAATAGCTTCATCAAATCGTAGTACTGGCCGTGAACATCGCCACAGACGGTGATAGGGGCGTCCATCTCGAGGAGGTTGGGCTCGTTCTGCAAGATTTCGGTGCCCTTGCGAAGAATCCAGAGTGCTTGTTCCTCGGTCAGACGACCCTCGCGGTAGAAGTGCTGCTTGAGAAAGGCGATGTCGGGTTTGGAGTGAGTGTCGTCTTGGAAAAACTGTTCTTCGGTAGGCTTGGTCATGGCGGGCGCTTGAACATCTGCATCATGGCAAACAGTGATTAGTCTCGGTATGCTGCTGGCATTTTGACCTCGGCATTTGCCTCACGTGGCAGAAAGAAGGCGCGTCCAACGTGTGGCGGGTAAAGAGGCCAACGAACCTTTGCACACTCTCTCCAACGTGCTCACTTGCGTGCCATCTTCCATGGTGTGGATGGTGAAGTCAATCTCGGGGACGGGCTTCTTCTCTCGAATGGCGCGAATGGCATTGTCGACTTGCTGGTTGCGACGCACGTCGGCCTGGAGAGGCTTACTGTCCTGCTCCATAGCGAAAGAATACAGCAAGGAATTGCAAGAAATGAAAATGCAATCGTAGACAAGCAATCTCGGCAGGGAAGGAGGCGCGGAGTATCAAGCCCGGACAAGACACCCCAAAGTCCTCGAGGTCGAGACGGCGTCAATCAGGTCAGGTGTGGTGGCGGTGAGGGGTCAGTGTCGCGGAACAGCTCGCGCGGAGAGAAGACGTAGGCGGCGCGACAGAAAGGAGCTCACGGCCAGCGAGAGGTTCAGTCGGCGACTTGATGGGAGTCTGTCTTGTGCGAGAAAGCGACAAGGACAAAGGCTGCCAGATGCTGGGGAGGACGTGACGATACAAAAAGTAGGGCTGACAAGGGCAAAAGAGGTTGCTGGGTTGGGCACATGGAGTGTGGTGCGAAACATGGAAGACTGGAGAAACATTGAATGCACCCACCTTGTAATGTTGGCGAAGCTGGCGGGCTCGTGGCGGCACTGGGGCTACCGACGGCAGATGTTAGTTACCGCAGTGCTAGTAATAGTTGTCAACTGGACTGGCAGACCGTTTGCCAGCAGCAGGAGCAACCTGGCCAGCGCTGCGAATTGCACCAGACCAGACCAGACCGGACTCAAGTGCTGCCCAATCAACGCAGCTGCCAATCGACTTCACATGCACCGGACACCATATGCAATGATTGATGCAATTTGATGGTTGCCCCTATGATTTAGTGCCCATAGGCCTGGCCGTGCTCTCTCCAGGGCTACCAGTGCAGCCCGGACCGTCTCCAGGTGCCCCTAGGTGTTTCAGCAGATCAATTCAGATCAGACGGTCCAGTCCGTCAATGCAACGGGGCAACATGCATGTGTTGGTGCATCTGCAGTTTTTCAACCACCACCCGTCTGGTGCGTCAATAAATCTAATAATATAGACAAGAATAAAAGCATCATCCACTACCGTTTCAGGCGGCGCGAAATAATATGAGCAGGTCCGCAAACAGGGCGGTGCAATTGCCCAGGTACCTACGGAGTATAACTCAGTAGCTCGGAAC